TAACACTAATCGGTTTGTCATTTCCGCAATCGACCGCCTTCGCGCTATCTGAATACTAAAATATTTTGTATCACTGAGAAGATTGTATTTGAAATCGTAAGTCTTTTAAATAAAACACTTTAACGGTTTAAACGCGATATATTAGTTAAACTTATTTGAAAATGATTTTTAACTTCGGCCCGACGTTTCGGATGTGAATTCGGATGTGTGTCTCCCCGTGACCACGGCTGCTGCAAAGCATCCGAAACGTCGGGCCGAAGTTAAAAATCATTTTCAAATAAGTTTAACTAATATATCGCGTTTTAAACCGTTAAAGTGTTTTATTTAAATGTGTACTACTCGCGTATACTATAGACAGTATCTAATCGTAAGTCTTCTCTTTGTAAAGTTCTCTGTTCAACAGGACACAGAGGTCTATAGCATTAATACAAACTCAAGTATTCTATAAACCTATATAGATAGATTCTTTTGACGTGCTCGTTGGTCTCATAATCAACGGGTCGTGGGTTCGACTAGGTCCAACATTTTTAAATTTATCATTTTTCTAAGACTACGTCTGAAATTTGGATCTGGATATTAAATTGTTGGAAGGAATATAAAAATTCCGTCCGGAACCACCGTCGCGTGAAGCTTAATCGCGTATCAGTTTCCGACTGTGGATTTCCGAATATCCAAAGCCAAAATAGGTCGACGGCGCATCTTGGTTAGATTCTATAGGCTGGGCTATATCACCTACCATCAAATGAAGTCTCTCCATGTTGTCCTTCGCTATCATTAAAAAAAAATCTGTAAATTAAGTTAACCAATAACTTTCCATTTTTACCGTTAGTAGGGTTTTATTTAAACAAATTCTGAGACTCAGAAATCAGAAAGGCGACTATAATAATGAAGTTTATATTTATATCTTATATTTCATGTAGTTTGTTCAAAATAATATAATATGTACATTTAGTTTCGAATTCTTTTAAGAAGAACTGTAAATAACTAGAAGTTTACAAAATTCCAAAAACTAATTACCGGACAGTGAGCTTACCAGTATTTGTAATTACCGATATCAACTCTATCTAATCATCCCGAGTAAGTGTTAGATTAAACTTTGAACTAAGTACAGTCACAGTGTAACAAACTCCCAGTCGACAAAACAACTAATCCAAGACAAAGTTTGCGAGACAGGTTCAACGTTAGCAATTGCACCCTTTGCTCTGAAACTTCAATTGGCACTTTAAAAATTCAAGACAAACGCTTTTAGCGCTAGATGTCGGGGTACTGTAAAAATAACTCACACTTACCTAAGCCTGTGGTCTTATATAAAAGCGTGTCGTATTGAACGACTATTTTAGAAATAAAAGAAATAACATCATATTCACAAGAACAGTCAATTAAATAAAACTCTTTAACGGTTTAAAACGCGATATATATCAATTATACTTATTTGAAAATTATTTTAACTACGGCCCGACGTTTCGGATGCTTTCCAGCAACCGTGGTCACGGGATGACCCGTATTACGCGTTTTAAACCGCTAAAAACGTCTTATTTAAATGTATGTTACTCACTTAAACTATAGACAGTATTTAAATTGTCAATTATTCGTGAGCAAGACGTCGTCTTTCGCCTAAAAGCATCTTGACGCATAACGCCTGACGCTGTACGCTGCCTCCAGCGTTTATATTAGACCGAAGCCTTAACGCTAGATGTCGAGGCGCTGTAAAAATAAGCCACACTTAGCTAAAAGTGCATTCGCGGTTACGTCAAACAGCACCGTTGACTTTACAGATGGAGTTATTGGATAGATAAACTATGATACCACTTTGAGCTTTTCTTACGAAACTAGCCCTCTTACGCTTCAAAATACGCAATTAAATACCGTCTGTGCTTTACGAGTCGTACACATTTAAATAAAACATTTTTAACGGCTTAAAACGCATAATTTGGGGTCTACAGTGCATGCGAGACGTCATAGTTAAAATAAATTCATTTTTACATTTCGCGGTTTTAAACCAAACACTTTTAAGTGTTGCATTTAAGTACGCAATTACGTGGTTTTATAGACGTCATATTTGCGTACTATTTTTATTGTATGTTATATATAATTTATAGTACGTGAAAAAAATTCGCATTAATGCTTAATCATTTTTTATAACTTTTCCCACTCATGCGGATGTCACTACGAGTCATTAAAATGTTATTTACGAAATCAATATATTTCAATGAACATAGAATTAAGTAACAGTTAAGTGTAGCGAAGATAATTTTGCCCTAAATGGCTTTCGCTCTCGACAAAAGAGCAACATCTTAAGTAACAGACAACTACTTGGGGATGTTCCAACCGCATATTTTCATAGTAATTTTGCAAATTTATTGCGAACAAAAATATAGAAGCGAATTCACAGCTCAAGTAATATACATGATGCTGTCTTCAATCACATTTGTGTTCCTTTAACAGATTCATTAACATATTTCGCTAACAAAAAATAATATATAGTCGCATGTTATGTTTAACTAGCTGCGTCAGTGACTTCGCCCGCGTAGAATAGTAATTCTAGACATCCAAATATGTTTTTGCAAACTTTTTCATCTTTATAAATTTACGGTCGACACACCTCGGATGCGTCCCGTCGTTTTTGCAAGTTAATCTTAGAATATATACATATACTGTCATGGGCATTTTTAGATCATTTAAAAAAGGAATCATTCTTTTATACATATTTTTTAGGTATCTTGAACCGTTTTCGCAGCGCACGCGACGGCAACCCAAAAAATGTTCCACGTTTCTTTCACATTTCCCACTTTTCGCTCCTATTGGTTACAGTGTGATGTTTGATAGTTCAAATCGAACCAGTAGTTTCTGAGATAAGCGTGTTTAAACAAACTCTTCAGCTTTATATATTAGTATAGATTATTTAATATAAAAAAAGATTTCGCTAATCAAAAGCAAAAATCAAATGCTGTCTATAGTTTACGCGAGTAGTACACATTGAAATAAAACACTTTAACTGTTTAAAACGCGATATATTAGTTAAACTTATTTGAAAATGATCTTCAACTTCGGCCCGACGTTTCGGATGCTTTGCAGCAGCCGCCTCCCCGTGACCACGGCGTTTTAAACCGTTAAAGTGTTTTATTTAAAAGCATTAATTTTCAATGTTCTATCTGTGCACATTTATAACTTTTACGATTCGCCTTCTACTTAAGATATACTCAATATAAGTACTGAAAAACTCATATTCCAAAGCCATAAATAAGACGCGACGCGATAATGAAATAAAATATTAAGAAACTAAATTACTGTTCTATCATTACCGTTCCTTGCAGCAGACGCTTCAAGTTTCCAATTATATCTCTTTCAGTTTAGCCAACTCATATAAAAGTTCTAACTACCCGTGTCTTTAACTAGATCCCCAAGACGCCTCGTGTAAGACTATAATATAGCCGTTTGAAACTTATCTATACCCACTTGTACGTAGTGACGTTCAATTTTAACTTATTACGTCTGATAAGTGTCCTTATTTAATTAAAGAGCGTAGTCGAAATTATATCCTTTTTAATTTAAAGAAGTACAGCTTTTATTGACGCATATTGTCTGTTTAAATGGCCTTCGAAAATAAGACATTAACGACTGTTCCACTCTGATTTTAATTTATCTAAGCAATAAACGTCAAATAAAAAAAAAGTCAGTTAAAACGTTATATGATACTTTATTCAATACTAGTTGTGCCCACGACGTAGTCCACGCAGAATAGTTATTTTGGCATCATATTTACTTTTGCAAACGACCTCCTCAGCGTAATAATTTTTAGCTGTTATTCACGACGTCGTTCTTGCGAGTTAATCTTAAAATAAGGAATCATTCTTTCATACACATTTTTGGTGTCTTGAGCCACGTTTGCACCACACGTAACGGAAACACGTAAAGATGGATAATCCCTCTTTTTGCACAATTTCCAGTGTTTTTTCGCTCCTATTCGTCGCAGTTATTAGCGAATTAATTATAGCTGAAAGCCTCAATTCGAACCTCCTTCGAGTTTCTCATTCGAGTCCTTCCTGAGATTAGCGCGTTCAAGCAAACAAACTCTTCAGCTTTATAATATTAGATAGAATTATGAACAACATTGTATTAAATAAATGAAACGTCAGCCAGTGGTGAATATTAAACGCAATAAAATATGCATAAATAAAACGACCAACTGTTTAAAACACTGAGTGTGTCCTGTGTGCGGTTTCATTGTTTTTAATACGTAAATTCAGTATTTGTCTTGTATTCAGTGGGAACCGCGGCTCCATTTCATTGTTATAATATCGGATATTTTGCGTTATTGCACGATCCCGAACCGCAGTCACGATACGCTTATGAATATCAAAAAGTGCTAACTCCGATCGCCAATGCAATCGCGTTACTGAAATATCGTTTCAATTTCGCAACAATTCCGTGATGGAAAATGTCCGTAGCGAGCGAGCGAGCGGTAATAAGCTATTAACGTCATAACAAAGTTACTCTTGGCTTAATTCTACCTTCCAGCGTTGGACCGAATTCACTAATGCCTCATACGTCTCCCTTACAATATTTCGCCGTTTGATTTTGATTATGACAATTCAGTTGTAAAATTTGAAATTTATAATTGAAATCTTTAATATTTTTCACATGTTATTCTATATGGTGGCATTATATTAGCTTTTATGTAAGATTGTTAAGGTTAAAAATTTATTAGACACAAACAATACTTAACTTTAGCCTATTACATCTGCATAATAGAAAGAGTGATATTTATTTTGTCATTATATAATACAACATCTTTGAGCATCATTCAAGGTGAGTTGAAATAATAGTACTAATGGTTATTAATAATGTGTTATGTGTACTAATGCCACACTTCGTTGTTTAGAAAAATTGAATTGTAATTTAGCTAAATCCGAATTCACCTAATAAGAAATACCATCTGCGCTTAGCCATTCAACGTTTTTCAAAAGACTTTCAGAATATTAGGTGAGCTTTATCGTTTTTCATCCACTAAGTACGCCATCTATACTTAGAATATACACATCGGTACCTAAGTGACTTTCTATACATTCCCCAACAATGAGTGACGTCACATGGAAAATTGGTATAATTTTAAAGTGAGATATCGTCTGCTGAGCGCGCCGTATCTTCATTGAAAGAGTTGCATTAAATCCCTTTCTCCAGCAGAGAATCGAGAGACTACTATTGAGTCCCCTGTGAACATCAATGCCTATTGCACGTCGCTTATCTATGTACGAGTCTGGTGCAGCTCGCGTCGTGGGAGACAGGGTTTCAATGAGATACCCCTGCATATTGGATACCTACTTATAATTCAAATGGTTCTCGGCTCCCCATGCCACTTTAAGTTATATTGAAGCGAATTATCGAAGTGAAGTTCGTTAAACATTTACGGATAAGTTCATACATGCTCTACGTTCTGGCTTGGACTTTGGGGAACTAGATTTAGGTCTTTTGTGATCGAATTTTTCTATTCCAGCGTATAATAAACTATGGTTGAAAGGAAAGGTAGCTCAATTGGATAGTATTTTAATTAACAACGAACGTTGTTCTAATAAGTTAGATTTGCAGTAGAGTATAATTTGATAGATAAAACAACTTGCTTCGAAAGCGGGAAAGACAGAACAGGATTAATTGCCATATAGAGTAATATAAAATAAAGATTACAACATAAAATCTAATTTTGAACACAGATTATATAATTACATAAATTACATATTTTTTCACCAGTTGACGATGGTTCGTGACTGTCGGAATTTTGATAAATCTACCACTCATTTAATATTAAGATGTTAATTATAGCTGTGGTATTACCATCCCATACTTGTCTATCCTCCACTGTCATAAAAATAAATAATTTTAAGTAGTCTATCAACATATTAGGCAAAAATATAAATTTAAATAAAACACTTTTACAGCAGTCTCCCCATGACCACGGCTGCTGCAAAGCATCCGAAACGTCGGGCCGAAGTTAAAAATCATTTTCGAATAAGTTGAATTAATATATCGCGTTTTAAACCGTTAAAGGGTTTTATTTAAATGTGCACTACTCGCGTAACCGCGATAGTATTTAAATATAAATTTTCAAATTTGTACAAAAGCTACACGTCCCTGCATCGACGTGTAGAGGGTCCTAACAAGCCATAGGGGCCGAACGGCGACACTTATTATTTTTATGCTAATGTCAATCCCTTAAAGGTAACTGTAAAAATGTCTCATTAAGTCGACGGCGTTCACTTTAAACCATCTGCAGTTACGGAGATAAAATTATATTTTATTCGTGTTATCACTCCAAGTTTCAACATCTTGGGCGCAACATAAAACGCAACTGAAGGGAGCGTACGGACGAGTAATTTTAACGGCGCACTGACAGATTATTTCAGAAAATTAAATTTTAGCTCGTTGGACACAGACCATAAAGTTCATGCTTACAAATCTCTTTGTTATGACATCGTAACGAGATTATGTCCGTTTCGTCGTGAAGACGTCGGCGCTGTGTCGTCAGTCGCGTGTTTTATTATTCCTCGCAATAAACGTGGGGCGCGGCCGGTTCTCTCGGATTCTACGGATACGTCTCCACGTATCATCGAATACGCGTCACTTTATCGCCGCTAAATCAAACAATGAGCGTACATTTGATAGAACGTTAAACCTATTCCTTCGATATTGTATTCTGAAATTAACTTAACATACATAAATTTATAGTTAACGGGTGTAGACAACGTTAAAACCTATATTGGTTACTGATTTCTACCCTTTAATAACTGCTGATTGAACAAGGCCCAAAACTAAAAATTCTATAAAAAATAAATATTCAATTCATACTTGTAAACTAGGGATCAAACTCCCGACATCACGGTTTAGTTGTGTACATACCAATAGTCCAACAGGGCTTAAGCTTTATAAGTAGACAAACACATACGTTTGAAAACATTAATATTTTTTACATGTTATTGCACATGAAGGCACTGTATAATTTAAAAATCGAAAAATATTGAAAAAATTTTCGACTCGGGCAGAACTTGAACCGGCATCGTCAGCGTTCCGTGCTATTGCTCTACCAATTGAGCTACCGAGTCCTACACCTCATCGTCGAATTTTTTCAACTTATTGATACATGCACCTCTCGCGCAATGTAATTTCAACCTTAACACTTGCAACAGCACGGAACGCTGACGATGCCGGGTCAAATCCTGCCCGAGTCGAAAATTGTTTTCAATTTATTTTCGATTTGTAAAACAAATACCTACTATCACATATATATAAAGCTTCTGTACATTTCTTAATTGGTAAGACATAACTAGAAGTTAACAATTACCACTATATTTAGATTTCCTCGGTGAGAAGTCAATCAAGAACTGCGTTAATTAGTAATTTCTCGCTAACAGCCGGTTGCCGTGGCGACGGGGTGGTCCAGAAGTCACGTGTTCACGTGGCTTGCGCCAGTGGAACACGTGTTTTAAAGGCTTCTGTTTGCAAAGCTACAAATCGCCATAACGGAGCAGGAAGTCCTTTTAACCGACTCGCCAACTTTCTGGGTCACGTTGTCGTGAAAGGATTGAAACTTTTGTTTTCCGAACATTCTTATTCCGTATTCAAACTTCGAGGTGAAGCCAAATAATGGCGCGGAAATATATTTTCATTTTTCCATTTGTTCGCGGAGCTTTAATTACTTTTTTAATCAGTATAGTAGACACTAATATATATATAAACACCACATAAGACATAGATTAAGATAATCTAATTTGGCGTACACCGACCACGTTTCAGGATTTATGTGCCAAATTAAAATGACCCATAACTTCTGCATTCCACCGCATCCATTGTTTCCGTGGCATTAAAACACTGAGTTGAAAATGTGGTTGCAAATTTCATCAAAGGGGCGCAATTAACAACTTGTCAGTTATAGTGCAAAACAACGAGCCATGTTGTAATGGCAATAATTTTAGAGCGGTTTCCATCAACCGGACCGTTCTACCGAAATATTTCATTAAATTACTCGATTACATATTTTGCACATAACCGTTGCAATGCGACACATATGATATCCGTTCCATGGACATGTCCCGTATTTCCCCGGTGGCCCCTAATAACGTTATAGAAATTATAATTAGTCTTTGCGTAATATGGGCTGGTACGTTTGACAATTCACAATATTAATACCTATTACCTCGTATGTGAGTCGACTCGATCTTCGATTTTGTATAGAAGTGACATCGATCATTTATATATTAACCTTTACTAATAACTATATTTTAATCTTTTTGGTTGTTTGTAGTACACTTTTACCAGTAATATCATGCGTCAAAGTTAAACATATCGACCTGTATTAGACAAAGTATAGCAGTACGGCCATTCGTGTTAGTTAGTTTTAATTACCCGCAAAAACGATATTTTATACAACAGAACATGTCGCGTGAAAATTAGCTTTTATTTATCCGGCGAAATTTAGAAGTTAATTATATTAGGCTACCTAGGGGTCGTTAGTACTTCATTATTATGGCATAATTGCATGAAAGTTTTCATAACACTTCGTGCTACCCTTTACCTGCTATACTACTTACTTATTGATTACATATGTGTTAATTCTTTTACGAATTACAGGAAAAGAAAATGTCGCATTTTTGAGAACATATTATTTTCCCTTTTTAATAACGAAGTTAAAAGAAGTTGAAACTACATACTTCAAAGTGGCGTTATCAATTAAGCACCTTCCCTATTTCTGTCATTTATATTCACCGTATCAGATATATACATTAATTTTTTTCAACTTATCTATTGTTACTTCTTTTACCATATTACATTATTTGATTTCTTAACTAAATCTGTTGTCTACATGCAAGAAAATGTATATGTTATAACTTTTACTTATACCATTGAGTATATAAATGAAACTGTCTGTTTAATTCTTCTCTTAAGAGTTTTCGGGGTTTATACCCTTAAGTAGAGTATGATAATTCGTAAATTTGCCTTATAACAGTATTATTCCACTGATTAAAATTGAACGGGACTAATGAAGTCGCTTTCTGGACATGACAACGCATAAATTCAATGTAATAAGCGCGGCCTGCGTTAAACACGTCCGCTTCTGAGTCAGTAAAATGGTGTGCAATGAGATTATTCTATTATCTACATTTCTATCTAAATGTTCTCTGTGAACTATGCATTATCTTTTCTCTATGGTTTTGATTAAGTGTCTGTAAAATGTCGCAAAAAGGCGCCATAGAAATTCAACATGGCGTCTCTTGTGCAGCTTTTAAACATATGTAGCTTTAACCACATAGACATCGTTAACATTTTGATAAACATTGTCAGTTATATTTTTAGATATAATAACAGGAAGCCTAGAGTTTCTGTGAGACAGGATACAGAAATCAGATACTGTTTAATTAAAAATATTATTGATAAAGAAACAATACTATATTATATCACCATTTATTTAAGTTGTGTAATTATTGTTGTAAAACCATTTTCTTTAGTATTGTACGTTACACCGAATAGCTCTGAGAATGATTATATGTTTTATTCGTATATTGGATAGTTTTGTACTAAGTATAAAAAGATTTCTGGTTTTCCGATTATAATCATGCTCAAATAGTGTTGTAACGTATTTCACTCGTTTCAAAAATATAATTCCATTTATGTTATGAGTATATTTTCATTGTAACTTTCTATCGCATTAGGATTATCCTGTAAAGGTAGAATAAGTTGCTTTTAATAAATAAATATTATTCATTTACCAAAGCTCGCATGCACAACAACACATGAATAATTGTTTATATTATACTAAATCGAATTTATTTTGTTCACAGCCTGTCTCAAGCACGGCGACCATCCCAACTGGACCCACATGTGACGAGGAGCGTTCTGGCCCGCGCCCTAGACGTTTGGGAGCAGGCATCGAGACTCACCTTCACAGAGGTCAATTCGGATGACGCAGATATCGTCGTGTCGTTCGCAAAGTAAGTTAATCTATATAGTTCTAGAGTAGACTATGATAGAGACATCGAGAGCTTCTTTCAGAAGCCCCATTGTTAAAGATGTTTTAGGGCAGTAAAAGTGTTTTAAATTAGTATATATAAGATTTATAAGGCTGCTAGAGGCAGAATGGCCTAATAACAAAAAACATGATTTTCAATAAAGAGAAAAATAAAAATGCGCATTGAACATGAAGTTGTCCTAATTTTAGTGTAAGAATTATGTTAATTTTCGGTCACTGTGCTCTTATAGATTAACATTTTTAGACTAAAAATATAAAGTCAAGTCCCAAGATTGTAGTTAGGCTACTCTGCCTCTAGCGGCCTCATATAAGAATTGAAAATACCTTACAAGGTACTTCATTAAACAACCACAAATGCAAAATAACCTAATGTAAGTGTTATTTTGTACATCTAATTGTCACAACTTCTTCAAGGATAACACCTATGTCGAGTTTTGTATGAGGTCTTTTACGAGTGTCTAGATTGGATTTGAACCCCAGACCACCCGTGTTAGTGCAATGTTTGTTATTGGGCCCTCACTGTCAGCGTAACTCTTAAGCAAAATGAGGCATCTTAAACTTAACTCGTCTCTTGATTCATTGCGCCGATAATAAATAATAATCAAGGCAGGATTTGAGACACGTCCTATCCATTTTAAGGGGATTTGCGAGATCTCGTGCGAGGCATCACAATAAGTTACGGACAATATAACGCCGCGACGGGCTCTACGCGTTTTATTGAGAATTCGAAGGATGGTCGAGTTATTTTATCCCGTTTACATAATAATACAGATCGGATGTAATCAGCGACGAAGCAATCACAGCATACTAATCTTACAAATAGATATTACTATTTCGAAAGTATGTATGTAATATTATGCGAATAACTGGTATATATTTATAACGAGTATTCGGTATTCGATCGGAAATACCGAATACTTAAAGTATTCATTTCGCTATAGGAACTTAGGTATTAATTTAATGTATTGATTAATTAAATATATGTAAAGAGATTTAACATTCCCGTTTAAATAGATTTTAACTAATCCTAATATAAGCTCTGATGTTTTTTAATTTTCATATTTCATGATGTAAAAGCGAAAACTTTTGACTTTCTGATATCTATTTATCGACCATCCTATTATATTAGATATAAGTTTCCCATACGTGAATAAATAGAAAACAATAACTTGTAAAAATATTAAACTTTTCAAACTTGTAATACCACATAGGAAATTCTATATTAGAATGGAAAAATCAATTGTTGCTCGTAATAGGGCGTGCACAAAAGCCTTAAATGAATGCCTTAAAACGGCAATATACATAACAATAGGCTGTCCTTGAAAATAAGTAGATTTCCAGCAAGTTCCCATACATTCCGTTGACCTTAAAATTTCCTTTGAACACTGTTAAAACACAGTGCTTGACGCTTGCCCGCCAAACCTTTTCTACTCCGAGCTTTGTGCCTTCACGATTTACTTTCACAGTACAAACGTGACTTGCCAAACTCACTTGGCTATTGATCTAATCGTCCTACAAACGGCAAATTGTGTTGTGAATTCGTTCTCAAAGGGGAATGTTTTGCCCCCGACGATTACTGGAAAATGTTGGTTAGGGAGACATTTTTTTAAATTTTGTTGGTCAATAAAGATTCTAAATACGACGCAATAATAACTCTATATGAAGTCCAATGGTAGCAATAACGGCTAATAATCAACATCGTGTGTTCGATACCCACCGGGTCCAGTATTTTTCTAATCTATTTATAATTATTCTGAAAGATCTGAAGACTTCGTCTGGAAATAAGAATTTCAAAATTCCATGCCAGTCACGAACTATTTCTATCCTTCTCTTTATTCTAATAAGGAATCCGGTAAAGTCGTAACCAAAATTAATATTTGAAATACATTTTATCTTTAAATAAAACACTTTAACGGTTTAAAACGCGATATAAACCGTTAAAGTGTTTTATTTAAATGTGTACTACTCGCGTAAACTATAGACAGTATACATTTTATCGATTAGAACTCATAGAAATTGTATTTTCCTATTTGGCAAACTCAAGAATCTTGATAGAGTAAGAAATTCAATCATGAGCTTTTATAAAATACAATTTAAAAAGACAACAGCTCGTAGCATCGTTAGCCAACGTCGGGAGCTGCATGTGAAATGAGAGATCCCCAACTTTCCCTTATTAGATCACCGTCCAATAGCGATATGAGAAAGTACCGTCAACAAAAAACACGAGAGGGCATATTGCGACCACCATATTGCGTTCCGATGGAGAAAACAATTACACGAGCTACCAATATAAGTTTTATTTGATAGTTTAGTGAGAATATTTTTAAAATTTTTACTGAAAAGCAAAGTTTTTAGGTAAGGTTTAGTTCATAAGGATTTTAGAAAGAGTAGTACCCATTTAAATAAAACACCTTTATAGTTAATCTTATTTGAAAGTTTCCGATGCTTTGCAGCAGCCGTGGTCACAGGGGGACTAAATATGGAGGGTGTCTCTGTTGTCTACAAACTGCTACGCTAGCGCCATCTGTTCCGTCGTAGTTTATATTTGACCACGGCTACTGAAAGCATCCGTCGGAACGTAGTTGAAATAATTTTTAAATAAGTTTTACTAATATATCGCGTTTTAAACCGTTAAAATGTTTTTTGAAAAGAATTTGATAAATTTTTATGTAATTCTAATTAACAATTCAATCTTCTATCTCTCTCTCTCTCTTTTTTTCAGTCTTAACGCCGACATTATCAGAAGAACATTTCAGTAGAGATGATCATTTCACGATTCAATATCATTTACGAAGTAAATCTGTTCCAACATTAGTTATGATACCTTCTTGAGCTTCGCCCGAATGAACGCGCGCTGCTCAGAAAGCACGGGACTGTATCTTGGAGATTTATTACACTCATAAATGTAATATTACTCTGTTAGTGCGATAACTTCTCTATCTTGTAAATAAGTGTATAATTGGATTAATTAATTATTCTCGGATTCAACTCACAAATATGCAATAATAAGCATGTTGTTATAATAAAAATCAATATACATAGTAAACAAGTAAAATTAAAAATAGGAACCGCTTTACAAAATATATGGTTCAACGTTGGAAAATTGCTACTAAAACTATAAGATTTTAATCAATATCATAGACGGTCATTGGAAACTCAATCAAATACCTTTTTTTTGATGAAACAAGACACTATTCTATGTAAACATACATTTGTGATAATTCTATTATAAAAACTGGCCAAGAACGTGTTGAACTCGCGCACGAAGGATTTCCGACTATTGTGTATATTCGCAAATTTCATGGTTTAACAATGGTTTTTCTCGTGATTATAAAATCATGATAAAAATACAAAGAAGTTGCGACTATTCATGACTAAGTAGGCGTTATTGATATCAAGCAAAAAATCATGATTGTTGGCCCGTTACTATTATTTCTTGCTTTAATTTCTGAAAATAAAATTTGACTTTAGTTACAACTATCGCAGTTTTCACTTATGCGTAGAACTGAGACTTATAACGTTGAACGACTTTAAAATGAATCTTAACTTCTGATACACAAAGCCACGGGCAGAGCCAAGTGCTCGAATAAATAGTAATCATCGAAACAGGTATTTTATGAGCATCTCTCATTGCCAATTGGACTGGGGAGTTATAAATCATCCCCCAACTCGGAAACTTTCCATTTTGAAGCTATTAAATTTGATGGGCCATGTCAACGCGGGACTTCCTCATTTCGCCGACCCACCAGACGATTTTATCGTACACATTTGGACATCGGACAGGTTTATTTACCGAACGGACAATTACGGATAGCAGTAACTATGTATGTAGATAATATCTTTTTTTCATCGTAAAGGAAATTTAATAAATATAAATACCGAATTATTCCTCTTTAAATAATCTTATAGAATATCCGCGACAGTAATAAGTCTATCTTCTAGTCGCTGACACAGCTACTATGGAATAAATAACCAAAATCTCGAATCGATATATAGAATACTAGCTGTGCCCGCGACTTCGTTCGCGTGGAATAGTGACTTGGGGTAGAATTTTTAATTATTTAGGCTGTTTATTAATTTATGTAATTGCACATTTATCGCAGCCAATCTATGTTGTAAGTGCTACTTTGCCGCAACAGGCTCACCTTACACCACTCCAACTCCCACTTCTATTCCCAAAAAGCCAAAGAAAAAAGCTTCAAAAACCACGAATTTCCATACAACATCCCCCCCAACCCCTTAACCCCTTTTTCGCAATAAAAATATTTGCTTTCTCAGAGTCTAGACCATCTGTATACCAAATTTCATTCAAATCCGTTCAGTAGTTTTGGCGTGAACGAGTAACAGACAGAGTTACTTTCGCATTTATAATATTAGTAAGGATGAAGAATATTATTTACTACAACAGATATCTTTTGCTCATATTATTACTATTCTTCGAGAAATATGTAAATTTTAAAGACCTAAAAAGCCTTCCGATGAAGACTATTTTTAACTCAGGTACCTTCAAAATAACAAGCTTAATCGAAGCATACGAAACGCAGTTTATAATATTATTTACTTTTGTGTCGCCCAAGAACTCCACACCGACCTCATACAATGGAAGTTACATAACTCAGTAAACAGTGCGCTAATTATTCATAGCATGAGCAGTCTTTGGTATCGCAAAAATGATTAGGTGGTTAGTGAGAGTGAAGGCTCAAGGGACACAAGTTTGATTGCCCTGTACCTACGTTCGTCCACACTTGTTTGTCGCAGAATGAATACATTACTCTAGGCCAACTATTCTCATTATAAGTCTGTGTTAGAACCGGTTCTTAATTAACATTGTGAGCACTCGCTTATAATCCTTTCAGAGAATTTCGAAACGTCAAACTAAAAAAACTCTAATAATTAAATATTGAATCAAACTAAACATCATACTGTATCGTGTAAAAACTAAATTAACTCACTAATTCTATATTCAAATTTCGTAGTTAAAAACGACACTGAGATAAAATTTAAAATTGGAATTAATCGTAACCATTTTACATTTTAGCTTACAACTATTAATCAAGCAACATTGTTTACAGACGTTACCATGACGACGCGTATCCATTTGACGGACGCGGTTCGATTCTTGCGCACGCGTTTTTTCCTGGCACCGGCAGAGGGGGAGATGCCCACTTTGACGATGATGAACTCTGGCTACTACAACCTAAGAACGACGATGAAGAAGGTAATTTACCTAGTATTCTGTTTTAATGCTTACTTTACTTACTTAAACTTATTGTATCAAAATAATCACAAAAAGTTTAATTGATATTTTCGTATAATTTTTATTACAAAGGAAGGTAGACAAGTACATCTACTAAATACCAAATAACCGTCCACCCACGTGTACATTCGGATATTCACGGACTGTAACGGAAACGTGGTAGTTCCGTATCCCTACCACCATTTAATATTTAGATTCCTTAATAAGATCTAACATATACATTGTAATTGTATTCCGATACATCTTGAACCCGGTGGAAACCGTACCCACGTTTCTAGCTCCAATGAGTAAACAACTAACGAGATATTAAACAAATAAGCTATTTAGTACTTACTGAAATTTTGGACACGATCTATTCCTAGTTAGATTTAATCCTATACATGTGCGGAGCTTAAATCGATGCACACGTGTTCTATAAGCTCTGCAAACAGCTAATACACACTAATTGAATCCCTACCATAATCGCGTTTGTTAGTGAAACAATATTGATCTTTACTGTTATCAATACGTGTTTACGTTAAAGGCGTTTAAATTGCCCCGGGGCTTTTAACTTTCGGTTTCGTGAACCTTTTCATATCTGATAGGGCGACTTCAATTTGTATTTAACCGCACTCTCTGCTGTTACAAATATCTTTAGCTCTATGTGTACCAACGACCAAAGTAGGATTGTATTATAAAAAAAACTATTACAGAAGTCTAAAAGAAAGTCTTAAGAAACAGCAGATTCAGTAATAAGTATTGTCTGTAGTTGACGCGTAGTACACATTTAAATGAAATCATTTTAAAGTTTTGAAACGTGAAATATAACAGTTACCTTAATTTTAATTTAATTTAATGTAACATAACGTAAAGGACGTAATAACGAAACAATCCATGCGTAGCAGCATTAAAGTTGATATTATTTTGAAGTAGTCGGGCCTTAGTTAAATTAAGAATAAGTTATCTAATAAATTTCACCTTTTAAACCGTTCAAAATGTTTTATTTACGAATTTCAATTACACTTTGAATATCATCGAAAATATCAGTTACTGTGAAATTATATATTAATTCATTTAAAAATAATTTAAGGTCAACGCACAACGTAATGGTAACATGTAGTTACGAGTATAAGTTATCTAAATGTAAGTTTCGTTTTAAGTAGTTAAAAGTGTTTTATTTAATGTGTACTCCTCGCGTACACTACAGACAATGACGTGATAATTAAACCGTACGTTACTTTAACGTGAACAATCATTTAAAATATTTAACAATACAAAAGCACATTACTTAGATAATTTTATCTGGCATATTAAATAAGTTAACATTATTTTAATTTAAAATACGTTTATTTTTCTGCTTAATTTAAATTTCATTGAATACAGTTTAAAGTATAAAATCCACTTCTTTGAAGTATTGCGCTTCATCTACATATAAGTAGCGTTATGGAGGTAGTTAGTTAATTAACTGTCGAAAGTAGTTTTTCAGTGAAAAGTCGATGTTCGGAAATGAGCATGTCGCGGTCAGCTTCGTTTTGACATGCAAATGGGTAGGCGTGGCTTTATACAAGCAACGTTTATACGATCTCGTATTATTGCAGACTTAAGTCTAAATCAACTAATTTCCACGTGTATATTGGAGTCATTGTCTATACCATAGAGTATTTTCATATTGAACGCCATATTTGCAACGCAAACGTATTTTGTCAGAGTTGTCAGCTATAAAAATCTCTTAACTTTTTTAAATCGCACAATAACATAATAGGTATGGTATGGTAACTTAATGATATTAGATGTATTAAACTCTCTTGACATAATATACACATAATGTTTGCATACATAAGTTTCGTTATACACATTCATTATAATGTTTTCTTACATTGAGAATATGTATATAAAAACCCTCTTATAATTTGTATTGTCTTAGATAACACTAAAATCAATATTTTTTACTTTATAAAAAATGTAATATCAAGAGGTTAGTCGGTCTATATATGGTTTGAGCTCTTCTCATTTTATCGCTGTTCCCATCTTCTTAGCAAAAAAAAACAAAGGCATTTTTTGATAACTATTTGATGTCTAAAATTTAATCGAACCGGCATCGTCCGCGTTCCGTGCTGTTGCTCTACCAATTGAGCTACAGAGTCATAGTTTTTTTTAATTTATTTTCGATTTTTAATTTATATACTTAGTGCCATCATGTGCATACATAACATGTGAAAAATATTAGTTTTTCATAGACAATACATGCGATATAGGTGCCAAAAATCACCACACACTTCATATTTATTATTTTTTTAATATTGTCTATTATGCCCTAAATATTGCATACGTCGTTTTAGGAACATCATTATTCGCTGTGGCCGCACACGAATTCGGCCATTCCTTGGGCCTCAGCCACAGCTCTGTCAAGGGCGCTCTGATGTTCCCCTGGTACCAGGGCATCCAACCCAACTTCGTTTTGCCAGAAGACGATCGCAACGGTATACAACAAATGTATGGTGAGTATATTATATGTTTATTTACTTTATTAATTATTACTTCTCATGACTACAAGAACTTCTTTAGCATTATATCTAAGAAAATATTGTTTATAGACTTCTTTATGATAGAGAAAGACAGACTCGTGGAGTAGCTAGATGATAGGTAGATTCCCCAGGTAACATCTAAATAATCTTGTTTATAGGTTTATTAGGCAGATTAAAACGCGACTAAACTTGATGGCTTTTCATCCGTGGCCAGTGGTTTGTGACTGGGACAGAATTTCGATACAAATACATAAGAATATTCTATATAATAACTCTTCATATTTGTATAAAGAAAAGTCATTATAAAATTGACTTCTTTATTCTAGGTCCAAAAGTGAAACGTACTTGGGCGAAGATACCTTACTACAGGCCAGCGGAAACACCACCGCCAACCACAACAACGACTACCACCACGACCACGACAACAACACGACGTCCGTACATCTACCACCACCACCCAGAGAGACATCCAAACCACCGCACCTACACCCCACAATACCCTCGTCAGCCCAGCCGATATCCTTACTACCCGGATAGGCCTAACCATCCAGACAGATCGAATCCAGCATACCCAGAGAGGCCATATTATCCTGAACGTAGGCATTACAACAGCAGTGAGGACCATCCTCGACGCCCCAACCATCATTACCCACGCACTGATACCACCACACAGGCTTCAACCTACCGCCCAAGATACCCTCACGTCAGGCCAGATTACCCTTCACACCCTCGCCAGAACTATCCAACGGATCCAAGTCAGAATTACCCAAAGAAGAAGCCGTACTACCCAGTGAAGACTACCACGGTTAAACCCATCCCATCAGACAAACCTGACACTTGCGATACGAGTTATGATGCAGTCAGCTTGATTCGAGGAGAGCTCTTCATATTCAAGAACAGAGTAAGTATTGGATTTTATGTCAGACGAGCACAGTTCACTTGATTATAGGTGAAATATCTCACCCATATAACAGAACTGTGCTCTCGACTTTGGATAGTCGTAAATCCACAGACGGATACCATTAAAACTTCACGGCTTATTCATCTGTGGACGGTGGTTCGGAACTCAAACGGAATTTCGATATAACTACCACCCTCTTAGTATCCAGGTTTCCAGACGTAGTCTAAAGTGTTTCAGAAAAATTATAAATTTATTTGAAACATTTTGAACCCACAACGCGTTGATTATTTGGTTAATAATTCCTACCATTTCACCAAGGAACCCGTGGATTATATTATATATATAGTAATTACTGTTATATAATCTCAATATGGCGAAATTTACTAATTTTAGTTTAGTATTGTACAATGATCTATATTCTTCTATTGTATAATGTCTGTAGTTTACGCGAGTAGTACAGATTCAAAATAAATGGTATAAAACACGACATATATTTATGGCATTAATTATTATTCCTGCTGCAAAGCATCCGAAACGTCGGGTCGTAGTTAACATAATTTTGTAATTGGTTTAACTGATATATAACGCGTTTTAAACGTTGCATTCTAGGTTTTTTTATAATAACTCGGTGCATTATAACAGGTTTAGTGGCACATGGTTATAGATTATTGAAAATTCACTTCCATTTCAGTATCATTGGAGAATAGGAGCGAACGGACGATATTCCGGTTATCCCATGGAGATATCGAGGATGTGGTCTCTTCTGCCGAGTAACCTTACCCACGTGGACGCTGTATATGAGAGACCGGATAGGAAAATTGCTATTTTTGTTGGTAAGTAGTTGATAGTCATTGCTGGATATATTTTTATGATAAAGGGCAGGCAAGTATGAAATCAAAAAAACCACAGCCTTAGAACATCTAAACAAGATGCGCCCGTGGATATTCAGAAATTGGTTTGTGACTCAGACGGAATTGAGATAATTCCACCAACTATTTAACATCCAAAATTTTCCAGTTGATGTCTAATAAGTTTGAGAAGAATCATATATTTGCTTTTAGACTTATCGACTTGGTGGGAATTGAATGCACGACCCGTTATGGTATTTTACCAACGAGCTCGTAATAGACTTATGTACATCGTCAGATTGAATTTTGTATAAAATACTTTTTCAAATTAATTCAAAATTCATTTTTTTCTTCAGGAAAAGAATTATACCTTTTCGACTCGCAATACCTGGTCCCAGGATATCCGAAGAGATTGGTTCAGCTTGGCTTACCCGAAAGTTTAGAAAAGTTAGATGCCGCTATGGTTTGGGGACATAATGGCAAAACTTACTTCTACAGTGGGACTATGTATTGGAAGTATGTATATGTGATGATTCTTTAGTATATTATATTTAAATTTCTTTGTTTTAATTTGCCTTCGTTTCTAATAGCAAGTCTGCAAACAAAAAAGCAAAAAAAAATCATTAATTAACCATACTTATTTATTTAAAGAACTTTGAATGTCTTACGAAGTCTGCTAAGTCAGCTAGCAGTGATTATTTAAAAGCACTTAAAATGTACAATTAATTACTAAAACCTTAATTTTCAGATTCGATGAGGAAATCGGACGCGTTGAATTGGATTACCCAAGAGATATGGCCATGTGGAAAGGAGTGGGTTATAATATAGACAGTGTCTTCCAGTGGAAAGATGGTAATTAATACATCAGAGCTCTCTAACATTTATATAACTGACGAAACTACCTATGTATATTATTTTTTGGTACGACTGTAAAGTTACATTAAACTGTTCAAAACGCTAGTCAGTTTTTAGCTACGACCTCACATTTTGGACGATTTACAAAAGCCGTTGGATTGCTAATACTTGTATATAGAAACAGAGAATAGACTATAGAGTTAAGAGTAAAAATTATAGATGATAGAAGTGTACAAAATAATATGTACTTTTTGACAGGTGGTTTGAATTAAGCACTTGTTTTTAGAAAAAACTCTGGATAAGTTTAGTTCGAAGTTTTAATGTGTACCAAAAAGGTGCATTTTGCGTTGTACTTTCTTAACTTTAATTATTAGAAACGCGCTAAGTAGCATTCGAAATATAAAAATTTTTCTATTTTCAGGTAAAACCTACTTCTTCAAGGGCAAAGGCTTCTGGAAATTCAACGATCTTCAGATGCGTGTCGAGCATGAGAAACAATATCTGTCAGCCCAGTTCTGGATGTCGTGTCCGGGTGAACGGGCCGGGAGACGCGCGCCGTTCCGTGCCCTACCAGCCCCCGGTTCCACACTCCGGTCGCCGAGTGCCGCCACAAACAACTCTAGTTCTATTCTCTATACTCTCGTCACTTTACTAGTAATACTTAGGAACATTAAGTATTTATAAAATAGTATTCTAATTTTAAAAATCGATGTTTTATTCGGCTGATTGATATAACAAGTACATATCGATATCGTCTGAGTTTTAGGCCTAGGATTATAAATTGCGCAAACACTACACTGCCTTTAATTAGTATTAATTTACGCCCGTACGTGTTATTCGTATCGCGTAGTATAATTGTAATAGGTAAGGATTATTTTCGTTTATATGTACATTTTGATCTCAATACGATCGAGTGCTTGATTTTTTATTGATTGTAAGGTACATAACACCATTTATTTAGCTGTTGTACAGTTTGTATGTTATATCGATGTTACTGATATCGCATATATGGGGACATTCGAGTGTTACGTAAGGCCCTTTATGGGGATGTTTTACAGCTGACTATGGTGGGGGGGATCTGCAATGTATTTCTTACGTAATAATCGAAAGGCCCCCAAAACTAATTATTAAATACTTTCCATGTAGAACTAGATATAATTCAGTTTTGCAAATATTAGAACCTAATATAATATTTTGTCTACTCATGAAAACACTCAACATCAAAGCAAGTGAAATGTAAATAATATATATTTTGGTATATGACATAATAAACATGAAATAGAAATCCACAAGAATGCCTTAGTAGAAGATAGAAATAATTTTAGAATAAGGATATTATAAGTAGTTATAATGGACATGTTTTAAATAAAACCGTTATTATTAATATAACTGTAAATTACATCACTCATGCTGGTTAGAGGTACACATACTCAGTAATTTGTAAATTTTAATATTAAAACATATAACGTTTTTAATAGATTATAAAAATATATGAACTATAACAATTAGTGCTACTCTATGAGATTTTTATCAACTATGTAACGGCTTTTTGTGTGCAATGTCTAAGTGAATAAATGTAAGTAAAGTATATTTAAGTCGTGGTAACGCCAATGTACTCTCAAAAAAATAATCTAGTGCCACATATAAAGCTTCAAATTTAAAAACCATAGCTAATTTTTAAACAAATAACCTTTCTACAAATATACCTAAAATAGGACGTGAGATATTATATAAAAACCGAGAAATAGTTTAAAATGGAGCTCTATAAAATGAATATGGTGCTTTAAATAGATAGTTTTTGTACAGAATAAATTTGTACTCGTATTTTTATATCTCGTAGATGTCCTTTATTGTAATCGATTAAATATAACGATTATTATTAATTGGTAAATTTGTAGTGTTGCCATATTTCTGTTGTGTGTCCTGGAATAAGCAAACGCATGCAATGTTATAGTCTTGAACACCCCAGCAAATTTCATACATTTTACCTCTAAATTCGTTCATGCAATATTTTTTATCTATGTAATTTTAGTTAATAATTTAGTACGCTCATTTATACAATATCATCAGTCACAAATATAATAATTTATAATAAAAACTGTGATATTTACTTTTATTAAATGCCAATAATAACTGGCAATAAAATCATTCAAAATTCGTGTCGTTCTAATAAGTAATTGATTTTTATTACTGAAAAATGTAACTGCTATTTTGTAAGTATTAAGTAAATACAATTATAAGAGAAATATAAAATATAAGAAAAAAAATTTCATTTTCTATTAAATACCTACCCTTAATACAAGATATAGCTGACAATACAAAATAGAGGTAAATTCTATTAAATATTTATTATACTTGTTTAAACACTTCATACCACCATGATCTATCAATGGATAAGCTATTTGATTTCTTGACTGATTGATATCCTTTGAAATAAAAGGATTTTATCTGTCAAAGGGGCTTTATGAGCTCTAAGCCTACAAACTAAAGAACACTTACTTTGGCAGTCAAGATTGCTTAGGAAATTAAATTCATACTTGTTTACGACAACATATTACAATTTATACACAACTGAATGCCTTAGTTTCGTTTTTTTTTTTAATCATTAAGTGCTTTATAATTTACTTTATATCAAAGCTATATTATTAGGAATCAAAATAATCTTCATAGTTTGTTTAGCAATGTAAGATTTACATATTATATTTGTATTTAGTATTTTTTTATTTAAATATACAAAGTTTTTTATTGAATTCAAAATCCCTGTCAATTGGTTTTTTCATCCACATAGCATGTGGTAGACTTAGATTCTATATATATGTCGATAATATTCTACATTGTTTTGAATAGGACCAAGGATATGATTAAAAAGTAATTGAGATCTAAAGTTTAAAAAAACATGATTAAGAAAGGCCTCAATAACAAATACAAATCTAGGTTTTTTTGTGAATTTGCATAGAATAGTAGAGTATCTGCTGAAAGTTTTAGTAGAATATCTGCTATTTTTCATTATTCCTATTTAAATGCTATTGGTTTATAGAAAGAGGTAGCCTATTATTTCACCTTAAAATTAAAAAAAAAGTTATGTAATAAATATTTAATATTTACAGTTTCTCAACTTACACACACAAATAACAATGTAGAAACACTAACAATTCAAGAGTATCTAATATAGTTCTGTTTATGTGGCTTCATCAGTCTGATCTTCTTTTTCTGGGAAACCTAGCTTTGGCCATTTCTCCTTTGCCATTAGATTATGTTCCATTCGACAAGCCAGATACTCCTTAGCTTCCATCCGGCACATTGAATTGTTACTGTTATTTTCAAATAAACAACTTAGGTACCTTTTCATGCTATTCTTACAAACTCCTTCATGATCTAATGGAAAGCTGCCCTTATCTGGAGGTGTCGGTATAAACTGCTTTTGGCCAAAAGTCATAGCTGTCGACATTTTTGGGCACTCAAATTGGTTAGGCTTGTAAGAAGAACGCCTTATCAAAGTTTATTTAAATAGATAAATCAATGATTATGATTAATATTAAAATATTTTTATTGTTAAGTATATCACCAACACAAATTAACTCCAATAAACTTTAATTAAAAAAAATAAATTAAATGTTTTGTTAAATTGCTTTAGTAAATAACACAACACTAATAAATAATAATTTATATTATTAGTCTTATGCACTGACATTTCACATTACCATGGATCCACAGATAACCTATCTGACATAACATCATCAAACATAAAACTTCGTAGGTCTGTGGTATAAGTTTAAATGTCAAGTAAAATATAAATAAACACACATGGATGTGATACCAAAGCGAGAACAAACAATTCGGTATTTTATACAATATTACATTACGTATTAAAATTTTATTGATATTATATGTGTGCAAAATAATTCCCGGTTTCATAAAACATATACAATATGTCCAGGTTAATTGTTAAGAACTTACCAAATAAGGTTAGTTTTTTTATAATATATACTCATTTTAAAGTAAGTCCTGTTATAATATCAATAAAAAATCGTTATTATTATTAGGTTACAGTCGAAAAGCTTAAAGAGCTTTTCAGTGAAAAGGGTGAAGTGACTGATGTGCAATTGAAGTATACAAAAGATGGAAAATTTCGAAACTTCGGATTCATTGGCTATAGAACGGAGGAACAGGCTAATGCCGCCCGAGAACACTTTGACGAAACATTTGTGAATAGTATGAAAATAAGTGTACAAGCCTGTGCTAACTTGGGCGATGAAAAGAAACCTAGAGCGTGGAGCAAGTATGCCACAGACAGTAATGCATATAAAAAAATACACAAAGATGAACAACAGGACACCAATAAACCTAAGAAGAAGCTTAGCAAAGCTGAAAGACATAACAATAAAATAAGAGAATTACTTAAAAAGGTAAATTTTAATAACTTTAGTTTATTTTTACTGTTTACTATAGCAATCCAGAACATCAATTTCCACTACTTTCTTTTAAATTTTGCTGTAGCAAAGTGACCATTAATATTCTGATAGCCTTTTTAAATGTAGTTTGGGAAATTGTGTGGCAGTTTTCACATAAGACTTGAACTTTCAAATGTCCACTAAGAAGATATGAAATGTTTTTTCATAATACTCAGAAAGGTTAATATTATTTTTCAGCACAAAGATGATCCTCTCTTTGCAGAGTTTATCGAGGCTCATGTCAATGATAAAACATCATGGATCCAAGATGCTCTAACAGATTTAAATAAGAGTGACAATGACAGTGGTGTGGAAGAAGAAACAGCTGATAGTAAGGATGCAGAACCAACGCAGAACACTTATGAAAAGGAAACACCTAATAATAGTAAAGTGGCTAATGCGCAAATTAGTGATTTGGATGTATGTATATTATATTTACTCATAAATATTTAGAGTTTATATTTTTTGTGCAAAGTATATTTAATGGTTAACGCAATATAAGAATATAGACTGCAAATTGACAGTAGTTAGTATAATATTCTGCCTCTGTAGCCAAATGGTTAAACTTATTGCTAGCATTGCGTTAAGCGAGAAAGGTCCTGGGTCAAATCCTAGGAAAACATAAAATTGTTTCGGTCGGGCAAGGCACAGAAGTCTTATCAACTACTTGCCCGTTAAAAGAATGGATCAGCAAAACGGATACAAAAATGTGTTTGCCTCATGCCCCATGAGTGGGAAAAGGGCTTTCACTTATTATAATGTTAGTCTGATGTAAGTTTGTTTTACAAAATTCTGTAATAGCTGATATGCTTCATATTTGATTAGATTGTATTGTTTATCACAGAATGAAAAATAAAATATTACATCATGCCCATTTATGTCACTTCCAGTATATGAAAGTGTTAATGAAGAAAGTTGATGGCTTCAAAGAAGATGGCATACCTCAAGAAGAAACAACACCTAAGAAAATAAGGAACAGGCCATTATTGTATGTTAAGGTAACTTGTTTTATAAACAAGATAGTATGAATATCTTTATAGTTAAATATAATAATAATAACGCAAAGGGTTTTATATATTTCACTTTTTAATATATTTACTCGACTTTTACCAGCTGTTGTATAGCAAATACTACGCATATATATTTATATAATGCATTTCAGATCAACGGACTACCATTCAAGTGTAAAAAGAAAGATATAAAGGATTTTTTCAAACCTTTAGTACCCTATTCCATAAGATTACCTTTAGGAAAAGGAAAGAAGCTAGCTGGCTTTTGTTATGTAGGTTTCAGAAGTGAAATTGAACTTAAAAAAGCTCTGAAGAAAGACAAACTTTTTCTAGGTAAGTACTGTTACTGTTACTGGCTGTGTCGTCTTTGCATTGCATAACTAACCCATATCTGTAAAAACTAGTCGTAACTTTAAATTCTGAGAAAATATGACACATAGTTTTACACTTATTTTCTTTAATAAACCTCGGATCTAAGATGTTAAATAGAGTAAATAATATATTTCGCGTTTAAAGCCGTTCAAACTCTTTTATTTAATTATCACTTATCTGTCTGTCACAAATTAATGTGAGAAATTGAATCGTCCCCTGTCGTTTCCCTTATGTTTAAAACTGGGTTAACGGAATTTTACTTATTATTGTCTTTCGGGCTGTTGGGCCGATGTGAGCGAGAAGAGGTTCTCGACGTTTCGCCATCACGTGTGGATGGAGAACCTCTTCTCGCTCACATCGGCCGAACAGCCCGAAAGACAATAATATGCTGATCGATGGCCGTGAAAGCCTTACTCAATGTATGGAATTTTACTTCCATAACAATGATCCAAAATAACTGTTATATACTTGTGTTATAATTAAGAATGATGCTTTAGGTAGTCACAGAGTGCATGTCCATCAGTATGAAGATAAAGTGAAGAAAGCGACTGAGGAAGAGGAACAAGAGAGTATGAGAAGAAAGAAAGAGGTATAATTTGGTTGTTTATACGTTTTATGAATGTATAATATACTAAGGACGTGTGCAATATGCATTCATAGCATTGTAACGTTTATGTTACATGTAGAATAGAAGACTCAACTTTATCATTAACAAGAAGTATGTGTCTGACTTGCACATATTCATCAACTCATTAGGTAGAAAGAGACGGGGATTATTGTATTATTATGACAATAAATAATTTCAGAAAGCAAATAATGGTGAAACAATTGGCGAAAGTGGAAGTATATTTGTCAGAAACTTGCCATATGTAGTCTCTGAAGAGGAAATAACTAAATTATTTGAAAAGTATGGTAAGCAAAACTAGACTTGGATTTAATCTCATTTCTCCTTGTGGGGTGTGGGCCTAAGACATTTCCGTTCCGTCTTCACTGATTGATTTAATTACAGGCATAATTATGCCGTGGTCAATTGACCAGAATGGGTTACACCACCATGCGAAAAATATTGCGTCAATTACTGTTACTAGTATTAAGTAATCATTGATTAATCTTAAACATTTGTCAAGTGACACAAAACGCTCCTGATTCTGTCTGGTTTATGACGTCACTTGCCTATAAACAGTGCTATAAACCCCATTGCTTTCTAGTGTAAAATTGTTCTATTCTCTCTCTAATAAATAAATTTATAAATAATCCTATTACTTCCAAATTTATTATTATATTCACTGTTAAAATGTAAATACACCAATATGGTCGTGACGTCACTAGCCGTATTGCAGCATTACTTCTAAAACTCAGACTAGCGTTTTGACTATGATAATGTTTGATTTTTAATTCGATATACTTTAGAAAATATGTATTGGAATTAAAAAAAAATATTTTTCTAATGTTCTTAACATGTACCAAATAACATAAAGTACATTTTCACATCAGACAAATAGCCTATTTTGTGCTCTCGTATATTCTAATTAGGTGCTTATATTGTTACTACGTTATTTTCCAGGTCCCTTAGCAGATGTCAACATGCCAATTGACCCTATCCTCCGCCAACCGAAAGGATTTGCGACAATAACCTTTGTGATGCCGGAGCATGCTGTCAAAGCTTACACGGAGTTAGATGGGACCGCCTTTTGCGGTAGAATGATGCACATATTACCTGCTAAAACTGAGAATGTTGATGATGATGATGATGGTAAGATATTTTTAACACAAGTATCATAACATTATGGCTAACGTTTAAATTTTGTAATTTTCGCATTGAGCACGATATTAGATAAATATTAATATGAATAGAGGTGCATAAAACAATTGGTTAAATAAGTTCGACGATGACGTGTAGGACTCAGTATCTCAATTATTTGAAGCAACAGCACGGAACGCTGTTGATGCCAGTTCATGTCCTGTCTGAGTCCTGACATTTCTAATTTATATAACTTTTATTCATCTACTTGTGATATATCTAGGGTTGTTTCGTAACGGGTACACTATATAGAGTAAATAAAACTGCATTAAACGGTTCGTAACTACCGTACATATAGTCTATGCATATGCCCCTTGTGGCCCGCCGGTTACGTCTTTTGCGTTAGAATAAGTTGAAAGTTGATTTATTAAATACGTATACAATGTGGAGACAAATAAAAAAAATATATTTTTACGCAAAAGTACACATTTAATTAAAACACTTTTGACGCTTTAAACATGAAATATATTATTTAACAATATATATAAGTTATAATCGATCGACGATATTATTTTGCGTTTCAAACCGTTAAAAGTGCTTTACTTAATAATAAAAAATACATCAACATAATTTCATACATATGACTGAAAAATCTCTGTCTTATATTACAATCTATTATCATTTTCAGCTGGACTATCATTCAAGGAGAAGAAGGCGAAGAAATTAAAAGACCAAGCAAAGTCTTCCCACAACTGGAACACGCTGTTTCTCGGCGCGAACGCGGTGGCTGATGTTGTTGCTGCAAACTACAACATAACCAAGGAACAACTTTTAAACGACAACAATACTAGTAATAACCACATTTTTTTTGGTTTTTTCTGCAACTAAAATTAAATATTTAAAAAACATACATAAACAACATAATTGTTTATTTATGTACCTGGCTATTGTATACGTTATAAGTCCGTGGTTAAAAAGTTTTGTTATTTGTTCTCAGATACTAGCGCTGCCGTCAGACTCGCCTTAGGTGAAACGCAGCTGGTCGCTGAAACAAAAGCTTTCTTGGAAAGTAATGGAGTTTACTTAGACGCATTCAATAGGGTATGTTATACATTTTTTTATATTATAGGATTATCTATACTAATATTACTACTTACTACTGAACTGATTTAAATGAAATTTGGTACAGAGATATTCTAAAGCCTGAGAAAGGACAGACTTTTTAATGCCAAAAAAGCGTTGAAAAGGGTGATGAAAGTTTGTATGGGTATTCGTGATTTTTGAAGCTAGAACAATGAAACTGTCTTCTTTGGCTCTTTGGAACTTGGAGTGAGTGGGAGTTAGAGTAGGAGTGATGTAAGGTGAGAGTGGGAGTGTTGCGATAAAGCAGCTCTTACCACACAGATTGACTGCGTTGAATGTGCCGTTTTATAAATAATTAAAAATTATACCCAAAGTCACTATTCCTTTTACCTATACGCGGACGCCGTCGCGGAAAACAAAATTAAGGCAATTCTAAAGACCAAGCATTTTCCTTGCAGTACTAAAGATCTGTTTGACAGTTGACTACAAAAATTAAACTATTTAATTACACTAGTAACCCTTAAACTGTTTTTTTTTTTCAGCCAAGTAAAAAGAGATCAAAAACATGTATTTTAGTGAAAAACTTACCAGCTGGCACAGATAAGGACGAAGTAAAATCGCTTTTCGAAAAACACGGTCAAATAGCGAGATTTCTCATGCCAAAGCATGGTATTACTGCCCTAGTTGACTTTATTGAGCCATACGAAGCTAAGAAAGCGTTTCTCAAACTTGCATATTCACAATTCAAGGCGGCTCCGTTGTACCTAGAGTGGGCACCAGAAAATGTCTTTGTGAAATCTCTTAAAGAAACACCAAGTGAGAGCGATAAAGTGGAACAAAAAGAAGAGAGTTCCAATATACCTGGAGACGATAAAAAGCGTAACAAAAATGAAGAGGTTGAAAGTAAGAAAATGGAAAGTAAAGAAGAAGACATGGAAGATAAAGAAGAACCAGAGAATGATACAACGCTATTTGTAAAGAACGTGAACTTTAAGACTACAGAGGAATCATTGAAAGCGGTAAGGTTAATTTTTATCCAAAGCTAAAATAGGCCGACACCGCATCTTGTATAGATGTTATAGGCTGAGGTATTTCACCTACCATCAAGGGAACCCCATGCTTATTTGTCCTCCTCTATAATTGAAAAAAAAAGAAGGTCATATCGCAATTCGTCACATTTTTATACATGATAATACTTTCGACTTGCACAAGGGAGAAAATAGAATGGTAAAATAGTCGTTTCCAAAAGGCACATTTCAAAGCTAAGATTATCAGACAGGTCGATTTCTTTACGATATTTTCCTTTCACGGCCAATAAAAGTAACCGATCGTCATAATATATTTTTAACACTTGTTCCTGTTCACCTTCTAAAAATAACACGATGTTATGGATTATATAATTTCGGATCCGGATAAAGATATCGGTTCGCTTCGGTTACGGTTATGGATATTTTTTTATTTCAGATTATCCGATAGAGTCGGTTACAGATATGTATATACATAACAACACAAATATAGCATATATTTATACCACATATACATATTATCATACCTAATTATTATTTTTCCAGCACTTCTCAAACAGTGGCCGCATCCACAGCGTCACAATAGCAAAGAAGAAGGATCCGAAGAATCCAGGGAAGACTCTTTCTATGGGCTACGGATTTGTTCAATTCTATAAAAAGGGTCATGCTACAGAAGCGCTAAAGACACTACAAGGTTCCACTTTAGATGAGAAGGGACTGGAGTTGAAACGTTCGGAGCGGGGTAACCAGTGAGTGTTTTTAATTCGACATTTAAAATTAATTTAGTTTTTTATTTATAGTTTTATCGATAAAAGAAACTAACTATACTAAAAAAAAACTTGTTCGAAGATTTGAACATTTTTTACATGTTATTGCACATGGTGGCACTTTAAATTAAAGATTGATTATAGAGCAACAGCACGAATCGCTGTGGATGCCGGTTCGGTCCTCACTGTGTCGTAATTTTTTTCATTCTAATCTAATCTTTTTTTTTAGATTTTTATTTACATGAATTCATTATTTTTCATAGATCGCTGACAAAGTACCATAAGCTGTTTTTTTTACTGCGTGTATTAGACAAGACATATCATTATCTATGTCTACAATAATTTGTCTCTTCTTATCCTTCTAATCTTCTTCCTAATTGCAAACATAATGCTTATTCAATTATTGTAGATCGGAAGTGACAACCGTGAAAAAAAGTATAAAGGAGACGGCGCAAAATGGGTCCAAAATATTAGTCAGAAACGTACCATTCCAAGCGAACAAAAACGAATTGAATGAAATATTCAGGTAAATGTAATTATTAAAATGAAACACTTTAACGATTAAAAACGTGATATATATTAATTAGTTAGACTTATTTGACTGACTACGGTAGTCTCCCCGTGACCACGGCTGCTGCAAAGCATCCCAAATGTCGGGCCGTAGTTAAAATAATTCAAATAAGTTTAACTATTATATATCGTGTTAGTAAATAATAAAAAACTTCATCAACAATGAATTATTGTTCAGATTATAAGACATAATTTTAAAGTCCAGCCTATCCCATAGACCCTTTCTATATTACTATATATAATATTTTTATAGACAAGATTGAAGTCGGTGATGACTTAGCCATCATTTTTAAATCACTCAAATTCACAAATTTGCTTTTTTATGTTCTAGAGCTTTCGGCGAAATAAAAACGCTACGATTGCCGAAGAAATTGGCTGCTGGCTCCGATCAGCATCGAGGTTTTGCCTTCATCGACTTTTATTCAAAAGCTGATGCCAAGGTACACTCTTAACTGTATTCTTAACATCTCATTAAAATTTTAATCAGAATAACCAAGTGACGGGCTGTTTGGATAATAATCAACTAATCGTTGGTTTGATATCCCAGGTCCACATTTTTCAAATCAATTTATAATTCCCCGACATGTTGGGACCCATTTGGAAATCTGGATATTAAATGGGAATATCGAAATTCCCGTTCGAGCACCCTCCATATTGAAAAGCCATGAAGTTTAATCGCAGTGGATTTCCGAAGTAAGCAAAGAAGGATTGTTGTTAAGATATGCCTCAGGGTTATATGGCTCACCTATCATCCAGTCCACATCAAGCTTGTCTGTTCTCCTCTATCATATATAACTTGAGGTATTTTTTTTATTCTATACTCCCAATCTACTTACCACGAGGTTATTGTCTGATTTTCAGAACGCGTTCGAAGCCCTTTGCCAATCGACTCACTTGTACGGGAGGAGATTAGTGCTAGAGTGGGCGGACCAAACAGATGAGAACGACGATGTCTCAGCGTTAAGGAAGAGAACGGCCGATGCGTACAACGCGAAAACACCAGGCGGCAAAAAGAACAGGAAAGGAACTATCGATCCAGAGGAATTCGTTGAAAGTGACAATAAAATTATGTAAATCAATTTTGGTACTTTCATGGTCTCAACATCACCATCTCCACACATTTATAACTTTGTAAAAATTTTGGAGTCGGCTACTCTCTGAAACTCGATTGGATTTTTTAGATTCGATCCCCACCGGGTCCAACATGTTTTTAATTTTTTTTTAAACATTGGACTTCACCTGGATGTGTAATGGATGGTAGGAATCATCAAATGATGGTGTCCATTGTCTATCCTCCTCTCTCATTTCAAAAATACATATATATATACATCGGACGTATAAATCTCAAAAAAGCGATCTACTTTGTCTTCTTGTTATTATTAATAACTAATCTTCGAGTCATTGAATTTTAAATTCTTTTTATTCATAACAGGTACATAATTACAAAGTGTGAAGTCCCGTTTCCTTTCGTGGGGCATAGGCCGAACACATTTTTGTGTCCGTTTCACTGATCGGTTTTATTTACAGACACAGGATAGTTGATCAGACTTCTGTGCTCTGCCCAACCGAAACAATTTACTGTTTCGCGGGCCAACGAACCCAGGACTTCCTTCTTCGGTACATAATTATAATAAAATGAAATAAATACAGTGCATAAAGAAAGGAGTTGACTAGCGAAATAAAACGCACATAAATATAATAGACACTTTATTTCTCACATTATTACAATTTTCACGTGTTGGATGGCCTTACATACAGTTCTCGACTTATCCACAAACACAAATAAATAGAAAAGAAAGCTATGGAATATGTTTTAACTCGCTAATCTATAATAATATTTACATTATCAATATTAACCTAAACTTAGCTTATGTTAATGATCACACTCTTAGGGATAATTGCATGCTCTCAGAACTACAACAAAGTAGAATAGTGGCTTGCGGGAGGAGAATGAATTTTTATAGCCACCTTTTCATCCAACAGTGTTGTCTTTAAGAATATATAAATTAAACGCTTGTTTGGGGATTTAACTTGTCTGGTATGACCTCTGAAAGTCATAACGAACACTGCAATGTTATTTCTAAGGTGTGCTAAATACGGCAACGGACCGGTTATAATAACCCACCACTATCAAAGTCTTATCAACAACATTAAAGTAAAACATTCCTGAAAATATTCCTCTGTGTTTCCAAATGAGCGAACACTTCATAATATTTTGTCCTTATCAACTTATTCAACTGGGAACATTCGTTTTTTTTTTTAATTTAAGCTTTGATTAGATGTGTATAAATAGTCGAACAAGTAAAAAATTATAATTTATATCAATAAGTGAATTATCACATACAAGTAAAATAACATTTCATGTATACACCTGTTAATATTTACTTAGAGTAAATTATGTATACAATACAAAGATGTGTTTTATAATCTGAAAGCTGAATAATAAAATTGTAATTCGGAAAGCTGAATTTCCAGTTTCAATCTGAATTTAGATGTGTGTGAGATTGCAAATCAAGTAATAATAATTAAATTCTGATCTCTACCTGACTTAAACATATGATAGTGTTTATAATAATAATCAATATAATTTCTGATAAAATGATACAATTTTATCAATTGACGAATAAACATACCAAATTTTAACATTCAGATACATTCAAGGAACATTATCTAAGATTAGATTTACAGGAAATAATATAGGTAGTAAGGTATTAACAAAAATGGTTAAACATGTGAATAATTCACATCGAAACATACAAAGACTAAGATTTTCTATATTGCTTTCAAAGCCACTTCTATATAAAGACTCACTCAGTCAATTTTCACTGTAGAATAAATTTTTCTAACAAATAAGCTTGTACCTATGTATCCAACGGTGCCACAAATAATGCCTAGTGCCAAGCTAAATAATGCCATGTAGCCAAAGTAGAACGTTGTCTGGAACAAGCCATACATCTTTGTTTTGAATAAGAAGTAATAGAAAGAATATAAGTACACGTACAGCGCAGTACTACCAGCTGATAGGAAACTTGTCCATTGCCAACGGTAGTCTTCAGCATTTAGCAAGAAATAAGTACAAACAATAGTCACACAAACGGTAACAATCATCAGAATTAAAAAGACCAACAACATGAAGCCATAAACATAGTAAATTTTATAGGCCCAGAATGATGTAAAAATGAAATACATTTCGATGAAAATTGATCCGAAAGGCAAGATTCCACCCATAATAATAATAATGAATGGCTCCATAAACCACTTCTTTTCTGGTATAGGCCTAGGCACAGCATTAATTCTGCATGGGTAATCTGGTTGGCCAGCTAAATTACGTCCTAGAACTGTGCCGACTAATGTAAGGGGCAGGATTACAAAGGTGCAAATTGACATCACGGCTATCATACTTCCAAATGGAATTGCTCTTGAAGCATGATAATACATAGCAATAAAGTTAATAAAAAAGGCTGTTCCACAGACTAACACAGGTAATAGGAACGCTGACAACAACATTTGCTTAATCCAAAGCCTTCCACCCATTCTGGCATACAATGACCCTCCGAAGTACCCATTAACGGGAGATGTAGCAGCATATATAAATATGGCAGTGGACAATAATGAGCCTCTTTCAGTATACAGTTCACCAAATATAGTAAAAATAATAACAGCTAATGTAACAACTGTAAGTTGATATCCTGCACCAATCAGAGCAGAGAATGCTGCTAGATGAGGGACAGGTCTGAAAACATCGCCATGCACTTGTTTCCACCCATATTCATCACCCAAGTCTTTCTCTAAATCATCAAGATCATCATCTTTAGAATACCTAGCATAATCTTTTCGAAGAGTTCTCATAAGAATCATAGATACTAGACCTACCAAAAAGATTACCATCATAAAACTATTAAAGATACTGAACCAATGGATTCTATGCTGGAAAAAGTTTGGGTCTAAATACTTATCAAACCGGTCCTCAAATTTGATGTTGCTGGGTTTCCAATTCACTTCATAGGTGAAAGGAACTTTAGCGCCCAATGCCAGTTTCTCCTTATTTTCTGCAGTCAGATTAACTTCCACTATCCTATTGCCATTGTAGCCTATGTCAAACTTCTTGTGCGTCCAGATATAGTAGTTGTCTCCATCAATTTCTCCAACGATTCCCCATATGGGTAAGTCATCAACGTACATTTGATACCAATAGTGATTCTTTACTGCATAAACAAGTGCTTTGTAAGCCTGCTCGTCCAGTTCTGTGGCACAAAACTGTTGTGCTGGAACATTATCTTTGAAAGTAATGTCGAGACCGCTAAATTCTAATTCAACCCCTTGCAAGGCTTCTGACAATGTTTCGTGGTAATGGCCAATCGTTACTTTAGTCCCGACACAAAACGGGAGTGAGAAATACGCGTATGTTTCTTGACGATTGTGATATGGTCCCACTGTGTTCATCCACAGGACCACCTGCTCCCCTTGCTTATACGTGTGAGTATGTTCATCACAATAAACTAAAGAACACGAAAATATTAAAATGTATAGGTATTTCATTTTAAAACTTAGTTTACTATTTAGTATGAATAAACACAACACGTATGTAAAAGCCGCTGTCAGACATTTGTAAGAATGTTGCCGTTGCGTTCCCTGTATTATATTTAGAGAGTAGTGCAAATGCTCCCACAGATCTACATATTTCAATAGCGTATTCATTCCTGATTGGGCAAAATCGCAAAATTTATGAAAATGTAGGTCTGGCCTATATATTTTTATAAACAAATGACAAGATGAAAGCTTGGGAAATGCGTTGTCTTAATAATTGCTTTGCACTTTGTAGAAGAGCACGTTTACGAAACCACTTAGAAATTTAATGAGAATATAAAAACTCAATTATTTTATGTATTTAATTGTTGTATGCTTTAAATACAATTAATAGGGTGCCATCAAGTTAAAATATAATTAACATCAAATGTTAAACATATCCATATTTTAAATATTGTTTAGCAACGATCTAATTAGTATATACTTAAAATAAGCAAAAAACAATATTTTTATAAAATATAAAGGACTTAATATTTTATAAAACATTGCTTTTTAAGGACAAATCATGGTTAAAGATGAATATAGGTACCATATATTTTACAACCAGCAAGCAAGCATTTTTAAATCTGTGCCGCCAATTCAGTTTCTAGTTTCTTAAGTTTAATAGGCAATATTTTAACCATCTCCTGGCACAGACTTAACTCAACAGACATCATTTTGGCTGCAATTTCATCATTTGTGCAAATGTCCACAATTGCTTGATATGAATCCAAGCTTTTCTTAACATGAGACATTTGTGTCTCTTTGTCTAAGGCAATCCTTTTCATACTGTTCCTCCCAATAAACGCATATGCACTTCCCACTGGTCGAATTAAATTGTCCTCCAGTTTTAATGGTAGTACCCCATTCTTATCTTTTATGGATTCTAAAAATCTATCATAGTTTTCAATACTCTTCTCACATAGCATATTGATTTTCTTTAGGATATGAGGTGTCGGTATACCATTGGACTTATTGACTTTGTCTTGTTTTATGTCAAGGATATCGGAATATATCTCCCCCAGTTCATACCATAACTCTTGGCAATTACTTAAGTAGTATCTGGGGTTTATAATTTTCGTGACATCCTCTAAGATGTCTATACGTCGCTTGTGCATTTTTGCTCTTCTTTCATCGTCCTCTTCAAAGAAAGCTAAATAGGAATAGGCCTGAGAATTATCTTGCACTAACTTAATATAGTCTGAAAATAAGGTTTCTGCATTGTAGTATTGTTTTGCTTTGTTTAACCAATTCTGACAATTTAAAAACACTTCCCTAGCATCTTGATAAGTAAGCAAAAACTGGTCCCCAACTTGATTCTCATACTTGGACACATCTAAATCCGGAAAAATGAGACTCTTGACATCTCCTCCACAGATATTTTCATTGTCCTCTAACTGTAGATCTGATAAATCTGTAAAATGCATACAATTTTGATTTTTAATCTTATTATTTTACTTGAATACAAAAACTACTATGTTTACCTGTAATGGCATCAGTTATATTATCTGGATCATCCATTAGGCGTGTCTTGGAGGCAGTCATTAAAAATATACAATACTTTGCCCAACACCTTGCCACATCGGCTGATCTGTGGTTGAATTGTTCTTTCTTGGCCAACATTTCCTCAGTGTTAGTATCATTTTGAAGCAGTTTTTCTTCATACTTGTCTAGTATTGTGGACGCTGCGGCTAAGTGGTGACGAGATTGAAAGAAACCATTTCGCTCAGCGAAAAATTGAGATAAGGTAGCGGAGTTAAGAGCCCAGTCCACTGGGTCAAAAACATTGTATTGTAACTGCCTTCGTAGTGTTATATGACAGTATACTGCAGACTTTAAATTCTCTTTTAAAGAGCCATAAACTTGAGCTAAATAATATAGAGTTAATGTGTGAGGTTTTTCTAACAGCATTATATCTCCTGTAATATCATCGCTTGGTTGAACAAGTTGTTCAATAGATACAGGCATTTGAAGAGTGCACTTGAAGTTTTCATAGATTTCTTTTGACTTTAGGAGATAGGATTTTGCTTTCTCGGGCTCATCTCTATTGGACCATATAATACCAAGATTGTTTTCAATATTAATAAGGGTTGTGACAATTTCAGGTTTTAATGAATTTGGAAGAAGGAGTTCTTCGGCTTCCGTCAATACTTTCTGACTAGAGGGAGTATCATCTGTTTCCATATCTATAATTCCTATGTTGAGTAGCACAACACCAAGCATAGCATCTATTATTAAGCCATTAATGTTGTGCGTATCAGAGCAGGTCACAATTTTGAGAACGTCGCGCGTTTTAAGTAATAAATCCTTAACTTTGTACTTCGAGAGAAAAGGTTCGTGTTCTGGATCATTAGGCGCATCTTCGTCGAGTAGTTTTCTCACTTTAGCGTAAGTTTCTTTAAAATCATTGATTATTTCTTTTGCTGTCATGTCAGCAGTGAAGATCATTTTATAAACGAAATAATTGAAATTATAAATTACATTCACACAACAAGAACTTCTATACAATCGCGAAAAAATGAACTCCGAAAAAAAATTTAAATAAGTAAAATTTATTATATATATTAATCTCAAATAGAAGAAGCGTTTTTTACACTTTGTTTTGAATAAAATATTTTACAGTAGGAGCCAGTGCATAGTACCATAAAATAATTACTTCCCACTTCCTAACACTTCCAGTCTCCTAACCATAGAATATACTCCAAACATTTGTCAAAGGATTATTCAAATTTTTGACAATTAACACATCATATTACATTTATTGCAATGCTTTTGAGGTTATGTCATATGGCCCAATAATAGATTGTTTATATTTTATGACATTACTATTATTAATTAGAAATAAATCAATCTATCCATATTTATAAAGATGGATATAGACATTGATTTACCAACATGTATACAAGCCAGATTTAAGTCTGAAACAGGCGAAGAAACCGGAAGCCCTTTGGATTTGCCCTTAAATATTACAAAGGATCAACTTAGTCTTATTTGCAATGCTCTATTACAAGAGGTACTTAACTTATTCCACTTTTGGTATTATTACGGAATTATTAATTAATACTTACAATAATTTTAGGAAGATAAACCCTTTTTGTTTTTCGTAAATGAAACAGAAATAATTACAACGCTCAAAGACGCTCTTGATTGCAATAAATTGAATTCAGAGGTGGTTGTCGATATAATTTATCAACAACAAGCTGTCTTCAAAGTTAGACCAGTGACCAGATGTACCAGGTTAATATTTATATAATATTCTCCTACTTTAGAATATTTTATTTTGTACATATCTCTTATTAAATATATTCAGTTCAATACCAGGTCATGCAGAGGCAGTTATTTCGACAAACTTCAGTCCATGCGGTAAACATTTAGCTAGTGGATCGGGTGACACCACTGTTAGGTTTTGGGATATTAATACTCAAACTCCTTTGCATGTATGTAAAGGTAAGTATTTTTGTAACACATACAGTAAAAACGCTAAAATATCCCTAATAATGCAATTTAGATGCATTTTGGCTTATAGTATTCAGTTAAAATTAAATTAAAGTTGCATTTTATATTCAACAACAAAAATAATTTTGACTTATAAAACATAAAAGAGAAAACTATAGATTTCTATAAGTATGTGTGTAGTTTAATACATAGTAGAAATGGGTAGTAGTTGGCATTTCACCTGGCATGGAAAATAACTCCTGCTATAAGCAATTTTATAATAATAAATAATTTTCAATGTTTAAGGGCACACCAACTGGGTTCTATGTATTAGTTGGTCACCTGACGGTTTAAAGCTAGCATCAGCATGCAAACAAGGCCGTATTATGCTGTGGGACCCCATTACAGGCAATCAAGTTGGTAAAACTATGATAGGTCACAAACAATGGATAACAGCTTTAGCCTGGGAACCATACTTGAGGTATTTTCAGGATATTTTTCTTTTAATATACCATCCTATTTTTATGAATAAAACTTTGTGATATTTGGCAAGAATATGGTAGATCAGTACATAGAGTTAAAACTTTTCTTGCCTAAAGGCAATAGTATATCTAAAGATAAGCTATAAATTTACCTATTTGTTTTATGTTTTGTAGAAATCCAGAGTGTCGAAAACTGGCAAGCTCATCGAAAGATGGAGATTGTAGAATATGGGATACATTAACAGGAAATACCATACTAAATTTAAGTGGTCATTCTAAAGCAGTTACGGGTGTCAAGTGGGGAGGCACTGGCCTTATATACACATCTTCCCAGGATAGGACTATAAAGGTAAATTTTATTCTTATGGTGTTACTAGTATTTTTTACTTAAATATTTCTATATAAATAAGTTTCTTAATGATGTTATATAAAATACAATGAATGAATTGCTTTTTATAGGTGTGGAGAGCTGAAGATGGAATTCTCTGCAGAACTTTAGAAGGCCATGCTCATTGGGTGAACACTATGGCTTTGAGTACCGATTACATACTGCGCACAGGACCATTTCATCCAATTCTTGACAAGAAAGACCCTTCTGATGACAGTATGTATGAAGAACTTGTATTGTCCCAGAAGTATATAATATCTATATTGTATTTTTTTTTTTTATATGGATGCAGAAAAAATACTTCAGCAAAGGGCATTGGAAAGGTATGAGCAGACATGCCAACAGAATTCGGAGCGTCTTGTGTCTGGATCGGATGACTTCACATTGTTCCTTTGGATACCAGAAAAGGAAAAACGTCCATTGGCAAGAATGACAGGACATCAGCAGTTGATTAATGATGTGAAATTTTCTCCAGATTCACGGTTAAAATTCAATGATTTTTTTTTCTTTTTTTAATTTTATAGTTAGATAACATTAAAATAAAATTTCATTGTAGGGTCATAGCATCGGCGTCTTTTGACAAATCAGTGAAACTATGGGAAGCCGCCACTGGTAAATTTATAACGACATTGAGAGGCCATGTACAGGCAGTATACATGGTGGCTTGGTCTGCTGATTCACGACTTCTATTAAGCTCTAGTGCCGATTCAACTTTGAAGGGTAGATTGAATAAAACTTATTATTATTATAATAAAATAAACACATTTAATTACCATGGAGGTAATAAGGGTAAAATCTTATTTACATTCTTATGGCATAACTAATTTACTTTTTTGACTATACTTTAATTATTTCTCTTATATATTATACTAGTTGTGGCCGCGACTTCGTCCGCGTGAAATAGTGACTTGGGGTAGAATTTTTAATTATTGGGGAATTTTTATTTATTAATTTATGTAAGGGTGCATTTAAGGCAGCCGATCTATGGTAAGTGCTACTTTGCCGCAACACTCTCACCTGACATCACTCCTACTCTAACTCCAACTCTCATTCCTACACTCACTCCCACGGCCACGGCCACCCCTACCCCCACTCCCATGCCCAAAAAGCCAAAGAAGAAAGTTTCATTGTTCTAGCTTCAAAAACCACGAATTTCCATGCAACCTTTTACTTTACCCCCCTTTTCGCAATAAAAAGTCTATGTCCTTTGTCAGTGTCTAGACATCTGTATACCAAATTTTATTTAAATCCGTTCAGTAGTTTTGGCGTGAAAGAGTAACAGACAGACAGAGTTACTTTCGGATTTATAATATTAGTAAGGATTGTATAATTATTTCTCTTATGTAATTTGTCTTTAAGTATGGAACATGAAAACAAAAAAATTGGAGTTGGACCTCCCTGGCCATGCTGATGAAGTATATGCTGTTGATTGGTCACCAGATGGCGCTTATGTTGCATCAGGTGGCAAAGATAAAGTATTAAAATTGTAAGTAGAAGTGCATAAAAGTAACTAACTAACTAATATCTTATTCAGGAGAGTATAATAATTAAAATTTTAACACTTTCAGGTGGCAACATTGAAACAATGTGGAGTATTAAAATCATGGAGTTTAATAATTACTATACACATACATCAATATGAAAGAAATAAAAACCTACTTCAGTTTAATGCTCTTTTTGACATTTGTTTTAATACCTGAAGCTTCTCCTGCGTACCTTGTCACTTCAGTTCTTGCCTCACGAACAGCACCCTTCCTCCTTATCTTTGCTTTTCTGTACTTCAGCTTATGTTTGACTCTAGGATTTCTTTGTTCCTTCTTTCTGTGAGGTGTGAGCCCTTTGTTTTTAGCAATTTGATAGGTGATATGACGCTTCTCACCTACTTCATCAATTGGAAGGACTTCATTAGAGGTTGAGGGTTCGTGTTCAACCTCTACTTCATCATTATCGGAGAATCCACTTTCATCAGATTCATTTGTTTTATCATTGACATTTTCATCAGTCCTAAAGTAATCATTACCTTCATAATCATCATCAGAGACACCAGTATCCTCACCATCATCTTTCTCAAGTGCATTAATCATTTTCAATTTCTTATGTGGCTGCTCAGATGAAGCTTTGCTTGCCTTTCGTTTTATACTTCTTTCATTCAAAATTCTCAATTCTACATCGTTTTCAACAGCACTTATTATTTCTTGGATTTGGGGCTTGATAACTTGTAAATATATTGGCTCCATTTTATTTAACATTTGCCTATACTGGTATAGTCTTTTCGTGACTGGATGATTTTGTATACTTATTCTTTGGCTTTTCAACAAAAGATAAAAACTTATATTTGTACAGTAATTTAAGATAAGATTGTAGTTAGTTTTAATGAACTTAGATGCAGGGCATTCTGGTAATTTCCCACCTTTAACAAGTTTCAAAACTGGCTGTAAGTTATCTTTAGCCACTGTCAGTTTAGATTTGAAGTCTTCAATAAGCCCTGCAAACTCTGGGCTGTCTTTTTCCAGGAATTGTAACTTTTCTCTTTTTGACATTTGACTTAAGTCACTTTTGATCAATGTTTCCTTATTATCACCACCAGTCTGCACTAATGGAATGACAAAATCCAATTTAAAATCATCCTCATCTAACTGCTCCAAAAGCCTTTTCTGAATATTCTTAGCTTCTTCTTCTTCCATAAGAGCAGCTTCTTCATCGTCTCCAAATCCACCATAATCTTTATCAACATAATCAGTTGAGTAGTAAGATCTCTTATCCTTGCCCCAGGCTTTGGGATCAGGTAAATCATCATCTGACTTTTCTTGACCTTCCACATCACTATCTGCCATTCCCAAATCATTTTTATCAGATTCATCATCTGATTCGGAAAACCCATAGACCTCTTCCTCACTACTTGTATTATCGTCTTGTTGCTTTTGAAGTGTACTAAGTAAATCTTTCTCTTTCTCTGTATATTCATTTTCTGAGTCAGACATTTCATAATTGTCTTCAAGATTAAACTTACTATTTATCCTGTAACAACACATGGCATTTAGAGCAAATTTATAAAATAACTTATTCGGTAATATTTCAATGTGCTTCAACCTAACATGCTGAGATGCAAATTCGTATACAACAAATTAAGTATAAGACGTATTTGAGACAAATTTATTTAGATTCAAAACAATAAGTATATTATACACCACATACCACGAACGACTACTCACCGAATTTTATCTGCCATTTTTATGGTTTACTAGATATCGTAAATATTATTAAAAATGAGGAAAATATGCCACTTTTAGGTTAATCTACAAAATGCACAAAGGTAGATATAATTAACGCCTACATAATAGACTATGATTAAACTTAATTCCTTGCCACAAAGAAGAACAAAATAACACTGATCGCAGTAAGGTTTCAGTAACAGTGTAAGATCTAAATAGTTTTAGTACTTTAATTAAAACCGAAGATACGATTCAGAGATCAAAACAAAATGAAACACATGGCGGCATAGAGTAGAACGCAATGCGGTTACAGATTATAATCACAGCTGAAAACTCCATAGACTCTAGATCTATGATGGAATATAGGCTATATTTAATTTTTTAAATAGCTAAGATATATAGACAAGCACATGAACGAAATATTCCAACTAAAATTGATTTAGTTTAGTGGTGAATAGTGCTTTTAAGTTATAAATATAATTCTCCAATTATTTGGAGTAAATTAGTTTCATGTATTTAGACTCAATATATTTTTCTTTAATAAACTTCAATGTGAATATTTTCTAGATATCTTTTTAGTATTTAAAAGCCCACGAGTATGGAAAATAAAATATACTTTTGGATCATTATTAATATTTTTGCTATCCCAAAAATAGCGAGAAGTGAAAGAAATCAGAATAAGTTAAACGAGTGTCAACGTTGTGAAATATACGCAAACTCATTTAAACACTGGTTAGATAAAACATCGCGTGGTAAATTTGAAGGTGGAGATGCAGTTTGGGAAGAAACCAAGCTTAAATCATACGCAAGAAGCGAGGTTAGACTCGTAGAAATTCAAGAGAACCTATGTTCCGAAATAAAGAAAAATCAAAACCAATGCTATTCCCAAGCTGAAGAAGCTGAACACTTTATTGAAAAATGGTGGTCAGAAAAAGATGTATCTTCTGACCTATACACTTGGCTCTGTATAGATAATTTGAAGTATTGTTGTCCAAAACATCACTTTGGTGAGCTGTGTGACCCTTGTCCTGTAGATAGTGACAGTAATATTTGTGGAGAGCGTGGTATTTGTAATGGTGAAGGGACTCGTAGTGGTGATGGTAGTTGTAATTGCTACACAGGTTATTCAGGAGAACATTGTAAACAGTGTGCCAACAACTATTTCAGTGTTGATAATGAATGTAGACCATGCCATAAAGCATGTGCTGAATGCTTAAGTTATGGTAGTGATAAGTGTAGGGTATGCGCCAAGGGTTGGGAGTTCAAAGATGGCTCATGTACTGACATAGATGAATGTGCTACTAGTTCTCCTTGTAAATCTAACCAATACTGTCTTAACAATGACGGCGCATATGCTTGTAATCACTGTGATCCATCTTGCATTACATGCTTAGGAGCAGGTCCTTATAATTGTACCTCTTGTAAACCAAATTACTCACTTTGGTCAGGAAGATGTATGGACGAAAAGACAAGTAATGCTTTCTTACTTAATGCAGATAAAAGGCTGTTTTTGTACGCATCATTATTTACTCTAATGTACTTATTTTACCAAAAAGCAAAACCACTAGCTGTTGTCATGGTAGCATCTCTAGGAATATTGATTTTCAAATTGGAACGTGTCTCGGACATAACTGTACAAGATGCTGTATACACACATGTTACAGATTTTCTTAAAGCTAATGAACTGATATAGGGAATAAAATGCATGTGTTAAAGGTGTATTAAAAATACATTTTATTGTGAAAAGTTCATAACTACATTAGTATCATTTATATACAAAAATTAAATACAAAATCCAAATAATACAAAACTATCCTTATAATTACTCTACACACCTCAATAATAATGAAATTTCTATCATAATATTGTATGAGAAATGGTAGGTAACTTACTTTGAAAATACACGTGTTACACAAAATTTTGTTCAATGTTAATTACCTTGGCCTCTGGCAGTGTAATTATTTTAGTCAGTGGAGAGTATTATTTATAAGATGAGCAAAGTTTTTTCACTGCAAAATATAGAATAGTACATAGTGTTGACCTGTAGTCTGTAATCATTTGAAATATTGCACTATCATGATTAATTTGAGCATAATTTCTATCTTAAATATACTCTCCACATAACAAAGTAATTTTGGAAATAATAACACAGTATTTGTGCAACATAACCTAACTAGTGTTACCTAAGACCAAAATGACTTGTGCAAATTAATATTACTAATGCATAACTTTTATATATTACTATAACATACAATGATAAGAAAAAGTGGTTGACAGCAATATTGTAAATACACAAAACTACATTTTGTCAGCTTAAAGTATAAACATTCCGAAAATAACTATGACATTACTAAGGCTGATAGTAAATGGTTAAATAAATTAAAGTAAAAGTAAATGTGTGGTTTTTTTTGTAGGCCAGTCTACACTTTTATTATAAAATAATTTTCTGCTTATGAAATATCTAGGTATGGCAATTATGTGATGTTTTCTAACCATCTATGAGTAAAAAGAACTGTCACTTCTTAAAAAGATGATTAATCTGTAAATGACACAATACTGGTAGCAAGCAGTAAACAATGAAAAACTATTTTTTAGAACACAAAAAGCAAAATTATTATTAAATTATCCATTGCCCACCCTAATTATTATTTTTCATATTAATAATTTAATAACTGTGACAGAAGGAACGGTTTAACACAATAAAATCTCTGTGAACACTATAAGAAATCAAATGGTGATAAATTGGTCTGCTAATAGCAACATCCAATTACAATGCTGGTCGGTCTTTGGTGAAGAAAATAAAAAACAATATCAAAGTTCTTGGAACAAAGAATAAACTAATAAAACCAAGAGCTGATGTCCAATTGCAACAATAACTTCTAAATATAAAAGTGCAATTATGAATCAGCCCTAAGGTAGCACAAACAAGATAAAAATTGTAAATAGTTGATTAGATTAAATATAACAAAAATCATTACAAATGAATAAAGTTTGTTCTAAGAATCGTTTTTGGTCAATAATATTGTCATAATTAAGTACTAACAAATAACACAATTGTGAAATAAGGAATACCTAATTTATTTACCTCTAACGACTATATGTTGCTAATTAAAAATAGCGTACTGGAAGTGGTGTATATATGTAAGGACTTCCACACGACTAGCACTAAAATGCTGCAAAGTGAATGGGTCGCGTCGATACTAAGTTTATTAGTCTTAAAGCAGTTAAAGCATTCTTCAATCATTTGGGGGAATCTTCCGACCACAATTTTTAAATATCAGTCTATATCAATTACACCTACTCGTGTTTTCGTTTCGGTCCCTCTTTAATACTTATTTAACCTTGCTCATCTTCAATTGAGAAATCGCGGATTTAAAAGAGACTACCTTAGTATGCTGTAACATTAAATTATAATACATCAGTCAATATAGCAAGTACAGTGGAATGTATGTATCAATAAGGGAAATTACTATAAATCTAAAGAAATTGAAATACACAACCCTAAAGGTAATTATTGTTTTGTAACACTAAATGTGTTATTAAAATACGCAAGTCTTTCGTCTATGCGAAATTGTGGGCAAATAAAATTGCATTTCACCAGAACCCACCACACCCAGGAGTTATCATACGGTTAACTAACACGCACAGTACGATTACTATAACATCCGTGTTACAAAGGCAACTTTAAAAACTGTTTCTTTAAAATAGAAATGTCCAATCACTATGTCAACTCAAAATGTGGAAACAACTCAGAACGTGTGTTTTTGGCGAAGACGAAAAATCTATATTACTTATTTCTTTGTGAAGTTTAGTCGATATCTTTTTGTTTGGCTGATATAATTCTGGCAGTAATGTCGGAGAAGTGTATATCATTAAACTAATCTAAACTTGTAAAAACACGGACATCAAAAAGTGACGGTAAATGTACTATTTAAAAAATGGACTTGGCGGGAAATGTACTTTAATCTAGAAGCGTAGGAGCTCTGTGGTGCGAGGACAACTGCGCGGCGAGTTGCCTCTGCTGCAATAGACAATAGAGTATACCGGCTTGGGCCATCGCGTCTACTGTGCCTGCGGCCAGTAGATCTGTGCGTTGCTTCGCCCCAGCGGATGTGTTTGACGGCCGGAGTAGTGTCGGACCGAAGACCGTCGCTAGATTGTGCAGGGACATTTTGTTTTCAGCTTCGTGCTGGTTCACTCTGTGAAAATAACAGTATATGATAGCAGACTTAGTCAAATAAATGTATTTTATATTAAGCTCCTTTTTATATTGTTACTATTATAAGTATGTAGCTTTTTCTGCTATCACACGCACCTTTTCTATTACTAAGTTTACTTTTTTTCACCGCGATTGCTTGGAAGAGATAGCTATAGCCGCCATTTGTCCTTAATTTTTTTATTGTTGTGTTGTTTTGTGACAATAAAGAATATTTGTGTACTTCGAATCAAAAACGTAATCTAGTATAATGTTATTCTAACCTTTTCACTTCAGTGAATTCAGACAATTTCTTAAAGGAACTTACTCAGTACTTACTTTCTGAGTGCACTGGACCATTGATAACTTTTAATTTGCACGAGCGCCTACACTAATAGAGGTTAATGATTACTCACTTGACAAAATGGTTGAGGAGGAAATCTATACAATTCTTGTTGAGATCAGGCAACTGTGCGTAACATTTGAGGAGGGCGTGACGTCGCGTGTGCGCTGGGCCCGAGTCAACAGATGTACCTACACCCTGCAATATATAGTCGTAAATAAGTATATAATTTTAAACGATTCTGTCAAATGGATACAGTGTCTATAAATAATTTATTACCTATGATTTAGGCAAACCAACCATAGATAAACAACATTTGTATACGCTAGCAATATGAATTTAAGTACACAGCGTACAAATAGTACAAAGTTTTTACTGTATTATCCTAAAAGAAGTAAGTATATAAAGTTTAATAAAAAAACAATGTTTCTTTTATTGTGTTACTTTTCTGTGCCTATTGGTTTAGTAGGAGGCAATTCTTTGTTTATGTAGTATCTTTTGTTATCTATGAAGTAAGAAATTACCTGAGTTGAACCCCAAGCTTTTAACAATTCAGGATAGAGGGCGTCGGTAAAGAGCGCTTCGGGCAACTCTCGCAAATACAGCTTCAGAACTCCAGTCACACTGTGGATGTCCACCTCTTTCAAGAGTTGCTCGGCTTCGTAGGCATCTGAAATTCATCATAAACCTTTTAACCAGTATCATAATCGAGACATTTTTTTATTTTTATTAATTTATTTTAAAATTGCATTAAAACTGATATTAATATTTATACTAAATATTAAAACATGCATCCTCGCTACTTAAAACAAGGAAGTAGTAGGGTCTAGCAAACATGAGTAGATATTACAGTGTAATCTCACTAATCTGGATAAAGTGCTGGCAATTCGATAGATCGGCACGTCCAATAATCCGGCACCCTCCTCCTACGCCTCCGGGGTCCCTCTATACCTGTGCGCGTAGGTAGCTGTATCGTCAACTAGCAGTCTAACCTCAAAACTTATCACGTGCACGTGCTTACTTAATTGTTTTTTTTTAAGTGAGAATAGTTTATACATAGTTATAATGTCAAATAAACGCAAACAAGATGTTAGATTTGAATAAAAAAGTAGAGATTTTAACGAAGTTATATGGTGGCAAAAACATGTGTAACTTGGCAAAAGAATATGGTGTTGGGCGTGCTATGCGCGTATCTTAAGAAAAGGGAAAAGATAGTCGACCATGTCAAGACAATGGAATCGGGGCCAGAAAAGCATAAAACACTAAAAGTCGGCGATTGTCCAAAGATAGATAACGCGCTTTACACGAGTTCAACGCTTCACTATATCTTCCGTACATCCGGCACTCTTCGGTTTTTAATAGTGCCGGATTAGTGAGACTACACTGTAGTACAAAAGATGTTTCAATGGCCGGCTTAGATTGATTTGAGCAACAAAGTACTGTTTACTAAGAAACTGAAAATAAATAATAACACTTACTGGTTTTCACAAATAATTATTATATGATAGTTAAAACGGACACGCAAGTGTGTCTCTTCTACTTGGTGTGTTTCAAATGTTATACTTACTTGTTTCAAAGCTCTTCTTGAGTCGATTGAGGTCCGACGCGCTGCCCGACACACGGTACACGCCCACTTCATGAATACCGCGTCTTTCTACTTCTCGCACGCAAGCGCTTATTATGAAAGGAATGTTGCGCTTTTCCCGCCTGTAATAGATGAATATAGAAATAATTGATACTGGTTTTATGAGGGAGACAAAGTTTTTCAAAATCATTTATTCACATAGGTAAATAGGTACATATATGACCAGTTAAAAATTAAAGAATCTATATGTACATTTACTATCAGTTCTCAAATCTAGGGTGTACAACGAACGAGAAGAACTAGCAAGGAACTCGCCGTCGCTGCGCCGTTTATCGCCAATTAAACAATATAATTAATTGATATTAAAACGCCCGCTGCCCTAAAATTTGCCCTAAAAGTAACTAAATCTTTTTTCGTGAATTTTTTTAAATATTTACTTTATAAAGGAAGAACTAAGACGTGTTTTTATATCAATTGAATATTATAGTGTAAAACTACCTATATTAAAATAAACAAGTCAAGAAATTTAAATAAAACACTTTAACGGTTTAAAACGCGATATATTAGTTAAACTTATTTGAAAATGATTTTTAACTTCGGCCCGACGTTTCGGATGCTTTGCAGCAGCCGTGGTCACGGGGAGACTAGCAAGGCATCCGAAACGTCGGGCCGAAGTTAAAAATCATTTTCAAATAAGTTTAACTAATATATCGCGTTTTAAACCGTTAAAGTGTTTTATTTAAATGTGTACTACTCGCGTAAATTATAGACAGTATTTAAGTCAAGAAATACTAACTTGGCGACGTGCGTGATCTTAGCGCCGAAGAGCGCGCCAGATTTGGCATTTGGAACGTGCCTAGCGGAGCGTTCAGGCGGAAGCAGTTTTAGACGTAGCGGCAGGGAGCCGCCACCGAGGCACACAGTTCGAGAGACGCCGCCCGCTGCGCTCTCCGCTATCCAGTCGCGTGACAACTGGAATAAAACAATACACAAATTCCATAATTTAACATCCAACACTACAATAAAATAACTGTAACTATGTTTTTATAATTAGATTATTAGAAAATATAGATATTTAAGGTTAAAGACAATTTATAAATTTTGTACTATCATACCATATTTTCGTGCTGAATTTTCTTCTAAGAAATTCTTTCCATTCAATAATTGTTCAAAAATAATTTTTAATAAACATTTGATCAGACTTATATAAATAGTGGCTTTACTTTTACACTGTATTTTTTTTATGTTTTTACCAATATATAACCGTTATAATCGTAGTTTAAATCTTACTTTGAGCGTACACTTCCCACGAAGCACCGGCCTGGCCGCATCTTCATACAACAGCAGCCGCAGGTTCTGCGATCCTTCCAGGTCTATTGTGAAGCTTTCGTTCCATCGGGGCTGAGCGCTCCTACATACTAACTTCGATTTTGCTTTGCGGAAGTAATGCCCGTAGGAGTCCACTTCCACGATGATATAGTAATCTGGAATTATGAAGAAAATAAGAATTGTCATTAGACTATTACAGTAGGACGATACTTAATTACTATGATTACGAGTACCAAGAATTAATCAGTGGTTTAATGTTTCTTAAATTAAGCATGGGAGGCCCCGGTCCCAAATAGTTGACAGTATTTTTTTTGTCAGGTAAGGCGGAGAAGCTTAATCAACTACTTGCATATAAAGTAGATTAGATTAGAATAGAATAGAAGTAGAGGCGAAACGGACACAGAAATGTGTTCGCCATGCCCAAGACGGAATTGAAATTTAAATATGAAGAGTTGTAGTATATAAACCAATAGCAAAGCATAGCAATAGACTGTTAAATGAAACTTAGCGATAAAAGAAGTAATGGCGAGTTTCTTGCCAGCTCTTCTCGTTCGTTCTACGCCCTTAATTTGAGAACTAGTAGTAAATGTAAATTCTTTAGTTTTTAATTAGTTTGACGTCCATAAGAGTACCTAGTTACCTACGTCAATAATGATTTTTGACATTAATCTTCTTTGTTAATCAATTCACATCAGACCCTCTTTTTAACAGCACTGCAATAGAGTTCTTCGATGTCTTATACATCTCTTACCAGCAGCTGTATCCAGAGGTGCAGTCATGCCTCCAATGTGCAGATGTAGATCACCAAGTAGCAACGAATCGTCCCTACCACTTCGCAGTAGGTAGGACCCCATATCGGTCTGGAGGTAACTACGACACGCTGTTACCCAGCTTTGAAGTTCTAACATGGAGACGGTGTTGGAACCAGCTGGCGGCGCTGATGAAGCCTGGATGTAAAAATAATGATTAGTGACTGTTTTTAAATTTACAATTAATTCCACACCACGATTAATCAATGGTAATTATAATAAGCTTGTTCATATTATGGTATGGAGCTTTTTTATAGAAAGGCATACGTTAAAAATTACTCTTTCACGAACAATTAAACTCACTACCCACATAGAGGGCCATATATAAGAATTGAAAAAAAAAAACACATTGTTAGATAATTTTTTTCTACCCGATGTCAATAACTTTGTCTGGTCTTATCTTACAAAAACAAGAAAATAGAAGCTGTATGTTGATAAATCTACAATGTAATGTAAATGATAAAAAAAATTAGAAGCGTATATTAAAAAAGAATTACTCTTGTAACATATACACATTACCCACTATTATATTACAGCAAAGCGATTTTACCTGTAGTGCATGGATGGAATCTATCCACTGTGTCCTCTCATACTCCGAACTAAGGAAAAACACGTGTTGCCGTTGTAATGCGGTGGAGGACGGCGCGCGCGCAGCGATACGGAATATAAGATTGGGACTGGCTAGCACTAATTGACCTTCCAACTCAGCCAGCTTTTTACGCTGCTTCTCCGCTGCACCCCGGCTACCTAGACGTATTTTCTAAAAAAAAAGTACAAATTAATAATACCTAAAAACATCATTTTTTTCAAAAGTTATTGCATATGATGGCAATGTATGAATTTAAAATCCATTTTAGATTTAAAAGTAACGACACAGGCGGGACTTGAACCGGCATCACAAGAGCACGTATAGTAATAGGTTGAAAAAAATCGACGATGACGTTAGATTGGTTAGAGCTACAGCATTCAAGTCCCGCACGTGTCGAAAATTTTTTTCCATCTAAATTCAATTGTAATTAATAATATCTATTATCTTGTGATTAGAATTAAAGTTTAGTTTTCTAAGAAACCATTAGTCCTGAAAATCACTCTTGTATTTGTAAAAAAAGTTAAAGTATCATTAATACGGCTACAAACTGAAATGTCTTTTATGACCACGACCCGACGTTTCAGTTTGTTAAGTTAATAACGCGCAATTCGAACTGTTCAAAATGTTTTTATTTTCAGTGTACCATTCCTATAAACACTTTGTTTAAACTGATGACTTCAGTACATAATTCACGCCCACGTCGGGCAACAGTGACGTGGGGAGTGTGGTAAATCGTAGTATAACCTCCTCGGCAACAATAGTCGACCAGAACCACAACACTTCCAGCCCTGAGAACACGTTTATATGACCCCAAAGCACTCCCTATAAACACCTAACGTGTTTCTTGTATTTTTGAATGAAATATCCACCTTGTCATCTTGGGAAGCACGCTCCTCAGCCAGGATTTGGTCTCGTACAGTACACGCTTGCGATTTTAAAGCCACGATGTTAGCGGGCGACGTCTCTCGTTCCGCGGCGCTGCCGTCTTCCTCCACGACAACAATATCCGGTAACGGTATGAACCACTTCAATTCGAACGTGAATTTGTCTCGTCCGGACGCCTGTAAGATAAGATTGAGAGAGATAATGTTATTGATCTTCTTTAAGTGCGAAAGAGAAAGAGACAATAACTAGATTTATATATAATTAAAAAGCTTGTCTTGTACTAGAAATCAAAGTGTAATCCAACTTCCCTATTAGGGGCATGGGGCAAACATATTTTTATGGGTTCCCCAAATGCATTTCATTTCGTTACAGTAAGTATTGCCTATAGTTTATCTGCGTAGTACATAAATTAAATAAAATACTTTTGACGGTTCAAAACGCCAAATATATTAGTTAACTAATTTGCTATGCATCAATAAATAATGTAACTTATATATTTCGCGTTTTAAACTGTTAAGTATTTTATTTAAATTCGTTAGAGTAGACGATCAGACGTTCTAGACGATCTAGACCTGCCTAAGCTATATACTACACATGCTTCAAATATGTTGTACCAATGTAACATATATTTCAGAACCTAGGATTTCAGGTTTAACACAAACCAAGGCAATGCGTCTAACCATTGAACCACGGTGGCATTTTTGCAGCTTTCTTAGCATAGATACATTCGTATTCAGTATATTTTGAGATTATAAATAGACATGAACATTTCGTGTTAAAAACGGTTTTATTTGTAAAATCTCACCTTATACTTAGCGCAGGCTATCACGTCGTTGAACAGAAAGAGATGGCGTAATTTCCTATGTCCATCCGATAGCTCAACAATAAATGAGTTCTTAACAAGTCTCCTTTGCGCTCGATCAGCATTCTAAAAGAAAAAACTTTGATTGCCATTTGGCCTCCTTTCCGAATCCTACTTTCTTAAAGTTTAAGACGCCTTCTGTATTACATTCAAGGACCACTAAATGCAAGGTCAGATATAACAATTGAACCATGTATTTGACAACACTACTATAGAAATATAAAACGTTAGAGACAGAGTAACCTAACTGCAATTTTATGATTTGACTTATTTTTATTTTTATAGTCTAAACATCTTAATCTACAAGAGCACAGTGACCGAAAATTGTTAACATAAATCTTACACAAATAATTGTACAAAATCATTTTTGCCTAAGTTAATTGCGTATTTTTATTTTCCTCCTTATTGAAAATCATGTTTTTTGTTATTAGGCCACTCTGCCTCTAGCCCAATATGACCTTAAAAATATATTCAACTTACAGGAAACATGGATTTAGTTTGAATAATATTGAATTCGTCTAGGAAGTGTTGGGTCATGTTAAGAGCTTCGGTTAGCATAGCGTGGTCGGGGTGGCTCGCTGGTGTGTATTTTATGAGATCCTGAAAGAGTATATTCACATTTTATTAATCTTTCAATAATTTTTGGTTTAGGCAAATGTTAAATATAATTGGTAGTTATGATTATTACCTTGCCCAACGAACTATTTGATAATTTTTTCAAAGGTTTGCATCGTTCATTCTTGCGTGTTGTGAGTAAACGTATACATACGTATGTAAAATAAAAATCGATTATGGTTCAATGACTTATTTACGTACGTTTACTGCAAGGGACAGTAAACGCCTTTTCAAATGTCTATTCACAATAACAAAGAGGTCGAAAAGTCCGTTATATGTTTGAATTTTAACTACAAAACGATAATTCATTCGTTTAATTAATGAGCCAAACGATCTATTGAACGGGTCAAATGAGCCGACCTCTTCTCTCTGGGTCATTCCGGATCTTTGCGATCAAAAGAACCGATTCTTTTTTAACTATACTTACATGTAATACCAGAGCATTCTTCTGCACCCTAGCTACAGGTTTGTGAAGTAGATCATCTAGCGACATGGGCTGTCCCCGGCAAGCGATCTGCCGCGTAAGATCCGCGAACCGCTGGGAACTGGCGCACCTCCGTCTCACCGCGTCCGTAGCTCGACCGTAGTTGTGCAAGAATGCGCCGTATACGTTTATGTTTTCGGCCTATATTAAATTAGTAGATGTAAATTAAACGTGATTTTATTATTATTATTAGGAATAACTGTGTTATGTATTTAATTGTATCGGATTTACTACTTAACCTTTGATGAAGGGAGCAATTTTATTGTTATGTATAATAATACTAAATATAATAACATACCATTTTCTTAAAATGAACTCCAACACACAGCGGTTCTTCCCAGCTAGCAACGGCCGTCTTCAGACCCTCTAAGAAGTTCTTATGTAATTCATGCAGCTCGGAGATTTTGTAAAATATTGTTCCAAATTCTTCTTCAGTTATCACAGGTTGAGATGTCGACAGAGTTGCTTTTATCGCGTTCATATACTGAAAATAAGTAAAGTAGGAAAAATTAAATTTACATTTCTTCAAATTGACATTATTTATAAGGCTTCGGAGCAGGAAAGTCTGGTGTAGAAATATGAAATGAAAATAAAATAGATCAGTAAAACCACATGCAAAGATAATAAAAGGCCAATTGGGGTATATTTGAAAAATACATTTAAGGAATATTTTTATATAACTTATAGTTTGTATGTATATTAATTACAAAGATATTAAACCTGTTTTATTCAGGTAATACTCACCTTTTCCATGACGTAGAGACACTCGACGTAGACGGTCTCGCTTTCAATAATACTCGTGACGATGCAGCGGTGCATCGTAAGACGTTCTGCTTCAGCATTGTTGCTGGAGTCCTTTGAAAAATTCAAGAATTAAATCAACAACACATATAATGATAATAGAAAAATCTTATAAGTTACTGATACTTCAATAACATGTTTAAGAATGGCGTATTTTATTATTTTTTATGTAATTATATTAATACTATAATAATTAAAAGCCTGCATCAACGAAAAATAGAAAAAAGAAATAAACGTAATGGGAAAAATTTAGTTCAGAGCTTTTTCTGTAATTAATACTTGGTTATTCGATTCAGCCGTTCGGTGTCCACTGCTGGACATAGGCCTCCCTGACTTCCAGTTGGTTATTAAAGTTTAACTAATAGATAGTAAAATTTAAATTCTACTTATTAAAAGTTAATCGATATGCATGCAAGTGTAATTTTGTTAAATAGCGTAATTTAATTCTAGTTTTATAAATGAAAATCATACTACTTAAAATAACATTTAACGACAATGAGATTTGGTGCCAAAATATTGGTTTCGTAAGTCAAACACATTCCGATTAGATTGTTACAACAATGGTATTGAAAGAGAAAATATTTACGTAATTCGTAAGCTTAATTTCTTTGCCCTCGCTTTAACTCAACGCTTTATTGTGAAGGCGACAGCAATGGGAGATTTACTCAAATTGCTATTTGGAACTATTAATATTTTATTTCACTTTGTGTCTGCCGAATTCGACAGTAAGTTTTTCTTATTATAAACCCGTTTTCCTTACGCGGGGTTAACACAATCAGTTTAAATTTATTTTTAAGCAAAAAGTTGATCAAACTTGCGCCTACAATCGAAACTATCACACTATCATCAGGTGTTGGAACACAAGACTCTTTGCGGTTAAGGCCCTACTTTTATTACGTTATCAATTAAATTTTAAATTCCGAACACAACACTTGTCAGAATTCTACAAACGAGCCTGTGTTTTAGAGAACCATTTTGTTCTATCTTTTCGCTCATGTTTTTATTTTTAATATTTCAATAGGTTATGAAGTCAAGCAGCTTGAAATCACTCCTATATACGATATTATACTGTTCAACGACATAGCTGATGTAATAAAGGACTTCGATAATGACTTGGTAATTATATATGTTTAAATAATATAAATAACTAGAAGGACGACTTATAAAAAACGTTTATAGGCTTCACAGGCTCAACCTTCCAACGAGAGCGACAGCGATGAAAATATCGAAGACCTATTAATGGAATATCAACAATACTTAGATAAAGCACACAAACAGGGCTTAGACTACTTACAAAAAGTTAGCACCAAAAATAAAGTGCCACTGTTACGTAACGAGCGCTACACGAAAAAGAATCCCAAGGCGAACTTTGATGACTATTATAGACCATTCGCTAATTCGTATCAGCAAAAACTGCTCGATCTTACCTCATATAGAGCTGGTAAGAAGGGATCAAAATTGTCTTACACCACATCGCGATCTAATACACAAACCGATTTTACTCCTGAACTAGCGACGAAATACGATCATAAAACAAAGTCAAATATACAGTCGGGAATAAAGTCATCTTGTTATTGCAAAGCCAACGAAATTCCGTGTAATTGTGCATGTAAACAATGCATCATACAATACGACTCTACAAATAGTAATTTATATCAGAAAGGACCACAGCTATTTGATAATTTCCTTGAGCCGTTATTGACAATACCGAGATACCAAAACAGTGAGGACGATTTAAAAATTCAGGTCAAAGTTGATGTTAAGCTCCCAAAAATCTTAGAGAGACTCGTTCAAGCCTTTAGCAAGAAAGATAATAGCTTTATACATCCAGCAGACGCATTTCGTAGGGAAACGGCTATGAGTTATCTTGCACCGTTCCACGTTCCGATTCCTAGAGAACTCTTCAGCTATAATGCATATAATACAATACCGCAGATGTCAAAATCTGTCCCCGTGCAAAAAATTACTATTCATAGGAAGAAGAAATCACGTAACAATAATAATAAAAAACACAAAAAGACAACTCTTAATATCCCGGAAACTGTAGTAGATAGAAATACGACAGTCAAATCGAACATTAGCTCCATTGTAACTAATCAAAATAGGACCGAAATTCCTCTACTTGTTACAAATAACGTAAAAGATTCTTCAAATAGCACAATCGTGGATAATACCTTAAAGCAGGATAATAATAAATCAAAAGAGTTCATTTATTTAACACTTAACATATCGAGCGACAGCGAAAATCATACAGACGACGGCAGATTGGAAAATAGTATTGAAACGGAATACTTTAAAACAAAAGACAACTACTCAACAATTGTAACAAACGTTCGTGAAAAGAGGGAAATTATAGCCACCAATGATAGCACATCTGAGTCTTTGGAGCTTTCAGTCAAGCCTCTGAAGGTAGTGAATGAAACTCACGATAAAAAGTTTGATAAGCTGCTCGATGATCCAGCTCTACTCTACTGGTCTGAAAACAAGGCACCGATCCCTCGCAACAGCTCGAAAAATATTAACTCAGTGATAGAAAATATCGAGAAACGAAAAAGCAAATTCAACATGAGCAGAGAGAATATACGTGTCAATCATTCAATCGCTTTAGAGAAAGCTATATTTGGAGATGTCGATTGGAACGATATGGATACAGTGGCGCCCGTGTTTATGTCGTTCGTGGGCAAGTATGTGCGTGGGGTTTTAACGTTTTGTTCGGATACTGTATGCCACTCCATGAAATGCGGCGAAAAAAGTTGCATACATAGGAAGTGTGATCCAATTAATCGATATAACAATCAGGGTCACTGTCTAGGAAGTAACGGCACCGGTACGTTATTGGAAATATTTTCAAGTATTATTTATGTGTAAAGATACTGTTTATTATGTTAAATACTTTTTTGCAGATAGTACAGCAAAAATGGAGTCTATAATGAATTTACCATCGAATTTAGCGTTCGAAATCGTCGACATCCTACAAGATAAAATGTTAGGCAAAATGTATGGAAAAATGACAATATGCATCTGTCTTAAATGTTCGACATTCGTCGCATCAAAGAAAACAGTGGTTAAGTCAAAATGCACTTCGAAAGAACTCAATACAGCCAATGAATGTCCTATCAACAAACAACATTAAGTTGTAAAAATGAATCATAAAAACTTACAATACAATTTCATAAGCAAAGTTGTGAATTATTTATTTACCTTAGTGTCGATAAGGGGTAGCTATAACTCTTGTTTCGCTATAATGAAATATTTGAGTTTGCCCTTGTTTTTATCAAACATAGTACTAACAAAGTATTCAACTACTGCACAGGTAAGATAACACGACAATAACTTAAAATAGATTAATAACGTGTCCTTACTGAGGGTATCTTACAATGAGATCCATTCGTTCTAGACCTTCGATAAATTCCTGTACCTAAATCCATGGAAAACAATTCAAAGTAAAGTCCCAACAATAATTGACTTGGACGAAGCGGGGACTTTAAAGAGTAAACGTATAAATATTCACCAAATAGTCAACTTGACCGAGTCGAAAAATTTACACTTGGTTAAAAGCGGTTTCTACAATGCAAGCAGTGAGTCGAGTCCATCGACTTCGATAATCGAAGGAATCCGGGCGTATTTACGCCAGATGATGGACGACACGCCATTTAAGAAACCAAAGATCCTCACCAAGTGCCCAAAACAAAAAAGACTATGTAGATTTCTGACCTGTCCAGATATAAGAACACATTGCATATTATGTGAAGTGACGATGAAAATTAAAAACGCAACTACGTGTAATAGGATTTCGACTAGGTCACTGAGCGGGTACTTGGAGTAAAAGTCCACTAACGCACTCACTTCTGTCGAATTTCACTTACACAACCATATATTGTAAGGATTTTAACCCACATTGCGTAATTAATTCTCTGTGCCGCGTTTATCACCAAAGGGTATTAGGATAATTAAAAAGTTTATGGTATGTCCTCGTCATAAGTCATTAAGCAAACATTCCCGAAGGCGCGTTATCTCCTAACAGATAGGAGAATACCACGGGCAGGGAGTTATAAAAGGCCGAGGTGGGATTGTTCAAACATTTATTATCAAAAAACATCTTCAACTCGCATTACCTGCACCATGGGGAGGTTTAAAGCTTTTGTACCGTTTTTTGTTTTGTGCTTAGTGAGTTCTTCTGTTAGTTCACCCGTCCTCCGTGAGTATTCCATTAAGATTAAATTTTAATTATGTAACTATGATACCGATTTTATTAGATTAAATTATCATTTACAGATAGTTTTAATGAAGGTCGCGGGATCGGTTCGACGTTATGGGGCTGGATAACATATCCCTTTACATGGTGGAGTTATGGTGATGATATTCCCGACAATGATAGCGCAATCGTACCCCCACCAAACGGGCCAGTAGAAAGCATAGAAATCGGAAAACGAAATGTTACCGTGTGGTGCAACGACCAAACATGCACAACAATGCGTTGTGACATATTCGGTTGCACAAATATAACGTGTAATATTTACGATACAGATCTTAACGGTGAATGTAGGATTTATAATACTAATCACATCGATGAGACAGTGCCTAAACCAGTAGAGACGCCAGGAAAGCCTGTATCTGTAGTCAAACCCGAAGAACAAAAACCGGAATCGGAATCGAAACCGCAGGAACAAGAGTCGAAACCAGTCGCAGACATACCTAAACCGATGGAGCCTTTGGAACCACAATCGAAACCGCAACCAGAGGAAGGGAAAACCGAAGATAAGGAGAACCCCCCACAAAACCCGCAGTCGATCGACGCTCAAGCAAACGAAGACAAGCCAATAGAGCTGGAAAAGATGCTATCAGCTACGGTGGGAGAGGATAAGAATAAAGACCCGGCAATTAAAAATAAATAAGAGAAGGTAAGTAAACAAAAGCCTTCCGAGGCTCTCTTTATTTCCACCGGCCCCGCGACCCCTTTTCAACTAAAGACATTCCACTTGAATTTACTTGTTTCAGATTGGAGCAAGAATCTAATAGGAATCATCGACTATTTACCTTTAAGCGTAGATAGATTAGTACTTAATTATATACAATCAACTTTAACAAAGTATGCAACACGGATAGCAAACGAATTAATGACACGATTGAATGTTGAAACTATCTGTATAGACGGCGTTTGCTATTATACTGCTTGCGAACACGAAAATTGTAAACCACAGTACTGTAGATATTACCTAATAACAGGTGAAATGGAGTGCTTCCCGCAAACAAAAGCCGGCTTCGTTAATTTAAAGGACAAACATAATGTTTTGACATCCTCTGACAATCAAGAAGAAAATGATTTGAAAATTATAAATAGGATATTAAATTAATTTTAAACATTACTATTTGTTTAAACGGAAAAAAAAAAAAAAAAAAAAAAAAAATTTATAAAAAAATTTTTTTTTCCCCCCCCCCGGGGGGGGGGGGGTGGGGCCCCCGGGGGGGGGGGAAACCGGGGGGGGGAAGAAAAAAATCTTTTTCAAATAATTTTAAATAATATACCGCTTTTTAAACCGTTAAAGTGTTTTATTTAAATGTGTACTACTCGCGTAAACAATAGACAGTGTTTAATTACTATTTGTGTGTTTTCACATCTGATTATATACTTAGAAGAATTAAATTAAACTTGTTTCAATTCAATGGTTTTTAATAAGTTTAAGTTGAGTGCTACCTTCTGTTACACGAATTGGAGATGATGATAAACTTGTAAATATTTGTTATTGGGTGTATCTTTTATTAAGTAATAATAATAAAAATAAATCTCTTTATTTGGCATTCATTAGTAGTAGTAGTAGTAGTAGTAGAAATAAATGTAATTACAATAAAATAATCAATACGAAAAGATTAATTAAATACCGTCTATAGTTTACGCGAGTAGAACACATTCAAATAAAACACTTTAACGGTTTAAAATGCGATATATTAGTTAAACTTATTTGAAAATGATTTTTAACTTCGGCCCGACGTTTCGGATGCTTTGCAGCAGCCGTGGTCACGGGGAGACTAAAATAAGTTTAACTAATATATCGCGTTTTAAACCGTTAAAGTGTTTTATTTAAACATATAAATTGATACCAAGTCTGATTCAATTATTCAAATGACCTTATATTGTTATTGGTATATATTAAAAAGAAACAGTTTCCTACCTGATGTAACTTCCTTAAGACGGGCGGAGTGGCGCTAGCTTCGGTATCCGATGAAATCGTTCTCAGCAGCAGTGGTGTGTCACTGGATTCCGCTAATTCCGAACTCGTTTCACTTGCTTCCGTGCCTTCCGCGCCATGTCTGTAATTACAATAAACAGTTCAAACCATACGACTATTAATAATTATTTAAAACTGTTAGGTGTTGATCGTGGTATCGTAAAGTAATTGAAATAATATAGTTAGTTTTAGGGCTACAATGAAACGTAAAAGTGTTTATATTAAAAGCCAAGACAGATCGACAGTGCATCTTATTTAGGTGTTATGGCTGGAGTATTTCAGCTACCACCAAAAACTTAAAAATATGTTATGCACTTGTAACGATATAGTACCGGATAAGAAAATTGTGACCTTGCACATATAAGGAAATATTATGTACATGATACATTTCTTTATGTAAGGAAAGTCTTACTTTTATATCGATAGAAAAGTATTCTTTAAGCAGTCGAAATTTAAGCTAAAGATTCTCTTCTTTTTTTTTATATTTTAATACATTTTTAAGTACTTAGGAAATAATAAAATATAATAAAATACAGGTTGAAGCGTAATAAAGTTCTAGGCCACGTTCGCAATGAAAAATTAACTATAATATTAATTAGAACGCTAGATTGGTGCTTCCTTTTTATAATCACACGCCAACTTTAATTATTTTACTTCAAGGTGAACGACCACCTAAATCGACGCGGTTACTCATCGTAGTTATTTTCACTTATCTATATATTTATAATAATGATTCACAATAATATTGAAAATGCTTTTGTTACAAAGTATAATAATACATACAAAAATCGTTAATAAATTAAAGCAAATCCGATAAAACGGTATAAAGCATATAAAAGATATTATGAATACTATGAAGATAAAGAGTTTGTTTGTTTGTTTGTTTCAACGCGCTAATCTCAGGAACTACTGGTTCAAATTTAAAAATGTCCATTTATCGAGTAAGAGACTATAAACGCCTAGGACCAATAAAAGCCAAAAACAGTGGCAAATGTGTATAAGGGGAACATTATTCGTCCTGGAGGGATTTCATCAAATCAATGGTTCGAAATTAAGGAAAAAAATATATACAAGAATGATTCCTATTTAAATGATCATAAAAAAAGTCCGCCATATATCTATTTTTAAAATTCACTCACAAGAATCGTTACTATGATAATCCAATTTTGTTGATATACTAATTAATATAATAGGCAAATTTCGATAAAATTGAGAGTAGAGGGACATTACGAAATTGAAAAGTCGTGTTTTTCAACGTTGCCGCGAGAAATACTGAGAAAAAAGTCAAATCTACATATTTTTAGCATCTGTTTACGTCCTTCCTAGTATCCGACCGCAAACTCTAGTGTACACTCAATTATACGAAATAGGAACAAACTATGAGTCAAATCCTTATCTCCGATGATGTCATAACGATTCCAATGCATGGATGACAACAAGAAGGAATGCTAAAGTTATTCTTCAGCATGACCAAGAACAAGGTAATGCCGTAATTTTTTTATGAAAATGAAAATAAAATAAAATATACTTTTTTTTAACACTTTTTTAAAACATATATTAGGAAAAAAAAAAAAAAAAAAAAATGGGGTAAAAAAAAAAAAAAAATTTTTTTTTAAAAAATTTTTTTTTTTAATTAAAAATGTATGTCTGCCCGTCGTGATTCTACAGAGTTCAAAAGAGCAACATGACCGAGAACACCCCAGATACTCAGTCCGGCTTTTATGTAATTTATTATTTAATCTAAAACACTGTTAACGGTTTAAAACGCGAAATGTATTTTATTATTAGTTAAACTTATTTACAACATATTTTAACCCCACGTTTGGGATGCATTGCATCAGCCGTTTGCGTAAAAGTGTTTTATTTAAAATAATCTCTTAAACTATAAACAGTTATTCCTTCATTTGTTTTTATTTACTTATCTACTAGAAGTCGCAACAATTTTAAATTTAACTTACTGTATAAAATAATGTATGTTAACATAGTTGGGTGCTGTAGCACACAGCGGTGAGTCGGGTGCGGTCGGCGCTGTGGGGGCAGAAGGTGCTAAGGGGGCGCTTGGCACCATAGCGAGGGTGCTGGTGCCACTTGAGCCATCATCAGTACTGGATCCTGCACCACCTTTAAGATAGATAGAATCTCTACGTAACATACACTTCACATTAACGCCTATAATAAGCTGTGAGAGAATTTACCCTTACAATACCTACAATCTAGTATGTTGTTTTTTTAATAAACAATGTCAATTTTAGATTTTATACAGCAGGTGGATTTACGCTATTAAGAAATAACACAGGTGATAACAACATTAACAATATTTTATGTAAAATAACAATAAACATCAAAAATGGTGGAAATAGTATAATAGCAATATAATATTTGCTTAACCCATATTTAATATTAAATCGCTCTGTTTAAGTGGCTCAGTATTAAGTATCCGACTGTTATTGATAAGAGCCAAACATAGTACTAGAATTCCGTCCTATCTAAATTGAATCTAAAATAAGTATATCTTATACTTGCGAGATTTTAATGCAATTATTAATAGTTCTTTGTAAGTGTGTTACTTTAAAACTTATCAAACTTCTATTTTACATGAAAAGCAAATGATTAAAAATCTTTTCAAGCTCTTCTTACCTGCTTGTATATAAACATATTCTCCATCATTGATATCAACAGGCACTTGATCATAGTACGGTTCATCCTCAACACTCCGTACAACTGCTGGAATACTTTCAAGAGACATCGGAGGTGACTTATCCTCAGTCCCTTCGGGAAGGTCTGGAGTAGTTGAAGTAACTTCATCTATGGAACGAGGTGTAGCCGCTCCACCTGAACGCTTCCGCTCAGAGGACAGTGAATTTATTGACTCATAGCTTTTAACCTACATAAGAAAGAGACATATTGAAAATCTACATGGAGCTGTTTGCTCAAATAACTTGTATGTATTTCTTGTTTTAATTAAGCTTGTTAGTTGTCTATTATTTTTTTCTCGCAAAATCGTAAGCAAGGAGAAATATATTTTCTTGAACTAATGATGTAGCTAATATATATAGTATTACTTTCCATACAATAGATTTGTGCAGGTAGTAAAAAAATTTTTTTGCTGAAGAGTATTTCAAAGTCTTTCAAATTCTAAATTGTTAGTATTAAGATTATAAAGCACATACTCGTTCACTAATAGACGGTGTAGATCCACGGCTTGTTATAGATTCCCTTGACTCAGAATTCCTTAATCTTCTTCCTAAACTAGATGGTGGACTGTCTTCTGGGAAACCACTCTCTGGTAAAGATGCACCTCGTCTGCTGAACACTTTTGGTGGTGGCCTATATTATTATAAAACTTATATTAAATTCCTAAGGTACATAACTACATACAAATTAGCAATCTTTTTTTTTTATGGCATAAAATAAACCAAACAAGATTCTTTTTCCAATTGAATTACATTACATTTGTTTAAAAGAATTATAGAATATAATATGTATTGTTACTAAATTGTAAGCAAAGACAAAAGCAATTGAATAGTGTTTTTATAAGTTTGTAGTAAGTTTCAATAATTTTAAAATAGGTTTTAAAACGGGTTATAGACCAATAGGTCTTGTCTCCTTGTTCCAAGATACAAACAATTAAATATAAATAAGAAAGACCACTTGTATCTGACAATTAATATAATTATAATAATTTGTTAAAATATTACAAATCTGTATATTTTCAACTCACTTTGGTGGTACTTTTTTCTTAGCAGCCAATGCAGCATCAATTGAACCACTCTCCGATGTCTGCGGCGAGTCATCTCCCTTCTTGACAGCATTTTCAGCAGCTTTTAGGCCATTCACTTCAATCACTGTTACAAAATCACCACCTTGTGATGCTGGACGGTTCTTAGCTTGTATGGAATTTATTGATTCAACACCTACTACAACCAAATCTTATATTGAACTGTATACAGAAATGTAGAAATCTAATTCATGATAACATCTTTGTGAAAATGGAAAGTGTTTACTTATTACAATAAGATGTTTAGTGATAGAAATTATGACACCTAAATAAAAATATAATATAATAATAAATAAATTACCATTATTTTCTTCATCTTTATCTGTCCTTTGTACAATCTCACTATTACAGCGCCGTCTAGCTGCCTCAGCTGCAAGATTGGAGGAGAGTTCATTGATACACTGGTTAACTGAACTTCTCTCAGCAAAATTTATTTGCCTGTTCCTCAAAGGCACCTTTTCATCTTCAACATCTAATGCTTCAGCTGAATCATCACTTTTAACACTTCCTTCACTCTTCTTTGACAATGAATTAGTATTTGAACCCTATGAAAACAATAATGATTCATTCCAACAAGAAATTGCTTACCATTTAAAACAAAATAGGAAATAGAACAATTCGTGTTATGAATACTTAATCGTTTTCACTGCTATGGCTGGGAAAGGTAAGAGTGAATAATTTACCTGTTTGCTATCAAAAGTCTTATCGTCGATCGTGTCAGTAACTGAGGGCGGCGCCACTTTGCCCTGTGAGGCAGCTTTGTGTTTCTCTACATCGGAGAGTAACGTTTCCAAATACTCCACGTAGAACTCCTCCTTTTCAAGCTCTTCCCTAAGTATAGCGACTTTCTGTTTATGTTTGGCCAAATTAGCTCTGACATCTTCCTCCCAAGCGGCTGGTAATGTACTATCTGGAAATCGTTGCACCCACACACGTTGGAAATCCCCAAAGACACTCATCTCTCACAAAACGATTTCATGACAATATTGTAACTACTTTCAACGATAACAGTTTGGAAGTGTATATAATAATTAATAGTTAATTAGAAATTGTAGTTTAATTTTGTATTGACGTGATATTGACATCGCATCGCGAACGCAATCTCATTTTTTTTATTGTGCGACTTTCCAATAAGTCAGAAATGTAAAATATCAACACTTCAAGTGTACTTTATGACAGTGACATACAGTTACTTAAATATGTCTTTGTCTGTGGGAGTGGTATCAAAATAAATATACATAATATATTAAAATTTAATATTAAAAATATGATTTTTCGTAACGTCTCCTATAATTTAACATGTTAATGCAGCAAACTGATAATTACTAAAAGGCGACATTAGAGCAAGGGTCGCGAGTTGTAGTCCCGACTGCTTTTTAATACCAATTTTAGTTTAAGAGAATATATGCCTTGTAATATATATTACTATATTTATTGTATATATAACTGCTATATTTTATTCGTGTGTTTGATAAAACACTAACAGCTGTTTATATTCTCATTTATTCTCAACTGGTAACTACTTAAAAAAATTTGATCATTCAGTATTTCTTAATTAAAGGAATAGCAATACTTTCTTTATTTGATACAAGTTGATAGATGGCACCGAGATATACCAAACAAAATTAACATAATTGATATGCGTAGCAATAAATACACTTCAATATTGATTAACTAATCCTTTAAGGATTAGCACAGTTTTACTTTACCTTATTTGAGAAGTTGTAGGTACATAGTTTATTTGTACACAGGTTTGACCAGTAGAACAATCACGCCCTTACCACGTGCAACACATCATGACGTCTATTAAAATGCGGTGCTGAGAAACGAGAGGTCGTGGACACGGCGTGTTTATCTTTCCTTCCGATAATACATGTAAATATCGCCGTTAATTCTTCAATAACTCACGTTATTTATTCGTTATTACTTTCTCTTGTAGACGTTTCCAGTGAAATAATTTCTCTAAAAATGTCTGAAAAACTTGAAATTCGCCTCGTCACCTACATGTGTCCAACGCACCCGGTAGAACTATATGAGCTGATCGTAGAACTATTGGAGAAGGCATTAGATTGTTATGTCGTTCTTCAATATGATAGTCGCAGCCCTGGACCAATGACAGACCGACCGGATCCATTCCAGGAAAACAAAGTTGATGTGGGTAAGTTTTTCTAATACCTACCCTCTCAGGAGATTTTAAAATAGTTAAGTATACTTTAGTATTATTATTTGAAGAAGTCTTTGAAGGTTGTAGTTGAATCGTTCGCGCCAATAAAGGAAAACAAAGAGAAATTAAACAAATATTATATTGTTAGAAATTGGTTTCATCTCTTATCTTAGGTAGTCAGTGCGTTACATTGCCTTATAACGACCTTTTAAGGTACGAGGTTCAAAGCCAATAGCTATTGCAAACGTATTTATAATTTACATCTCGTTAGTGAGTTATATCGCTAGTAGAACAAGTTGTAATTTTCTAAAATACAATAATTATATTACGTTCCATGAATAGTTATTGTCATGTTATGGTCAATACCTCAGCTACGCTACGCTTCAGTTATAAGTTGTGTAAATTAAGATGACATGTGTTAAACAAACAAACTTCTTCTAAAATCTTTGACTCTCTAAAACCCTGACGCGTTTCAGCGTTTATCACGGCGACGGCATATATGAAGATGAAGCTTAAAAACAAATTCGCCGAACTGTTGCCCGTAACACCAGTCTTCGCACACCAGATGAACGTCGAGAATAAACCTGGTTACTTCTCCGATGTCATTATTCACAGAGATAAAAAGTAATTAAGCTTCTACCCGAATTCCAAACGTAAATAAAACCTTCAGAAACTTTTCTAATTTAAATATAGATTATCGAGTCTAACGAACTTTAATTGTATAAGTATAGAGTAAACAAATTAAAAATTGAATTATTAGCGTAAGACACAATGAATACATCGAACAAGTACAATAGTCCAAAAGCAAATAATACTTACGAAGATAAATTAAATTTTATCAGCAGACTGGCGATAACGACGAGTGCTTCTATTATTTCTCAATCGACTTTCGTATCAGTCACCGATCCTCTAAATTTATTTTCATTGTAGGGCACATAACGTCAATACACTGCTGGACCTTCGCGGATGTACTTTCGCTTACAACAACGAAGAATCTCTCAGCGGAAGCAAAATCGTTCTTAAAACGCTCAAGGAAAAGGGCGAGAATGCTTCCTTTTTCGGCTCACTACTAAGTATAAACGCATGAAGTTTTGATACAAAAGAACGAACAATAATCATTTATAATTACATTTGTTTATAGAGTCCGGATCACATTTGGCCTCTGCTCAAATGGTCTTATCTAAGCAAGCAGAATGGGCGGCTGTTGATTCGACAACTCTTTTAAACTCGAAAAGATACATGCACGACGGCGGGAAAGATATAATAACTTTAGAAACGTTAGGACGTCTCCCACCATATCCTATTCTTGTAAATTCGAGATTATCAGGTAAGTCAATTAGATTTACATAGTCTACCACAATTATAACTGCTATAATTTTTTTTGACGCTTCAAAGTCAGAAACTACCGGTCCTATTAAAAAAATATAAATTAATAAAACGGAAGAAGTTTGTTTTGTTTGAACGCGCTAATCTCAGGGACTACGGGTTTGAATTGAAAAATTATTTTTGTTTTGGTTAGAGCATTTATCGAGGAAGGCTAAAATACGTGCTGTGAGTAATAGAAGCGAAGATACGGCGGGAATTCGTGAACAAAACGGGGGAAACTTGTCATCTCTATGGGTTTTCGCATTTAGATGCGTACGCTGCGAAAACGGTTTAAAGCTCCCAAAAAATGATGTATGAAAGAATGATTCCTCTTTAAGTGTTCTAAAAAAATGTCCGCGACACTGTGTCTATCTTTTAAGATTAACAAGTACGACGGGTCGCGACCTATGTCGTGGGTAAGAGAAGGTTTGCAAAAACAAATATAGATTCCCAAAATAAGTTTTCTACGCGAACGAAGTCGCTGACACAGCTGGAAAACATTGTTCAATTTAAGAGCTTCCTTTTCATGCTCGCGTAAACGGCTGATCTCAAGGATATCTCATAATTTTGTCCATGACCATTTAAAACTGCCTCTGCTTTAATAAATTTCAGATACTATCAAGGAGACCATTACACAAATATTCTTAGATATATCAAAAAGTACTCATTGGAAGAGAGAATTTGGCAAGTTCGGTGTAATAAAGTTTGATACAAATAGTGATAAGTCCTATGATGGGCCGGCTGCACAGATGTGGTCCATCCAGAACGAGACACTCAACATTAGATATTATTAGACTGCTGCTTATCATTAGTTTAATATATGTGCTGTATATTTTATATGTTGATTACACACCAAAAAAGTAAATAATTTAATATTAAAATATTTAACATCGCTTGAATAGATCACATTGAATTTTGTTACTAAAGTTATTTCCCAGTCTTTTCAACCTTTTGTAGCAACATTTTGAAGACTATTACATCACCCTTTTTTCCATACTGAAGCATTATGGCTCGAGGTACCATGAAGCCTGATGTTGCTTCAGTGGGCATTGTTTGTTGTCCATTCATCTGCAACATTTAAGTTCCAAACTCTAGTAACCATAAAATTCAAACAAACTGATTGTTAGGTGTAAGCTGAGGCTGTGGCCTAATAACAACTGAGTATTAAGTTAAACAAATTTATTAATCAACACAACCATAAACATGAACAAAGTTAAAACTCATTAGTAATGTATGTTATTCTGCAAAACATTGTGTTGTAAATTAAATGCTTCTTGCATATTATAATTCCGAAGCTACAACTATAAATACTTTATAATAATTTAGGTTCTACAACTAGTTACTGCTATACATTAATCTACTAGTAACTGTGCACTAAACGACTCCACCGCCGTTGATGTGGTCAATTTCCTCTTGAGAGAGGGGTAGTCTTCTATAGCGTGCAGGCAAATCAATGTCAGATATGGGTCCTGTGCTCATCGCCGCGCTTGGTTGAGCTTGTGTAGCCTAGAATAAGAAAGAGGCTCTAATAACATAAGTATACTTTATCACTCAATTAACATGGTTATGACATAAGGGTCAACATTCGACATACCGCTTGAGGTGCTGCTGCCGCAGCCGGAGCAGCTGGTGCTCCAGCAGGAGTGGCGGCTCCACCGCCACCACCTTTCCGGAACTTTATAACTGGAACTCTAGCGAGAATTGATGTGATTCGAACCATAATTTGGTTTTTTAGTTTTTACTCCACAGCTGATTTTAAAAGCTAAATTATTTGACGTAATGAATTGACACTGACAAAGTCTACGCCACAGATTAAGTAGAATATGATAAAAAGTAGAGCTCAGCAATTAAACTGTTGTACAATTTTTGTAAAAATAGCAGTTCATAATACTTTTTTCACGCAATTTAAATCAGTACATTAAAATTAATACGTGTACAAAGTATTATTAATATATTATGAAAGCTGAGAGTCTGGCGTAGGTTTTAAACTTACTTATGAGCTACAAAGCTACCTATTAATATTTATTATAAATTTAAAGTTAAGATTTTAAGACGCAATTCACGGCTCGTAATTTTTTCACTTTGAACCGTCATATTTTTAACTTCCGTTAAGGTTACGAAGATGAATGTTTTAATTATTAATGTACAAATTTAGAAGAAGTTATCACCTTTTTTAAATTAGCGTTAAAGTTATTTAGGTCAAAAATTCTCAAAATTAAAAAAAAAACGTAACTCGAAAACTATAAATAATCGCAGAACATACATGGGGGTGATTCGGATGCTCCATTCCAATCATGCTTCGGATTATAAAATGTAATGCAATGCACAGTCTAGCTTTGGCCGAATTATTACTAATAATTACTCCTTCAGAACTAAAACAAGTGAAGAACTGTAAAACAAGTAACGAGCTATGGACAACTCTCGAAAATATTTACGAAAGTAAAGGTCTTTACTAAAAGAATTAGTTTTGCGAAAGATGTGGGATGGCGATAATATAATGATCACCTTAACAAATTTAGAAGGTTGAGGGGAGAGAAGAAATAAACATATTATTGAGTATAGTTTCCGAGAGTCGGTGCGTTCCAGTCCTTGATTATTGAAGAGGCCGAAGCGAGAAGAAGCAGAGGCAATAATAATATGGAAAATGGAGGTGCAATGTATTCGAGAAATAAAAATAATAGAAGATTTGTTGAATGCTACAAATGCAAAGAAAAGAGGTCATACTGCAAATTAATGTAAAACTAGAAGCAAGAACTTCAACGGTCCAATAAAAGTTGAAACTACAGTTGAATCACAATATTTCATAAAATTCATCGATGATTATAGATATTGTAGAACATACACAATGAAAAATAAAAACAAAGCATTAACGAAATTCAAAGGATATAAAAGTGAAGTAAACTATACCAAGAAGAAGATCATTCATCTACAAAGCGATAATGGTAGAGAATACATTAATTACGAGTTTAATGAATACCTTTAAAAGCATGGCATTAGATTCGTCTTATAAATATTATTATTCGTCTATAAGGACTTTCTTGTCCTCACACGATTAAACAAAATGGCATAGCTGAGAGGAAAAACAGAACCCTTCTCACAAAGGCAAGGTGTGAAGCTAACATGCCCGAAAAATTTCGCGAGTATATAACCAATCTGCAATTTGGCTTATGAAGAAAGGAATTATGAATAAAAGGGGCAAGCATATTAAGGTAAATATTATTATGTAAAAGAAAAGATTGATGAAAACCAAATTGAAGTCAAATATTGTTCAACTGGGTCACAAGTTGCAGATATGTTAACGAAAAGTTTACTTAGGATTCAATTTAAAAGTTGTCAAAAGACTCAAGTGTCGGAGAGATATAGGGGAGTGTAAAGATTTGTCGGGAATTTTTATATTGTGTACAACAATAAATGGAACTAAAAGAGACAAGGGTATAAAGAAAACACTTTAACGGTTTAAAACGCGCTTTATTAGTTAAACTTATTTGAAAATGATTTTTAACTTCGATATCGCGTTTTAAACCGTTAAAGTGTTTTATTTAAATGTGTACTACTCGCGTAAACTATAGACAGTATTTAGAGACAAGGGTAATCAACAATTACAGGTATAATTTCATTTTTGTTTTATTTACAGTTGTTTTTTTTAAATAAAAGGATTTTTAAAAATCAACTGTCTCTTTGTAGTTAATGATATTGTTGTTTTTTATTTGAAGTTTAGATTATTATTTAGGGAAAAGGGGTTGTCAAGAAGTTTTTAAATATTATAGTTCGAATTTGGTTTGTACAAGATACTTAAAGGTGGTGTATTATAATTTAAAGTATTGTTAAGCGGTCGAGAAGTTGAAGATACTGAAATGAGTGATAGGTTTTAATGTCTTATAATTTAACAGGTGCTGAAGTATATGATTGTATTTGAGATGATGTTTTGATGGTATAGGTTTTATAATGAAACAAAACATTATATAGCACTGACTTTAATAAACTTTTGGATAGAGAATTTACACTTAAAACTTATAATAAATAAACATACAAACATCACATACGCTACACAGACAAAAAAATTGAGAAGCGTTCAAATTTTATTATAGATAATATTCTATAAACAGAACAATGACACTAGATCTGTTACAATTCAGAAACAGTAATACGCATATTTACTTAAAGTATCGCTATTGTGCCACACTAATATGACAATAACAGAGTAGAACACACAACTTCACACCTTAGACGGGTCTGCGGAAATTTTTGCCCGCGTACTTAGCTGCCGCGCCCAATTCTTCTTCAATGCGAAGAATTTGGTTGTATTTAGCCAATCTTTCAGATCGGCACGGAGCGCCTGTTTTGATCTGACCAGTGGACAGACCTACTACAAGGTCAGCAATAAAAGTGTCTTCAGTTTCACCAGACCTGTAAATTTATTGGGAATTTTACATAAAATAGTTGAGGGTAGTTGTTTATATAGAGCATCTGTAATGCAGGTATATTTATTGTCAATACAGAACGTTAAATTTACCTGTGGGAAACCATGGTACCCCATCCATTGGTCTTGGCCAGCAAATGGGCATCAATCGACTCGGTAACACTTCCAATCTGGTTTACCTTAAGAAGAAGACAGTTGCAAGCCTTCTTTTCCACAGCAGTTGCAATACGTTTTGGATTGGTCACCTAGTGTAATTGTAACATTTATGAATTTAATTGAATTTATGATTTGGTTCTTAAAAAATTAACAACTGATGCTGTGATTACACCACCAAACTACCTTAAGAAAAACACAAGTATAATTTAGAATAACTGTATAACTCACAGTAAGGTCATCACCGACAATCTGAATGGAAGTGCGTCCAGTAAAATTGGACCAAGCAGACCAGTCATCCTGATCAAAAGGATCTTCGATGGATACCATTGGAAAGTCTTTAATGAAATCGAGGTACACATCAGCGAGTTTCTCAGATGAGAGAAAATCGGCTGGGTTAGACTTTGGGTTCTTAAAGTCAAGATCATATGAGCCATCCTTAAAGAATTCTGAAGCAGCAACATCCATACCAATCTCAATCTGAAAGAATTACATTTTAATTATTATTTTATTTAATAAGAACTTAATATATTATCCAATATCAACAAAAAAAAGGAGAACTTGTAACTCTATAGTTTCTTTAACATTGCCAGAGTATGTGAAGGCTAGATTCTTTTATTTTACCTTTCCTGTATATCCAGCCTGCTGAATAGCATCTTGAATCAAAAACAGAGCGTCTTTGTTGTTCTGAATGTTAGGAGCAAAACCACCCTCATCACCAACAGCTGTTGAATCCAATCCAAACTTCTCCTTAATAATCTTCTTTAGGTGATGGTAGATTTCTGAACCCATGCGCATTGCCTCGCTGAAGGATGATGCTCCTGTAAATTTGCATGTAAAATGATAAATATGTTTATCTTAAAGTGTATAACAAATGTATTGTTTATATTTAGGATGATAACTATTTGATGTAATAATAACTCATAAGTCTTATCAATATTAATACTAACCCGTTGGCAAAATCATGAACTCTTGCATAGCAAGTTTGTTCCCAGCATGGGAGCCTCCGTTGATGACGTTAAAGGCCGGTACTGGGAGAATAATTTCGCTATTTCCAGCCAAGTCAGCCAAGTGCTTGTAAAGAGGTACACCCTTTTTGGCAGCACCTGCTTTAGCGACAGCCAGGGAAACACCCAAGATGGCGTTCGCTCCTAGTTTGGACTTGTTCTCGGTACCATCGAGCTTGATCATGAACTGATCAATCTATGAAATATCAATTTTATATTAGAATGTTTTCAGACATTTTTCTAATAAGAATTTAGTTTTATTTAACTTTGACTTTCTTACACTTTAAAACTATATATTTCATCTCAAGTCAATTAATTAGAAGACCCTTACAATGACATTTAAATATGTATTACTTATGTAAACTATAGACAGTGTTTTGTTTGTTGTAACTTTGTAACTATAAACATCTACCTATTCATCTATCAATACACAAACTTACTAAGTTGATAAGTAATATTGATATATTTTCTGATTTTATATGTCTCATATCAATCAACAAGTAATTAATATTTCTTGATAATATTTCATTAAGTTATAAGTATGTGTATACCTCTTTTTGCTGTGTTTCATCAAAGTTCTGTTTAACAAGTTCTGGTGCAATTGCTGTGTTAATGTTCTTGATGGCTGTCAGAACACCTTTTCCATGATATTCAGCTTTGACATTGTCCCTCAATTCTAAGGCTTCATGGACACCAGTTGATGCGCCAGATGGCACTGCCGCACGGAATAAGCCAAGATCTGTTACCTTGAAAAAAATGCAATATGAAATCGTGTTTTCCGAAGTGGGGCCGATTGATTTATATAAAACACAAGTAGTTAATCGCATTTCTGAACCCTGTCTGAATAAAAATCATTATATTGGTACTTTTAGTAGGACGCGCTTTACAGCTGATCTACGACAGCATTCAACAGACAAATATATATATCATAAGACATACAATGTTAACTACCAAGGTCAAATGTTATGCGGATACTTACTAGATCAACCTCCACGGTGGGGTTCCCACGAGAGTCGAAAATTTGACGAGCTTTGATAGACTTAATTGGCATCTTTGAGAGGGTTGAGTAGACAGACCTGTTAATCATTAACATATAACAATATTGCAACGGTTGTGGTGTATTCCAATAATAATCAACAATTGTTGTGGTCTTCAAACGAAATTGTAAAATAAACCGGGATACAAAATCAAACTGTTATCTAATACATGTATACGCTTTGAAATTCATATTGAGCAAGTTTAACTAGATATTAGTCGTAGCCATAAGTGTATTAAATTAATAATATACTTTGGTAATCTCACCTTATAAAATTCAGCTGAATTTATTTGACTCCTTTAACCTTTGCAGACGACGACCGATTTGCTATAAAATTCGCCGGCTATACCTTTGACCTTCACAAGGTGATTTTAGTGATGTCTACACATAAAAAAGAATAATGTCGGAAAAGGGGTAAATTAAATGTAACTTTCAAATTGTTACTAAATACAAAAGTACCTTAATATCAGTAGGCAATATTGTATGATCATTGTTCCTCGTAAAAATTTAAGCTTAAATGTAAAAAACGAATTCTTTTTTACCGATTCGCGTAAATAATCGGAATTTCCGAAAACATGAGGTTGACATAATGACAATGACAGCAAGTTTTTTCCTATGCCTATAAATGTCAAAACATATCAACAAAATAAAATCATTTAAAATTGGGTTACTTAATTAAGATTAATAAAAATGAGTGATAAAAAAGGAGTTAAAGAAGAAAAGAAACCGGTAGTTGTTAAAGATGCAACTGATTTGCAAAGATTCCGCCTCGAAAAACTTATGAAGAATCCAGTAAGCATATTAAATATTTCGTTTACTTAAGGAAAAGAAAGTTTACTTAAATTACCATTTTTTTTATTGTTCTTAAGGAAAAGCCAGTATTGATACCAGAACGACGCAAGGAAAAAACCCTACCTCCACCACCCGACTTTGTTCGGAATGTAATGGGTTCCAGTGCTGGTGCTGGATCAGGCGAATTTCACGTTTACAGACATCTCAGGCGAAAGGAGTACGCACGGCAAAAGTTTATACAAGAAAAGAGTGAATTGGTAAAATTATTATTATTTACTATCTTGTATAATTTTGAATCCATGAACTAAGTTTGCCAAGGAATTTAAAGTTAATCTTAATCTTAAAAATCTTAGTAATATTGTTTGTGGGTACCTAGAGAATTACAAAGCTCAACTATGCAGTAGAATTGAACACTACATAGTTGTACAACCAAACAATACCAGCCGTAACTGTATTGTTAAAACTACTTTTCCATTTTATAGTTGAGGTTTAAATGAAATTACAAATTTATATTTTAGGAAAAACTAGATGACGAATATCACATGAAATTAGATGAAAACAAACGAAAAGCAGAGGAAAGAACTGCAAAGAAAAGGGCAAAGAGATTAAAGAAGAAACAAAAGGCTAAACAGAAAGCAAACCAACCCAAACTTAATACAGAAGACAAGTCTTCTCAGTCAGGTAGCGATAGTGGTTCTGAAGATAAAAGTGACAGTGAAAACAGCCCAAAAGATACAGCTACAATCAATGCCGATCAGAAAGAACAAACCAATGTTGAATCTTCATTACACCGAACATAATAAAAACTTTTTAAAAAAATAATTTGTATAGTTTTTACATTCTTTAATTTATTATATTGTTTTAATAATCGTCTAAAAGTTTTAAAAGGTATTTCTTAAAATAATTACGAAATATTAAAAAATTGGCACTTTTGCCAATAATTAACTAAGTAAAAAAAAATTTAGAAAACCATGACATGATAAGTATTAAAAATCATCTTAAGTAAATAATACTTTGCAAGATAAAAAGTCTCAGAAAATATTATATGAAATAGCTATTAATCAAAATTGGGCAAAGGGAAAGTAAGGTCAGGTGGACAATCATACATAATGTACTGTAAGTTTTAATTACAGTAACAATATTTAATATTACTTTAAAAAAGAAAACATAGGTTTTATAATTTTAATGTACTTTTTAATTACTTTAAAAATGACATTATTGAATATAGATTAGTACTATTTAATTGCTAGGTAGGTATTACTGCACAGACGCCATAATGCTGTCTTCATTTTTCTTGAGAATCACAAAACCTTCCATTACTGGTGAAAGTGGTATGTATTCATCCGTCGCCAATTCTGCCCTTTCCCCAAATGATAGAAGTACAGGAGTTGTGTGAGTATGTGAACCAGCAATTGTTTTTGGTGTTCCTGCTTTGCCAATTACATCCACCGCCTAAAATGTAAATAATTGTGTTTCTATTACAAATTCACAGCTAATTTTTTTAGTACCTGATATTTTTTGATTTAGTTACTTTGCATTAAGTATGGGTAAAGAATTAAATCTAAAAAAGATTATTTTTATGTTAATAAATGAGTTCAGCATATGTATGCCCCATAGTAATTATAAAAGATTTTGTATATGCTTTATCTGACATAATTGCCTTAATCTTTATACTCTTAAAAGTGTAACCCAAGAAATATATTGTTAATGAAATGAATTACTAAGATCATAATTATTATACCTGTCCAACACGAACGCTGACATTCAGGGGCTGCAGATTTTCATCCAGTGTGACTAACCAACGAGGTTGCATTGCTGTTGCTAACACAAACAGCAAATAATGAGACTTGCCAAGGATTACTGTGAAGAGAACAAGTACACTTTAATAAACTAAATTAAAAAAATATATAAAGAATGACAAATCATAATGACATGAACTGACAATAAAGCAGATGATAGTATTAATTAATTGAAGGTGAAACAAGACAATAAGGTTTTGCAAAGAAACTTGAAATTTTAAAGGGCACACAGTGAATCCTCTGACAAAGGGGGAATGAAATGGTTAGCAGATAATGTAGACTGCTCACCCAGCATTATATCAGTTTAGCCGTCAGAAAATGATAATAATGTATTTTGGATGATACTTACTGTTCTTGCAGTCAAGTAGGGCGGTAAGCACCACCAGAAGACCAGCTAAGGCAGGTTGATTAACCAAACGTCTGTCGGCATGCGCTGGACTAAGAGTAACTGTGCCTTTGCCAGCGTGGCAAAGCCCCTGGGCGAGACGAACCATAAACAAGTGTACTGGAGACTTGCTGTGGTATAGAGCTAGAGCGCGCAGCATCGTCGCTAGCCTGGAAATGTATTGTTTTTTAATATTTTATTTTCACTAACTGGGCCAAAGAACATACAAGATGTTAGTTAGCGTTATATAATTCGTATGAGATACAATTTTCTGTAACTAAATCTAATTTGATAGAATAAAATTCATGTTGACCATTTTAGAAAAAACTTTTTCCACATAGTGATATTGTCTTTAAATTCAAACAACAAGCGTTGTCAAAAAAAATTCTATTTAAATTGTTCCTTTGCAGACTTGTTCTGTCAACTCGAGAAGCTTAAATATTCAATTAGGTCACAGGACTACCAAATGAATTGCAAATTGATTTGTATTAAAACACATAGGATTCAAGCCAGCAATCCATTCAGCATTATATTGTGTCACAAGACTGTGTGTAGCATCTAGTGAATTATATGTAGGATTTTTGATAGTAATCCTTTGACCTCTATAGTTTTTAAGTCCTAAGTTCAAATCCCGGAGAAACTTGATAGCAACTGATCAACTACTTGTCCTTGTAATCCAAACGAGATGGACACATGATAGACTAATGTATCAATTTTACGACATTTAGAATTATGGAATTTCATCCTATTAACATAATATATTGACAAATGATTTACCTAGCGTTATTAGTACCGGCACCAACAAGTCCCATAGCGAAGATTGCGTTATAGGCCACATCATTGTCTGAGTCATGGGAATACTTGTTCAGGACATCTATGACAGCTAGCTGCGGGTTCGACACCGAGCAGAGAGCAATCGCGAGGGGCACCGCTCTACGAACAGCCGGCTCACCATAACGACCCTGTGAAGGAGCTTCGTGAATAAAGTCTTGTATTGTATGGGAGAAAGAGATTCTTACAATGTGCATGTACTTTTGTATGAACATCACCAACCAACTGAAGATTTAAATTATATCACAAATTAAGGTATTTAAACGGAAATATAGACGGGGAACCACTAATTGAAGACCAGGTAAGAAGTTCACAAAACTTAATAATAAATGCTCTAAGTATTTATCGCGGAAAAGACTATTAGTCTATAAAACATCGCGCTGTAACTAATAGAAGCGAAGATACAGGGTGAAAAGTGAACAAAACGGGGTAAATTTTTCATTTCTGTGGGTTTCAGTTACGTACGCTGCGAAAACGGTGCAAGATAACAAAAAATGCCTATTAAAGAATTATTTCTCTTTAAATAATCTAAAAAAAGTCCGCGACACTATATGTCTATCTTTTAAGATTAGCTTGCAAGAACGACGGGAACGGACGCGATCGATGTCGTGGCTAACAACTTAAGTTTATAAAGATAACGCGGTTTGCAAAACCTAATTTGGATACCCAAAATAACGATTCTCGCGGACGGAGTCACTGGCTGCTATAATTATATTATTAGCTGTATATTATAAAACTAAAGACTTTGTTTGAACGCGCTAATCTCGGGAACTACTAGTTCGAATTGAAGAAAATTTTTGTGTTGGTTAAAGGATTTATCGGGGAAGGCTTTAGGCTATAGAAATGTAACCTGCGATGAATGAATGGCATCAACAGTGCAAAATGTGCATAAAACGTGAAATTATTCATCTCTGTGGGATTCCGTGTGCTGCGAAAACGTTTCAAGATACCCAAAAAATATGTATGACAGAATGAATGATCTTTTAACGATCTAAAGAATGTCCACAGCAGTATGTCTATATTTTAAAATTAACTCAGAAAGAACGCAGACGACGTCGTGGGGAAAAACTAAAATTTATAAACATAAGGTGATTTGTGAAAACAAATTTTGATAGCCACAAAACTAATCTACGTGGACGAAGTCGCGGCTACAGCTAGTAAGAAAACACTACCAGTTGTCCAAAGATCCTGGTGCACATTTCAGCGCCAGTCTCCTCTGCGAAGGCGATAACGGCCACACCAAGAGTAGCAACCGCCTGGACCGATGACAACTCCTTATTAGCTTCGCGCTCCTTCTCCTTCTCCTTACTCTTGCTGTCCTTTGATTTACCTGCACGATACCATTTATTCTTCATTAAGTAATGATCTCTAATTTAAAAAATTCACCACCCAATGACCTCAATACTGAGTTGTATCATACAAATGTTAAGGTTGAAAATACTTTGGGCGAGAGGTAAATATATCAATGGGTTGAAGAAATTCGACGATGAAGTGTAGGACACGTTATTTCAAATGGTTAGAGGAGAAGCAAAGAAAGCTGTGGATGTCGGTTCCAGTCACGCCCGTGTCGTAAAATTTTTCAGTATAAATAGATTTTTAATCTATACAAAGCGATATGTAATTTTTTTTTCTATATACACAAACTATAGTCTTACTCTTATTCTTGTCATCCTTAGAACTGCCAGCTGAGCTACTTCCAGCACTACTACTACTGGATCCCTCCTTGCTGTCTTTCTTGTCTTGCTTCTTGAAAGCTGTGTCTTCGGTGGATGTTTGTTCATTCTGTGAATTGTATATATTTTTATAAAAAAATTAAATTGCCAGCTAGTTGTAAACTAACGCTGGCTGTCCCGTCTGTTATTTCTTATTCACAGGGCTTTTAATTATGTTAAGTGTTGCATTTATTACTACTACAACTTACATCAGTTTCATAATGTTTTGAACAAATGTGCAACATTTGTTGTACGACGAGCACATCACCGGTGCCTGCGTATGCGCACATGGACAGCGTAGTCTGGCACAGAGACTGCTGTGGCTCGGGCAATACCTCAAGTGCGGCCATCGTTGCCTCTGTACGCTCCTTGCAACCTACAAAATTAAAACGTTTATTTTTAATTTTTTGTGCGGCGTGCGTCCTTTAACTGTTTATAATAAATTATAATTTCTACAACCTTTCGTATTGATAATTCCAAAAAATACACTAAAACCATAGTCATTTATTATTTACATACCCAAGAAGCAGAGTCCGAGACCCAAATGCAAGAATCGTGCATATGTAGAGGAATGAAGGTCCTTATTGTCTTCGATTAAACGCTGAATAATGGCACAGGTAACCTATAGGACAATATTACAGGCATTTAACATTTCCTCATTACCAAGTAAACTTATGTTGTAAAAAAAAACAAATATCCATAGGAATTAAAACATTTTATAATAAAAACAAATAAACAAAAACTCATCTTTCATAAAATAAATTGATTTATTAAAAGTAAGCGTTTGTAACATAGCTTATATAGAATTATTACTTTCAATACAATCAGTACTATTCCTAGTTCTTATTATATTTAATGTATTAGTATTATTATTTAGTGTTAAATAAACTTACATCGCCATTACAAGACCCGACAGCAATGAGACCACAAGACAACGCCGCTAAAGCGCAAATCTCAGCTGGAGCAGCTGAATCACTGAGGACTGGCAGCAAATGTGACAGCACGTCCTCACGCTGAGTGCCAGCGTAAGCTATACCAAGACCTGGAATCGTACACGATATAAAAATGTTACATATATAATTGCATGTACAATAAATTAACACAGCCCTGTTATTTATAAGCATCAAAGGAAATACTTTTAACTATAGTACATAGCACACGTTCGTAAATTATTGTATGGCTCTTATCCTAGCATAACTTTTATTATGAACTTAAAAAATAAAAAAAAGCTTTTCATTCACTCACCCAGTACACTTCCAATTCTAAGATTAGCACTTGAATGAAGAACATAGTCTGACAACAGAGCCAGTGCGGGATCACACTCGTTTCTGACGCCACAGTTAACCAGACCCAAGGCAAGCAAAGCTCCTGCTTTAATATGCTCATCAGCGGTGTATAAGTATTTATCGATTGGAGTAAGACCACCATCAACATCCCACAAGTGGATCATTCCTAGCGAAGCAGCTGCTGACAACATTCCTGTAATAAAGGAAAATACAAGGGTTTAGTTCTCTTCCTAAATATTTATCCTATGTTGTATTTTCATACTATTTTCATACCTTTGATAAAACTCTTCAACAGCTAAAATGCGATATAGATTAGTTAAAACTTATTTGAAAATTATTTTTAACTAAGGCCTGACATTTCGGATGCTTTGCAGCAGCCTTGTTTTAAACCGTTAAAGTGTTTTATTTAAATGTAGACTACTCGCGTAAACCCCAGACAGTGTTTTTATAACTGTCATGACTTAAGTTATCTTACATAATATGAAATTTCCATGTTTAGTCATTTTCAGAATTAAGATATATTACAGGAAGATAGAAGCATTTTCGTCTAATATATCATAACAACACACATAACTAAGGCAAATGTTGGTAATTGTAATAAACGAATTTTCAATTAACTTTCATTTGGACAAATAAAACTGCACAAAATAATACCATGGTCTTTGTTTTTGTACATCCATTTGTTGCCATCTTCAGTAGTTACCAGCTTATCTCTACCAAAACCGGCATTGACGAACGCATTCACAAATGTGGCTGATAAGTTCTGCCGCGCAGAATCGACTGGGTGGTCAGCCAAGAGTGAGGGTCGGAGTGCAGAACCAGCTGATTCCAACCAAGTTTTGTACACTTCTTCAGGAGTTTTAGGTTCCATGATGTCAAGCTAGAATGTTTTGTGTTGTGTTGAAATCGTCATTTTAATTAATTTAAAAAGGAATTCTCACAGTTAACCAGAAATATGTGCTGTGGTAGTCTATATGAAAAAATAATTACCTCTCTACCCAAACTCAAAAAATGATCATTAATGTGTGCATTCAACAAAATCGTTCTGAGATCTTCGTCATCCAAGTCAAATGGAATATATTGCCGAGCTAACATGTAGCATAATTGTTTCTTGACTAATCTGTAAATATAAGAGAATATAGCAATTAGTAAATAATTTATGGGAAATTACATATTGATAAAAGGTAACCTATATGTTTCTCACTTTAGACTGTTCAAAAGTTATATTGATGCAAGATTGTAGGTTTACTCACATATCAGGGCATGAACTAAACACTGCTTCACACTTAGCCTTATCATTCAGCTGCATTGCAACAAGCATGGCTCTCGGGTACTCTCCAAACTTTACATATGTGTCAAGTACTCCCTTGAGGATTTGGGTGGATTCAGGTTCTACTACATAGCTTGCACATCTGGAACAACACAAATAGTTATTTCTATTGTTTTTTTTTTTTTTTATAAAAAAATCTACTATTTTTAAATATAGTGAGAAATGAGGACTGTCTGTAGTTTACGTGAGTAGTACACATTTAAATAAAACATGGTTTAAATCGAGATATATTTTAACTTATATGAATCGCATTTTAAACCACATTGTTAGTGTTTTATTTAAATAGTGAGATATGGTTCTTAATAATTCAAATATCACTACCAAACAAAAACCCAAGTATCCCATCTTCTCATCATCTTTATACCACTTTATACTTTTAAAATACATAATTTACTAGTTTTGGGTAACATAATGCATACATATAACATGTCATTGCTTTACTCAACTTTTTTCAAAAAGTAAATCTTAAGTATAATCATTTGAAATAATATTTTTATGTAAAAATTAGCATACCCTATCAAATATAAGCAAACTCGTGGGTAGTTGCTCTGGTCCATGTGCTGCGTAAGGAGATCTAATTTATCAATTTCCATAAGCAGGTCACAGGCTTGTATTTCAGCAGAGTGCTTCATATCAAAAGCTATTACGTCACGGACAAGTGGTAATAATGTGTCTACGTTTTCTACATTCCATTCCTCTGAAATTTCTCCTTCAAGCTGTCTGTAAAATTAAAACGTAATAAATATTTGTTAAGAATAAACTTTAGTAACTTTAAGTGGGTTGCTTCTATTTGTTTGAAGATTCTATTAGAAAGTCAATAGTTCTTTGTGGTGAGTAATGGGTAGTAAATTGTGTTTACCACTGGTCTAATGGCTAGAAAAACTGTAACCAGCCCAGGTACTGGTTTAGTTACTCTACTTAAGAAATAAGTTTGTACAAGATATCAAATCACATACCTAACATACTCATGACCCCATTCTCCAACATTGGCCATTGTACCCAATAAGCAGTATTTTAGACATTCCCTCTTCTCTGCTACATCCTAAAAATCATACATTTATTAATTTAGTACTCTTACAACTGATTTAACATTGTTGTATCATGCATTCTCAATTTGTGTTTGTAAAGGCTTTTGGCTCCTATAATGTATAATGTAAAATAAAAAATAGCTTTGTTATCAAGCATTTATAGTGAAAATATTTTCATTTTCAAAAAACTATTATACTGTTCTTACCACAGTCCCACTCACACCCATTGCCAGTACTGAGACTACATCAGCACAGAACTTCTTGGTTTTAGGGTCTTTAATTTTCTCATAGACCTCCTTCAGAGCTGGATAATGTTCTCGCAAAAATTTTAACGGTTTTGGTACAGACGTCATTGATGTTGTTGATGTGCGAATAAGGTTACTTAACATTTGCAGGGCCGGAAAATACAGTTCAACTTCATTGCCCTAAAAAGATGGACCCAAACTATAAAAATGCTACAGAGGCTAAATCACATCACATCATATCCTGACATTATTACATACCACAAGTTTTTCAACGAGCATGTTAAGCTCCTCCTGAAGTCGTTTATCTTCTTCAGACTGAAATAAAATTTTATAATTTAGGGTCTGTAAGATTTCCTATCTCGAAAAAGTATAAGCAAAATATTTACCAAATCATCATTTGTCGCAGCTACGGGTTCCACTTTCTCCTTCTTAGCCTCTTCTTGTTTATTTTTTACTGTCATGTTGCTTTCGGTTTTGTTAATATATTAAACAAAATCAATTTTAAACTTATAAAGTATTTTCTTTATGCACAATGACCGACACCAAATCGTGAATCTTGCAATTTTGACAAGTCACCGCTATCACCAGAGACACGAAATATTACTAAAGAGTATAAAGCAATATAGATACTACAACACGCTTCTAATAGAGGCACAGGCAGATTAAACATAACAGAGTTAAATAAAAATCGGTAATATTGCTCAGTGCTCCATTAATCTCCTTAGTAGGTTCAAATTGTGGGTTAAAGCCTAAAGGATGGATAGACTAAAAACAAAAAACTACGTGGCATAGCGACTGTACTGTTGCTATAGCTTTAAAGTATTTTATACTAACAATTAGAGAAAACTGTTGTTGATTTTTGTTAATCAACAAAATTTCAGTATTCATTTATGTTAACCGCAACTTTTTTGGTGGTATACCTTAAATCCTAAGATTATTGAAGTAAAATCTAGATAACTAGATACGGCGAAAGAATAAAAAGATTTCTATTTCTCAAAATACTTACTCATCGATAAGCCGATACGTTTATGTATTCGAAACACCAATGACGCACCTTGTAGAAATCTCAAAGAATAAAGGGATAAACTGCTATTGTTCTCTGCATAATATCGATATGCATTTATTCAAAAAACAGTTAACTCGCCTGCGAATCCACTCTCTCATAAGCCGACGATGTTCAAATGTTGTTTATATTTTGTATAGTGTCCAGTTACACAGTCGTCTGCGCAAGTAGTCTCATATATCGTAATTACCAGGAATAAAGTGTTACACGAAAAACATCTACTTTAGTGCTCGGTAGTAAAAATGAATCACGTGCAAAAAATGAGATTTAAATATAGATATAGCAGAAATTATCATGAAACCCTTATTCAGACAGACTTAAAAGGTATGGAGTCGATACCACGACCAAAGGGTTTGCCCATAATTGGTACAAAACTAGATTTGATCAAGGGTGGATTGGGCACGAAGTAAGTAGATTTTTGATATTTGTAATATATCAAATTATTCGTATACTAACGCCTAATTTCATTAGGTTACATGAATTTATTGACGCGCGACACCGGCATCTAGGTAATATATTCATTGAAAACTTTGGAACAACTGATTTGATATTCGTAAGTGATGCCGATTTAATACGCACACTTTTCATAAGCCTCGAAGGAAAATATCCATCACATATTCTACCTGACCCGTGGCTTCTATATGAAAAACTTTACGGACAAAAAAGAGGTCTGCTTTTTATGGATGGCGAGGAATGGTTGCAGAATCGACGAATAATGAATAAACTTTTGCTTAGAGAAGGAGCTGAGAGTTGTATTAAAAATTCTGTGGCACAAACAATTCAAACCTTTATTCAAACTTGTGCAGAAAAATCCGAAAACGAAATTATATTTAAAGATATTGCGTCGAACTTGTATAAACTTTCAACAGAAGGTAGGTAAAATATGCTTATTTTATTGCACTTATACTATAATTTACTTAGTTTAGTTAAAAACTTAGCATATTTATTTGTATAATAAGGATAACGCACTTGTAACGGTTCTTAAATGCTACCTACATGATTTAATTAATTTTTACGCAAAGTAGATAGGGACAAAAATTAAGATACTTCGCGTCAAAATTGTTATTATTTTATTATTATTCTATGACTGGCACTTAACTTGGCGTAAAATACAGAATAATTACCAAATATCTTTCCCTCCATACGTGTTTGCTTATATCATATTTGTTTGTTATGCGCCAGATTTAGTTATTTAAGGTAAATACCTGTTTTATATACTTTTAGTCCTCATACAAGTTCTAATAGGAAATACAGACCCACTAAAAGGGAACCACTATGATGAGCTACTTCAAATATTCACGGAATCAGTAAAAAAAATATTTCAAACAACAACAAAGTTATATGGCCTTCCCATTACTTGGTGTCAACGCCTTAACTTAAAAGTGTGGAGAGATTTTAAAGAAGCAGTTGACGTATCCCTGTTATTAGGTAATAAACGATTTATTAAAATACCACAATACCATATGTAGGTACGTATGTACCTACATATAAAAATCAAAGTTTAAAGTATGTTAGGATATTTCATTTAAAATCAGTATTAATAATTATTTTTGCATAGGAAACAAGCTCGTTAACGAAATGCTAGCACTAAAGAGAAGTGAAGATGGTCTCATGTCGAAGATGATAAAAGAAAATATGAACGATCAAACTATTTCAAGAATTGTTGTAGATTTCATAATCGCTGCAGGAGACACGGTAATGAATAGTAAATATCTCTTTCATACATTGAATAATATAATTATGTATAACATCCTCGTTACAGACTGCTTACACGTCGCTGTGGATTCTTTACCTTTTGTCGAGAAATACTCAAGAGATAAATGCAATACGTATCAACGGACAAACATATATTCCGTTTGTAATTAAGGAAGCTATGCGACTTTACCCTGTAGCTCCATTTTTGACTCGTATACTGCCTCAGGATGGTATTTTAGGACAGTATAATGTCAAAAAAGCGGTAATTATTTTTTTTATTACAATTTCATGTAAATATAGCAAGTTATTGCCTTACCTCTCAAAAACTTATTAAAATTTGACAAATATTTGTGGGTATTCACTTTTTAATTAAAATTAGATAATCCTATTTATTTTTATCTATAGCTATTATTAACAACACTACTGATAATTTTCTGGCTCTGTTACCGATTTTCATCTTTACGCAGCAGTCTTTGACACATATCTTGAAAAACCGAAATTTGAAATTGTCAACAGTCAACACTCAATACAAAATCAAAACATTGTATGAATTTAAAATATTTTGTCCCGCATTGTACCAATGAAATATTAAGTTTAATAAACATGTATAGTCAAATCTTGTGTAGAAATGTCAGGCTAACAAGATTACAACACCCAGCGTATAGTTTCTTTTGTAACTTACATGGAAATAACCTAAATTATAATAACCACAGTGGTAAGCATAACTGGGACCAGAAAAGACATTTATCACTAGAATCGGTGGTCAAGTGGCAACAGGAGACTTACATGAGTATATCGAATAGCACCTTAGTAAATTTTATGCAAGATGGTTTGCTTCAAATTCATGAAGTCAGCGGTTTAAATTGGTGGTGTACAATTGTCTCTTCAACTATACTTATCAGGGCATGCATGACACTACCTCTGACTGTCTATCAAAACTATATATTGGCTAAAGTTGAAAATATAGGCTTAGAGCTAAAAGACCTTGTCAATGAATTAAAAAAAGAAACTTCTATAGCTAGGAAAGTGTACAGTCTAAATGATAAACAAACAGTATTATTGTATAAGAGATCTTTAAAGAAACAATGGAGACAACTTATAGAGAGGGATAACTGCCATCCACTGAAAGCTACATTAGTAATTTGGTTTCAAATACCCCTCTGGGTTTGCATGTCCTTTGCAATAAGAAATCTAGTAAACATGCACCCACCTCATCCATCTGCTATGGTGACTTTCATGGAACTATCAACTGGTGGTTTTGGCTGGATTCCTAATCTAATTGAACCGGATCATTCTTTTATTCTTCCAGTAGCATTTGGTTTGACAAACCTAGCTATAATTGAAATACAAAGAATGTCCAAGCTAAGAGAGCCATCACGAGTGTACAACATATTTACTAATGTTTTTAGAGGATTCTCCATTGTAATGATACCAATTGCCGCTAATGTGCCTTCATGCCTTTGCCTATATTGGGTTACATCTAGTGCTTTTGGTCTAATTCAAAACTTATGTCTTCTTTCCCCCTCATTGAGAAGGAAACTAAGGATACCCTTGGCCCCAAGTGAACTTGAAAATCCTTATGTACATATGAAGGAAGATATTAGCTATAAGTTAAGAAATATATTGCCCAAGAAGTCATAATATAAGATTTTTATTAGTTCCATGCCAAATGAGTTACCATTCACAAATTTCAGACACCTATAATAGCTTCCATTTATACATCAGGCAGAGAGCAGAAATATTTCAGTGAACCGGAATCATTTTTACCTTATCGCTGGGATAGACACGACGAGAGGAAAAAAGGTCTTAGCAATCATGTCTCGTATGCTTCATTGCCGTTTGCTCTCGGTGCTAGATCTTGTGTGGGAAGAAAAATTGCCATGGTTCAAATGACAGAGCTTATTTGGCAGGTAAGTCATTTCAAATTTCTATTAATCATAGTTTATTGTTTATGAAATGTTTTCATTATTCTGTAGTATTAAGTTTAAAGTTCTTCGGCCTTATTACAAAAAATACTTTCACCAGAACTGCGGAGTCTTGGTTTATCTCTTAAGCCATGGTCTAACTAAATTAAAGTTAGTACCATAGTTAGACCAGTACAAACATTAAATTTTGTTTTGTAATAAGGATTTCAAATAAACCAGGTTTGAGAGTTAGTCCTTTAATAAGAGTGTATGAATATTTTATTTAATGTGTCGTATTCATAAAAGCTATCCACAATAATTAATAGTACAGGATAATTTTACTTACTGAGTAGTAAGTTTTCGGAAATTCATTAAGAAAATAAACAACACTTATGGTATGAATTCATTGCGAACATTATTTTTTCAGGTTGTGGACAGTTTTGATTTAGTGTGCTTGAATGGTGATAGTATAACACCAATTACTTCTCAAGCTCTAATTCCAAATAAGAAAATTGAAATTCACTTCAAGAAACGTGTATAAACAAGATAATTTTGCATATATTTGGATATATGTATGTTTAGGATAAGATTTGAATATGTTACTATATACATTATTGTTAACCTTAAGGAAATAAATAAAGAATTATTTGCTTAGTGTTTACATTATGTCAAATGTATTTTATTAATTAATTGTACATACACATCCTTTTAACATTTCAATATACAAAGATAAATTATATTTAACAGTTAAAATTAACTTATAGACAATGAACACAATATAATGAGGCATAAGTACACGCCAATAATTATTATAGAATATTTAAACCATTATAATGCATATGTTGAGTTTACATAGAGTAGAGCAGACACAGTGGGTCTACTAAACTAAAATATTTAGCACTTCATTCAGCATTCTTCAATACCACAAATTTGATTGAGGATAATAAATAAATATGGTTAATTACATTTTCCATTTCACTAATAATTGCCTTAAAATCATGGTTCTAACATCCTCAAGCCATTGCTCCTTATAATCAAGTTCAACAATATTTTTAAAAGCTTTCAGCCGGCTCTCTTCACTCATTTCACCTGTCAATAAATATGCTACTGCTTCGACACAAAGGTAACCTACACCATCTCCGAGAGACCACACATAAATTTTAACAACCGTATCTGGAGTAAATTGAAATTGTATGATAGCACTGCTCAATAGTGTCTTTATTCTATCGAACAGAAATCTGTCAGCTAGGAGAAGTACTTCCAAGTTAGTATCCAAATTCTCCGACAGGGGAAATGTTTTAATCGCATCACACTTTGAATCTTTAAAGTAACAGTATAGAAGTGTGAATAGGCACTCCAAAGCAGGCTGACTAACCGTTTTGAGGCGTATATATTTCTCCGAGGACTCTTTGAATGAACCGGTTAGCATCACTTTGAACACATCTGAATGTTGGCACAAGAAGTTCCTGCTGGCTTTAACAGTGGAATTATCGTCTAGGACAAACGTTACTATGTCATCTTGAGAGAAATCAAGGGTGATACTCTCATAGTGAATAGGAACATAGGAGGCATACCGACTCTCGACAATTTTTGGGTCTTTGATTTGGACCTGAGCAACCAATTTTATTAAGGCGGGGACACATAGCTCAATGTTGTCTATCGAATCGGAAATCATGGAGAAGGGGAGGTTCAATGCTTCACAGTCCACGAAGTATTTTTTCAAAATCTTTTCTGATCTGTAAACAAATGGTGTTTTAATATTTAACAAAAATCTAGAAGAAGAAATTGACATTGAGATGCCTTGTCTATGAATATTCATATGATAAACAAGTTACTTAAGTTATAGGCAATTTAAGTCAACATTATCCCAGCATAATAAACCAAGTATTCCCAAACCTTCCGGGAGGCAGAACAAAATTAATTATTGATATTAAGTCATAACAACCCCCTGACACAAAGCCCCGATTGGTCATTGATGAAATTAGGGTACCCCGAATTAAACCCCAGTCCAATATCTCGTATCGATAAACCACACAGTAGTGCAATAGCTATTAATAAGTTTGTACAAACCTAATTAAGTATGGCAAGGTAAGAGCCAATGTTTGCTTCACATCCTCACTGCCCTTCAGTAAGTGGTAACTTATTTCACCAATCCCATGGCTTGACTCTGCCACAACCGTCAAGTGTTCCAAAAACTTTGCGCCTAGTCTTAAAAGCTAAAACAATTAATACTATGTTATATTGTACTTTATTTAAATTCAAAGGGTTTTTGGCAAAATGTTCTATAGGTGGGTGAGTACACTGTGAGACCAGCCTTGCGAAACAATTAAGTCTAATTAAGTTAAATCACGTAGGACTTGAGGCAGACACTGGTTTTATTTACAGGCAAGTAGTTGTTGAGACTTCTGTGGTCAGCACAACCGAAGGTACTATATTTTCCCAGGATTTGAGCTCTGGATTAGTATTTCCTACATTGAAACTTAAATAAATCATCAAAAAACTTGGTCAGTTATTACTATCAGAAAATTACTTTTCAAGAGACTTTCAAGAAAAACACAATGGGAGGCTGTTAGCACAGTGTAGACCCACCTTATCTCTAGAATCTTACTTGTTTACACTGTCGACAGTCAGTAGGTGGGTGTTCGGTTTTTACAGACATATTGTGTATTCTAACCGGCAATTTATGTTTTAGAAGGCTTATTAGGCACAAAGAGTTGCTGCAACAGAAATTTTAATAATAATCAAATTGGGAAAACAACTCTATTCAGTAAAAGATATACATTATAAAGTTGAGTATGACTAGTTCATCTCAGGCGAACACTTTAAGGGAGCGTGTTAAAATATTGCGTGATAATTATTTTTTATTTATATATATGCATTTGTATTAAATTGCTGGCAAGTAGAAAGGGCTGGCGCGCCCATTGCCGAAACTGCATGCCAAAGAATATTATTTTCGAGTTATTTCAATAACATTAGAATTCATGTTTAATTTTGACGCCACGGCAAGATCCTACAGTTTATTCCACTGTGCTTAAATTTGAGCTATGAAGGGCAATTTTCGCATTCAATACCATTATTTCTGTCCAAAAACTAAAATCAGTTATCAACAAAAAAAGTACTGTTTCCTTACGTCAAAACTCTATTGATTATCCTAGCAGCTCTACCAGTAGGCCGTCTACACTTCTCCACATAATCCAGCAAGGCATTCATACATTTGCTCCCCGCCAATAGTTCCAAATTAGGCGAAACCTCTTCATTGTTATTCGCTTGCATAGGAATACCGAATGACACTCGATATAATATCACTAATATGCACATTACACCTGACGGTTTGGTAATATTTGAAAGTTCTTCGTTTTCTGAAAGATTTTGATTTATTAGAGTAAAGATATAATAAGTGAAAACCCATTTTACCTGAATAGGGCCACCATAAGTGTCAAAAAAGAAAACCATTTATTTATGTAGGTAGCTACATGCAAGTGGCAATGTACATTGGCTACCACTTCCCAAGTCAAGGGCGTAGAACGAACGAAAAGAACTGGCAAGAGACTCGCCGCCACTCCTTTTATTGTCCAGTTTTTAATGTTGTTGTCAGTACAATGACTTAATGTGTACATCTTCTTCATTAGAGCGAGTTCCTTTAAGCCCCAAGTAGTTATAATTGAAATATTTCTTTACGTTATAAGAACGCTTACCGAGCAGTTATTGTTTAATACGCAATAGGATGTTGCGAATACTCGCATCTGCATCCGCAAATGCGGAAATCCGCATCGATTTTGAAATCCCATCTGCATCCGCATCCGTGTAAATCGAGGCGGAGCTGATGCGGATGCGAATGCGTAGCAAGTTTCGAATGAAAGAAAGGGGAATCCCGGGAGTGGCGTGTGTCGACCGCAAGTGCTTATTGACCAAGGAAAGCAATAATTTTGTTTAGGAATTCGGTGAATCTGTAACGGTTACGCGCGTCGTATTGTTTTGTTGTGACTATGACAAGATCCGACGCGCTCGTTTATTTTTATTGTTTTTTTAATTCAAATTAACTTTTGTAATTACTATGGACAAGGGAACTATGCCACCACCTATGCAAAGCGAAATTTGGACATATTTTAAACTTGTCGAAAATGACCGGGATAAATCCCAATGTCAATTTGTAGTAAAACATATTCACGCAAGGGTCGCATAATCGTCGCTCAAGAATCATTTAGCAATGCACCCTGAAGAGTTTGCTTCGTTTGAAAAAGCGAATAACGAAAAGCAGATACAGAAAAGAAAACTGATGCCGGTAAGTTGCATTTTGGGAAAAATTGCCTAATTTAAAAAAATACTTACTTATTTGTACTTGTATATAAGCCTTGTAATATTATAAGTATTGATAATGCAGTAGGTATTTAAGAAGAAATACGTGTTTGAAATCCCGTTTCCCCTCGTGGGGCATAGGGCGAAAACATATGTCCATTTAGGATTGGTTTTATTTACAGGCAATTGTTGATCAGAATTCTGTGCTCTGCCCGACCGAAACATATTACTGTTTCCCTGGGATTCGAATATAGGACCTCTCGCTCTTGACGCAATGCTAGGCAACACGTTTAACCATTAGCTAAGAGGCGGTGTATGTAATACGTAATTTCTATAATGGGCCGATCCTACTAAATCTTAAAACTGAATTTTGAATCCGAAATCTTAGATTTGTCATATAAACTGGAATTCAGTTAAAAGTTAGCACAAAAAAGTTTTTATCATTTAAATCATAGTGAAAATATGTGTGATTACAGTACAACTTTTAAATTGAATTTACTTTATAGCGGTTGTTTATATTTAAAAAAAGCTGTTTATATATTTATTTGTTTTAGGTAAAATCTTACGCCTCTCCAAGAAGCAAAGAAACAGCTTTCTTTAGAGGAAGTATTACAAAGATAAGAAATGGGATTCAATAACAAAACTCGAAAAAATTGATTCGGAGAAATGATTGCGCTTCAAAATTTACCTTTTAATTTTGTGGAAGGACTTGGTTTTTCGCAGACTGTTACAAGAAATAGCACCGAGATACATTTTTAGAGGGCGAAACTTTTTCACTGAGTTTGTGTGTAAGGAGCTGTATGGCAGAATTGCTATAAAAGTTAAACAATTAATTCAAAACTTTGATCACATGTCATTTACTTCTGACATTGGTCAGATCCTAGCTCTAATGCCTCTTTGCTTAGTTTGACTTGTCATGGGATAGCTAGAGATTTTGATCGATCATCAATTATTTTGAAATGTGAGACCTTTGCCGACCGTCACACAGGTGATAATAGCTGAAAAATTTGACACAATGCTTACGGAATGGAATATTCAAACAATCAAGTGCATTGCATGATTCGAGACGAAGGCTCCAATATGAAAAGAGCGATGCGATTGGGACAATCCAAGACTTGTGTGCAGTTCATAAGATGCAACTTGCCATCCGAAATTTTTAGGAGTACAAGAAAATGGCTATCAAACAAAAATTAAAAAAATATCGACGCATTTTAACCATTCTACTATAGCGCAAAAACAACTGCACAAAATCCAGGACAGGCTCAACCAACCACATCTCAAAGTTTTTTCAAGATTGTGTTACGCGATGGAATAGTACTTTTTATATGTTAGAGCGTTTTTTGAAAGCAAAAGATGCCTTAAGCCTTTACATTAATGATAGGAGATAGACCCTATTTATAGAAGAGTGGAATATCATAGAATGTTGTTTGAGTTATTAAAACCTTTTGAAGAAGCCACACGTGAACTTAGAGCTCTCTGACTCTCATTTCATCGTTCCAATCGAATACTAACGAAGTTAGTGACTATTTAACAGCTTACCAGAATTCCAATTCACCATGCAGCTACAACTTTAAAGCTGAAATTTCAGGAAAATTTTCCACTTTTTGGAAGAAAATAACTTATAGTCATAGCCACCTACTTAGATCCTCGCTATAAGAACAAATTTTTCACGTCAATTACCGAGGAAAAGATTAAGAGAAATTGAAGATTAGCAGAAACATCGTAGACATGGCTTCTCAAACAATGTCTCCAGGTACCGAGGAGCGAAGAAAATGAGATATTCTATGGAAACAATGCGGAACGACCGGGGATCTCAGGTACAGAACAGCAGTCCTTTTAATTAGTGATCTTGCATATCTCGATTCATAAGTATATAGGTCAGGAAAAACAGAAATTGTTAGCCCTGACGCAATTCTTAAGAAAGAGTTACTAACTTTCCGGTATAAGAAGCGAATTAATTTGACTGAGAGTCCTCTTAAATGTGAGTTTAGAGCGAATTAAAACTTTTATCTAAAATAGCACGCAAATTTTTATCAGCTCCACCAACCAGTGTTCCAAGTGAACAATTATTTAGTAGCGCAGGTCTAATTTACGAACCTTTACGAAACAGACTTGAGTCCGACAAGGCGGCCATTCTTCTTTTCATTAAATAAGCTCCATTATTCAAATTTAATTACTAAAATAATAAATCTATTCTATATATAACTACTGACTCAGCTAGTTAGTAAATATAATTTTTAATTAAAATTAAATACTACTGTATTAATAAATAAAAAATCATAAATAATACTGTTTTTTTTTCATTTCAAATCAACACTTAAGTATTTGTAGACCGCATCCGATCCGCATCCGAGGATGTGAGCCTCTTAAAATTCGATCTGCATCCGCATCCGCGATGTGGAAAAGTGGGTCCGCAACATCCCTAATACGCAAACATTACCTTCATTTGGCCATTCACTGCTGCTTTCCTCGTCTTCCATTATAAGTTCTTCAAGTTCGTGTGCCACTTGGGCAGGGTCTACGGCGCTCTTTTTGGGCTTGCTACCTTCGTCTTCACTGTCGCTGCAGACCGGGGAGTAGCGACCAGATACTTCAGAGTCTGAACTATCTAGCAGGGGTATATTTTTATTAGTGTTAAGAGTATTCTTGAGTATTAAAAATCTGTTTGACTTACAGATTTTTTTATTCTTATCCTAAGTTATTCAATATCAGTTAAGCGGACTAGTAGTAATGGAAACATATATCCATATAACTTTCAACATACTAATAGGAAATTATGCACAGCCACACAGAACAAATGTACCTAATCTCCGTTTGCCTGTTTTTAGTTTTAAGATGAAGAAGGAGATAGTATAATATAATTGTTGCATTTAAAGTTTCAAAGTGTAAAATTATAGAAGTTACGACAGTTATAAAATACAGTTACTTACTTTCTTCTATACTAAGTGGGGACGCTGGACCAGAACTGCTACTTGGGCTCCAAGGATACGAATCATTTCTGTATGGTGACGTAGAACTCCCATCTGTACTACTGGACGCTGGACTCCAATCCCAAGCACTCCTCTTGCTATTGTATTCTGGACTTAAACCGGACCAATTTCCATCGGAATAAGGTGATAGAAGTTCTGGGCTCTCTGGCTGCCAATGTTTGTTTACCATGCTTTTCTGCAGATAACAAAGTCAAAGCCATAGTCAACACAACTCTACTTTTGAAAACCTTTATATTAATATAACCTTTATATAAAAAAAAAAAACTATCATTATAAAAGTTGAACCTTAATGTGCAAGTGTTAAGGTTGAAATTACAATGCGCGAGAGGTGCAAATATGAATAGGTTGAAATATTAGTCGATGACGTTACGGAACGCTGCCGATTAAAGTCCTGCGCAATTTTTTCAATCTAAAATCGATTTTTAATTTACAACTTTACCTTTAAATAGAATACTAACGGTTAAAAACACGATACATTATATGTATCGTGTTATTTGAAAATTATTTTTAACTATGACCCGACTTTTTAAATAAGTATAACTAATATATATCGCGTTTTAAACCGTTAAAGTGTTTTATTTAAATGTGAACTACTCGAACTACAGACAGTATCTAACTTTACCTTTTTTGTATTTCTTTCATTAGTAAACGCCCGTTTTAAGCACTCTTGTTTGAATAGTGAAACCGAGTCTGTAGCATCAACATCGCTGTCCGACTTATCGCTACCGATTGCATCGACTAAACCTATTAGCATGTTATCTCGTTCTATCACCACTTTGAGGTCATCTTCTGTCTCTGCCGCTAGGTTTTCTTGTATATCTATGCCTAATTGATCACCTTTTTCATTCTCAGCATTTTTCTCAGTTTTCTTTGCAAATTTACCTTCAGATAGTAGATTATGCTCAACTTCCATAGTTTTAACATAGTTAGACAGTTTATCAGTAAGAAGTGTGATCAAGCCTTCATCGATTAATATTTGGAATGCTGAAAACAAAATAAATTAAAATAAAAAAAAAATGTGTGTTTTTCCATGGTGTTAAATTCAGTTGGTAAGAAAAAAGTTGTGTTCATGGATGCAATTCCACCAACTTTACCAAAGCAGAGACGAGAAGACTGGACAAGAGATGTTTCTTAAGCAAACAATAGAACTGTGTTATTGACTCTCTGCTCAGCTTTAATGGAGAAGTGGGAAACGTGTAATATTTGTGTAAGGTGTGATGTTTTAAATGTAGTCTAAATTTACCTCTGTTATCAAAGACATATTGAACTAGAGCATGCATAGCATGACTATTGACCCGTGCAGCTGCCACAAGTAAGGGCAAACCTCCACAGTGGCGCAAACGCGATCTATTTACTGATTCACCACTCAGTTGAGCTAATGCTTTGGCCGCACCGTCAGGCCAGCACTTCACTTCTAAAAATTAATATTTAAAATATTATATTAGCGTTTATTTTTCAGTATCTATAGATTTGGACCCAAAGGTCCTAATAAAAATTGTACAAAGCCAGAATAGACCGACAGTGCATCTTTTTTAGATGTTATATGGGTATTTAAATAAAACACTTCAACGGTTTAAAACGCGATATATTAGTTAAACTTATTTGAAAACAGTCTCCCCGTGACCACGGCTGCTGCAAAGCATCCGAAACGTCGGGCCGAAGTTAAAAATCATTTTCAAATAAGTTTAACTAAGATATCGCGTTTTAAACCGTTAAAGTGTTTTATTTAAATGTGTACAACTCGCGTAAACTATAGACAGTATTTTGTTATATGGGTATCTCACCTACCACCATGTGAACCCTCTATCATAAAACAATAACATACAATAAAATTTGATTCTTTCTACTGAACACATCCTATGTATTAATAAACTCTAAAATATATTTATACTAATATATAAATTATTTGAACGCGCTAATCTCAGACTTATAGAAACGCGGAAACATCGCAAGAAAACGGTTCAAAATACCCAAAAATATGTATGAAAGAATGATTCTTTTAAAATGGTTAAAAGAAAATGTAAGCAACAGTATATATTTATCTTTTAGGTTTAACTTACAACAACGATGGTACGACGAGCGACGTTGTGGGTAAGCTTAAATCTCTAAAAATGTGCAGGTTTGCAAAAACAAATTTTGATGCCCAAAATAACTATTCTATGCAGACGAAGTCTCTAAGTAATTTAACATGCAAAAATATACAATTCATTTTACCTGCATGCCTCTGTAAAATATTGACTAGACATTCAACCAGGCCTGCTGTGCCCAGCAAAGGGCGACATGCAGACAAGTAACAAAGGTTCATTAAACATTTCAATGCTAATATCTCATTTGTTTTTGTCAGGGCAACAAGACATTGGTAACCCCTGCCATCACCTTGAAGCTAAAAGACAAATATATACATATATTTTTGTTTAGTTTATTAAAGTAAACTATGTGTGTGAAATCCTGTTTCCCCTTTGTGGGGCATGGGGCGAATACATTTCTGTGCCCGTTTCACTGATCCGTTCTTTTTTTAACAGGTAAGTAGTTAATCAGATTTCTGTGCCCTACCCAACTGGAACAAAATTTCTTTTTTGTTCCTGTGGGATTCGAACCCGTTTAACCATTTGGCTACAGAGGCAGCTAAAGTGAACTATACATTTTGCAATTTTACCTTTTTATTTATCAAATGTTTTTTTTAGGTTGCCTGGGAGAGATTGCTTGTAATGCAAAGGCTGCCCGTATTATTGTTTTGGCTATTAAATAAATACGTATTTTTATGCTTCTATTAATTACCTGGCATAATTTTAATAATAATAAATAAATAACTTAAGTCTTCAGTTTAGTAAAATAAACAACTTTAGTAATACAAAACTAATTGTTAAAAAGGTTATTATATGTATTTTTACAACAGCAGTGTGTTTATACCTGTTTAGCACATTTTGAAGTAGAATATGTAGTGAAGTGGCCTAAACATTTCAGGATACCAACAATTAATTCTTCTTGGCTCTTGCTAGGCTCTATAATTATTCTATCCAACGTGGTGGACTTGATCAAACCAATTGATTCACATTCTGTTGTTAACAGAATAGCTATACACCTGACGACACTCATACTCAGCATTTCATCTCTTTTATCTGTTATTGTCCATAGTTGTCTGAAAGGATTTATTTGAATTAAGACAGAGACAAAATGTAGTAGAAATTTTGTACAGCCTTTTAAAAATATGACTTTTTTGGCTTCAGTATAGACTAAGTCTAAATGTAATTATAATTAGCCAACAAACAATAGTTTATCAAATCTTAGTGCAAGAGTATTAATAAGCCATTTCCTTTATTATCTAAATAATTAATAAAAGTGAAAAAAATTACCTAATAGCCCTTACAGCCATCATAAGAGTTGGATTTGATGTACTCTTGGTCCTGCCCTCAATGAGGGAGACCAAAGCACTAATAACTCCGCGATTGTACAGGCCTTCTGCATTTGTTTTGGTCTGTGCCAAGTTACCAATAAGTTTGCAAGTTCTCCCAAGAATACTGTCTTTAGATACAGTGTTTAAGATAGAAACCAAGGGACCAAAAGTGTTTAGTTTACCAACCTATAATGGAAAGCAAGTATACAAATATTTTTAAAACAAAAAATTATTTTAATAAATTTTGAAAATTAAGTTTAATCTTACCGCTAGTCTACATTTTTCATCGAGACAAACATTACCAAGAATGCTTAACGTTAAGTCTAGGATGCGTTCATTGGGTTTTCGCAGGTGAGGCAGTAGATATTCTAGTCCTCCACATTCTCGGAACGCCTTTATTCCCTTTTCCGAAGTTATGATGGAAAGTCTAATTTTCATAAGAGAATCTTGTATGCGACTGGACGAAGAACATTTAAGTCCTTCTACAGTGGATTTTATGTAATCTTTCTCCATTTCGAAGGTAGTTTTAGCATTTTTTTATATTCAAAATAAATTTATTTGTTTTTTTTTGACGCTATTTTTTGTTATTATGAAAAAAGATGGCGTATGCGTAGTTGGATCTTGACACCTGACATTGATGTTTATACATTAAAAAATAATAGTGATCGTAGTCTGTAGAGTGTAGACTATGTTTATTCTATGTTGATCAAAATTGGAATAAGTTTTTGTAAACAGAACAGCGGAATTAGTGGCGGAATCGTGCAATTTGCAAAACTATAACTATACACTTTCATTCAGTAGCAAGAAATATTTATTAAAGTTCGTCTGAACAATTTGGCAAAGTGGTAATAATTCAATATATAAGGTTCCCTTAATTAAGAAACAAGGATAACCTTTAAGATGGGTAAAGACGATACAACAAAAAAACGTCGCAAATTGATGACTAGTTCTACAAATGAAAACGTTAAACAGTCTCCCGAAGACGTATACAAGGTACAGGAACGTCCTTTAATATTTCTGCTACATACATAACACCAGAACATATAAAACATAATGGTTATTGTTTATTACCTTTTTATAGAAAGTCGTAGATTTTGAAGAAGCGGAAGCTAGGCAGCGACCTGCTGAAAAGGATGCAGCCTTATTTAAAAAGATATGTCAGGATGTACGCCAGCTTTTTGCTGATATAGCAGAGCTTAAAGAGATCGGCACTGAGGAGGTAAATACCAAAATGTTTTATTATTACATATTATAACTGTCTGTATTATACTGTATTGTATTTTAGGCAAGAGAAAAAATTAATGCTAAGAGGATTGAAGCTTCATTGCAATTGGTCGCTCTGAAGAAAGTAAACAGATTGGAGAAAGTGAGAACACGTGCAGGTCGCGATGCCCTCCATAAAGAGAAACAAAGAGTTGACTCAACACATCTATTATTGCAAAATTTGTTGTATGAAGCTGATCATTTAAATAAAGAAGTAACTAAGTGCCTACAGTTCAAATCAAAAGATGAAGAGATTGAGCTTGTACCAGTTGAAGACTTCTACAAAAATGCCCCAGCAGATGTTTCACGTCCAGTAAATATGCTATTATTAGTTATAAATAAATTTAAACTTCTTTCTTTATTTTATAAGCCCAATCTTTATAAATATAATAATAATTTCCAGGATATAACAAAGACTGATGAGCATCAACTGCAACTTGCACGATTGGAATGGGAGCTTCGCCAACGTAGAGAACTATCTGGTGCTTGTAGTGAACTTGTTGCATCTAAAGAGAGAGTGGCAGCAGCAATTGCTGCAGCTAGGTCCCGTTTAGATGCCCTAGCCCCACACCTCAAAGATGTTCTTAAAGCGACAAAGCCATTACAAGAATGCTTAGCGTTAAGACTAGATGAGAAGAGAGAGGAAACTAAGTTGGCTGCATTGCTACCACCACCCTTATTTCTACTGTATGCTAATGCTAGTGCATACTCAGATGCTTTGGGTACCAAAAATTTGGTTGTTGGTATGTTAATATACATATTCTATAATATACATTTTATTTCATTAAGATTTGCAAAGAGTAGAATACACTCTTTGTTAATATTAATCTAGTTTCACTATAGTCTGTAGTCTTTATCTGTTATCATCATCATCAAAATAATTTATGTACATTAAATAATTTTTTTTTGAACTGTTTAAGGTATATCTGGTGATGAAGATGAGGCAAGACGATTTGATCAAACAAGCAACACTGAAGTTGAATTGGTGGTGTCCAATGATTCTGATTCTGATCAAGATGGTAATGACGAAGATCGAAGAGAGAAAAAGAAACGGCACCACAGATCTGCCAAAATATCAAAAGAAGAGAAAGCAGAAGCCAAAAAGAAAGAAGCCCTCAAGAAACACCCATTGCATGTATTAGTAACAGTTAAAATTCCAGATGGCACTGCTTTGAATCTAGTCTTTTCATATTTAACACATCTGAAAATTATTGTTGTAAGGTACACTATGCACCACCCAAAACCAATAACTGGTGTATCTGCTGCTGATGTTTTAGATGGGGACTGTGTATTGAACGAGTTGTATACTGGTGACACAGGTTCAGATTCACCACATCCTGCTACGACCTACTTGCTCAAGGCAGCAGGCATCTTAGATGGTTTTCCGCAGTTCATACCAGATATTGGTAAACCGTACATATGGGCTCAACGCATGTGCGGTCTGGATTTCATGACTGCTGTTGGAGATGAACAAAAAGATCTAAAAAATATTCAACTGTGTCCTAGTTTAAGTGTAGCTACTGTTGAGAATTTTATATTCACTCTTCAAAAGAGATTGAAAGCTAGAGTTGAGCTTATGAAAGAACTGCAAGACCTTGAATGTGGTAAAATAACTCCTACTAAGGAAATGTCATCTATAAGATTATCCGGTTCTTTGACACAGTGGCAGGCAGTGAGCTGGTCTGAATACAGTCAATCGCCATCAACAGCATTCTTGATATCTGAGAGTTTAGTGACACCGGATGATATGTTATACAGAGCCATAATAACTCGACAGTCCGCTAAGCTTGTAGCTCTTGTTTCATTGTGCAGTGATTATCCAAAGAAATCACCACTGTTTTCTCTAACCTTGCATTACAATGGTACATATGATAATGCCACAAGTGACGACATAAGGGACATAGAGAGACTTGTAAACACAGACTGGCAAAAGAGCAATATGTGTAGCCTTACAAATCAAATAACTAAGCTTTTAACTTGTCTGGATGTTTTACTTGAGACAATGGGTACACAAGAATTTCCTCCGGACAAAGTGATGTTACTACTTGTCCGTGGAAGAAACAGATTGAAACCATACAAGTTTTTAAAGCAAGGAACGGGAATGTTTGTGCAGGTTTAGCTAAAGGATTAATACCTAATTTGCATTGTAGCAGAAGAATAATATAGGATATAAAATTATGTTTTTTCTTTCTCCTTCTGATGAGTAATTGAAATAATATTACAGTTTTCGGACATTAAAAATAACTATTTATTACAAACTGAAACAAAACAAATTAATTTTATAATACAACAGTCTTTATTATTCTTATTCCAGTAAAGCATTGATCATTTTGGGAACGGGAAAAAAGAAACAAATACAATTCGCCATTACAGAATACCTTTTGTGAAAATACATACAATTTTAACGTCATACTGAAAATTTCCTAAAAAATACTTTGAAAACGTTATTCGTATTATCTTAACCTAAAAATGCCATATTGTTATTGGTCGATAATGAGATCTATACCATCTTGTCCATACCGAGATAATATTATAATTTTTATATCACACTACATAATTATAGGCAATGTTAAAATGGTGATATAATAGTTATGAGATGTGTTTGCAAAAACAATACTACATTTATATCCTACGTTATTATCTTTTAATTTTTTTGTCAATTTCTAGAACTAATATCGAAACATTTATATTGGCAAAGGTGTTTTACGTTAGCTGAGCTGAATGGACACAAAAGTCTTGTACTGACATAACGAACCTTGATTTTATGCAAACCTTCAAGTACAACCATTTCAAAGAGTACTACATCTATTTTCCTACTTAACTAAGAACGTATAAGCTTTACTAGTTCATTTGCACTATCGAGTTCTAGACGTCTACGGGCCCTACTTAAAAAAAAACTACAGATAAAAAAATATATAACTCACTATTGCAATCTCTGGTACTCTTCTACAACGTATTTTGTGTCTAAGATGATTTAATGATTCACTTTTTTTATTTTCACAATTTTTCATATTTATCACTTCGAGTCAGTTTCAAGGACAAAATAAAATCACTTCTCATCTTGTATTATAGTGTACTTATTTCTACATGTTGATCTTATTGCATTATGAGATCCCAGCCTCTAGTTTTACGTCCATAATCTGCTTGCGCGGCCCCTTGAGGCAGTTGAGCCGCCTTTGAACCGCGTCTCGATCTGTCAACATTATAATTTATTGTTATTTATTTAATATACAATAAAATATATGAAAACAAAAAAAAACTAATTTTATATTCACGCAACACCAATCCAACTTTTCGAGTTGGTGTTGCGTGAACGGTTACGAAGTTACAGCTATATAAAAATAGATTTATTTTTTAGAATTGAAACATTATCCTTACATAAACACAAAAATCGGAATTAAATTAAAAAAACACGATCTTACGACCACAGCGGTGCGTGCTCTACCAACTAAACTAACGATTTTTTAAATCCATCTATAAAAACAACTCTTGCGCAACTTCTTATCATTCAATAAATTCAATCAATTTTCCTTAAATTATAAACTCACTATCCAAAAAATTGTTTCCAGTATATCTAAAGAGTATGCGATACGTAAAAAAAATAATATGTTCAATAAAATCGAACAGCGAATCCCCATGATGGAAGGTGGACCCCCTTGATTCGGAAACACAAAAGGTACTTACATTTAGACAGTGTGTTGCGGTGATGTGGGTGGAGAGGTTGCCTTTGTACCAGTGAATGCAACAACACCTGCGCCGACATGTATCGTCGCTCGCACTCCTTCACATCGCCGAATAACTCCTCTATAGCTGCCATCTGACACTAATTACAAAAAATAAGGGAAAAGATACTTTAATACAATGCATTAAAGTCGACATTAATATTGACATATACGTGTTAAATAGAAATAAAAATAAAATGTTAACTAAAAGTGGACTCAAGTATTTGGGGTTACCTGTATATGTCAGACATTGATTGTAGTATTGCCCACGGCAAAATTTCATTATTTTCCTGTGATATTTTTAGACTATTTTAATGAGTAATACACAATAATTAAGACTGAGAACATAGAAAAAAGCTTAAAAATTTATTATGTATGAAAATTACTTACCAGTTCAATAGCATGTTCGTAAAGTATTTTATCACAGGTCGCCGGTGTAACGCCAGCCTCGTGTAGTCGCCGCGACTCGTTCACTATCCACTTGTACTTGCCGTTCATTAGAGAGACAACTGAAAAACAACGGATTTTCATAGATTAGAGAAGCTAGAAGAGACGTAAGAAGTAGACTTTTCATCAACAGTTGATAGGAAAAGGTTTGCAAACTAATCATAAAATCTAGTGATATCCCTCTTCATGCAGGTGAGAGGTGCATGTATCAATAGGTTGAAAAAAATGACGATGTCGTGTAAGACTCGCTGTAGACGCCGATTCATGTCCTGCCCGTGTCGTATTTTTTTTTTCAATCTATCATCGATATTTTAATTTGAACGCATTTCAGTCCGTTTCAAGTAGTTGATCAGACCGAAACAATCTATTGTTTCCCGGGGAAATAAACCTAGGACGTCTCGCGCTTAACGCAATGCTACGCTTACGTTTAACCATTTAGCTAGACAGGCGTTCGACAAACAGAGAGAAAACATGGAATATCTTAATGCTAAGGATATTTTACTCACCGCTGCGTACTTGAGGCGTGGGTTGTAGACTACGCGAGCGGTAGCAGTCGGCAGCAAGCCTCAGTCCGGCCGCCAAAGCCTGCATCGCCTGTACCAGGAGACCCAATCGCACACTCTCGTTGCATCGCTCTAAAATATAAAACATTATTATTTTACTAAAAGGACCCTTTAAACGGTTTAAAACGTGAAATATATTAATAGATACTGTCTGTAAATTACGCGAGTAATATACATTTAAATAAAGCACTTTAACGGTTTAAACGCAATATCTATTAGCCGAAATATGGGCCGTAGTTAAAATATATTTTCAAACAAGTTTAACTAATATATATCGCGTTTTAAACCGTTACATTTTTATTGAAATATATTAGTAGATTTTAATTATGTGCTTCTGTATCCTATCTATTGTAAAGCATGAGAAAGGTCAGTATGTAAAATTATAATAAACACACTTTAAATAAAAAAACACTTCATAGAAAATAACACATCTCCATCATTCTATCTGTCTATCAACTTGACAAAAATATCTAATAATTAAAGAGATTGGTGTCGCTACCGTCAGAAGCATCCATGAGAGCGGCGATGGGCGCACCGCAGGACACGGCGAGGTCGGAGAGCAGTTCGGCCAACATGAGCACGAAATTCAGCTGAGAGAATACTTTGCTGTGCTCCTCCTAAATGAGAAACAGAAGTTGAATTATAAAGACAGCAAAATTCGGAGTTTAGTAAGCAAAAATAAAAAATCTATGTTCTGTCTCTTTCATTCTAATTTGAAACCAACATATGCGTGACTGAAACGAAACATGCATAACATAATATCAAATAAGCTAAGCTTAAACCAGCTTAAGCTGTCGAAATATATGAAATTAGTTTTGGGGGTAGTTGTAATTTTGCGTTACAACGGCGGAATACGTCGCTGCGACAGTAGTTTGGCTTCATTTCGTTTTAGCGCAAATTTTTTTAGTTTTAGAGTTAGTTGGTAGCTAATTAAAGTCGTTACCGCCAGTATGGTCTCCTCTTGCAGGTTAGGTATGTAAACGGGCGGTTCGTGAGACGGTAGCTTCAGTGCGCGCAGGAGCGCGTCGGGCAACGCCCCACGTTTGGGCGACGCCGCCTCGCCGCTCGCTTTCAGCGCCAGCGGAACTGGCGGTGATGAACCTGTTATTTATTTTCATTAAATGGTCTAGAATATAGGACTAAAGCATCGGAATCTATCTATCTCTTTCAGTCTGCAATATATGTATGGGTTTATTTTAATGATAAGGAGGACAGACATACACACAAGCCCCAGCATCTACACAAGTTGCGCTGTCGACCTATTTTGGCTATGGATATTAAGAATCCACGACTGACGAACCATTATGCACGGCTTTTTCATCCGTGGACGGTGAATGTCTATATTCCTATCACCCTTTTAATAACCAGGTTTCCAGACGAAGTCCAGCATGTTTCAGAAAAATTAGTAACGAAACTCGGCCGAAGTTAAAAATGATTTTCAAATAAGTTTAACTAATATATCGCGTTTTAAACCGTTAAAGTGTTTTATTTAAATTAGTAACATGTTGGACCTGGTGGAGATCGAACCCACGATCCATTGATCGTTAGCCATACATTGCTACCGTTAGACCAACGAGCCCGTCAAATGAGATGACATTAGTCCCTCGGTAAATATTGATATAGATTGTTATTTGAAGTTTGTGTCATATGTCGTGGACTTCCTACGACATAGGGGAAAGCAACCAACTCTATGATAAATTGAAATTCCATTTAATCCCACGAAACTTACCAGTATTTACAATAAACATTTTTAACAATTCTATAGTTGTAAGTATGCGTGCTAAAATAATAACACTTACGGCTAGCATTGGTTGGCGACACCTGCCACAGAGACGGTGGAGGGGAACTCCCGGACGCACTGCGACGACGTCGAGTGGACGGGGGTGTGCCCATTGTGAACGGTACCTGTAAAATGGGCAAGATCAGTAAAGGTGACCACGGCTGCTGCAAAGCATCCGAAACGTCGGGCCGTAATTAAAATAATTTTCAAATTAGTTTAACTAATATATATCGCGTTGTAAACCGTTAAAGTGTTTTTAAATACGTTATTGCAATAAATCTACAACCCAATTATTAAGACGTAATTTAGAGAAAATGTTAAAAAAACTTACAGAGGGCGGTGAGAACGACCCAATATTGGTAGCGTTTCGATTGTGGTTTGATCTAACATCGATAGGCTGCGAACGAGGTACCTTGGTGCCCGCTGTCACTGCGGTCTATAAAAAACCTTATATTGAAAACACATCTAATAAATTTTTAGGCTTAACCGCAACTAAAGAATATTATTTTTATCCATAAATAGCAATACGCTGCGTGAATTATATTCGATTATATAATTGTTATCATCATCGATTCATCACAACTGTGGAACGTGGTAATAACATAATTATTAATTATTAATAATGATATATAACATTTTTAATGTGATGCAATTATGTTGCAATAAAAGTAACAACCCGTTTAATGTATCATTCCTTAAAATTGTGATTAATTTTATTTTTATAATAAAGCTACACAAGGCTATGTTAAATATATTTTTAAATAAGAATTGATTAAATCACATAGATAGAAACTACAACATTATAGAGCACAATACAAATACAGTTAATTTAAAGTTAAGTTTTAGTCTGTTAAGTTAGAAATATTGTTTAATTCTTCGAGCAATCGAGGAGCTAACATCTCCTGATGATGGCGACCGCTCGTGATGGCGAAACGTCCAGAACCTCTTCGCGCTCACGTCAGTGGAACAGCCCGAAAACGATGGCCATGAAGCCTTACACAATTTATTGTTTAATTTGTACAATTTTAAATGTAACTCTTACCCTAAACGGTCCACTGGCATGCTCTGCAATATGTGTAGGCGAGTGAGTCGTCGGCGACTGTGGCGAGTGACGCGTTTGGGGCGACGGCGCGGGCAGAGCGAGAGACCTGGGACGAGACGCGGCCTCAGATGACGAGGAGCCGCCCGAATACTCGCCGGAACCGCTCTCTGGATCCACCACTACGAAGTCTTCAGCGCCCGCCCACACTGCTTCAGATGACTCGGCTAAAAGAACGTTTTTTATAAAGCGTACAAATAAAAGGTAGATGTTACAAGCTGTTAACTTATTTACGAATAAAATTACCACCTAATGCCTAACACGAGTTCTAAGTATACATAATAACTTTTTAGTAGAAAGTCTTATCATTTCAATGTACAATTATTCTTTTAAATCGAGCTCGAGTATTTTATCACGTCACTAATAAAAATATATATGAATACTGATAAGTGATCACTAACATAATGTATTGAGGGTGTCGATAGTTTTGATGAGCACCAGATACATAACTCCACTGACACAATGAAGGTCAAACTGAGTCGACACACTTGTATTGTTCCCGCGCCAAATTGCGAAACACTCGTGTGAAATTTGGTTAAAAATAGTTTAACACTTATTATTAAGACAACTTTACGAAACAAGAATAGAATATAATTGTGTAAATAACATGTTACTTTGCGTTTAATTAAAACAATTTTACGGTTAACAGGACGAAATATATGTTTCGGAACGTCGGTGTGTGTGAAATCCCGTTTCACCTCGTGGGGCATGGGGCGAACACATTTTTGTGTCCGTTTCACTGATCCTTCCTTCAACAGGCAAGTAATTACTCAGACTTCTGTGCCCTGCTCGACCGAAACATTTTTTTGTTTCCCTGGGATTCGAACCCAGGACCTCTCGCGCTTAAGGCAACGCTAGGCAATACGTTTAACCACTTGGCTACAGAGGCGGTCGGACACGTTGGGCTTTAGTTAAAATAAATTGTAATTTAGTTAACTTATATATTTCGCGTTTTAAACAGTCAAAAGTCTTTTATTTAAATGTGTAATACTTGCGTAAACTACCGACTATACTTTGTGAATTTGTTTATACTACTTAAAACATAATTATCTTTATGTCAAAAAAACTTTGAACGATAAAATTATTTTATTAACCTGCATGCTATGTCTTGTGAGAAAACAAAATCGACATTAAATTGCAAAATAATACGATTCAATGAATTATTGCCGCAATAAAATTGATACAGCACGCCCAGTTCTTAACATCGGGGTTATCGTATAGACAGTAACTAGTGGGGGAACACATTTAATGAAGAAATACATACAATTTCGACAAAAACATTTGGCCAATTTAGACATAACATCATAAATGCCACCTATGAATCATCAATGCTTAAATTTGTCTACTCATTAAACGTGAAAAACCGTTTTACACCAATATTTACAGTATAACTTCACATCGTGTTATCCGTTTTTTTTTTAATATGATTAAAAATAATTTATGCCAATAATTGCATTAGTTACTGAATATATTACTGACTAATGTTAAAACACAGTTATTAAAATATCAAATGGTTGTATTAGCGCTGTTTAACAGACGAACAGTAGCGTTTTGCTGAAAACTTCTTTGAAAATTGTTTTATATACGGCCCGATGTTCGACTGCTGCAATTCTACTCGCGTACACTACAGACAGCGTAATTCCTTTCCCAAAATAACCTAATATTTGTCTTAAAACTTTTTCTTTAGTAAAAATATCCCTTACCGGATGACGTCGGTTGTGACTTCCTTGTGGGTTGAGCGACCGGAATTGGCTGCGCAGGCGCAGCTTGCATTTGGGGTACCGGAACACTCGCGCGACTGGGCAGAGAAGCCGGTATTGCATTGTGTGAACCCGCCCCTAAACATAAAATATTCCATGTATACACCATTTGTTTGTGCGCTGTCTTAGATTATTGGATAATTGGTATTAACTGGATTTTATATTATTTGCTAGAAATCGACTTGAGCATCATTGGACATTCGGAACACGGATTAAAAACGTAACGCTATTTCATCTGGTAATGTTACCACGTTACTATTATGTGATCTGAAAGGAATTATGATATTCTAATGACCCTGGGTTTATATTAAACGAAGTCCATGTTTAAGAAAAATGACATATTGATTTAGGTTTTAGAAATACTTTGGACCTGATGGGAACCACGTCCCTTTGATTACCATACATTGCTACCGTGAACTCCCGTCGGTGACTCTTTTTCTTCCATAAAATAAATTTATCTAAGCTCAACGCGTCTGATTAGAAAATTTGCGCTAATAATGCAGTTAATACCAATTTACATCTGCCATTCTTCATATAACGTTCTGAATCCCTCCATGCACCGAACAAACAATATCGACGCTTAATTTATGATTTCCCAGTGAATTTATAGCATTGCGGCCAAAGTACCGTACGATAACTCCTTGATGAGTTCACGGCTGGGCCTCACCGTTACTATCGATATGATGCACAGAATCCAACTCCGAGTGCAAAGACATCACTGTTTATAAGTGAAATTTACGCAATGCCAGCGATAAGATGCACTTGTTTACGTTAACACGAAGCTTTTAACAATACAATAAATTACGCATGACAGAACAAAAAACGATGGAATCGTGTGAAATCAAACCGAATGATAACGAAACTAAATCTTGGAAGACATGATCCTTGTTAAACAGCAAGCCATGCGCAAGCGCCAGTGTGTTATGTTATTGACGAAGATCTCACCCACCCCATGCAAAAGCGATAGATTAAAATGTTATACCCTGGCTCTCCCAGGACTCCTCTAGGATACAGTTAGTATCTGGGCGGCCTTCGTTATCGCTCTCCAAAATATCTGGTAGATCTGAGTCCAAACCTGAACAATATACCGTAACCATATTGTTACTGTACAGTTGCCTCAACCACGTGGTTACAAATATGACTAAATGGGGTCAATGTCAAAGATATGCAAAACACAAATTAATCGGTTATTTTTAAAACACCGTTTCGCACCATTAAGACGCAGTTAAGAGGTTATAATGATTTAATAGATACCTTATCTTATTTATTATTATTTTATTTTATATAAAATTAAAATTAACGGTTTGAAACGCAAAAATTATTAGTTTCACAAAAATCTTACTAACATTAAAATTCGATTATAAATAGAAAAAGATAGTCAGTCAGTTGCTCAATTAGTGAGAGCAACAGCATGAAACACTGTGGATTCCGGTTCGAGTCCTGCCCGAGTCATGATTTTTTTCAATTTATACTCTTTTAATTTATATAGTGCCATCGTGTGAAAATTATTAAGGTTTTCTTACACACTTCCTGATTAAACCGTCAAACGCGTTTACATTAAATGTGTACTAAGGACAATTATTTAGTTCTACAACATTCTATCGAGATTAGTATTGGTAGCACAAATAGATAAGAATTCAACTTACATAATATTTGTATCGCGATTTTCAGATAAGCGAGTAATATACAATTTAATTATTCCAAGAGCAAAACATATAGGCTAAGTTTATCGCCAAGATAAGGAGAAAAATTTCTGTGAAGTACGCTTACATATAAGTAGGGATTACTCAATACAAATCGTCACAAAAAGTCTGATGACCCCTTGACTTTACATCAAGCATGTCAGGTCACTGATCTCGATGATTCGCAGAAAATCTATACTCGAACAAGATGATAGCCATCACGAAAACATTGTTTAAGGTTATTACCATTATATGTAGCGAAAAAATGACCCAGGTAGGAAATAAACGCTTACACATAAGTATGTATAATATGCTTATGTATTCGTATGTATAATACATTGCCAGTCGAGATTTCAAATATATCGATAAATAAATTTAAGAAAGTTATAAAACTTAGATTGTCTCAAAAGGCGTATTATTGTCCGAACCATTTCTTTAATGACAAGACCGCCTGGCAGTAATATGAATTGCTCCCTAAGTTAATAAATTTACAATGTATTAGTTTATAAGACAAGTTTTTAAAAAAGCCGGATTGAGTTTCTTGGGTGTTCTTCTCAGTTATGTTGCTCTTTTGAACACTCTGTAGAAACACGACGAACGGACAAACAAACGAAAAATATTGACGAATCTAAACAATTTTTTCAAATTTTAAAGAGAATAAAGTTATTTTATTTTAATTTTATGGCAAAGTTATGGTAAATCAGATATTTTATTAAAATAGGAAATTGTTACGGATTTCGAAATCATTTGTTTGTATGACTCATTAATTACAATGCATCGAAGATTCAAGATACATTTACGATAAAACGTTTGTTTGTTTGGAGTAGATAATGAAGTAATGTAAGATTAATTAGAACAATACGGAAAAGTGCGAATGAAATAAAACATTAAAACGCGAAACCGGATTTTAGTAGAAACATTAATAATTAACAATAAAAAAAAACAAGTTCTTTTAATATTTGAAACTAAGAAACACATAATATAAATCCTAAACAATACAGGAAAAGGCTTATATTTTAATTTTTGGTATTAGGTCTCGTTCGGTATGTGGCTTTTAGGTAATGCGCTATATACCACGTTATAAACAGTTAAATCCTATTTTAATTCGCCTTTTAATGATATGAAATGTTCGCTTTCTACAAGCTATGATAAAACTAATTAGGTTTGAGGTGATATATAAAAATGGTGATGTGAATATTGTTATGAGTGTAGTAGATTGCGGGCTTACTTGTAATAGACGTTGTCCTCGGCCTCTGAAGGAAGGGATGGTTGAAGAACACTTCGAAGGGCATGCGCTCGCGCGCGTTCCGACGCAACAGACCGATGAGTAAGTTACACAGCTCGGGGCTAGTTCCGGCTGGCATCCTGTAATTAGAATTCAATGATTAACAACAGCTTTTTGTGGTACAATTAGTTTTCACATAAATTTAAGCTATATAAAATGTCTTGCGCATGGCTTCCTAACATACGCACAAAATTAAGGAAATTTTTGAGGATTGACAATACTTATTAAACGGTGTAACAAATTTTTATTGTATGTTTACTGAAAAAACGAATTTCTTTCTATTCTAAATTAAAAAAATCTTATTTGTATATATGTACATAATTTTGATTTAACTATTTCTTCAGACGTTTTAATTGTATAAATAAACAAATTAATACAACGCTTCCCGCCAAAAATACTTATACCATAGACTATAAACACCATCTACGAAACTTAAAGTAACAAATTGAAACATTCTTAGCTTAATACTGAAATCATCTTCGAAAAAGGGACTGATAATCGTTTGAAACCGTTAAAAAGTGCGTCATTTAACACACAATACAGTGTTTCTCATAAATATAGTGTAAGGTTAATTACATCGACGTCATACGCAATACAGTCACGCGAGAATATGACGTTATGTCCATCAAAGCGAGTTAATGACGTGAAAGTCCAATATCAATCTATGTTTATGTGAAAGTGTAGAATACTCTTGTTTTTCATGCGTATAACGCGGTCCGCAATTCCTATTACAACACCGCGACGTGCTACTTTGTACGGTGGAAACTAGCTTCCATCATAAATATTATAGATAATTACGTATTGCATTTTACAAACTGATATGCCCACAATAAACGACCACTTGTGTTCACGGATAATTTTTTATTATTAAAATACTGCACTTTAGACGCTTCAAGTGTTGCTCTAATATACCTATGCATCTTCGCATTAGCAACACATCATTACCACCAAATATAGGCACTAAAATGCACAAAACATGTATTTGAGATTTTCCTTCGCTTGAACGATTTCGATATCAACCCCTTAAAAATTAATAATTTTCACATCTCCCGGATTTTCTTCGCTTTATTGGTTGTTTAATAAAGCGTTCCTCAATTTTAACCAGTAGTTCCCGAGATTAGCGCGTTCAATAAAACAAACTCGTCAGCTTTATATTACTAGTATAATAATAACGATGATATATCAAATCTAGTCTACGCTTAATATAAACGTAATTCGCACAATTAAAGACTTCTCTTTATATAGCTTATAAGTATATTAACGGTACTAAAACGTCCGTAGCAGCTGTTGCCAAGTCAGCTGTCTTATATCTCGTTTTAGACTTTTGTCATACTACCAATATACTGGCTGTAACCGCCCCTTCCTCTCTATTGAAAACTGACTAAAGCACTGTTAAATTAATTGTATGCCCCACGATCTATTTCCCAAAGAGTGCATTTTCTATTAAATATTTACGTAAAATTGTAAATAGAGCGAAAGAAAATCCATTAAAATTGATCTAGCCGTTCTCGTGATTGTAATCAACGCCGATGTTAGTAGTGTAAATAACAGGCAATTAGAGTTAACATTTTAATCAATCAAAGTTTAATTTATAAACGACGCTCTCTCATTAGTAATGACTATATTAGTGATTAAAAGAAACATTAGGTGTTTTTTTCCTATAATATAATAACACAATAACACACATTTTTTGTTAAGATTTAATAAGATCGATTAATGATAAAAATTTTTGGATGTTTATGAAACTTTGAACTGTTTTTTCTATTGATAAGAATGACATCCTTAAAGGTCTTCTTGTAAATACTTTGAACCAAAGATCACGAGTTATCTCCAAAAAATACGAGATGCAAACCATCTGCCTTTCGCTGCAGTAAATAAAGGAATAGCTGATTCATCACCTTTCGGGTCAGAGGAAATACCTACATTTCCTCAACCCGATACGAAAATACGATTCCAAACTTCATACAAACCATCATAACGGAATATAAACATAACACTGTACGTTGACCGGCTGGTGCCGGAGCGCGATTTCATTTTGGAAACACGAGAATTGTGAAGAATTGAAGAAATAGTTCTATTTTGTTACACTATAACGAGGAAGTGTTATAAATTCGTCTAACCGCAGACCTTGAGTTCGTGTGTACGGTCATTGAATGGCTTTATCTGTTGAGTGATGAAAAAATGACAATACGAAAAAATAATATACACAAGTTTTAAAACGCCCGTTATTAATTAAATATTGTAGCGATCCGTGTATTAATTCACATTTTTTCGTTAAGTATTAATAATAAATCTTGCGACCTATTCGTGCAATAATTTAAAATCCGAGAAATTTTAAGATCTTTAGTTAGGTGGGTCGGTTGTGTTAGCTTACTTAGGTTGCAAGTCGATGCTTTTCTCGTAGAACGCCTTAAGTTCATGCGGAGTGGTCGCTTGAAAAGGCGCTTTGCCCGTTAGGCACTGATAGACGATTGTGCCTAGACTCCAAAGGTCCGCTTTTGCGTCATACTTTAGAGACATTATCACTTCGGGTGCCTGGAAAGTAGTGTTCAAGAAATTATATATCTTTGGAATTGGATCTGTGAAAGTCAAGGCGTTAAACGGAAAATTACCATATACATGGGAGATCCGCAGAGAGTGACAGCCATGTTACCCTCCTCGAGGAATCGCGCGAAACCAAAATCCGCTGTTAAAAAACAGTTACAAAATTTAAAACGATTACACTCTTAACTACTGACAATAAATTTCTCATTACGCCGGCATAACAAACATCTCTTAATTGCCTTACAAGCGAAAGACATTAATATATATGTATTTTTAGCTTTACCAATCTTGAGTGTGATCTCTTCGGGATGTGGTGTGCGCGGTGGCGCTACATTGTGTGTCAATAGGATGTTCTGTGGTTTCAAGTCACGGTGGACGATTCCCTTGGCGTGAATAGCCCGCATCGCCTCCGCGAGCTGCCGCAGGAAGGTCCGGATCGTGGCTTCGCTGAGGAGCCTGTTCGTTTGTAAATAGTCCGCCAAGTCGCCCCCATTGCAGTACTGTGGAATAAAGTTATATACTTAGAAGCAACTGAATAACTAGATATAAGAGAATATAAGGAAATGCTTAACCAAAAGACAATATTGTTACTTTATGAGGCATACACCTACAAAATTCGTTCCTGTTTTGAATCATTAATTCAAAATAAAGGTGACAAAACACAAATTCTCAGTAATACATATGCACTAGTAAAGATATATTGATTTTGATAAGATTTTATTTAGAGAAATAGATGAGTCTCAAGATAGCAGCAACCGCACTTATCTTGACCAATGGCTGAATCGAGCCGAAGTGATAATCACTCCCTTCGCTAGTTCGAGTCTGTATATATTTGTTAAAAGCTGACCGAGTGAAGTGTTAATGAAGCGAATAAAGTAGGTTTCGCTGTTGATGCAAAGAATTGTTATCGAGTTTGATACGTGATAAGCCTAACTATGCAGCAGGTAATCTTATCGTAGACTGATAATAGTTATAAGTGTCAGTGAGTTACGCGCTCTGAAACCCAATGCTACTACGGGTAGTGTCAGTTTAGTTAGGAAATCGACTGTATTTCAATATTTGGCAGCGTCCTAGGCGGGGTTCGTGATTTAGTTTTTAGTGATCATGACGTCGAAGTTGGTATGGCTCTTATTGGCTTGTTCCGTGTAAGTAAAACTAAATGACATAACATTTTTTTGTGTATTACCAAATGTTATACAATTATAAAAAATTAAGTGGCAGCATTGACATAATGATACCAGTAAAAGTACTGATGTATATACCAAGAGTGATAGTCACTGTAGCTACACGTATTGTTTTCACTACTTTTCAATCAATCGACTTATGTTATGTGTTTTTTACTTCAAAACGGCTATGAGATATTATTAAAATATATTGCAAATTTCTTAAAAAATTGAATAATAATGTCTTACAGTTACGCCCTTGTAGATATCATTATCCTTATCTGTGTACTTAACAATTTTACGTCAGCTCGGTATGATAAAAGATACCTATTGGTTTTGACAAAGTCACGTGTTAATGTGGTCTAATAACATATTTTCCAGGCAAGGACTCGTAAAGGCCCAGGAAAGCGACGTAACAGAGATCCCTTCCGATACTGTCATTGACGCATTCGCTAACCATATCGAAGGTAGTGGTAGTAATGCTTTGGGAGAAGAAGTCACAGAACAATCCGTTCAACCGAAATTGGAACCGGTAATTCCAAACAGCGAAGATGATCAACCTAACATTGAAAGTTTACTTCGTTTTGGTGGAAAAGTAGACGAGCAAATTGATGAAGCAAACGATCCCGTTATGGAAGAAAAACAAGTATCTACGGAGGAGAACAAGCTCTCAATTCCGCCTGTAATTGAAGACGAAAAGCATGAAGAGAACTCAACTCCAGAAATTCCTTGCCCAAAATCATGTCTATGTAGTATTGAAGGGCACGAAAATAATTTGGTTGTTAATTGCGCTGGATCTTCTTTGACGGAGTTTCCTTCACCTCTCGACTCAAGAACGTCGACGTTGAATTTGAACAATAACAAATTAACGGAAATACCCAATGACATATCAGCCCTCAAAAACTTAAAAGTTTTAAACGCAAATGATAACTCTATTATGGAACTGTCACCCGGCGTAAGTATTTCTTGAATTTAGTTAGCAATGTAATAAATAACATCAGGGGTATCTCTCATTCTTAAAGGTTCAATATTTTCTTTCAGTCTATAAGTGAGCTGCCAGAATTAATTAAGTTAGACTTGGCAAACAACCGTCTAATTGAGTATCCCCAGGATTTGAAAAACAGTATTATATTAACAAAATTGGAGGAATTAGATTTAGGTGGCAACGATATACGAACGGTAATTATATTTTCGTCTAGTTAATTTTAGTAATTATGTGGTACCTAAATCATAAGTTTAAAAATAAATAATAGTTATACTGTTAGTAGTTCTTAAGTATTTAATCAACTTTAAATTTAATTAAAAATTAGGGCGATGTTAATAAATATTTATTTTTTGTAGGTTCTAACACCAGAACTGTTTTCACCTCTCAAATCATTGCGAAAGGTTACACTGCCAACGACGAAGACAGATTTCTTGGAAGATTTATGCATAGCATTTAAATCATCTTTGGAAACAGTTTGTGCAGAATCGTGTAAGGAACACACCTTTGAATGTCCCGATGCTACTGCAAACATTGAAAAGGACTTGTTTGATGCTACTTTACCTGGAATGATAGCGTTTGATACAATACACAGCCAAGAAACTTCAGATACCGTTGCCAAGAACGACACAAAGATTGAGATATTAGCACCAGAACCAACAAAAGAACCTGAAATTACTTCTACGACAACTGAATTTTCTTTACGCTCCGCTGTCAACGAAGAGCCATTGGACAAAAAAGCGTTTAACTCTCTGGTAGAGGCACCAAAAGATACAGTACACGATGAAACTGAAGTTAAAATAGGGGCTAAAACATCAGAAACACCCAAACAAGCAGGCGGTGTTGACAGGAGCGTTATAGGGATTGTCATAGCTGGTATGATCGTCGTTGTTGCTGCAATCGCGATTAAGAAGAATTGGAGCTCTATCAGAAAGAAATTCAGTTCGAACCCGCGACCCAATGATCGCACCCCCCACACAAATGGAAACGCTCCAGAAGAAGTTCCCCTACAAGAAAAAGCAAATGATAAGTCGCCGGTTTAAGTATTAGTGATATGTAACTTAATGGATTAAATTATAGAGAAGTGTATGTCTTGATCTGATTGAGAAAATCACATGTGGTGCACGAGATTGATATTACAAATTTCTATGTATTTATATAGCTGAATAATCTTTTTCTGTGATTTCTGAAGGCAGTGTTGTGTTATTTGAATACTGAGAATGTAGTGTAAGTGTTAAAATGTGTGATTGTTGCATAAATATAACAAGTTTTGTACTGCTAAACTGTGTTTTGTTACTTATATACTTACGATCATTAATAACTTTTAAGGACTCGTAAAAATATGTTTTAAATTGTGCAATAGTAACCATACAGAGTTGAGGATAAGAGAGAAAGTGATCAGTGACGTGTACTGAGAAAAGGAGGTCAAAATGAAATACAAAATTTGAACAATGGCGCCGGTTATAAAGCAAGTGAGAGGTCAGTAGAGATTTGACAAATTATGTAGTATTCGTGAATAATTTAGGAGTTTAAGCCGAATGCTTTAAGAGTACCAATCAAACAAGGAAAGAGCATAAAAATTACTCAAAATATTTTTAAAGTCCACGTGTTAACTGAAATTCAGAATCATAAGAAGGATTTAAAACAAGTGATGGAGAAACGGCAACGTTGTACGTCGAGTCATTAAGGTTATGAAATTAAATACATTTTTAAAAAGCGATGCTGGTTATAATTAAGTGCGCTAACTAAACGTAAATACGAAGAACTGGCATCCTCTTAAGATAACTGTTCTGTACACATGTGAAGTTATTATATCGATGATGTGGAAAATATCTCAATTGTCTTCATAGAGTATTGTGTAGCGTGATGTTGACGTAGCTATTTACAATAATTGATGAAACATTTAATTGTAGGGAAACGATTAATTTTTACATGACAATCCATTTTACAATGCAATTTAAACACATTTCTGGAATAGTCTCAATACTATTTGTAATTTAAACACTTATGTGAACTGTAACATAAATATTTCTAAAGATCAACGGGAAACGTCTGGTTTGTGGGGCATGGAGCAGGTATATTTCTGGGGCTATAGACAGGCAAGTACATGATTATTGAAATTGTTTGCCCTATTCCCTCGTGCTCTCTAATGCATAAACTAACCACGTGAACTAATAGTACAGTTTTCTGCAAACTTTTTGGCCGGGCTGAAGTTAGCGAGACCGCCATCTTGCGCATGATACTATCAATTTTAAGGAAAAAGTCGAGTCGCCCTGCACCCTCGCACCCCTTTTGTCGCAACTAATACCTGCTTTTTGCGGTCTGCGCAACCATCCGTGCTAACTTCAGCTCGGCCATAAAGTTTGGAGAGCACTGTACCTATTAATAAAACCCATCTATCCAATTTGACTATCCTCGCAGCAGATGTATCAACTAACTGGATCCACAAGGCGGTTTTAATTACTCAGTCTTATCTATTAATTCCGAGAACGAGTATTGCTTAATAAAAGTTTGATTTGATAGAAAGCGATGTTTCCGGCTCCTAACTTTCGTTGAGACAAGTTGCATTGAAGAGAGAAACTAGCCGACGCAATCATACGCATTTATTGCAACACTGCATATTGCAATTAACGCGTATTGCGCACGTTAATTGCATTAAAAACTTGAATAAAGAGTGTCGCGACTAAAAACGTGATGACGTCACGATCAAGAAAAAAATAAGTTTGATGATAAGATCAACCTTTATTGACGTCCAGTGCCAAAATAAGTCTGTACAGTATCTCAATTGGAAGTGATATCCCACTCTGTCCATTAAGTATTGTTTGATACTCGCGTCAACTACATTTTTAATTTTTTTTTTTAATTTTATTATTAATTTTAATTTAATTTATAAAACGCTTTAAATCACGATATATATGGTTATTCGATTTTGATCCCTGTGACCAACGGCTGGTAATAAGCATTGGAAACGTCCGGTCGTAATTAAGAAGCGATTAAACAATATATTTCGCGTATTAAACAGTTCAGAGTATTTATTTAATCTAATAGTCATTATTCAATGTATTGCAAATATTGTCAAAACCAATATATAATTAATATAATGCTCGAAGTCAAATATCTTAGCTTTATAATTAATTATATATCATGAAATCATCGCTATAAATGGTATAAGAAATGAGACAAAGAAACTGATAGGAAACATACGACGAACATGCAATAATTCAGACTGAGAATTCACGATTAATAGATACCTAGACATTTTCTACGTATTTAGGTATCACTCATTTGTTACTATATATATACATATATATATGTTTATTTATTACTTATTTACAATTTAAAAAATGTGTACTTACCTAAGCCCCGGCTAATGGAATAAAGAAACTTTACACGCTTTTATACTAACGAGACAGTATAAACACAAAAGTTGAGTTCTTCATATAATTTTTGTTCAAAAGTTATTATTAAAAAAAGTGAAATGTTAGTAAAAAAAAAAAAAAAAAAAGGGGGGGGGGGGGGGGGGGGGGGGGAAGGGGGAAAAAAAGGGGGGGGAAAAAAAGGGGGGAAAAAAAAAAAAAAAAAAGGGGGGGGGGGGGGAAGGGAGGGGGGGGGGGGGGGGGGGAAAAAAAGGGGGGGGGGGGGGGGGGGGGGAAAAACCCCCGGGGGGGGGGGGGGGGGGGGGGGGGGAAGGGGGGAAAAAAAAAATTTGGGGGGGAGGGGGGTTGGGGGGGGGAAAAGGGGGGGGGCGGGCGGGGGCCGGGCTCAGGGGGGGCCGGGGGGCCCCCGGGGGGGGGTTGGAAGGCCGCCCCCCCTCTAGTTTTAGATTCTTTGTTTACTAAGTGCGATGTTTTTATATAGCCGAAACAGCTCGAATTTTCAACATCCTAAAACTAAATGCGACTTCATAGATATTTCAAAGTCATTGATGCCTCATACGATTATGTATGATATTATTATAACTGGCACGTGTGCTTTAAGATAGACTCGCTGTCTGTATAATATAACATTGCGTAACTTGCAAAACGCCTTGACGACTTGACACCACTCCATTTACGTAAATAAAAACTGTTGTGTGACAACAAAGGCGATTATATACATGCTTATGTATTACACGATTTAAAGCGCTTTGCATCTCGTAAATAAAAGTTATATAAACGAGAGAGTTATTTGGTTTTCTACTATTAATCATATACAACTTCAAAGACTCCGAACAATACACACTATCTTTTATTCGTCTGTACGGTATATAAATACAGTATGCATACCATTTTAATAACATTTAATATTAGGTTGATGTGCCTAAAACATACATTATTACTACATAAAAATATCAGCATTACATTATTTATAAGTCTCTTTGCAATCAAAGAAATTACGGACAATAAAGTAGTACAGTGTTAAGAGGCATTTCTGCTTGTAGTGACTGTTGCATTTAGGACTGTATAATTAGATAGAGACAATAACAGAGTAGGTTTGACTGAGTCACGGGGTCCTACTCTTATATGATCGATATTACATATTATACTGTACTTCTTAAGAATGTATGATGCAATATTCGCTTAAAATTAAACAATAAATACGGTTGGCAAGGCGATACACATAAATCGTGCGATTCGTGGTTCACAATTTAAACCATTATAGTATGTATGTCGTTCGCTCGAGGATAAGTACTGCGAAATGCAAGCAAATCGATTTAGCTGAAATAACGCAGGCTAATGAACTTTCTTTGGCGTATCACAGAACAGTTGCCTTACTACGCAGTAAACACGCGCTTCGAAACCAAAAGATATGTTCGCCCTTGACATTCTAATATAGGCACTGGGTAGGCGGTATGTAAATAAAAATCAACAAAAACGTTCGATGTTTATAAATCGTAGCGACGGAATCTGATAGTCGATTTACATTAACGAAAAATACATAATATAGATCATTTTAAATTCGAATATTTGAATTTCGAATGTTTTCACTCTAACCTGTATCTAAGGCGCTGCCCGTACCAAGCGTAAACGTGTGCATAGACGATAAGTAAGTCTCCGTGGCCTATTTTAATGTATTCATTAGCCCGAGACATTGCGGGCAAGTCGTTTTATGCGCAATTATCTCTATCGCGGCTATCATTTATCCACGAGGCGCAAACGCACGTGCACAAACGGTGATCCCGAGAACGTGGCACGACCACTTTAGTTTCTACACGAGTGAGCCACATTGCGCAACCTGAATACACTTGGAACGTTTATTAATATCCTACATCGAAAATTAGACATCATTTGTCTCATTTAGTACAAAAAATTCGCAATAGTAATTTAGTACATACCATAATAATATTACCTAAAAAATTCAATAATTAATATTCAAGCCACGCCTTTACGCAAATTGTTTTTATAGTCGAAGGTAAATAGTATTTAATTTTGTGTTCCAAATGTAAAGTTACGGTCGTTAATCTTGAATAAAAAAAAAATCATTAATTTGTAGTCGTAACAAGAACTCGAGTCCGGTCATCGACAATATAAAAGGTTAGTAGGGCAGTATAATACATAATGTTTAGTTATCTTATTAAACAGAGCCAGTCGCCGCGTTCTGAATGAAATGATAAATCGGATTAAAACCAAAGTGAATCCGTATAAAATGTTAACATAAAACTATTAAAAACGTGGATAAGTTTGAAGAAGGACATTTTACTGCTAATCACTTGAAAAATAATGAATAAATGTCCATTTCGTCTCGGAGATCAGGGCAGTTACATTTTTGTGACCGTCAAATCAATATCTGTTATTAACAGGCATGGAGGTTCGCTTTAATTAATAGCCTCTATGTCTTTGACCTACCTGGATGTTGAATTCAGTACCTTTCGATCACGTGATACAAGACAACGCGGCTTTTAAAGTAGCAGCAGAGGTGGTCCAATTAGATTTGAAACATTAGTTTAATTTTTTATTGATCGATAGCAGTAGTGTATAATTAGGTACTAATTACTAGAACCTAATACCTAAAAGACTATCATCGATCTAAAAGTAAAAGTATAAAAAACAATTATAAGTACGGTCTGTAGTATATTAATGCCAGTAATATCTATTTAAATGAAACATTTTTAACTCTTTAAAACGTAAAATTTAAAAGATTCACGACGTCTTTTAAAACGTTAACTAATATATTTCGTTTTAAAACCGTTCAACGTGTTCTAGTGCTGTTATATTCGAGCGAATCTAAGACAAAGCAGGTGCATCTTTATAAATACAGAACGGAACATCAATTACGTTTTGATGTTTAAACCTACGTACAATCGATGGTGGAACAGCAGCTTCACCAAATACGCAGTTAAGATTATTATTAGCCGAACGTGTTTTATCTCGAGACTCATAATTTTAGGCCGAGTGACGCGACCTAGAGTTGACTACACGATACTAGCGCGTGAATTTCGCACGCGTAAAATAGATTCCTTATCAATACATTAGAGTACAAAAAGTCGCTTCGTTACGATACGTAAAATAATGCGCAGTTCGTACCAGACTTCCGGGCATCGACTTTTTTGGCGAGGTGGAATTCAAGATAAAGAATTGCAAACAATTGCAGTATTACACGTCAACGGTTTAAAACGCGATATATATTAGTCACACTTATTTGAAAATGATTTCAATCACCATGATTGACCATGGCTGTTGCAAACCATCCGAAAGGTCGGGCCGTAGTTAAAATAATTTTCCAATAAGTTTAACTAATATATATCGCGCTTTAAATAGTTAAAATGTTTTATTTCAATTTGTACTACTCGCGTAAACTACAGACAGTATTTAATTGCAATCAAATTTACCATAGAGAACTTGTACCGAGCGAGTGGCATGATGAAAACTAAAACTAAAAAGATTTTTTCGCGAGATACTCCCATGATATAGAGAATTGAAGAGGTGAGCCAATGAGGGCTTGACCTTGTTTTAAAACAGACATAGCGAGTCGCAACGACACGCGGAAGCATATATCATCACGTTGTATAACATAATCTATGGCCAAAGGAAAAATATAATTATATTGAACACATACTGTTACAACGTAAATTATAAACCCGTTAGAAAGTCTGAATCGTGTATATAATAGGAAATAAAAGACAGCAATATTATTTGCCTTTTTGTATACTTGCAAAGGAAATCCTTTAAATCACAGTGAAAAAATCATGTGCTTTTCGCTGGGAATTCATTACCTAATAATCAATAGATTCGGCCGTGGCAGATATTAAATGTAGGCTGCGTAAGTCCCCCGTGACCACAACTTCTGCAAGGCATACGACACGCCTTAGTTAAAAATAGGTTAATTAATATAAATCGCGTTTTAGACCGTTAAAAGCGGTTCTTATAATTTGTACTCGTTTATCAATGTAACTGTCACCTAAAATCTATTTAACCGTTCAACGGCGAGTAAATAGACACAGAGCCCTATAAAAATACAGGTTTTAACGTAAAGAGAGCCGTCACACAATTGATAAAAGTCCTAGCTCGAGAGATGTGAAGGAATGGCGTCGTGTTTGCCTAATGCAGTGATAGCATGTCGTTACTTGTTATCGGCAGACGGATTAAGGGCAAGGCCAGTGGGTTACGGACGGCACCCAACACCGTACTCCGACCGCTTCCTGGTAATTGTTGGACTTTAACAGACCAGCAAATTAACAATGCAATTGCGTTTAATTTATATTGTGTGTTAATTTCAACGGTGGTTATTATTTCGTTCATTTGTTTTGTCATCTATAAGGCTGTCCTGCCCGTAGCTCAATTGGTTAACAACAGCACGGAACGCTGTGGATGCCGATCTGAGTCCTGCCCATGTTGTAATTTTTTTTCAATCTAAAATCGATTTTTAGTCTATGAGATTATCCATAAACTTGCCTACTCGTGTGTTTTCGGTGAATCCTAACTCTCTAGATACCCCCTCCCCCCACAACCCTTTTAGAGCACTCTATGGATAGCTCTGAACCTAACCGCAACAAACAATTCTAAATCGAACACACTCAGCGTTATGACTCCATTTCATTATCATTATGTGAAAACATCTGTATTCACAGTTCCACGTGTCTGCAATGTTTACACACATTATTATGGCGTTACGCGGGTGGTTTATGGCGTTTTAATACTATTGCGCTGTGAAAAACTTCTTATTTTTCGTCACGAATGTGAAATATAGTAGAATTTGAAAGATTTTCTCATGTCGCACGTGAATTGAAAAATTTTACGACTCGGGCAGGACTTGAAGCGGCATCCCCAGCGACACTTACTGTTGCTCTAACCAATTGATCTCGGTACCTCAATTTTTAATTTATATAGTAAAAATATTATCCCACTTTAAAATCTTAAGCTGTGCTATTTTTCTTGAAACGTCTCCAAATAGTCACTTATATCATAGTCCCGTTACATACAAGCATACGGCTAAAAAGGTTGAAGTATTCTTGTAACATGACATCTTTCTATTACGGCATAGAGTTTCTTGAGATTATTTTAGTGAGACTTTGCAACGACGTAGCCAAATGGTTAAACGTGTTGCCTTATGCGCGAGAGACCGTAGGTTCGAATCCGAGAGAACAAAAAAATAAATTGTTCCGGTCGGGTAGGGCACAGAAGTCTGATCAACTACTTGCCTCTTAAAAAGAACGGATCAGTGAAACGGCCACAGAAATGTGTTCGCCCCACGCCCCACGAGGGTGAAACGGGATTTCACACTTTTTGCAACGACGTGTATTAGGTATGCATACAAAGAGAACGGTCATCTATAACGATTCTTCACGACGTTCACGATTTATGACACCCGTAGCGAATTCGTAAAAGCGGCAAAAACAGCATCGTCCAGTGAGTTTTTAAGCCATGAGAATTCTCTAATCGGAACCGTTCGGATGTTGCTGGTTATCCTCAATAGCGGTGGCTCAGAGTGTATAACTAGCAACGCGCCGTGATGAGTGTTTTACGAGATAGTAGACTAACTGACCTCTTAATTTAAACTAATTGTAATGCAAAAGCTTCTACAAAAACTGAGATAGACTATCACGAACTCTTTATAGAACTCTTAAATATGAAATTAAGACAAACAATATTATCCTACAGCACAAAAACTTTATCCTTACTTTTTGCAACATTTGCCCTTTCATTAATTCCTAGTAAGTTGGCACAGTGTGCACAAATAACAACTTAACACCGAAATATTTTTTCCATTAAAGTTGTTTTTGAGATTAAAACCCAACAAACACACTCTTTTGCTGTTTAAAGGTATAATCTTATGTATATTGATTAAACTTACCTCCATGACCACATAGACATAAGCGGTGCTGTCCATACAGTCGTGCATAGCGACAAGGTTCGTGTGATGAAGCGCTGTCAGCTCGCGCAGGATCTTGATTTCCTTCACGAGGATCTCTGACGCCTTCTGCAGACCCTTCTTCGTCACGACTTTCACGGCTACCGATTGTGAGGGGCTCTGTAGGACAGTAACAAGATTTTTTTAAGACAAGCTAAAATTTGGGAGTAAACAGATACCTATATCAATATTTATTCGACGTCCTAGTAACCGACTTATATCCATTTGTTATTTATACCTATACCTATTGTTTAACACGCAATAGGTATACATTTGGTTTATTTTCCGAGATTATAATGATGCTAGCTGTATCTGTGACTTCGTCCGCGTAGAACAGGTATTTTGGGACATCAAAATTTGTTTTTCCAAGCCTCCTCCTCATCTATATACGAAGAGTTCATAAGAACTACTGGTTCGAATTGAAAAATTATTTTTGTTTGAGATTTGCGTGTTCAAACAAACAAACATGTCGTTCATTGAACTTCGTTTGTTGTTGCAGCTTGGATGCAACATACCTACATCGAATGTCGAAATAACCTCTCCATTTAGACTTTGCGGTCAATAGCTCGACAAATGCAGGCCAGAACTACCCCAGACACTACAACCAAACTATTCAATGAAGCCAATCCCTAATCTTATCGTTCTGTTTTCCATACGTTCAGCAACGAACCCAGGTCATTAACTTTTACGCCACTTTGTTATCCATCTATATTAAGACTGCAAAGTTACGAAATCTCCGCAATATCTTAAACATACCCTTAAGGCTGTTGACGCCAAAAAGGGGTCCCAATACGAGGGAAATCTTATCATAATGTATTTTTATTAATGGCGAGAGTTGAAAAGCCGATAAGTCGGAGTGAATTTTTCTCATAACGGCGGCATAAGTGCACGAAAGCATAAACAAAACGGCTACCTAACTGTACCGACTGTCGTATAATATTTATTGCAGCGAAATAATTATATAAGTGCACGCGTGTGAAACGATTTTTATTCTCGCCAAAGCGGAACCCATATTCAAAGATAAATTGCGCTAACTAGAATTTTTATTCACAGATATTACTAGGTTCAATGTAACGAAAGTATAATTATTGTAATTGTCTACATAACAAATGATTCCACACACACTAATAGCAAGTATACACACAAATGTAAATAGATCCTAATGACTATGGCGACAACACAAACAACGCCATTTCTGTGTCTCACAAATAAGAGTAAGATAAGTCAAACTCATTTGCTCTGTTTATAATCCAAAAGAGTCTCAGGGCTGCGCCGACGCTGGTCTAACATTAGCCCGCCCTACATTCCATAAGTTCATCGATAACTAACTGACCTGATTTCAACATGTCTTCCTTAGAGTTTTTCGGTACTGCCCTTTGACTTAGTGTTGCAGCAGTAACAAAATAAAAAATAAAATAAAATATACTTTATTTTCTTTAAAATTATAAAAACTATTTAGATTCGTCAAAATTTTTGAGAAACTGAGAAGAACACCCGAGAAACTCAGTCCGGCTTTCTTTTAAACTTGTCTTATAAACTAATATATTATGTATTAATTATTAACCTTAGGAGCAATTCATATTACTGCCAGGCGGTCTTGACATATCGTTCAGACAATAATACGCCTTTTGAGACAATCTAAATTTTATAACTTTTTTAAATTTATTTATCGATAAATTTGACACCTCAACTGTATTATACATACGAATACAATTCCCCGCAAATGAATTAGATATTTTATGGAGCCTATATTTGGGGATAGCTAGGTTATCCTTATTTCGTAAGTTCAAATTATGTCTATCACTATTCTTGCTAAACTTGCTTTTGTTCTTATGGGCATACAATACATTTTCATAAATATACTGCGAGTACACAGTAAGTATGTACGATATTTTTAAAGGTATCTCCCGAGATACCATACCATAGATAGCCCGGACCGCCCTTTTTTGCAACACAAAGATACATTCAATGTCGGCAGCGTTACCCCACAGTAGTATGCCATATGTCATATCACTGTGGAAGCAGCTGAAGTAGACTAGACGCGCTGTTTTAATGTCTGTTAAATGTTCGATCTTTTTTACGGCAAAGGCTGCAGAAATAAGTTTGCTCGAGGCTATCCTGATATTAGATCCCCATTTTAGTTTCGAAAGACAGTTTCATTGACCAATTCTATCTCGTCATCCCTAACCTTACAAACTATTTGGTAAACTAACAATTTTTTACTATTAACTAACTATTTTTTAGGTACTTTGACTGTTTCAAATACAGACAGTAACAACAGTATAACAGTACTAAGCAGTATGTAACTATTCTTTATGCAGATGTTTCAAGTCACTGTATGTGATAAGTGCCTAGTAATAAAATTAAGCGAGAGGTAACACCAACTTCTAAATCAATAGCTTACTGGAGTGGTTCACAGTACATAATTGTACTAGCTTTTTTTACATTTCATTTATTTAAAATTGCATAAGTAAAATAAGTGATTAACATTAAGCTTAAATCACAATTAAGTACAAAATAATTTCATGGTTGTTGCACTACTTGGTCACAAAGCAGTGTAACTCAATATGAATAGTCTAACAATGGTGATACCAGTTTTGCAGGGACACTTGTGACATCAAACATTAGTTTACATTAGTATTAAGGAGATACAGCAATCTAACTATCAAGAATACAGGACCTATGTCCTTAAGACAAACAAGACTACTAAGATATTTTTGAAAATACTAATAAACTATAATAATATTGCATGGAAATGTGATATAAGATAAAAATGTAACACATATTTGCATTTTATAATACGCATCACATCAGGTGTCATATTATGATCACCTATTAAAAAATATGATACTATTAGAAGGAATTTTAACATTATGACATTTATACTAGAAATCAAAAGTTAATTCTTGTTAATATATTAAACCTGTTCAATAGAAAATATTAGCTATTATTGGATTCCCAATTGTCTAACCATCAATATTTTTTATTCATAATTTTTTAAGCAATATATTAGACATTACAGTTTAAATCACAAAAAAAAATGGAAATATGAAAAAGGTACGCAAGGTAGGTAGGAATAAGTAGTGCAAAGGTAAGGTATATCTTGTGAATTCAATATTTACCTACCCACATAATTCAGATGTTTATTTCTTAACAAATAACATCAACAAAATCATGTGGTAATAATAGATAACAATTGTAGTAACAATATAATATAATCACATCTGAAATTAATAATGTTGTTGTCATAATTCTTAATGTTAATATTGATTTTATAAAAATTATTAACTATCAAATGAATATCAAATCAAAAATCCCTTAAAATAAACACCGTTGTATTATGAACATAATAGTATTAAAAATTAATATATTTATAAGTGACTTGGTGCTTAAATAAATAAAATTAATGTGGGAATATGTCAATATTGCTAATGTTATATTGGCACAGTCAATACACTATTTTGTGTACACTACTAATAATAATTACAAAGCTTAATTGAAAATTTTTAAAAGAATACGAAAATCAATAACATTTACAACATTCAGGTATAACAGATAATCTAATTAAAAACGAGGTAAAGCCTATATTTGTAATAATTAGTAATTGCGAGGCTGTTTGTGTTTTGGGTCAAGATAGATAGATAGATGAGTAATAACATACCTTTCTTTTTCTTCCTTTGTACACCATTGCAAAAGCTCCATGGCCTATTATATCTTGTTTTGTAAACTCGTATTCACCAACTTGGATAACATCCATTTTCACTAATGCTTTTCCTTTAACCACGGACATTTTTAAGTTCTTATGAAATTCACTGCTAAAAGTACAAGACAAAAGATCGATACGATAATTTTGGACTACTCTTTAAAGGAACTTGATTATGCGCTACATTATGGTGATAGCTCCAAATCACTTCCGTAAAGTCTCCGAGCACATTATTTTTGATTAACTTCCAAGAGAAACACTAAAAAGCCATTGTTTCTCTACTAATACACAACATACAATGAACGTAAAATGTAGAAAAGTGATTTTATTTTGTTGTGTTTGATAATTTGATTTTGTAAACTGGTGTTGCTACAGCAAAAAATATATATATATAATGTTGGGATACCAAAATAAAAGTAATAGCGGCAGAAAACCGTCAGTTTATTTCTGTGTAGATTATTTTAGGAAACAGTATAATATAAACTAGCAAAAATACGATCGATTTAAATAATACAGTTAATTTGTATTTTTCTTATTATTTAACTCAGCTATTGTCGGTTCACATATGTAATTAAAAATTGACAAAGGACTGTTAGTGAATGTTCAAAGGTAGCAAAATGTCAAGTTCTTGTCAAATGTCAGTAGTCATTCAAGGGGAATAATAATTATTGGCAAATTTATTTTAAAATTAAAACTACATACGAAAGTTATTTGAATTTAATGTTGAAACTATCATAAATAAGAAAAAACATTTATTATGATATAATTCATTGTTACGATTATAAATTACGTTAACGATGGCGGACAGAGATTTGTCGTTAGGACCCAGGGAAGGTGTCTCGTATCCGATTAGAGTTCTGTATTGCGGTAATTGTTCCATGCCAATAGAGTATTGTGAATATTATCCCGAATACGACAAATGCAAACAATGGTTGGAGAAGAATTTGCCAACCGAATTCGAGAAAGTTAAAATAGGTGAGTTATTACAAATCAATGTGACGAGGAGGTTAGGGTTTGAAATAAAACATTTTTGTATTATCAACAGACGAAGATGATAATGGCGGGGAAGGTGAAGAAAAGAAGCGGCAAAAGCGCGGCGGTAAGGGGATGCTGAAGTCTAAGAAGAAAGAAGACGTCCCTAAATTAGTTCAAGTTTCACGCGCTCCTAGAGGCAAGAAAAAGTCTGTTACGGTTGTCTCCGGGCTTAGTACTTTTGGTGAGCATTTTATTACATATACTATTTTTTCTTTAAATAATGCAAATTTTTCTTATATCTCTCCTTCAATATGTCACAGATATTGATTTAAAAGTAGCTGCAAAGTTCTTTGGCACAAAATTTGCTTGTGGATCATCAGTGACTGGTGATGATGAAATTGTAATACAAGGAGATGTCAAGGATGATCTGTTCGATGTAATACCAGAGAAATGGCCTGAGGTAATTTTTATTTCTATTTGTATGTATGTTTTTATGAGGATTATTATTGAAAACAAAGAAAAACAGTTTTATTTTGTTATAGATAAACTATAACAAAACCATATATTTAATAATAAAGGAGCAAAAACATATGATTTTGCGTCTTTAAAATAATGCAGAGTCTAAAATTTATCTTTTTTTTATTGGAATATAGTTTGGAATATTCTTATGAGCATATCTTATTGTGTGACAAAATATAGATCCTGTGACCAGATGCAATATTTAATTTCTATTTAATTTATTTTGCTAACCATGCTATGAGACAACCAACCAACTATTATATATATTTTAATATTTGCTATTTAATCACTTTTGAATGTCAGTCAAGTAAGTAAAGATTACTCAAAAATGTTAAATATTAGAAATATGAGACCAAGTCTGATTATAAGTATTAAAAAATCAGTTTAATTCCAATAATTCCATTTTTAAATAAATAGATTAATTCAATTGTTTATTTTTAGATTGATGAAGACAGTATTGAAGATCTCGGAGACCAGAAGAGGTAGTCCTTTTAATACTACAGCAAGTCACCAATGTTTTTTATTTTACCTTGCAAGTTGCAAGTACGTGGATAATGATGCAACAATCATTAAATTATTTCTTGAGTAATAACTGTTACTGATGAAATAATATAGACTTTTATTTGAATACCAATTTTTTTTATTTTTTTTTTATTGGGGCCACCAATAGAAGGGTTCCACATTTTCTGCTACCTATTTCACCTATTTACCCATTTCCTCCCTACAAAGGACTTTGGTTTATTACCAATAACATTAGTTTTCTTTCTTCAAGCTTAATTTAATTAATTTGAAACTGTAACCTGCATTATTTGTGTAATATTATCTAATAAACAAAAACATTAATGGAATTTGAAAATGCCAACTTTAAAAATGAATTGACTTATTTATTTCGCTTTTTCTAACCCTCCTATAAAAACTTATCCATTGAAAGTACTTGTAATATGATATTGAATATACCTACCGCAGTACCTATTACTGTATACAAAGATGCATAAGGCAGTGATTGCTAGCTCATTTTCAGCAGGAGTAAACTTCCACTTCTTTAAGTTATTTTTATCCTAGACATATTTTTTAAAGTCTTGTAGAGATGTCCATTTTTATAATCATTAAATAAAACAACAAATACGTAAAGTATCAATTTTATTTAATATTGATAAAAATTATACAAAACATATTGTGTAAAACTTTGGTTTTTCTTTGCAATAAATGGTTATAGTAATCGAATCAAAAATCGTGGTACCATAGTGGCGGAGTAAATGTTAAAATTGCAGGATGTATTAAACTTGTAGTTAACAAGAAACGATAATTAAAATAGAGGTCCTATTAGTATGATTTCGGTTTAAAATTTTCTTCACTCACAGTTTTTGTAAGGTATTCACTCAACAATAACCATTTATAAGGTAATACTATAATATTTATTTATATATGCACTGTAATAATACTTTCTCTTTAATCTAATGTCTACTTTAATTAAGAAATTTACTGTATTATTATATTTCCACTTGAGAGGAATAAAATTGGACAGGAAATTTCGGAAATAAATGCGATCTTGTTATTTGGACAACTTAAAAAACAAATTAGGTACGTCGGTATGTGCAAACTTAATAAAACATTGATTAATATCGGTTTGTAAGGCTTTCACATAAGTCAATTATCTATATAAAATATTTACATTTACGATGTTAATAAATTTATGTTTAAAGTAACGAAATGTAATTTCTACTAGTAATACACTACTTCTACAGTTCGTCAGCTAATTTTGTGCATCCTATGTGAAACAGAACATTAAATGTGTCTGTAAATTAGTATTACAGAAATGCCTCTTTTTTCATTACATTTAAGTAGTATTACCATAAACAAAACTCTATGCGACGTTAATTTACATTTTTAGGTTTTAATAAGTTACTACAATTAGGCCCTAAAATTATAATAGTTTTGTTTTTGCATGGGTGCACACGCATTCTTCTAGAAGCTGCGGGTTCCGGCAATGTAAAATTCATTTTAGAATAATATTTAGGACTCATAATTCTTAATGTAATTTTCCTACATTAAAACTTTTATAAACCACACGTAAACAACATAGACCTCGAAATAATCTAGATTAACTCCAGGTCCATGCTGAATCGTAAGTCTATTAAAAGTCTAAATTCTTCTGATTTTTCTAAAGAGGTTTTTTTATTAGGTGTATGTTCTCACGACTGTAGAGATAATTGGACTAAACTACACATTGCAGTCTATACGTCAATGATGCTATCGTGTTTTTTGTCTGACGCTTTTAGTTTTTCTTGCATCTGCGTTAACATGTCCTGCATTCGTCTTATCTGAAAAAAAGAAATAAAGCATTGGTATTGGCATTCTTATTTCAAATTATTAAAGAGGTTGAGCTTACTTCTTCGTCCTTCTGTAAGAGGAGTCTGTCTGTGTCCGTTATGGGTACGTCGTGGTTGTTACCCATTGAATCTCTCTTCAGTTTGCTATAAAGACAAAATAGATAAGGGCAACAGTCATTAAAAATTATATTATCAATTCTTAAGACAAAGAGGCCTACGTAAATCGTAAATAACGCTAATAAGATCATGTAGCAGTTATACTATAAATAGACCAGAGACAATTTCTCGGGCGTGTTTTATTGATGTTTAAGAAAAATAATCTATACCCTCGTTCTCTCATAGCGTGCTGCGATATTTGGGAAATGCACTGCGCGCGGAAGTTTTCATAGTGCACGTCTTGTGTAACGTCTTTTAGGTCCTGCATGTGGGTAGATATCAACATTGTGCGCAGTTTTGTGAAGTCTGAATGTCTGGGGTTCTCCACTGCAATAAAAACATATTTCTTTGCAGTTAAACAAAAGTAGGAAATTAACATTATTGTTATATATTTTCAAATGTTTACTAATATTATAAAGGTTTTTGTGTTGGTTAGAGCAATCATCGTGGAAGGCTTAAGGCTATAAAGCATTGCGCTGCGACCGATAGGAGCGAAAAAACGGGGAAAATTAATAATATTTTGCGTTTCCATTGCGTGCCCTACGAAACGGTCCAAGATACCCAAATAATAGGAAAAATGATTCCTCTTAAAATGACGTAAAAATGGCCCGCGACGGTACATAAATTCACTTGCAAAAACGTCGGGACGCGAGTGATGTCGTGCGTAACATCTAGTATATTTTATAAGTTCAATTATCTTTTTTCGTTAAATAATACTTTTTTATTATCCGTGCGCTTGCATATTTTAATACCTTGAAGACGATATTACCGCCAAAGTAAGTTTTTTTTATTCGCAAACATTTATAGGACTTAGTGAACACTTGTTTCGCTCTATTTATATTACCTATGTTAGTTGAACATACATAATAAGATAGCTTGTAAAACTAGTGGTACAATTACCATCAACAATTCCCCAAGGGTACTGTCTTCCGCGTATCCTTTTGCCGCCCACTTCGAGCACAGTGTCCGCTGCAACAACAGCAAATGGTGCAGCTGCTTTCAGGTCTCTGTCCTGCTGCTTGAACTCTTCGTCTTCATCGCTGTCGCATTCGGGGAATTGGTATACCTTAACAAATTATGAAACATAATAGCAAAGAAAGATACCATTTATTCGTAAAATTATTGAAGAAATATCGCTTCTTAATTTGTTATATCTATACAAATATATAAAGCTGAAGAGTTTGTTTGAACGCGTTAATCTCAGGAACTACGGGTACGAATTGAAAAATTCGTGTTGGTGCTGGTTAGAGCATTTATCGAGAAAGGTTATAGACTATAAAACATCACCCTGTGACTAATACGAGCGAAGATACAGCGGGAAATGTGAAAAAAAATGGATTCATCATTATGGGATACCGAGGCGTAAACTGCTAAAACGGATCAAGATATCCAAAAATATGTGTGAAAGAATGCTTCCTCTTTAAATGATGTAAAAAGAGTCCGGTACGCTATATGCCTATCTTTTAAGATAACTTGTATGAACGACGGGAAGGGACGCGACCGACGTCGTGGGTAACGGCTTAAGTTTATAAAGGTAAAGGGGGTGGCAAAAACGAATTTAAGCTATATATATATATATATATATAAATATTCTTAGCGGACTAAGTCGCTGTCACAGCTAGTAAATACGTGTGATAATATGTTTTCTAAAACGTTTTAACAAAAGCAAGACTAAGGTATAAAAGTATCAAAGTAAATCAAATGGACAAACAAAATTCGCTATAAAAAAGTTTAATTGAATTTCCGACAGCCAGAATACAATAAATAATTGAGTACTTATGCAATGTGAATACAATTTGTGTATAATCGTACATAAATTCGTTTAATTTACTGCAAAACTGCAATTAGAAAGTAAAGTAATAAGTAATACTATCGCAATTTGAGGAATGACCAAATTTTGTTATGTTGTCGAATCCACGGACTAAAACTCAAACGAATATTTGAATTTTACGTGTTTTCATGTGTCACTGTGGTTCACTATTCAGACTAATCGTGTCTATAATTTCCAACTGAGGTCTTACATTTAAATAAAACACTTTAACGGTTTAAAACGTTTTATTTATTTAAATGTGTACTACTCGCGTAAACTATAGACAGTATTTGAGGTCTTACATGTTAGAAAAGTGTTCACAAATATTGGTTTCCTTTCATGAAAATCGAACTCACCATCCCTTGTTACAGTCTAACCTCTGGAGCAAGCCTGTCGAGTACGATTATTAGTTTCTAGTTTGAATGAAGCTTGTAGACTCTTATATAACTTGTAGTTGCGCGTATTCTTATTTATGTTTTTATTTGTTCACGTATGTAATACTTAGAGCTAGTACAATAGTATTGTGGCCATATTAAATATCAGAAAGCTAATTAAAAATTTTCGCTTTTAGATTCAGGAATATAAAAGTACGAACTTCGATTAAAAATTAAGAAACATTTTTTATAATTTATTTTACACGTTTCGTTTACAGTTTATTTATATTAGTCTAATGTTGCCAATGTCAGATCCGCATTTTGCGGTAAAAGCCTCCTCCATACGCTTCCATTCCGTTCTGTTAGTAGCGCTTCGTTCCCGTTTCCTTTGAGTGTTAGCCATATATGAATAGAATACTTTGAATGCCAACTATATTCAAGTGACCTATATTCACTTACTTGTATCTGATGTTCATCCAGGTCGCTCAATATGCGCGCCTTGAGCCGTTTTACTTCAGCAGCCGTGAGCGAGTCTGCTTTCGCGATGACAACCACTATGTTCACTTTGCGGTGTAGTCGCTTCATCATTTCCAGGTCTACTTGTCGAAGGCTAAAAGTATTCGAATTTTAAAAAGGTACTTAAGGATCGTCTGTAGTTTACGCGAATAGAACATATTTAAAAAAAGCACTTTAAAACACGAAACATACGCCCCGTTGCCCAGGGCTTCTGCAAAGCATCCGTAACATAGGACCGTAGTTAAAGAAATGAGTTAATTAGTATATTTCGGGTTTTAAACCGTTAAAACTGTTTTTTTTAAATAAAATACGTTTAAAGGTTGACAAAGGGAAATAGGTATGTAAGCTTGTATATAATCATTAAAACGGTATATAAGGATATAAATTAATAATCAAATAATTAATGTGTGTATACAGGACAACGAGGTTTCGCTCTATTAGAATAACCATTTACTTATCGACAAGATTTGTAGATTTCCAATTTAATTGATGTGTGAAATCCCGTTCGCCCTATGCCCCCGGGGGGAACGTTTCGTGATACGGTTTTTGCTGCAGACGTCTGTGCCCGGGCCGACCGAAACTAGTTTACTGTTTCCCCGGGAACCAGGACCTCTTGTCGCTAACGCAATGCTAGGCAAGTACGATTAACCATTTAGCTACAGAAGCGGTATATAACTGATCCAGAAGATGGTAAATTTTTTGCACGGCCATATGTCTATAACAGGCCATACCGGCAAATGACGAAGACACCGTGTCAATTCTGTAAGACCCGGCTGCAGTTTCGCCAATACCAACTTCGCGGAACAGAGGGGTTTTAATATGGCGTCAGATTCTCAGCTCTTTCCTAGTTTTCGGAACACGGCTGCTGTCCGCTATCCGAAATTTAGGTCCGAAGCTCTTCATTTTCAAATAAGATTAACTAATATATCTCGTTTAACCGGTAACGTCAGCGTTCCGTGCTGGTCGTGGAGAATGGTAATGAATTGGAGCGCACTTCACGAGAGTGTTGGCATACCGCAGAATTAGAGAGACGTTTATGTTTTATATCCGCGACGTGTTCTTTAATTATGTTTGAATGCTACGCTTTGTTTGGCGATGTAGGATAGGCCAACAATCGTTCAAGTCCAGTCCGAAACGCCGCATTATTTTTGATTTTGAAATTTATAGTGCTTCAGGAATGAAACATGTAAAAAATATAAAGTTTTCAAATGTGTTTAACTATGTTTTACCCGCTCTACAAATATCGTAATGATTGGCAAAATACAGTATCAATTTCAATGCTCGTAAATACTATTAACGCAACGAGATTTTATTGATCATCACTGTAATACTTGTAAAGTACCATTACAGATGAAACACAATGGTAATAACAGTTTATGAGAGTGGACAACAATGTTTTGATTCCTTAATAATGTAAATATGTATATCTACTTATGTGAAAAAAAACCCCCCCCCCCCCCTTATTTTTTTTTTTTTGTTTTTTTTTTTTTTTTTTTTAAAACAACCTCTTTTTTTTTTTTTTTTTTTTTTTGGGGGGGGGGGGGGGGGGGGGGGAAAAACCCCCCCCCCCCTTTTTTTTTTTTTTTTTTTTTCCCCCTCATAAAAAAAAAAAAAAAATATAAAAAGCTTTGGGGGGGTTTAGCCCCCGGGGAACAAACCAAAAAATTTTCGTCCGGAAAGGCACAAACATCTGAACAACTATGTGTCTGTACATAAAACTGATCACAGAAACAGTATCAGATAGGTGCGAACGACAATGCATACCTGAAGTACCCACGGGAGATTTTAAATAAAGCACCATATATGAGGCCTCTAGAGCCTCAGAAGCCTGAACTGCAATTTTAGGACTTGACTTATTTTACTTTAAAAAATGTAAATCTACAAGAGCACAGTGACTGCAAAGTGTACAAATAATAGTTCGAATTCATTTTCGCTTAATTGCGCTTTTTTATTTTTCTCCTTATTGCAAATCATGTTTTTTTTTAATAGGCCACTCTGCGTCCAGCAGACTCATATTATCCTGCTGCCTTAAAAAGTATACGATAATTATCGTCTAGGTTGTACGACGTGAGTTATTTTAACACAATTTATATACAATAAGCCTTTTTTTAGCTAGAAAACGAACATTATCTTTAATGCTTAAAGTGTTCATTCTTATCATCATTACGTGCTCAGAACTTTGAGAAACATTCTCAGAAAACTTTATCATATCATATTTGGCATGACACAGTATTTATGCCTTTATCGCTGCACACGTGTTCTTCCGGGCTCAAAGCTAAGATATTTAAAACCGAAGAAGTCTAAATTGGAAATACACTATCAACACGTAGCTAGATTTGGTATAACGGTAAATAAATAGGTAACTATAAGTTATGAATTATAAACTATAAACGCCTCATCTGGCTAGGAATCATTTTTTTTAAATCAGCCAGTCACCAAATAAAATACAGGGAAATAAAGCCGACATAGACAAAATAACTCTATAGCGATCCATAGAGTTGTTTTGTCTAGGATGTATGCACAAAAAAAATGTAACTATGTATCTATAGATAGTTATAGATTATTATAGTCTATAGATTATGTAACACACTTAAAAAATTGTATATAAGTATTATAAGTAAGTAAGTTTTCAAACAGGTTATGAGGCTAAACATCGAATTGAATGATTTAAAATAGCAGCTGGTGGCAACTGGCAGCTTTTACATTTTATTGCAATGAAGTGGAGTTCTACACCTGCTCCGGTCAATAATCTTTGGTAATACATATTTTCATTATTTAGAAAAAAGGTAACAAACATTAACACTTTATTTGTTTCTTAGAATTCGTATCGTGAGTTATTTGATTGTTTAACAAAATGTATGTAAAGCAATTACCACAATATGTCACTGTGTAGAAAAGAGATCGCCTAATAGGTTTGGTCCTTGTCGAATAAATTTATGACTTTGTACATATACTAAGTGGTTAACATCTCTAAATCCCTTTTACGAGTTTTCTGCTATTGTAAAGCAACAAAAATCAGATCTTAAAGCAACACAGTAATAAAGTTCGCGGTTCAATAAAACACTTTAGCTGTTTAAAACGCGATATATATTGGTTTAACTTATTTGAAGATTATTTATAACTACGGCCCGGAAGCTTTGTAACAGCAGTCGTCAAGGTAAAAACTGCTACGCTAGCGCCATCTGTACCGTCGAAGTTGGTATTTGGTATTGTTTGCTGAACTACAGATATAACTATAAGTCTTATAAACGCAATGATAGTTACCTATGGGCCCAGGGCGGCACGAAGTAGAGACAGCAGTGCACTCTATTATCTTGCATATGCCTCCTGTTGAGTCCGCTCTCATCTGTAAAGTACTGTCTGAATTGCTCATCCACGTAAGCTGAGCACACCCTCCACGAGTCTTCGCAGTTGATCGCGTCACCAAAGCCGGGTGTATCGACTATTGTCAAACGCAGTTTCACACCGCGTTCCTCGATTTCCATAGTTTTCTTCTCTATTGTTGTTGTTTTCTCGATTCTATCTGTTGGGATTTACAATGCGATGTTGTGTAAACATGGAACTGCATTGTTATTGTAGGAATCATTGTTAGCGTAAACAATAAGGCAGAATACGACGCGTTTTTCATATGAAAACGATTGTTCAGAATCGTTTTTAATGATAGCAACCGTAAATAAATCGTTCTATCAACAACATCAATTCGTTATATAATTTTATAATTGTTCTAAAAACTGTTGGACTCTCGAAATCTGGAAATATTAAATGGGTAGACATATTGAAATCGACCGATCGATGTGGACGATCTTCCGTCCACAGATGACGAAGTCGTCAAATTTAATATTTTGGCTTGTCAGTCTGTGGATCTCCCAATTTCCAAAGCCAGAATTGGTCGACAGCGCGACTTGTTTACGTGTGGCTGCATTTTCATGTAAATTAATATTTATTAGGCATTTATACTAACATCTTTAATATAGCTAACATTGTATGCAATACGTTCAGCTTTATAAGCAATCCGTTACAGACCAGTAAGCTGCCGACTGATTCCTGATACCTATATAGATAGCATTACACAGCAACAACAAGAACACAGACAAACCTTGGACGTCAGGTATTTTTCTATTCCTGTAAAGGTCTCCGAGGAATAAGCTATTGATGAGGGTAGATTTTCCTAATCCTGACTCCCCCACAACCATGAGAGTGAAATCGAATCCGCGCTTAACGGATTTTCGGTGTACTTGCTCAGGTAGAGTCGCAAAACCGATGTAATCGCGCTCCCCTCGATCTCGTTCTGAGAAATAAAGTTTAATCAACGTAAAAAATATTTTTGATTGAATAATTATCTATAGCATATAGTATTATTTGGTGCTTAAGCAATTTATCTGATATTTGAAAGAAATAAAACAATTAACTGTTCTTTTCGTGTTTATTTCGGATATCTGTCATGTTTTTTTTATAGTGATAGTACTTTCTAGAATAGCACGATAAGTTTGACAATTGACAATAGCTGCAGATAATCAATAAATCTATTCCATTATTTTTAATTATTTGGGCATATTTAATGTTACATAACGCATATATTTTTAACTAAAGTTACTAATAGATACGTAACCCATTAGGCAGTGAAGCTCAAGAGCTTATAACACGCAAAGTAGGGCGCACTACCTCTGTTCTCGTAATGAGATCGGTTACGCAATAGGATTGCCACATATTTTACCAGAAATTGTCGTTATAAAGTACGTTAAAATAGATCACTCAGGTTATTAGGTGGCTGTTTATCTCATAAATATTTAGAGGTAAACTCGAAGATAAGAGTAGCTCTGTTCTTCGAGACGCACGGTATATCTTATTAGAACAGGGATATGGTCAATTTCTATAGCATCCCAGGTTACCTCAATTTAAACAAATGAACATCAAACACATAAGAATAATTATGGCGATTTTACATTTTAATATCAAAAACAAATGGCGCTACTGTGTTCAAGACCTTATAAATATATTACTTACTTTATTATTTTTAAAAATGTTTGATCGTCGATCTTACTGTTTAAATGCTTACCATTTTCTTAATAAATGGAATGGAAAACGATAAGAGAGATCCTACATGATTATTAATGATCGAAAATAAAATTGTGTCTAATTGATTTTAATAATTATTTCTTTACATCTGCCCTTTAGAAAGTGAATTTTAATCCTGAGATAGCAATGTATAGTAGTGGGCATCCTTTGTGCACTTTTAGGTACAATGTCTGATTGCAAGAGGGGCAACGGAGTGTGACGTAACAGGTTCCCGTGTTATGTACCGCGCTTGTACTCTGCATAATCTATGGCTGAGTTTCTCAAACCATTGTTTATAGCACCTCTAAAATTGTTAATACAAGGAACTAGTTTTTTGGTTTAAAAAAAACCATTCAGAAATTTGCAAAAAACTGCCTAAAAATTTGTACGAGACGAAATGACAACCCACGTAGTTAGTAAAAATAGTAAAAGTAAATATAAGTTTATATTTTAAGACATACTACTACTAATACAAAATACAAATAACACCGCTCCTTGCTTTTCAGCCTCTGCGGTTTACTTTTTTAATACAAGATTTGGTGCCCTTATATATGAGGCTGCTAGAGGCATAGTGGTCTAATAACAAAAAACATGATTTTCAATAAGGAGGAAAATAAAAACGTGCAATTAAGTTGTATTATATTTGTGCGAGAATTATGTCAACAATTTTCGGTCACTGAGCTCTTGAATATTAACAATTTCAGACTATAAAAATACTCTCCCTCTAGCGGCTTCATATGCCCTCCTAAAGGTTAAACCTAACTATTAAAGGGGCAATGATTTGATGCTCTTTTCCAAGCCCTTAAAAGGTTGTAGCTATTAAAAGGGTACGCCATTTTGGGAACCATTGGTCTACGTTATGAACCGAAGCCCGGGGCCATGGAAAAGCGGCACAACTAACCAATAGATTGAGGCCGGACAACGGAAGCGACAAACGTGCTCATCAATGTGCTAACACCAAATTATGTTGTCGCTATTATTAGGGAAACTATGCGATCGTTGACTATAACGACCTCAATTTAAACAACTGTTGACATCGTAACCAATCTCTTATTTTTGTTACGGTCAAGTATTAAGATGTCATCTTAAGATAGATAGGCGTACAACGAAATCGTAAGACATACAAGTACTCTCAATTACGGGCTCCCACGTTTGAACTACTTATAACAATCAATATTAAGTATGTACTATAGAGGTACCGTGTAATGGATACATCTTGTTCAGTGACTTTAAATTTATTACTATAATCAAAGTGAATGTAGAACAGCAAGTAAAGATTCGCTACGAAATAAATAATTTTCCTACCCTTGCCAACCTAGTGAATTACAATATTTGAGAATATTTACCGCGAATAAACCTATATTTATTGTGTAAAATAAATTAAATATAGTAGAAAGTTAAATAATAAATTACTATAATTCTCTGTAATTACGTTTTCTAAATTTTTACTTTTAATTTTACAATGGTAATATTGCCAGAATTAAAACTTACTATTTGTATTATTTTTAAGCACAGATAAAAATAACTTACGCAGTTTAATAACCGTTGGTACTAGGGTCTTCTTATTTTTGTTCAAGTCATTATCGATGTTAGATTTTAACTCCTTATCACTTATATTTATATCAACAATAGCAAAAGAGTCACTTTCCATTATCACTGACAGGTAAATAAATTATTTCCGCTTTTTGAGGTATTGCTTTAAAAGGAATAAATCAATACCGTGTGAGGGATGTATTTAAATGTATAATGTTTTTAATCTGTATTTCCATGAAACGAACGAAAAATTGGCGCTAAAATCGACCATTCGCGCGTTCGTCGGCACAGCGGTTACGTCGATACTGCGCGCGCAGACTCAAATGCACCAACAGCTTATTGTTAGATTCGGAGGCGTGAAATTACGTCACTCGTAATCACAAATTGAATTAAACATGAAATATGCGTTGACCCGACGAATGAAATTAAGGTGACTGCCCTGTCTGACACCCGTTAAGAGGTTAGAACAAACAGAAACTACAAACGTTGACGCCTAGACCCTGAGCTCGTTATGCCAATTAGCGCTATTAATATCTGAAAACGGTGATACATAAAGCAAATAAACATTGTTTATATGTAACACCTTTATGGCCCATTAATGAAACGAATTGTATAAGGTCAGCTTAAGGGTTTGATGCCCGGGAAAACGTGTAAACAATTTAATACATATAATGCAACGAGAAAACTCCCGTGAATAAAATCGGCACATAAAGCGGACACAAAAATGTGTCTGCCTTATGTCATAGATGAACGATCACTTTACGTGTAATGGAGCTCTATAGAGTTAGCTGTATTGTTGACAGTTGTGATTGCTTTCCGTTCAATTGTAGCTTTTCCGGTTATGCAAATGTTATCTATATGTGCATATAATCATAGATACTGATACAATCGAATTCAACAACATATTTGATAGTAATTTGTAGCTGTAGGTAGAAGGCGGGAATGCAATTGGAATTCTTGAGAAGGTTTTATAGGTGTTGTAAGATGGAAATATTTAGCAGGTAAATATTACTAAATAAATCTATTTAGGAATTAAAAAGAAGCACAAAATAGTAAATAAGGTTGCGTAATCAAATCTATTGTAATTTAAAGTGCATGAAAAAGTCTTTGAAATTCTTTTATGATCATTTCATATAGTGGCTTTAGTAAAAAATATCGTAGAAATGTATATTTTCAAAAACTTACCCGTCGCCATCATTTTCTTTCTTCCAGACGTCTATCTTATTATAAATAATTTAGAATATCGTTTAGGAAGCAATGAAAATTTTTATCAAATTTTCATAATTTAAATGAAATAATTCTAGATAGACTCAGCATAAAAAACGTTTCACTGACCCGGGTTAAAGGTTTAGAAAAATAATAACAACACTCCGCTACGTTTCCACTTCCGACATTCTACTCGCAAAACAATATACTCGACACGTTAATTCTTGCGCAATTTACTAAATACTAAAATCTATATTGAAAATAAGTCGCGCGACCTTAGACAATATCACGATACTAATCCTAAATATTGTATAATAAAAAACAGTAGAAAAATCGAAAAAAGGAAAATAAAATCACATTGTTTGTGCGCCGTCCTGTGCGTGTGGGTTATGTAATGTGAGGGTCCGAAGCCCGCGCCCCGAGAGGACCAGCGTCCCCTTCGCCCCTCTTCCCCCGACCTCGAGCTTTCTGCGCAAGAGGGCGCCCCACATTTGGGGGCCCATAGCCGCGCACCTATTTTTGTGAACCCGCGGATCGATACAGCACAAAGCTCCGCGCTTGCGCATTCCCGCTTCGCACAAAGCCCGCCTTCTGCAATGCCCCAGTTGCATTGAAGGTGTGTCGTTTGCAACGTTCAAGGCCGTTTAAATAAAGAGCTTAGTTTAGCAATTAGAATGAAGTTATTTATAATAATTCGGTAGGCAATCATGATTTCTTTATATTCTCTATATCTGTGTCAATAACTAAAATTAGAGCTGTGTCAATAAAAAAGAGAATAGACTAACTGCGATATTTGCGGAGATTCTGTCAACAAATTTTTTGGCTGAAAAATACAAATGATATTTATTTGTCCTTTTATAATCTATGTCTATGTCACGTATGGATATAATATGTTTGTCCTTCATAATAAAATGAGTTTTTATAGGAATACATCACTTGCCGACCCACACTTCGCAAGATTTACTCCTAAATAATAGAACTTGTAGACGGCCTGTATGTTAACCAACCATGGTTACTTACGTACTTTTAAATGATAGATGTGATTTAAAGCAAATCTTGTTTTATGTAGGTATATAATCAGTTATTGAGAAATTAAAAAAATACTGTCTATAGTTTACGCGAGTAGTACACATTTAAATAAAACACTTTAACGGTTTAAAACGCGATATATTAGTTAAACTTATTTGAAAATTATTTTTAACTTCGGCCCGACCTTTCGGATGTTTTGCAGCAGCCGTGGTCACGGGGAGTCTCCCCGTCCCTATCGCGTTTTAAACCGTTAAAGTGTTTTATTTAAATTTAAAAAATGCTTTATTTAGGTTGTATGGTTTTAAAGCGCCTAATGTTATAAAAACTACGTTGAAATGCGTTTTTGCTCATTCCATTCGTAGTCTAATCACTTTGCGATTATGTATGAAATTGTTGTTATGCTACATAGAGACTTTGAAAATTGGCTCGATATAAACAAATGCTATAAGAAAGCTAGATAGCGACAAAGAATCTAAAATTGTTTATTAATAAAAATTAACAACAAGCTGGCAAACGATCGAAGAGCAATATTTAAACTTCCTTGAAGCTGTTGGAAAACCGTGGTCGTGGTGTTAGATAAATTATAAAACTTATTTTTAACTTGACATTTAAGTAACTTTGACGTAAAAGATATCGACTTAAAAATAAATCAGGGTTGTCGAAGTATCCTCTATCTCATTATAAGCTGCTTCAATTTCCTGACACTCGAGTATTCGTTACACTGTATTTATTACTCCCTAGAAAATACCAACTACCGCCATCTCGGTGTTATTGCTAAGAGGAGCTGACGGTGTCGATGTTTTAAAACTCTACTTACATAGCGTCCACATTATATTGGTCTCAAAAATGTTGTTACATTTTTCTAATTACATTCCTCCTATTAATTATTGGTTGTTACTTACTCCCGACGTGTAAAAAAACCTATTTCTATATATTTTAGACAAATCGTATATTTCGGAATAATTTTAATAACATTTTGCGTCATGATTAAACTGCACTAAAAGTGGACATTATTTGTCGTTTTCGGTTAACGCCCGCTATAAATAAAAGTTTAATCTGCAAATGAACTTGAAAACCTTATGTTTTTAGTGTCTCATTCACTAAAGTAAAAAAAATAATAAAATAAATTGAAAAAAAATTTCGACCAATTGAGCTACCGAGTCCCCGAGCAACAGCACGGAACGCTGACGATGCCGGTTCAAGTCCTGCCCGAGTCGAATTTTTTTCAATTTTTTTCGATTTTTAAAATAACATAGTATTCTAAATTCTCAATCTATGACGTCATATCTTAGTCTCCGTTCGTGTTCCCTCAAAACTTACGTATGTTGTGTATCTATGAATTAAGCTTAAATTTTGAGTTTTGGTTTTAGATAGCATATTGAACCGATATAAATTAATTATAATTAAATAAAATCAGAGCAGCATTGTTACCAATTGCTTTACATCAGTGTATTAATGCAAAAAAAAAACAACTTTCCACTAAGCGAAATTCTATGAAATTCAAAATAAAAATTTTTGTTTCTTAATTTGTAAGATGTTTCTGTTCTGATGCGAATATAAGGAAATAAATAACTAAAATTCAAGTAAAAGTAATAAAAATATTTTTGCAATATTTTAATGCGCTTATGGACCTGTTTTGCAGCTGATAATTCTAGTCACGAATTCGTAGAACAAGTTCAAGGCTTCTCTATTCCCGCAAGCCGGATAAGCCTTCCTTCATGCAGTGCATCACGAAATACGTTTTGAATTTATTGCGAAATCTATCCAAATTTATTTTATACAGCAATCTTTGTCAGGGCATATTAATGTTTTCTTTGTGGTTCAAACTATGATTGACCACTACTGGTCTAAGTTCTCCTTTCTCAAAGGTATGGGGCTTAAGAGCTTATACCCACCAGACCCTGCTAACCCTGCCAGACTAACCTGGGCTTGGTCGTTTTCAATTATTACCGCCGCTAAACTAGTTATAAAATCAGGATCTCCGATTTGAGCTGCACATTGAGGCAGGGGGTGATGTCACTTTTTTTCTTCTAATTTTCAAACAACTAGTCCTGCTATTAATACAAAATACATCCAGCGTACCTATTCAAAATACGCATTTACCCTCATTCTTGTCAAAGGTTATTAAAAAGGATATCTATTCCTTTTTTAAAAATTTAAAAAGTAGTGGTATCCGATCTGCATATGCAGCCATTTTACAAAATGAGGCATCCGACACAGCTGTCTGCATCGCTTAGAGCACAGAGATTTTTGCAACTCAAACAACAATCGGCAAAGAGCTCTCACATGAGGGTAGTTTTTTATCAGATTTCTCCGACCTTGACCCAGTTGGTGAATGCGAAACTATCAGAACAAGAAAAGTGTTGCAGAGACCTTGCGGTATTGTTATTTTAATTTTAAAGAACGTGACAATGAATTTGCCCGGGTGTAAGTGACGCTTGATGACACTTGCCTGCTTAACAATATTTCGAAGTAATTAAGAGGGTACACAGTTCGTAAAGCGCAGCAAGTTTTCTTTTAAAGTGTTATAATGTTGAGCAAACCTTTGCTGAACTTTGTCTCCTTGAAGAAACTTTGAAACACCTCATCATCCGTCTTTTTTTAAAATGCATTGTTTATGATAGAGGTGGACAGCAGCATGGGGTTCTCTTGATGGTAGATGAAATACCAAAGCTACCTACACAACATGCGCTGTCGATCTATTTTGGCTTTGGATCTTCGGAAATCCTCAGACAGAACCCGTAACGCGAATTACCTTCACGCCTTTTATCTGTGGAAACGGAATAGCTATATTTCTACCAGTCATTTGGTGTCCCAATTCCCATACGAAGTCCAACGTATCTGAGAATGATAAATGGTTTAAAACGCGATATATTAACCTTAAACTTATTTCAAAATGATTTTTAACTTCGGCTCGACGTTTCGGATTCTTTGAAGCAGCCGTGGTCACGGGGAGAAACAAAATAAAAACCATTTTTAAGTTTAACTAATAAGTATACCGTCTTTTAAACCGTTAAAGTGTTTTATTTAAATCTATAAAAAGATATTTTATGTTTTTATAGGTAAGTAATATATAAAAATATAAAACAAGCTATAAATTTGTTTACATGTATGATTGGTAAAACCACAAGGAAAACGCTCAGATTATTGTGTAGAGGTTATCATTGCTCTAAACATAATACATATAACACTAATCGGTGTACAATCAATGAAATTATTAATACGCGTGTATTATCCTTGTATTAATATTTTTCCTTTAAGAACAACCTATTAAAAATGCTTGTTATTAACTATTTAGTAACGAGCGTTTTTTTAATATTAGGTAGTTTATGTTCAATATGCATACTAAAATATACTTCACATAGATATTTAATATATTTAAGTTGAACATAACTTTTTTACTAATATTAAGTTATTTTTTTAAGTAAAGACAACAATATAAACTTACACTACAAGTTGTTTATTAATTTTACAATTTTAAATGCCCATTGCGCAGTAGAATGATGCTAGAAAGATTGGTACACACTTATAACAATATTAGGAGTGAGACTTAGTCAATTGTCAAATTACGTATTTAGAATTCAATCTTAAATTTTGCAGGAACCCTATAAATATAACATAACAATATATTTCAATTGGTTCGGAAATGCATTCATTTATGGTCTGACAAATAAAATATTATTATTATTATCGACTTCTGGTTTCAGTCTCTGAGTTTCCGAATGCATGGCGAAGGTATATTCTTTCATCAAATACCCAATTTCCCTAAGCTTGTTGGACCTACTTTGTAATCCAAAACAGGCGAAACTGTACATCGGGATCGCCATTATGAAGTTAGGGAAATATTTTTAAAACACTAATTCTTTCTAGTTGTCACAACAGCACATAGAGGCATCATCACTGACTGCTGAGTGATGTTCTTCTCCGTCACAGTTAGTGTCTGTATTAATTGTAATCCATTTATTTATTTTTGTATAAAATTGTATAACTTGTTCAGTATAGAGAAGGTCATATAACATCTAAACAAGACGTGTTGTTATTTTAGCTTTGGATATTTTGAAATCCACAGTTGAGATTAAACTTCATGGCTTTTCTCTTTTATATGTATACTTTAGTGCGGAATATATATTTTTTAAATACAAAAAATGGAAATATAGGAACTTTACCAAGATCTAGGAAAACAATTATCGCATTACATTGGTCTCGCATTTCAGTATCATATATCAGTTAGGCGTCAAAGTAATTGAACCCTCGGAAAAGTAGGCGAAAGGCGCGGATTCGAATACGTCACTCGAACCCTCGAATCTGTTAGCATAGAGCACTTTGTAAAGTAGAAGAAAATGAAACGAAGAAAGTGCGTTTTGAACCTTACGCCGCGGTATTAGGATGTCTAGAAGCGTTTGAAGAGAAAGTGCTTTCCGATATGTTGACGCAGATGATTCGGTCCCCGTGGTTAGCTTGAGCGCTGTTAGTTGCCAGTCGAGCTTCGGTCGTCCGGTCTACAGGACCTGTGCCCATTCCAATTTACTTACGCGACCACATTCCGTTCACAAGTTGATATCGTGACTGACAAATGAGGACAAAAAACGTTTAGTGTTAAAAGCGAAAATTTCAACTTCACTGCAAGGTATGTGGTATTAGAGTTTTGAATTGCGAACGATTTTAAATATTACTTGTAGCAAATAGTTTTTATTCCATATAGGAAGATGACGCGAACTAGTTAATAGTTGTGATTACTGAGTAATTAGAAAAAGTGTTATACAGAACTAGTAGCGTTAATTCTAAGTTAAAGTCAAGTTACAAAGTTAACTTAGGTACTTGAAAAGTAACTTCGCTAAAAAAGACCAATATCGACTTAGCCTAAAGTCGGGTCTTTTTTTCTAAAAAATAGCGCAATCATTAAAAAAAGACTAATATCGACTTTAGGCTAAGTCGATATTGGTCTTCTTTCTAAAAAGTACCGCAATCATTAGGTAACCCTTTTCACAAACTGCATAGCGATTATATTAAACACATTTAATAATACTTGAATTTGACCTCTTTCCGCGTTTTCAAGGCTAGTCTGGCTACATTTGTACTTAAGTATGTGTCCATTTAACTTTTCCCGTGTGCTACTTCATAATTTATAAAATCGGCCAAGTCCGCGTTGGGCTCGCGTACGAAGATTTCTGTACCACTGAAGAGGTGCTGTAGTGGTATAAAGTGCCATTTACTGAAAACAAACAAAATAGGCCCAAACTAGCGTTTTTTGTATGGCATCGTTGGTCTGATGGTAGCAATGTATGGCTAATGACTAATTATCAACGGGTCGTGGATTCAACGTGTTTCTAATTTTTAAATTTATAATTTCTATGTAACATGTTGGACTTCGTTTGGAAATCTGGACGTTAAATGGGTGGTAGAAACATAGAAATTCCGTTCGGGTCACAAACCACCGTCCACAGATGAAAAAGCGGTGAAGTTTAATCGCGTTTCGGTTGCAGTCTGTAGATCTTCCAATATCCAAAATAGGTCAATAGCGCATGTTCTTTAGATGCTATAGACTGACGTATACCACTTACCATCAAGTGAAGAACGATATCGAGCAAAAAAACAGATACATATACATATATAAAATATTTTGTGAAAACTTCAACAGACAAGATAGCGAAACCTTTAGGTACGGAACCCTAAAAAGCGAGTACTCAAAATAAATCACGTACCACGTGTATGTGGCGGCATCGCTTAGCAATTCAAATAGCATTTGTTTAAAACTTTCACTGAACAAAAAGTATGCTGCGTTGTTTGTTGTTCGTCACGATGTGAAAAGCAAGAGTTTCAATTAAGTAGTTTTTGTGTTTATTATTGTTTATTCTCTGAGTAATAATTACTATGAGTAAGTTCGGCTCGTATATTCGATTTCCACGGGGTCAAATGTATTTCTTCTAAATCGAATGATATCTGTAGTCAACGGGAATAGTATCAGTTTAAATAAAACACCTTTAACCGTTTAAAAAGCGACATATTCGTTAGTGTAGTTATTTTTTACTACAAACAATCATAAGGGGACTGCCCCTTGTGATTGTTTGTAGTAAAAAATAAGCTTACTACTATAGGTATAATACCGCCAAATTGGATTTCCGTAGAAAAAAATATCAATACAAAACTTCTACTTACAAAATCTATTTCAATGAAATTGCTACAACATTCATTATTATTCAAATAATAACCTGTAATAGTATAATAAATACAAAAATGTGTGTTTTTGCCCTTTCTTTGCGCTCGAAAACGAAAATCAAGTGGTTTTAGGTATTTAGTTATAAGTACAGTTAGTTGATAGGAAAACTACTTTCAGACAAAGAAAAATTACTATGCAAACGAAACCGAAGGGCAAATTATATTACAAAATGCTAAACGAATAACTGTTATTTATAAGTAACACAACTCGTTTTACGTTTAACCTATAATTAATAAAGTAGGCTAGTTTTGAGTATGTTTGTATCTAACGAGAACAGCGTACTACACGTTCTCATCATCTTGGGTCATGTATTGGTTATTTATCATAATCATAAAACCCAACCTTTATTAGTTCCCACAGTTGGTCTGCTGAGAGGTATCTAACGGTGACCTACGCTGGGCAATTACACACCGTCAAATTTTTCCTCCTAAAATACGACGGTTATCCCACGATTAGATATTACGGAGATAAATACGACTCGAATCTATTACTAAATCTATACTATACTTGTAATGTAAAGCTGAAAAGTTTGTTTCTTACGCGCTAATCTCAGGAACTACTGGTTCGAATTGAAAATTTATTTTCGTTTTGGTTAGAGCATGTATCGAGAAAGGCTATACGGTGTGACTAAGATCGAAGATGCAGTGGAGATGCAAAAAAAACGGGGGACATTTATATCGGAGAGTTTCCATTGCTTGCACTGCAAGTTCGATTCAAGATACCCAAAAATATGTCTCTGAGAATTATTCCCCGTTAAAACATTTCAAAAAATGTCCGCGACCGTCTGTTATTTTAAGATGAACTCGCGAAACCGACGACGTGGTGGGTAACAGCTAATTTATAAAGATGAGGGGGTTTTGCAATAACAAATTTTGAAGCCGAAAATAGCCTTTCTACGCGGACGAAGTCGCTAGCATAGCCAGTATAGTAATAACTACAAATATTGCAGGCAAAGAAAGCCGGAGGACCAGCGGATATACAAGTTTTATGTTACAGTATACTTTCCGTGAGAATATCGTAAACATTATATTAACCGGTTCCCTGGACTTGTCTGTACATAGATTTATTTTGACCGGGCTAACCCAGTGACCCTCAAATGGACCGGTCGCTCGCTTTGCCGGCCCGACAAACTGTATCTTTGAAACGAAAATACTTTATATTTCTTTATACAAATTATCGATTTTAAATCTTCTACTGTCTGTAGTTGAAGCCAGTAGAACACATTTAAATAAAACACTTTAACGGTTTAAAACGTGAAATGTATTAGTTAAACTCGTTTGAAAAATATTTCAACTACGGCCCGACGTTTTGTATGCTTCGCAGCAGCCGTGGTCACGGGGAGACCCCGTATTTTATTTAAAAATATATTTCTAGGTTCGAAATGAGAATATTAATGTTTTTAGAATGCTGCTTCAAGTTCCATTTGTATGTATACGTATTTTATTTAATAAACTACATGGTAGTGCATTTGATAGCTCATTTGAATTCAGCGAAACCGTATCATTTTTGTGTCAAGTTCCAGTCCCTCCCAGTTTATTTAAAACCTAAAATACCCATAAAATTTAAATTCTAAAAGTAGAGTACCTACTCTTTTAGAGATTCTAAAAGAGTATAACGTTAGTTTAATTCTACGAAGAGATTCATAAATAAAGCTACGACGAAATTGCTAAACTGATCTATTAATATCGGTTTAGCAATGTCGCTGCAGTCTGGTAAAAACACACAACAAATGATGCAACATAGGTCAAATCAACCGAAACTGAATCAACGTTCCGTCTGGGTCACGAACCACCGGCAGATGAAAGAGCCGTGAAGTTTCAGTCGATAGATTTCTCTCCGAACCTCTCATCTTTCTCCTCTATCATAAAAAGGTGGAGAAGGATTTTTTTTATTTAATCAAAGAAACATTACTAAGCGCCTCTATATTAGTTTTACAGTCTGTAATTTAACCTACTTTTCTATCTCCAAATATTGTCATCTCATAAAAACAATTGTTTCAGATGGGTTGGAAAAGGTTGACAATCCGGGCGCTGTTACTACTACTAAGTGTGGGACAAACTTGGTCTCAATATACAAATGCAACCTTTTTGGCGGGCAAGTATTTCTAGATTTATTTTGGTTCCTTCTGTTTATCTGTGTTTTATCATATTATCGTATCGCTATAAAGAGTGTTTCAATATGTGAGTTTTAACGCAAGCCAACCAACTTGGGCTCTCTTCAATGTTATAGGGAGTTTATCGTTATAAAGGATAGCGTTATAAAGAGTTTACACTGTAAATGGAGTATTTTCTAAGATAAACTTTGAGTATATCATTGTTTGAAATATACAACAAAGCACATCTTAGCTTTATGATATTCACAATACATTATACACGATTAGTTTCTAGCTTGACCTTAGCTTCCACTTATCTTCACAGGAGAAAACATCCCCAGAAACAACGAGCAAGAGTCGCGAGATGCTGGACCTGAAATCGAATTCACTTACCACGACCACGATCAGATGACGAGGTATCTTCGAGCAGTTTCAGCGCGTCATCCATCCCTTACAGCTCTCTATTCCATCGGAAAATCAGTGGAAGGTGAGAAATAATTTCTCTCGATCGTTCAGGTTGCGATAAGAAACTATTATTAACGCTTAAAACATAATTTTCTTCCATTGCATATTGATTCCCTTAGTTTGCTACACTTGATAGAGAACATAATGAGCACTGTTGTCGGTCCTACATTAAATACCGTCTGTAGTGGACGCGAGCAGTGCACATTTAAATAAAACACTACCGGTTTAAAACGCGATTTATATTAGTTAAACTTGTGTCGCAAAAAGAGACTCCCCGTGACCACGATTGCTGCTATGCTCGGAAACGTCGGGCCATAGTTAAAACTATTATCAAAAAAGTTTAACTAATATAAATCGCATTTTAAACCGTTAAAGTGTTAAACTGTCTCGAATTTTGTCAATCTTAAATAGATCTTTAAATTAAGTATTATAAACGCAAACAAATTCAAACTTAATTAGAAAAGTATAATAAATATTGAACTAAGTATTCAAATAAAGCTGTTTCAATCAGTTCGCTTCAATAATCTATAAAAACCGACACATTATTATAAATTGTGTCAGTGTGTCGATGTGAGCGAAAAGAGGTTCTCGACGTTTCGCCATCACGTGTGGACGGCATCACCAGGAGATGTTAACTCCGAGAAGAAGAGAGAAGCGTCGAGAACCTCTTCTCGCTCACGTCGGTCGAACAGCACGAAAGACAATGATATACATAAGCAATTCGTTGACTCCATAGGTCGTGATCTCTGGGTGATGGTGGTATCGGCATCTCCATACGAGCATATGATTGGAAAACCTGACGTTAAATACGTCGCTAATATTCACGGGAACGAAGCTGTGGGACGAGAATTATTATTGCATCTTATTCAGGTAATGTATAAGTTACAGAACACTGAAAAAAAATAAAAAAAATGTTTTTTTTTAATTCGTTGTGTATATTATTAATTTTTTTCGTGTATTCTTAAGCTTCGCACGACCTGCACGTTCCCATGACATAACTTATTTCATTTTACTCAAGGGTTGTCTGGAAGAGATCGTTCTATAGCGATAAGGCCGCCTATTGCACTCTATAACTGGTGGGAATAATGTATCGTTAAAAATTGTATTATTAAGAAATTTTAAGGAACAATATATTATACTTTTGTTTTGCAATGAAGAATTAAATAAATAAATAAAACAGTAGGAAAACGTATTCTATCACATTTGCACCTGTATAGTCTGCACTAAGTATAATTGCATTATGTACTATATTTAAATACATACTTAGTCTTTTTGACGGGGTCGTTAGTAATCAACGGGTCGTGGGTTCGATCCCCAATAGTGTTTCAAATTTTTCAATAAAAAATTTCCAAAACATGTTAGGCTTCGTCTGGAAATCTGGATATTAAATGGGTGGTAGGAATATCGGAATTTCGTCCGGGCCACGAACCACCGTCCACAGATGAAAAAGCCGTCAAGTTTAATCGCGTTTCGGTTGCAGTCTTCGGATTTTCGAATATCCAAAGCCAACATAGGCCGACAGCGCATCTCGTTAAGATGCTATAGGCTGGGGTATTTCTCCTACCATCAAGTGTACCTCCTACCCCATGCTTCTCTATCCTCCTCTATTATTAAGTCTCCGCTTAATATCTAAAGAACCGCTCTAATTTGGATTAGTATTGATGGCTTCATTTTTGGGCGTTGAGGATTTATTCTATGTTATTTATGAGTGAAGATAATAAGCGAGTGACTAAATTACAATAACTGCTCATACTGTCTATAGTTTACGCGAGTAGTACACATTTAAATAAAACACTTTAACGGTTTAAAACGCGATATATTATTTCAACTTTTTTGAAAATGATTTTTTGACTTCTTTGAAGTCTTTACTTTAGTCTCCCAGTGACCGCGGCTGCTGCAAAGCATCTGAAGTTTAAAAATCATTTTCAAATAAGTTTAACTAATATATCGCGTTTTAAACCGTTAAAGTGTTTTTTTTAAATAACTACTCATATTTATCCTCCGAAAAACCGTTTTCGACTGAGGCTTTTTCGGGCATCATAGTGTATGTCGAAATCGAACATATCCCAAGCGTAACAAAGCGAGGTTAGATAGGCGCATTTGGCCTGACATTTTTCACAAGCTATAACAATGTGTTTGTAATTGGGCTCAAGTTTTTATCGTTTTCAATTTATTGCTGTCGGCGCATACGCTCTCGCACTCATTTTTAGATGTACCTATCATTATTAACAACATTTAAAACAAAAATAACTTTTATAGTCTGCGCAATTTTGCAGAACTTTAACAATTGTCAAAACTACCCTCAACATCGTATGTTTAATATTATTAGCACCCATCATTATTAACAATATTTAATTTAAAAAAATTAATAGCTTATACAATTAATTTGCACAGAAATTTAGAGAACTTGAACAAATGTAAAAACTACCCTCCATTGTATGTTTAATACTTTTTCAGTATTTAGTGACGTCATACGAGTCAGATTCCTACGTCAGATGGTTGCTAGACAACACAAGGATACATCTAATGCCATCTATGAATCCAGATGGATACTCTAAATCAAAAGAAGGCCAGTGTAATACAATTCAGGGCAGGTAATTATCTTGATAAAATAATTTCTTAAACAACAATAAAGAAGAAAACAATCCCAAATAATATTAAAAACACTTTAAAATTAAACTCTTATAACGGTTAAATGTGAAAGTTATTAGTTATATACAGTTTACATTAACTAAGGCCCGAAGTTTCGGGTGCTTGCAGAAGCTATGGTTACTTAAGAGCCCCCGTGGCCACAGCTAAAAAAAATATCTAACTTTCAGTAAGAATGACAAAAACTTTTAAACCCCGTTTTGAACTTTTTTTACTCCCCGTGACCACGGCTGCTGCAAAGCATCCGAAACGTCGAGCCGAAGTTAAAAATCATTTTCCAATAAGTTTAACTAATATATCACGTTTTAAACCATTAAAGTGTTTTATTTGAATGTGTACTACTCGCGTAAACTATAGTCAATATTGTATTCTAAAAACTTTTAATTCAAAAACACAATATACTGAAGGACTGCACAAAACATATGTTGCACATAATCGTCACGTCACTTTAGTTGCAGGCGGGTTCGTAAGAAGATTAAAAGAAATATATCCAAACATTTCAGAAACAACGCCCGACAATACGACTTAAACCGCAACTTCCCGGATTTCTTCAAACCGAATCCGAAGCAGCCACAACCGGAAACGATAGCCGTTAAGGAGTGGATCAGCAAAATCCAGTTCGTGTTGTCCGGATCGTTGCACGGAGGGGCCCTCGTCGCTTCTTACCCCTTCGACAATACACCCAGTTCTAGTAAGTACCAAGATAGTTAAGACGTTTTTACTCAGCTGGGCCCAAGCCACGTTACAAATACAAAATACAATAAATAAAAATAATTATGTTTATGGAATCATATTTTTTGTGGAACTTTACTGTCGTTTTGAGATTTGACTTTGAAACGTAAGAAATACAGTTTGGTCTTTTGGCATTATTTTAAATTCAAATAGGACACTATCCGTTTGTTTGTGGTCTATTACTAAATGCTTAAATACCATATATTAAATAACTAGCTGTGTCAGCGACTTCGTGCGCGAGAATCGTTATTTTGGGCATCTAAATTCGTTTTTGCAAACCCCTTTACAAACTTAAGCCCCACGCCGTCGGTCGCGTCTCTTCCTATCGTTCTTGCAAGTTAATCTTAAAAGATATATAATATATAAAGATATATTAAGCACTTTTGTTTAGATCACTTAAAGAGGAATCATTCTTTCATACATATTTTTTGGGTATCTTGAACCGTTTTTGCAGCGTACGCCTCGGAAACCTATAATGATGAATAATTTTCCCAATTTTTTTCACATTTCCCGCTGTATTTTCGCTTGTATTAGTCACAGGGCACGTTGCTATAGCTGTGAAATGCTCTAACCAAAACAAAGATTTTCCAATTTGAATTCGAAGTTTCCGAGATTAGTGCGTTCAAACAAACTCTTCAGCTTTATATATATGTATAGATAGATGCCCACAATAAGTTTATTATAATTTTAAAAACTTTGAAAATACCTACCACTTACAATCCTTAATTACTAGGATTTTTTTGGTATGTATTTATACTTACTAGCCCTCTTAGATATAATATAAGAATAAATTTAATCTTTAGAAAAAATAATGAAAGACTTATTGCAATGGTACATGGAATGAAATAGATACATAAATAACATTAGACAAATTAGAATATTACTCTAGTCTTTATGGATCTGTAGCCCCTTGTTTTCCATGCTGCCTCATAGGAATCTGCAGGTCTTCCGTATTGTGTTCAGGTAACGTATACGACGTTAGGTTTAATCTTCAAATAATAAATCGAAGTTTATTTATTGAAATACATGACAATAATTATTAAACGTAAGTATGCTAAATACTGTCTGTAATTTACGCCGGTACATGTTTAAATAAACCACTATAACAGTTTAAAACGCGAATTATATTAGTTAAGATTAGATAAGTTATTTCAAAATAATTTTAACTGCAGCCCGCGGTTTCGGATGCTTTCTTTCTGCGTCTTGTCGAAGTTAAAATAATGTTATATATTCCGAGTTTTAAACCGTTTAAGTTTTTTATTTAAGTAAATATGCTAGTTTGTGTGTAAACTTTTTAAACAACAACAGCGTAGGGAAACCTAAAGTTTTGTTATTTAGTCGTTATCAAATGTGTCCTATGTCTTTAAACAATTTTCAGTCACAGCTATAATCAATCAAAACTATTATTAATCTCGTGTTTCGTCCTACATATCCCATAAATGCAGTATTCGAAAGCTATGCGCATACGCCGTCGGTGTCGCCGGACGACGACGTGTTCCGCCATCTTGCGCGTATCTACTCTAACAATCACGCGAAGATGTCACGTGACGTGTCATGCCAGAGCACGTTCAGGACATTTGAAAAGGGCATCACCAACGGAGCTGCTTGGTATGCGCTTACAGGTAAATATATCGTTTTATTTTTTTTACTGTTATGTACAGGGTGCACGTAGGGTATAACGGGATTATTTTTTCCTCTATACGTTACTATACTTCTGGCGTCCATTTTGAAAATTTAGATATTTAACTAGATGTTACCCAGGACGTCGTCTACATCCCATCGTTCTTGCAAAGTTAATATTAAAAGATATACAGAAATTATCGTGGATGTTTTTTAGATCATATAAAGGTAAATTATTTTTCGTACATATTTCGGGTATCTGGAACCATTTTGGTGGCACTTTACAAAAGTCGTCAAAGATGAATAATTTTCCTCGATTTTTTGCACATTTCCCACTGTTTTTTCGCTCCTATTGCGGCGTGGTCTTTTATAGCCTAAAGCCTCGATTAATGTTCTAATCAACACAAAAAGAGGTTTTTAATTTGAACTAGTAGTTTCTGCGATTAACGTGTTCAAACAAAAAACAAACTCATCAGCTTTATAATATTAACATAGATTAAATATAAAGATTTGACTAACGTACGATATGTATAATTTTCCTCTTTTTATGTTTAAGATGCTTGATTAACAAAATAAGTTATTAATTGTGATAATTTGCCCGAATATCTACACGGTATAGACTAAAGATAATTGTCAAATATTTCAGGAGGCATGCAGGACTACAATTATCTATGGCACGGCTGCATGGAAATAACATTAGAAATATCGTGTTGTAAATACCCTCCAGCCAACGAGTTATCAAAGTATTGGCAAGACAATAAACAGGTAATCCATACAATAAATACTATCAAAACATTCACATAAGAATGGGATGTAAGTCAAATAAAAGGTAGAAGTCCCACTTAGACAAGATTACCGGAAGGCGTTAAAAACGTTGAGTTAGATAATAATGACTTAAAAATTTAAGAAAAACGGTCGTCAGAAGTGGTTTGAGGTCGTTTGGTCCATATATATAATTAATATGTCCGTGTCATCCGTAACAACAACTTACTTCACAAAAAATTCTTCATTAGTTCTTTATGGTTTAAAATCGGCCATGTTTGTCGTGCTACTTTTGCCAAGGTAGAAAAAATACACTACAGGTAATATCGTAGTTTTCGAATATCTAATGAACAGTTACAAGGTGGACCGCGGATCAGTATTTGAAGACGATTCTTGGACTAATGAATTGCAGTGCAGGTTTTATAACTTCAAATCTTATTTGCAGGCATTGATTAAATACTTGGCAGAGGCTCACCGAGGCGCTCATGGATTCGTTATGGACTCCAATGGGAACCCTGTAGAAAAAGCAGCCATTCGCGTTAAAGGCCGTGAAGTTACTTACCACACCACAAAGTATGGAGAGTTCTGGCGTATTCTACTACCAGGAACATACAGGCTTGAGGTGCTTTTATATTATAAAACTATCTGTGCCAGCCATTACGTCTGCGTAGAATGGTTATATTGGACACCAAACTTTGTTTTTGCAAGCCTCCTTATCTTAATTTAATAAATTATAGCTGTTGTCCACGTGGTTCGCGTCATGTCGTTCTTGCAAGTGATTCTTAAAAGATAGACATATATTGTTGCGGATTTTTTTTAGATCATTTAAAGATGAACAATGCTTTTATAGGTTTTGGGTACCATAAACCGTTTTCGGGGGAAACGCAACGTATTCCCCAAAGATGAGTAATGTCCCCGTTCTTTCCGCATCTCTTCCTTTTTCCAGTCTGTATATTTTAATATAGAAAAAATTTTCCAACCAACACAAAAAGTATTTCTTAATTCGAACCAGTAATTCCAAGGATTAGCGCGTTCAAACAAACAAACTATATAGATAAAACGAAATAGACAATCGGTTGGCTACAAAACCTTTAAACCCAAGTTAACATACGTTAAAATTTATATTTTCTTCTTACCTTAACTACTTATATTTCTTACTATGTAGTCATTTTATTCTATTAACAATAAATAAAAATATTAGTTTAATAAATTACAACGATTGAACTAAATTACAGGTCACAGCTGAGGGTTTCCTACCTCAAGAAGTGGAATTCTTTGTAATCGACAGTCACCCTACTCTCCTCAATGTTACATTGCATTCAGCTAAAGTAAGTAATGATCGTCTAGGTACACTTCAATTCAATAAACCAGTTATGTACCGATAATAATATAGCTTTGGTGATGGTTACTGATGTCTTCGAGATCAAGGTTACAATTAATAATAATAAAAAAAATAATTGACTATTTGACTGATTTTGAAAAGTAATTTATATTATTTGGTAGATGTTAAGGAACCTCGGCTAATAACGAAAGTATTAGACATCGGTGTATGTCGATCATATGATTTACAATCTACATGTATTTGTAAAAGACACTTTTAACAATGTTTGAAAGAATAAAATGAGTTACAGATTTATTTATGTAATAATGCAAAGAATATAACAGTTTTAACAATAGGAAGCACGGTGGTTCATAGTACTGTTGATAAGCAAGTGACGTCATCATAAACCAATCGGGAGCGTTTCGTGTCACGTAACAAAGTTGATCTTTATTTAAAATAATTATTATTCTTAACACATATGACTGTTTTACTGTTAACTTATACTTAATACTGACAGTAACAGTAATTGAGGCTATATTTTTCAAACAGGCCATTGTACATAGAGTAAATACATGTGTATCTTGGTTAAAGTTCTTGATAGGTAACTAATAACACTGAGGAGGGTAGTTGTTATATGTAATGCACTTTAGGATTTCCCGCCATCTGGTGCTATCACTAGGCAAAAGCTTGCTAGAAGGCCAACGAAAAACGTAACGTCGGTGAAAGAAGATGGAGCTATCTCCTTCCCCCAAGAGTAGCAGACATCGATGTATGATATTGTATATACTTTTTATATCTAAGTACTTGCTTGTACATATTGCTATAAGTTTTGCATGCTACAATTAATTGTCTAAACCGCAAACTTATTTTTAATTATTGTAACAACTTTGTGCTAGCTTTGCAGCAGCTGGGTCCCCCCGTGACCACAACTGCTTGCCAAATAACATTGTAAAACTTTAATATATATCACATGTTAATGAACACTTGATGCCACTATATAAAGTAAAAATCGAAAATAAATTGAAAAATTGCGCGAGAGGTAAATTTATCAATAGTTTGAAAAAATTCGACGATGACGTGTAGGACTCGGTAGGTCAATTGGTTAAAGCAACAAAACGGAACGATGCCAGTTCATGTTTTTGCGGAGTCGTAAATTTTTCAATTTATTTTCGATGTAAAATTCATGGATCATATTGGTATTATAGATTAACAAACACTCATCACATTTTTAGTAAACTTATTAACATAACTATAATTAGTATTATTTACAATGATTATTGCTATATGTATAGCTACATTTATTGATTATACTTTTAGCGTATCGACGGCGGCCCCTATTACCGACCTGGTGGACCACCAAGACCACTGTCCACCCCAACGCCTGCGCCAGGACTATTCTCTACCTTCACGAATTCGCTAAACAATTTCGTTTCAAGTATATTTGGTTAGAAAATGTTTAGAGAGCATTCTATGAATTACGTCACACGAACTTATGATTTCTTGATACCATTGTAACTGACGCTGATATATGATCAGTGGTTCTCCCTAGTAAAGAAACAATTTTACATTCAGAAATTAAATTAAATTTTATATAGTTTTATTTTGAGTTCGCTGCTAGTATAACGTGTCGTTGGTTCCATTTCCATGTATTATTTATTATTATAAAATATGAAATGGGCGGTAGGAATATCCAAAATTCTGTCCCCACCACGAACCATCGGACGCAGATGAAAAAACCGTGATGTTAAATCCCGTTTCGGTTTCAGCCACTGGATTTCCAAATATCCAAATAAAAGAATGGATTTACACAGCATCTTGTTATAGATGTTTCTTGTTTGGAGTATTTCGCCTACCAACAGCTGAACTCCTTATTTGTCTAGGAACATCCTCATAACATAAATCCTCCTAAATCCGTGTGACTTAGTTTATGGTTCTCTAGTGTAATTTAGATAAATATTGCTGCTTAAGTAAATTATTACCTACCGAATAGAAACATTAAATGACTTTTAGCTAATAAGCAGTATGCATATATAAATAAATACATGAGGCGTAATCGGCAAACATATTAGTCGTCGCTCTCTACATTATACCTATATTTTTAATTTGCATAAATTACAATTGACAAATGAATTTAAATATAACAAGATTATTTCAGACCTGAAAATAGTATTAAGAGGCTTGCATTTATAAATATTTACTGCCTTTAATATTTAAAAATATAACGGAATTGTTTACATAGAAAATAATCTAGCGTACATAACAAAAAACAGAAAAAAAATGAATGACTTATTGTTCTTGATCTCGATCCGATAGTTTGAGATAGTTTAGTTAGTATTCAATTAGACACGGCACATTTAATCATTTACTCTAATTATCTTTATTTTAGTTTAGAGTTTAGATTTATTTATTTTTATAATTCCAGTAATAATACTCCTACAAACCATTGAAATGTGTGATGTTATAATGGAAGGTGTATTCATTTGTAATTTGTTGTATGGTTCCTAGATTAACGCTGCGTATGTTATGATAATTCTTCAAGTAAATGTTATATAATTATATATTTCATAAATTAAATGTATGTAAAATAATTTTTAGACTTTCCGTCTTAATACTATGTCTATAAGTGTAAGGGACCATAAAATCCTAAAATAAATCAGCATTCATCGTAATCGACAAAACAATTAAAAATAAAAAAGATTGAAGATTTTTTATTTCCTGATATCCACTATAGGTGGCGGTACTTCAACTTCCATCAAGTGTAACCTGATACTTGTCAAATTTCCTCTATCAAAATTTGCATACGAATTAAAAGATAATTTTATAAGGTTTTGCACCTTTTACGGTAGTTACAATATTCATCTTTGAAGTAACACTACATATCTATATAATTTTACCCACCCATGTCAATTGGTTATATAAATTTAAAAAATAAAACGCTATACTGTTAGTGAATGCCTGACAAAGGTGTTCTAATGACTCATTAATTTAATTTATTAGGTGCAAGTTATAACTTACTATACGATAATTCAGTACTTCCACACGTATAAACACCATATCAATTGATTTAAGTAGTTTTAGTACAACCACCGATGCGAATAAATCGAAAACAATGATGGTAGTTAATATTAAAGCAAAACGAACAATGTTCGTCTTTTGTGCGTTTTTTAATATTATAAGTACACTCGTTACAACGAGGTACAACAAATATTTAATTGTAAGAACGCACAGTGGACTTATTAGAGGTAAACTAAACGTGTTTAATGGATTCCATTATTACTCCTTTCAAGGGATACCATACGCTGAAAGCACCGCGGGAAAATTACGATTTTCGGTGAGTAGTTTTTTCTTGCTTAACAATAAATTGCTCAAAAGGCATCTTAGTAAAATTGGTTCTATCCTTTTTTTAACTTAAACTCTTTGACACATTGTAGTAAATTTTTGAGACAAGCACGTAACTCACACCCTTTCAGTAAACAGTATTAAAGGATTTAGGCGATATACATGTTTATGCTGTCAAATTACGAGCGTGTGACAATCAAGAAATAATCCTGAACCTTATTTACGAAGCAGGTTGTGACAAACAATAACTTTTTACATTAACTATAGCCTCCAGTGCCTAAGAAACCTTGGTCTCACGTGCTTGACGCTTTACAAGAGGGTCCAATATGCCCACAGGCAAGAAACAAATACAATCAAAATGAAAGAATGGACGAAGATTGTTTATATCTAAATATCTATGTACCAGCGTATTTTATAAGGAAAGCATTTTTACCAGCATTCGTAAACATACATGGCGGTGGACATAACATGCTTTCGGGGAGCAAAGATTTTATATATGGGCCCGAGCTTTTGTTACAGAAGGGACTCATATTTGTTTCGATGAATTACAGGTAAGCGTATTAGCAGAACATTTAAGAATATTAACAAAGGAACCACAAGCATTCTTTTCTTTAAAATTTTGGCTGTCGTGTAGACTGGCTACTACAAATATATTATGTTTAAAAAATAGACAGAGCTCCATTCTCCATCTTTAGTCTCCCCGTGACCACAGATGCTGCAAAGCATCCGAAGCGTCAGGCCTAAATTAAAAATAATTTTCAATTAAGTTCAACTAATATATATCGCGTAAAAACGTTGAAGTGTTTAATTTAAAAAGTTATCTTTATCCGCAGGTTAAACTCTCTTGGATTTTTATCGCTCATTACTAAAGATACTTGTGGAAATGCTGCAATGAAGGATATCATACTCTCATTGAAGTGGATAAAACGTAATATAATACAATTCGGAGGTGATGAAAATAAAGTCACTATCGGAGGTCATAGTTCAGGCGGCACACTAGTTCACCTTTTGATGTTATCAAAAAAAACTACCGGCCTCTTTCAAAGAGCAATTATTATAAGTGGAGGTGCTTATCACCACAGAGCTATATCAAAATATCCTAAAGAAAAAGCATTTCGACTCGGCAAAGAAATGGGTATTGATACAAAAGATCCTAATACTTTACTAGAAACGTTAAAGAATTTAGATTACGATGAACTTATTGCTGGATATATCAAAATGTCTGACGCAAGTCCGAAAGCTTTAACTCCGTACACGCCTTTTATTCCAATCATTGAAAAGGATTGTGCCGATTCCGTGTTGGATGTTGCCCCAGAAAAAATATTATCAGAAGACGGATTGACCCAGAAAGTTCCACTTCTTATTGGTTTCAACACTAACGAGGGTATATACTTGCTGCCGAGAATTTATTCGAACCTTAAGGAAATAGAGGAGATAAATAACAACTTGGAGTTACTCATTCCACCTAATATCGAATATCCGAGCGGGTTGGAAGAAGCGAAGAATTTAGCAATCTCTATAACTAGGCTTTACTTTGGCCAGGACAGAATCATTGATAACGGAAAATTCTGTTTGTTCTGTCTAACGGATTATATTACCGATGTTCATTATCCTGTTTATAATACAGATGCATGGATTAGAAAGTACAAAGCCCGAAATGATAGTAACAGTCTATATTTATATGAATTCAGTTTCGATGGTTCATTGAATTGGGCAAAACTTATTTATGAGATTGACGCGCCGGGTGTGTCCCACGCCGACGAACTTGGATATTTATTTTTGACGAATATCACGAAAGATGACGAACTCATTGATGAGAGAAATAGGAAAATGCGGGATCACGTGACGTTCTTATTTTCTAACTTCATAAAATATGGGTAAGTGTACAACAATTTTATAAGAAAATAAAGAAAAGTACCTATTACTGTAATGTTATCCTGGTTTATTTATTTTTTTAATAAAATCTCCTTATTCAACTTCATTTAAACAAAATCGTTGCTAAAATGAGCAAGCTAAACTTAACGTAAGCTAACTTTTGTGCTCGATCATAATTTTCCAAGTGCCAACAATTTTAACAATACGGGCCCTTTTGACTGTTGTTGGGATCATCACTTGCGTCCATGCTGAAGTGCAAACATTTATGCGTATACTTAGGCTTATACAGTATTTCTGTCCTGTGGATTTTCTACACAACATACCATTTTTGTTGTACATAAAAATCATATACTTTGCCAACCTGAACCTATGCGGTGAACGATTTTCGGTCGGCACAATACCGTATGTTAACAGACAGGCGTTCGTATACCAAAAAAACAGAACCATTTACGTCCACAAGAATATTTATCATTAACTGCATTTACATGACCATTGGCATTTTGTGGTCTGAATCAAGCGCCATATAGCTATAGATTTTAGTAATAAAAACGTCGTACCTACACCTTCAATAACTTTAAAGATATTTTTATATCTGTATTTGTAAATAAGATTGACCTTTTTACAAGCTTTCTTTTTATTGACACGTCTTAAACACAAGTCAAATTATAGGATTCTCAATTGCGAAAGAATTGTAGCTACAAATAAAAGACAATCTAACCATTACTATAAACGCCTCGGATTCGAGGTCCACCAAATTTTTTTTACTAACGTTCTACTTTCGCAGAAATCCTACACCAAACGATGGCGGCAGCATTATGTGGCCCGAATATAGCAAAGAACAAAATTACCTGATTATTAATGATAAACCAATAGTAATGCAGCGTCATCTCTCGTCAAGGACAGTGAAAACAAACTTCTGGGACAAAGTTTATGAAGATTATGAGAATTACTTAAAGAGGGGCGGTGTGACACACATGAAACTGTAAATAATGAATGTTGAATACCTGTCGTACATGACAAAGGACCAAAGCGGAGTACGACTCTGTGGTAACATTTTGGTCGTCTGAGCTGGCGTAATGAAAATTAAATAAAGCATTTACATTTCAGCGTTTTTTTTAAATTTATGAGTAGGTAAAGAAACAGTCGACTGTTACAACGGAAAAAGTTATGCAAGATTTTATGAAACCGATTTGTATGCATAAGTGGAAATTTCAATTTTTTTAATTTATGAAACTATCGCTTCACGCCAATTGACAATGTTGGCGCGGTTGTCAAATTATATTAGCTATAAGTATTTTTTTATATTTTTAAATCAAGGAAGAAAAAATGGTGATGTAATTATGTGCAACATAGATATGTTATACTCATATTTAGATTATAGTACGAGACTATAAATTTGTACTTAGTATTGGATTAAATGTAGAACGTCAATTTAAAAATAAAGTATTATTGACTAAGTACTTGACATATACCGTGCACAATACATTCTCTGCTTCATTGTAGTAAAGGTTTTGCAAAAATGTTTCAATCTGTGTAGTACATATATATGTACTGTTATTGTTTATATGAATTTCATTATTGAGTCTATTGTAAATATAAGGCGCAAGGGGAATGTTTTAATAAAGAACTGTTATAACTTTACAACTATATAAGGTTTTAGTAGCGTATTTAAAAGGTTTGTAATAAAGTACTTTACGACACATTTTCAGGTTTTTCTGTCAAGCTTGTTTTACTCGCTCCATCCTAAGATGAAATTCTATTATTTAAAAGAGATTGAAATTAAGACGTAATAACCAGTCTGTTAGTTTCATTATATTTAAAGCAGCTTTCCTCTTTTTTTAAATAGTAAAGTGGAGGTTTGTTTCAAGGCTTGGCATGATAATTAGTAACCCGCTTTCTACCTAAAATAATCACTATATATACTGGAAAAGATATAATTTTAGCCTGAATATGAGTGTACATCATCACATCATCAAAATCATTTAAATAGATTTAAAATAAAGTAGGACCAAACACAGAGCCTTGCGGTACACCAAAATCGACTTGTCACTTATCGCTAAGAATATTACCTACTTTTACTTGTTGTTCTCTGTTCCTAACGTAGTCTTTAAAAGTTCTAAGGCAATGTCACGTACGCTACTAATTTATGTATTATCAAAAGTATTGAAACAGTGTCAAACTGTGTTTCTTAAAAGTTTTTTGACAATGAATACATAAAAAAGGTCCTGTATAGTTTTTGCCGCCCAAAATAAAACTATCGGAAGTTTTATTCCAATAACGATAAACCAAGCTGTGAGAAAGATTCCCACAAAGGGAAATGCGTTTGTGGATAGATCATAGATGACAAGCTTTCTTGGAAAAAGCATATTGAACGTCAAATTGCATACCTCGCTCTGTGAATCTCGTCATATATAGCTCTTTATTTAATTTTTTTTAGATTGTATTATACACATCTTGGGCGTTACATGTAATTAAATCCTCTCCAACGTACTCAAAATAAAATAAAAAAATCTATTTCATCATCAACGGACATCGTCATCTAGCAAAATCTATAATTTAAAAATCTTTATTATTATTACATTAATCTGAAATACTAACAAATTATGACAAAAAAGCGTTACTATATAAAATGGTACATATATTTAATAGTTTACAGGTTACCAGGTTCTATTTTAGTGATAAGAATAATGTAACAACTCATCATCATTCAATAATCACAAAGATAAAATATATAAAAACTAGAAATTCCGAAAAACATGAAAAATTTACTTAAAAATGCTTAAGATAGGTGTTATTTTCATAAATCGGAAACTCCTTGCATCGGCAGGAAGGTTCGTTAATATGGCACTTGCTTGAGACCACAAAATGCCAATGGTCATGTAATGCAGTTAATGATAAATATTCTTGTGGTCGTAAATGGTTCTGCTTTTTGGTATAAAAACGCCTGTCTGTTTACATACGGCACAGAAGATTATGATCGTTCATTTTAGCAATGATTTTGTTTAAATGAAGTTGAATAAGGAGATGTTATATTAATGTAAAAAGTAAAATAAGTAAATAATATAAGTGCATGTGTGTACACAGTGTTACTGGTTAAGTCTTTTATTCGTTATTTTAAAGTTCAAGATTAGTTGTTTCATTATTCTAATCACATAAATTGGATCCTTCTGATATAATCCTGTCCTTTATGAAATTCGCCGAAGATTTTGGATTATTTTTTGATTCAGTAATGAATCACTCGTATTACAGACAGCTTTCCTATCATCATGTCCTCAAATCCATTTAACAATATTTCACGGACTTCTATAGTCGTGTTGTACTGGACTTGGAACTGGACTTTATATAAATAGTACCTATTCATCACATGAATTTCTGTGTCACTTACTATATGCAAACGTTATTGTCGATATCAAATATTTTTGTTTCATATGTAGGTAGCTATGCACACTACTAGTTAATCGGATTGTTTCTAATAACATTTTAAGACTATATATGGATAAAGTTTAAAAATGACTATGTTTATAAGTATAAAGGATCATTAAACCCTAAAAAATCTCATTCATTAAAGGTGGGTAATTACACACAAACAAAGGATTTATGTAGGTTCTTCACCTTGTCTGTCTTCCCCTATAAAAAAAAATAGGTAAATACCTGTGCTTGACAAGACAAATAAAATTTACTTACGACAACTGAACGCTTACTTACAGCTTTGCATCAAACACCTAAGGAACAATAATAGACTGTGTATTTCCATCGTAGTAACAAACAAACTTAAGTCATATGGTAATACCATTACTTACTGTTATTATGATAAAATCACACAGTGTACAGGTAAATTCCTCAAAACTAGGAATAGGATAAGTACTAGACGTTTTGTAAATTTTCTTCTTGTAGTGAAATGCAATTTCGATAAATGTGCGACTCATATTATTTGTTTTTCAATAATACTACTTATCAACGACATTCATTTTTAAATTCTCATTATTATGTAGGTTTATAAGATGTATAACCAAATCTATTTTTTTTGTTTTTTTTTATAGGAATTTAAATATTTTATTTATACGTTTTAGTACCTTTTGAGGGGATTTTTCCTGTGTCATCATTTTAAAGAGGTTACAATGTACATAATATCTACAGCATTATTAGAACCCATTTCAATTGGTTCTATCAATTTAAGAGATAAAACGCTGTACCAAATGAGTTCTAATGAGATCATTTATTTAATTTATTAGGCGCAAGTTATAATTTACGATACGATAGTAACTTCTAAACGTCTACACGGCATTTCAATTGATTAGAGTAGTTTTAGTACAACGACCAATGAATAAAGCGAAAACAATGATGGTAGTTAATATTAAAGCAAAAGGAACGATGTTCGTTATTTGTGCGTTTTTTAATGTTATAAGTACACTCGATACGTCTAGGTACGACAAATATATAATAGTAAAAACTCACAGTGGGCCTATAAGAGGTAAATTGATCGTATTTAATGGATTTAGTTACTATTCATTTCAAGGGATACCATACGCTGAAAGCACCGCGGGAAAATTTAGATTTTTGGTAAGTGAATTTCCCAGTACTGTCAGTAGTTTACGCGAGTAGGGCACATTTAAATAAAAGACAATCTCCCCGTGACCACGGCTGCTTCAAAGCATTTAAAACGTTGGGCCGAAGTTAAAGATCACTTTCAAGTAAGTTTAACTAATATATATCGCTTTTTAAACCGTGAAATTGAAGTGTATTTTTCTTTCTTAACCATAAGTTTATTACTGAAAAATTACAGAATTTTTAGTAAAATTAGGTTTAACGTTATTCAACTTAACCTCTTTGGCACAATGTAGTGAACTTTCGGGGCAAGGAAGTAACTCACATCTTTTAGAAAACAATTTCAAAAGATTTGGTCAATAAACATTTTGATGTCGTTATATTACGAGCATTTAAAACTTATTCAAATATAACCTGATTACAAAGCAGTGCATTAATTTCAGCCTCCAGTACCTAAAAAGCCTTGGTCTCAAGTCTATGACGCCTTTCAAGAGGGCCCAGTATGTCCTCAGGCAAGAAGGAAAGACTACCATATAGAAAAAATGGACGAAGATTGTTTATATTTAAATATATATGTACCAGCGTATTTTACAAAGGAAGCATTTTTACCAGTATACGTAAATATCCACGGTGGCGGACATAACATGCTTTCGGGGAGTAAAGATTTTATATATGGGCCCGAGCTTCTATTAAAGAAGGGACTCATATTTGTTTCAATGAATTATAGGTAAGCGTATTAACAATATTTAACAGAAGAACCATAAGGACTCTTTTCTTAGAAATTTGGCTGTCAAGTAGATAGACTAATACAAATATCTGATAAAAAAATATCTTTATCCGCAGGTTAAACTCTCTTGGATTTTTATCTCTCAATATTAAAGATGCATGTGGAAATGCGGCATTAAAAGACGTCATACTCTCATTGAAGTGGATAAAACGGAATTTAAAACAATTCGGAGGTGATGAAAGTAAAATCACTATCGGAGGTCATAGTTCAGGCGGCACACTAGTCCATCTTTTGATGTTATCAAAAAAAACTACCGGCCTCTTTCAAAGAGCAATTATTATAAGTGGAGGTGCTTATCACCACAGAGCTATATCGAAATACCCTGAGAAAAACGCATTTCGACTCGGCAAAGAAATAGGTATTGATACAAAAGATCCTAATACTTTACTAGAAGCGTTAAAGAATTTGGATTACAATGAACTTATTGCTGGATATATCAAAATGTCTGACGCAAGTCCGAAAGCTGTAATTCCGTACACGCCTTTTATTCCAATCATTGAGAAGGATTGTCATGATTCCGTGCTAGATGTTGCCGCGGAAAAAATATTATCAGAAGATGGATTAACCCAGAAAGTTCCACTTCTAATTGGCTTCAACACCAACGAGGGTATAAACATGCTGCCGAATATTTATTCGAACCTTAAGGAAATAGAGGAGATAAATAACAATTTGGAGTTATTAATTCCATCTAATATCGAATATCCGAGCGGGTCAGAAGAAGCACAGAATTTAGCAAAATCTATAACTAAGTTTTACTTCGGCAAGGAGAGTATCATTGACGACGGAAAATTCTGTTTGTTCTGTCTAACAGATTATATAACGGATAGTAATTACCCTGTTTGCAATACAGATTATTGGGTTGAAAAGTACAAAGGCCGAAATGATAGTAACAGTTTATATTTATATGAATTCAGTTTCGATGGTTCATTGAATTGGGCAAAACTTATTTATGAGATTGACGCGCCGGGTGTGTCCCACGCCGACGAACTTGGATATTTATTTTTGACGAATATCACGAAAGATGACGAACTAATTGACGAGAGAAATAGGAAAATGCGGGACTACGTAACGTTCTTATTTTCTAACTTCATAAAATATGGGTAAGTGCAATAAAATACGTGGATTACACGCAAATTTTACAAATTTCATATTTGGGTAAAGAGAGTGAAATGATTTGAAGAAATGAGTGAGATGAAAATAAAATTATTATAAAACGTTTGAGGTAGCATTTTTTATTGGTTTGTGTATAAATTTTGGCTGTGTATTTTTTTAATAAAATTTAGTAAATACTTTATTTCGATAACAAAGCAAATCCCTATTAATTTCTTAATAGGACCACATATTAAGGTAACTTATTTTGCAATAATATATCTAGAAAAGTACTAAGTATCTGGAACACAAGTTGCAAGATACTCATAAATTAAGTACATACATATATCAAATACTTTTGAGGACAGTATCTGAAATAAAAAATAGGTATGTTCTAAATATTTTTGTAGGAAATTAAGATTCTCTTTTAATCAATTTAAGTTTGGTATGTTTTTAAGTAATACATACATAACTTAAACATTTGATCACTTATATTCCTTCGATGACGCCTAAGCACCATACCCCCAAAAGAATAGAATCCCTCCCACCCCACAGGGTCACAATGTTATATTTTAAAAATATTAATTTTGTTGGGTAACAGGTTAAGCCTGTAAGCTGTTGAGGCTAATATATTTATTATTTATTTAAAATGTTCTATCTCTTGATACCTAAAAAAAAGATCAAAGAGCTTAGCTTAAGAAAAAAATAGGAAATTTTAAAAAGTAAACAGTACCATACGACTAGAACTTATAAATTTAGTCCGAAATGTTAGTTGCGCATTATTTTTTTTAAATTTCTACTGATATATTAGGTACTAAAAGTATTTTCTTAGAAACAATATTTATAGGATATTAAGTAAAACGTATTATATGTCTTAATATTTTACACGTGTAAGTAATAAACTTAATATATGTGTTGTATGTATTTGACAATAATTAAAAATAAAGGTCGTACCTACATATTTAAATATATTCATCACTAATATCTTAAAAGATGAATATATTTGTAAATAAGACATTGATCTTTAACACGTCTTCAATACAAGTCAAATTATACGAGTTTCAATTGCGAAAGGATTGTACAAATAAAAGACGATCCAACCGTTTATCAACCTATAAACGCCTCGGATTCGAGGTCTGCCTATTTTTTTTTAATGTTCTACTTTTGCAGAAATCCTACACCAAATGATAGCGGCGGCATTATGTGGCCCGAATATGGCAAAGAACAAAACTACTTGATTATAAATGATAAACCAATAGTAATGCAGCGCCATCTATCGTCGAGGACGGTCAAAACGAACTTCTGGGACAAAGTTTACGAAGATTATGAGAATTACTTAAAGAATGGCGGTGTAACACACATGAGACTGTAAATAAATAATGGTGATCATCTGATATAGGTACCTGACAAGAGAATAAAACGGAGTTCGAAACTGGAGTAATATTACGGGTCGTCTAAGCTAGGTATTGTAAGTAAATAAAGCATTTTTGTCACCTATTTGTTTTAACTCATCACAAGGTAAAAAACGGTTGACTGTTACACGGGAAAAAGTGGCAGCCGTAATTTTATCTGAATTCATATAAGATGGACATTGACAGAGTCTGTATTTCACGAGTGTACATTTTTTTTAAATTTATCAATCTATCGCCTAACGTCAAATGGCAATGTTGACGCCGTTGTCAACTTATAGCAGCTTTAAGTTTTGTTACTACTACAGTTAACGTTAATTGTCCCAACAATTAATGGCATATGTGTATAATATCCAGAGGCGACATTAGATGTAATTATATTTATTTATTTATCTGTTAACACTTAATTATATACAAATTAGTACTTAGTATCATTACACATTAATAAATAAGAAAGATCTTCCCTATGTTACACAATAAACTTAAGGTCTATTTTCTTTGTCTTATAAACTCACTATCGAAAAAAATTGATTCCAGTATATCTAAAGAGTAAATCTACCATATAAGATAAGAATATATGCTATTTCTACAAGTGGATATATATTCATTTTTAACGTGATCCCAAACTAGGCAATGCCTGTCTTATGAGAACTACTTCAAAACAGTGTTAATTATAGAAGTGAAATCGCGTTTCCCCCTCGTGGGGCATGGGGTGAACACATTTTTGTGTTCGTTACACTGAGCCGTTCTTAAACAGGCAAGTAGTTGATCAGACTTCTGTGCCCTGCCAGACCGAAACACTTTTTTGTTTTCCTGGGATTCGAGCCCAGGATCTCTCGCGCTTAACGCAATGCTCGACAATACGTGTAACCATTTGGCTACAGAGGCGGTGAATTATAGGAGAGGTATTAATTATTTACAGGCTAAACAATTTTTTTGCATAAAGTACGACTACTTTTGTCTACTGGTACTACAAACAACGTATAATGCCGTGTTCACCTTTGACAGCACGTATGTACCTCCAAAGTATTGTAATTACGACGTTAACACATATTATGTACCCAGTTAATCATTATTGTTATTTTTTTAAGGAAATTAATCTAAATCGTATCCTTTTATTTCGTCTATGCTCAAACTACTAAGTCACAAATGTTAGTTCTTTACGTATGTCAATTAACGTTTTGATGGCACACACGTTATGAAGATTCTTGGCGTCAGTATAATAACTGAATTTAATGAAGTACTACCTACTCGTCGATAATGATCGCTAAATTAAAACAAAATATAATTTTTATATACACGATTCTACAAGTAATTACAACTCACAGTACGTTGAACGAAAAATTAATTGTGAGAACTCATAGCGGTCTCGTAAAGGGAAAATTGAATCATGTGTATAATCGTTTTGCGTATTACTCCTTTCAAGGAATACCGTACGCAGAGAGCACAGCAGGGAAATTTAGATTTATGGTAAGCTATTTCTTGTTGTGTACAATGCCTAGAAGGTATTTAATGCATTAATTGACACAAATAAAACAAAATGGTAACCTGAATCTCAATATTTGACAGGATATGTAGTCTAATTGATAGAGCTTCACCATACGCTGCTTGTCATGGGTTGTTCCAGATATTTCTATCCGTGACACTTATTTTATTATTGATCAAATAAAGAGATACTTTAAATAAAACTTTTTGCTCGTACTAAGCTCCAACTACCAAACCTCCAACTCCAAACTTTTTGGCCGGGCTGAAGTTAGCGCGACCGCCATCTTGCGCATGGTACTGTAAATTTTAACCAAAAAGTCGAGTCGCCCCGCACCACCTTTGTCGCAGCTGATACCTGCTCTTTGCGTTCGGCGCAATCATCCGCGCTAGCTTCTGGTCGGCTAAAAACTTTAGAGTGCACTGTCCACCATTAATTAATACCTCAGCCACCCGTCGCAAAAAAACCTTGGAATCACACACTTGATGCTACAAGGGAAGGGCCAGTCTGTCCACAAGCGGTGACCAGATACCAAAGAACAGACATGAGCGAGGATTGCCTCAATCTAAACGTCTATATACCAGGAAATATTACAAATAAACTACTGTCTGTTTGGGTACACATTCATGGAGGTGGTCTCGCTTTGCTTTCGGGAAATAGCGATTTTATGTATGGACCCCAATTTATTTTACAAAAAGACGTCATTTTTGTAACATTAAATCATAGGTTTGTAAGATTTCATTTTTTTATAATATGTAGGTGAACACTTTTTTCAAAAAAACTTGCGTTATACAAAATTTGCATTTGCAGACTACATGCGTTTGGATTTCTATCACTTAACACGGAAGGAGCGTGTGGTAACGCCGGCATCAAAGACATATTGCTGGCGTTAAAATGGATAAATCAAAACATAGAAAGATTCGGAGGCGACAAAAACAAAATCACACTCGGTGGAAACAGTTCAGGGGCGATATTAAGCCACTTCCTGATGTTCTCAAATAAAGCAGTCGGATTGTTTCAACAATTACTTCTTATAAGTGGAAGTGCTCTCCATCATAGGTCTCTATCCAGATATCCTAAAGATAAAGTAATAACGCTAGCAAACGTATTAGGGATCAAAGCGGACAATTCTAGTCATTTAATAAAAGAATTACAAAAAATAGATCCATTTAAACTTACAGACGCATATATGCAAATGGCCGCCATCGATAGGAACATTATACGGTCACGCGCAACTTTATCGCCGAGCGTTGACAATATGTGTACAGACTCGATCTTCCAGCATTCTCCAGCCGAAATATTTGCTAACGGACTCCCAAATAAAGTACCGATGTTAATGGGTGTCAATTCTAATGAAGGAGCTTATATGATACCTACGATTATGTCGAAACTAGGAGACGTAAAAGAATTGAGTGAGAATATAGAACGCTTGATCCCATCAGACATTGAGTATCCGTTAGGCTCCGAAGCTTCCGTTGACTTAGCGAAAGCTATAGCTAAGCTGTATTTTGGCAAAGACAGTAATATCGATAGAGACTTCTGTTTGTATTGCTTGACTGAATACATTACTGACGCTCAATACGCCATCCACAGTATTGACTCGTGGGCGAGAAAATACAAGGAACAGAACGATAGTAAAGCTTTGTACTTATATCAATTCGGTTTCGATGGAATGTTGAATTGGGCGAAAATCGCTTACGAATTCGAGTGCCCCGGTGCCTCTCACTCTGATGAACTTGGTTATTTGTTTCTGACCCAATTTACTAATTTTAGCGAAGCACATGTCGATAATAGAAGTAGGAAAATGCGTGACACGATGGTTACTTTATTCACTGATTTCGTAAAACATGGGTAAGTGATAACGTTGCATTAACAGCTCAAAAAGTTAGGGATTCCAGTAACTAAATATTAAACGGCAAACCGACGCGACGTTTGGAGAGACGAAAAAGTTTAGCAACCCAAAGGTCAAGTCAAAATAAAAAAAGTGATATATTTTTTCAAACACTTTGCTGGCGATAGATGAGCATAAAAAATCCATAAGTAATTATATCTATGTTCACATAGCGAATTAACTATTACAGGTACACTTTCTTTTTTTCTGTTATCTTTATGGCGCAATTTTTTTTAACTAAACGTATTTAGTTATTATGATCTTTTCTTTTTTTACAGAAACCCAACGCCGAACAATAATTCTGGTATAACCTGGCCAGAATTTGGTAAAGAACAAAATTACCTGTCAATAAACGATAAATCAAGGGCTACTATCCTCAACTATTCCCCTGCGACCGCCAAAATGCTCTTTTGGGATAATGTGTATACCGAATACAATAACTACATTAATAAGGGAAATGGTTTAGTGAAGAATAAAACATACTCGCAGTGGAAGCATGTTTTATTTCATATATTGATTATTCTGACGAAAGATATGACGATTTCACTGTTCTACTTATAGAACTATGTATTTAAATAAAACAATTAAACGGTTTAAAACGCGATATATTTTAGTTAAACTTAGTTTAAAATTATTCTTACTTAAACTACGGCCCGACATTTCGGATGCTTTGCAGCAGCTGTGGTTACGGGGAGACTAAAGATAGAGGATGTCGGAACGTCGGGCCATAGTTTAACTTATAGAAGCAATACATAGTCCTATACTGTCTGTAGTTTACGCGAATAGTACACATTTAAATAAAACACTTTAACCGTTTAAGTTAGTATTTTATTCAAATGTGTACTACTCGCGTAAACTACAGACAGTATATAACTATGTATTGCTTCTATAAGTTAAACTGAAGTTGTTATAGAAGACTGCTAGAGAGAGATGATGAGGAAAATAAAAATGCGCAATGAACTTAGGCGACAATGAATTTGTACTATTATTTGTGTGAGAATTATTATCACAATTTTCGGTCACAGTGCTCTTGTAGATTAACATTTTTAAACTATGAAAATAGTATAAATAACATCAGTCATTAAATTGCAGTTAGGCTACTGAGCCTCTAGCAGCCTTATATTAGTATATATGTACGTTAGAATATTTGTTTCCAAATATAAGATGTGCACTGCTTGGGTGACGTAACCTTGTAGCTTTAAGAATTATAAGAGAAATAAAAAGTGGTGTTGTGATTTAAATTTGTATTTTTAATCAATGAGAGAATGTATGCTTATTTCGATAGATCTGTCTTTAAAGGCACAAATTATTTTGAGGATAATTTGAAATGGTTATGCTAAATTACATTTATGATGTGGTTACACATTTATGTCGTCGATTTTGACCTGCTCCCGCGCTTGCTGAAAAGCAGCAATGAGGGCAGCGAGCTCTATTTTCTCACTACAACCACTTGCAAGTCTTGCTTCTGAATCCGCCATTTTTATCAGGAGGGAAATTAAGACGTCTGGCGGTAGTTTTACTGGAAAAAAAAGTTTTATAAAATCCTAAAGTTAAAGCGGTTTTACGTAAATAATATTTTCTTATCAGGAATTTTTTGGAATTAAAAAACTTACGTCTTTGAATAATTTTGTGTATCTCTGTTAAAATGTCGCCCAAAGCCAGGCCTTTGGCTATTTTTAAGTCTTGAATATCTGATTTTGTTCTAAGGAAAATGAGGGCGATAAATTTTTTATGAGCAATATCTATAAAGGTAAAATATTACACGCTGATAAAAATTTTAAATAACAAAGGATAAGTTTTTACAATTAAGACCGGTTAGGAGTGACGATCTCGCGTGCCCTAGTATTCAACAGTTATTGAACTGATAATTTCTCTGAATTTGCATTATTAGTTATTAATTTGCATATTAATTGGATATTAGTATGAGGGGATAGTGATTAGTGCGAGAGAGATAACCGAACAAATTTGGATGGCCTAAATAACTGTTTTACGCGGACGAAGTCGCCGACACAGCTAGTTTTAGATAAAAGGATACATTTAAACGAAGCAGCAAAGTCGTTTTCATTGAGCAGCCAATTTAGAATGTTATTGATGTCGGAGCGAAGCGGGTGTCCAACGCAAGTGTATACGTTGTCCTCTGTGACGTCACGATATGCAAGCCATGTACTCTGTAGTGTGTTTAGGACTTTACGCATGTCCCCGCCAGAGAGCGTTAGTAGCGCTTTTATCCCGTCATCTGATGCTTTGACGCTGAAAGTAATGATATTCACAAATATAGATATATGAAAGTAAGTAAAGAGTAACATTGAAAAATCTATACTTTATATAAAGCTGAAGAGTTTGTTTGAACGCTAATCTCAGGAAGTACTGGTTGGTTAGACCATTTTCGAGCAAATTATTTTTTTGGTTAGAGCATTTATCAAGAAAGGCTATAAAACACCGCGCTGCGACTAATATAAGCGCAGGAACAGTAGGAATTTTGAAAAAAATGGGGAAAATAATTCATCTCACGAGGAGTTTCCGTTGCGTGCGCAGCGTAAACGGTTCAAGATACCAAAAAAATATTTACGAAAGAGTTGAGTATTTGCTCGGTTTTATATTCTGTGGTCATAATAATGCATTACGTTACATTTTCTATTAAAAATGCATTTTACAACAAGTCATTTTTAGATATAAAAGTGAATTTTATGTAGCAGTAATCACCAATTATTTTTTTATTTGCGTCGTGACAATATTTATAAACTATTAACTTTATGAATCAACAACGATTCCTATAATAGCTGACGACATAAATAATTTATTTTTTAACTCTTTATTGCAATACACACGAAGCATATTATACAAATGTATCTTTAAAGAAGTCCAAAAAATACGTCTAACGAGAAAAAATAAAAATATTATTACTAGTTATGGAGTAGAATGGGCGGCCTTATCGCTGTATAGCAATCTCTTCCAGGCAACCCTTGTATATATCGTGCACATTGTGCGAAGCTTAAGAATAAAGAACATAATAATAATAATAATAATTAAAATTATATGAAGCGAAAGGAAAATGTTACCCCTCTTTCTGTATAATATCCTGCAGCCGTGGTACAATCTGGTTCTGATGAAGCGGGGCGAAACGGAAGCGTGTACACCTCGACTGTAGCGCCGGTATTATCTTCCCCAAGTAATTACAGATTATACAGAATCTCACATTCTCTGTATACTTCTCGATAACTGGCACAAAAAATAAAAAAAGTAAGTACTGATATATCGCAGCTAAAATTAACAAAAACACTCCTGCAGTCGAGTGTTGTTTTAATAAAAAATCTACAATTGAATAGTGCTTTTATATAGAAACACCTAAATCCACTCATTATTCTAAATTATTTGTGTTTAAAAAATAGTATTTAACATAGATGGACGGTCATTTCAGGCCACAAACCAACAAAGAACTAGGAAAATATATGAAATAGTTGTAAATATAATAAGGCGGTCATCAATATTAATAATACATGTAATATAATGTATTACTATTTAAAAAAAATCTAAGATACCGTTTCTGGTCTGGAATAGTATAGAGGATAGCCTTATAACAAAAATAAAAGACATTCACTGATAACAGAATATTATTGCAACAAACAAACTGATGACGACTCTTTTCTTCGAATACTTCTCAACGTTTTTCGATTCATTATCAGAGGGTAGGCAGAATGTTTTGGATCATTGTGCCCGCCATCTTGTATCAATGGTGATTTGCGATCCGGTGCTAGTATCGATCTCGCTTTAGTCCCAAGCACACGTGCCACTAGATTCGTAAACGCATCGTTAACCTAAAATAAGATTTATTAAATAATTCACATTTTTCGTCTAGTTAAGAGCCCTTAGGATTAGACTAGTAACAAAGAAATATTTTACAAAGGTAAAATACGTAATAAGAAGTAAGTATTTTTCTAATACTTTGATAACGATAGTATAAAAGGATCGCCCAAGTCTTATAAAAGTACCCTTTGCTAAAACGAATAAATTAAGATAAAAGCGTCCTGGTCAAGAGCAATAGATGTAGTAAACTTACTTCATAGGCAAAAAAGACACTTTCTATGATGCATGGAGTGAGCTCGTGAAGTGTTTACAGTTTGTGATTTTATTTGGATTATAAAAAAATAAGCTGATAATTACTAATAGTAAACCAATGATATTTAGGTTATAAGTCATAGTTTAATTGTATTGTCTATTTCTATGTTAGTTTTTAAGTTCAGTGTTGAATTGGGCTCCCACCTGTCATGACATTGTAATTTTAATGATTAAATAAAATTAATATAAATAATAATGTTCTAACCATTTCACCAGTTCTAGCTGAACCTTTAAAATTCTCAAAGAGATGTTTTGAAGCAAATTTTTGAACACATGACAACCTCACCGCTCTCTGGTGTTCTAAGTCAGACTTATTCCCAAAAAGAGCCATTAGTGGTTTCTTTTGCTCGTTTTCGTTTATTTTATATACGGATGTGACCCATTCATCTAACTTTTCGAAACTTTGTAAATTTGTTAAGTCATAGACGAATACTATAATCTGAAAACTTATAAATATTGCAATTAAAAATTGATAACAGTTATATAAAATTATGCTTCAATTTTAAGCTTTGGATAAACTTAATGAGAATTCTGAAGATAAATAAATTGTGTCATCTAATTTTATTTTTATATTTGGAATAAAAAATAATTAGGAAGTCCGTAGATTGGAAAATTGTGATAAATATAGCAATAATAAATTGGCTATAATTTCTTTGAAGTAAAATCATACTATAATATGCGGGTACAGAATTACTTTTAAATGTATGTACTAACATCAGATGCATAGAGGTAGTTAACGAGCATGGGCGTATTTAGAGCGTTGCCAGCTACGTCACAAAGCTGTAGGGGAGCTGCTGGGCGAAGGCCTAAACATTGCCCCGCTGTCACCTCCGCTCCATGGGTTGTTCCGCTGGCTAAGCCACTACCGCCAAGATACCTATTGCAGAGGCTTGTCTGTGAAAGTACTTAAGCTATTAAAAAATACTTTAAAATTTGATTGTTGATGTGAACTGATCTCCGAAACTACTTGTCAAAGAATCTTTATAAAATATCTTTTTGGCACTCAATTTACCTTAGAATACCAATAGGAGCAGATAATCAATTTAAATGCGGGATAAAGGATAAAATCTTTATATTATTAATTCTATGTGCTGAGTAACAAGTTTTATGCGTGCATTGCAGAATTATTCCTCTGAGATTTTAAATATCGGTATTATCAGGTACATGTCTAACGGCTGGTAAGTTAGACACTCTCACACAACTCATGTTTAATTGTAATAAATAGTACTTTAGGAGATGTTTTTTTTATTATTAAGGTCACCCATATAAGGTCAGGTGATCACTCCATGTAAATTGTTGACAACTTCACCCCAGAAATAGCCTATTTTTAGTATCTATTTATCCACCACCTTATACTTCGTCCATGCATGGACAGTAGTATATAGTTTTAAGCTTATTTAAGTATATTTCATAGCTATACTCACTTTTCCTATATTGGGTTCACCGAGAACTGTTATCTTAATTGTTTTACCTTGCACCTCGTCTTCTGTGTCAGACATCACAAACACTAATATAACTCACACTACTATCACTTTTTAACTTGTTTTCGACAAATGTACAAGATCACATTTGTTTGTTGATCATACATTTTCCTTAGTAACCGGATACACAAACAAAAATGTATATATAACTTAATTCTTTAGTTAATGTGAAGCTACATTTATTGATAAATAATGGTGGTGTACAAATGTAAAATAATAAGTTTACTTCATACAATATTTATATACAATTTTCATTATACTAAAGTAACTCTTTGTATATATTTACCATTTAATTGTATATGATTATTTGATTTGTTTGGTCAATTATAAACACAGATTAGCAAGTTTTATTCAATTTATGCACAATTTAAAAATCATTAATAATATTTTTTTTGTTAGTTTATTGAAATTTATAACCTAAGTAATTATTACATTACTTTATAACTATGACTGTATCAAAGTACTTACTTCTTCGCAGGGCATTCTGGGCATCATTTGTCATGGCATCTGCCTCATCAAGGATAATTAGTTTAGGACCAGCTTTAAATATAGTTCTTGTCGAAGCAAAACTTAGTATTTGACCTCTTACTATTCCAATACCCCTATCATCTGATGCATTTAACTCCAAAACCTGTAACATTGTGTTATAATAGTCACTGTAAATAAAGTTACAGAAGGAGAGTTTGATAAGTATCTAATTAACTTTAAAGATACATACAATGTGCTGATAAAATTTACTAAGGAAAAGAGGATTTTTAGAATTTTTGCTTATTGGTTAACCTATATATTATAGGTTAACCAATAAGCAAAAATTATACCAGTGATGTTATTTTTTTATTTCAAAACTCACATTTTCATACCACGCCAGGGCCCAAGATAAAAAATATACAATAACATAGAATTATGACAGTTATGTATATAATACTATAATTTAAACTCTTAAGTTTTGTAACTGGGATATTATACCATTGAATTAAATTGCTGTGGAGTGTACATCTGTTTAGCACATGCAAGTATTGTTGATGTTTTGCCTGTACCAGGTGGCCCATAGAACAATAGGTGCGGCAGCTGATTCTCCTTCATAAACTGGTTGACTGTTAAAATATAATCACATAACTGTTTGCAATTTTAAGTACAACCATAACAATGATGTTACTTTTTAAACTTACTTGTTTTTATTATATCATCATGGGAAACCAAATCCTCTAGTTTTGAGGGTCGATACTTTTCCACCCTGTAAATGGAATTCTCCGTGTTAAAATAAGTTTTTACAGTTGTACTTAGATTAAGCTATTGGAGATATGCTTACCATGGCAAATTTATCGTCGTTTGACCTAAAGTCATGGTTTTATTTTTCTTTAGTCTGTTTCAATGTATAGTAGAAACAAGGAAATAATGGGAAATGACTAAAGTTGTTTTCTTATAACTGTTAACATACTTTAATTGTAGATTTTATTTTGGAAAATATTGTTGTTTAGCCGGTCTGGCGCGAAACATGTGACATTAAATAAACGGAGTACGGACACTTTCATGTATGAAAATTGACAATTGACTGAGCTAGCTTAAAACTACCAGTCATAGAGTGAGATAATCTATATACTAATATATAAAGCTGAAGAGTTGGTTTGTTTGTTTGAACGCGCTCTCTCCGCTCGCGATTGAAAAATTATTTCTGTTTTAGTTAGAACATATCGAGGAAGGCTACATAATCGGGCTGTCCAGAAGCGAAGAGCAGCGGGAAATGTGAAAAAAACGGGGGAAATATTTCCCCCTTTCCCTGTGAGTTTCCGATGCGTACGCTGCGAAAACGGTACAAGATACCCAAAAATATATTTGAAAGAATATTTTTTTGAAATGTTTTAAAAAATGTCCGCGACACTATGTTATTTTGAAGATTAATTGCAAGAACGACGGGTTGCGGGCTACGGGACGCGTCGGATATGATGTCGGATAGAGTTTACATTTATAAAGATAAAGAGGTTTCCAAAAACAAATTTGGTTGCCTAAAATAACTATTCTACGCGGTCGAAGTCGCTGACTTAGCTAGTATATTGCGACTACTATCACTACTTAAACTTGCTCAACAGTGCTAGTAATAACAGCCTTATGTATATTTTCGTGATATATAAGCAAAGTTTCCATGTTAATAACCTGCAGTTTAAGCTTTGGATAAATATCATAAAAAAATAGCTTATATATCAATTACAAAAATATGAGGCTAAGTTAGTAAGTAAGCACTAAGATTTAGAAAAATCTGTAATAGGTTTGTAGCAAACATACCAAGTAGTTAAAATTCGTATATAAAAATAAAACATTTTTATTTCTTCAATGTAAGTTCATTTATTAATTATAAATAACTGACAATAAAAAATAATGTCTTACAAAAACATCCAAAATCTGATTTGTCATATTAAACCTTAAAACTATCTTTTTACATTACGAGTGACATATTCTTCCATGTCTATCCTTGACACTTTATTTTTCGTCTGACCATCAAAAATGGCACTTGCGGCGTCTTCCCACGACCACATGACTCTTGTCTTATATGCGGAAATCATGTCTAATGTTGCGTCTTCCAAAATCTCAAATTGACTCATTGGTTTGCCATCTTTGCCAATACGGAAATAATACTTGGCTTGTCTGGACTTCGACATCTGTCCGGACCATGGCTCTAAAAAATAAACTTGTTTTATAAAATATACATGAATATATTTTATTTAGATTATATAGTATCTATACTTATATATAAAGTTGAAGAGTTTGTTTGTTTGTTTGAACGCGCTAATCTCAGGAACTACTAGTTCGAATTAAAAAAATATTTTTGTGTTAGAAGATTTATTAAGGAAGGCTATGGGCTATAAAACCATATCGTTTTGAACAATAGAAGCAAAGATGCAGCGTAAAAAACGTCCCTGTGGGTTTCCATTGCGTACGCTGCGAAAACGGTTCAAGATACCCAAAAAATATGTATCAAGGAATTATTCCTCTTTAAATGATCAAAAAAGATCCGCGACAGTATATGTCTATCTTGTAAGATTAACTTGCAAGAACGACGGGACGCGGACGTCGTGGGTAAACAAGCTTTGCAAAAACAAAAATTGGTTCCCAAAATAACTATATTACGCGTACGCAGTCGCTGACTCAGCTAGTAGACAATAAAATTAATGACTATCATATGTTATATGTACCTTTGATTTCTTTAATAAACAACACTGAGCCGACAACATAAAACAAATCATTTCTATGGTTCCGTTTCGGTATATCAATGGTTACAGCTTTTCTGATTCTTTTCATAGAGCGGTACTCTAAGTTCGCTACTGCTGATGCAAATGATTCTAAATTAAAGAATCGCTTACACCTAATGGGTAGACATTGGCTATTCAAATGCTTTTCTAGCGCTGTACAGAAGAGAGTACATTGATTAATCCTGCAACAGAAACAAAGTTGTAACAAACACTAATCTTTCCGGGGGGTTTAAAGCCTGGGCTTTCCTGGTTGAAGCTTTTTTTTTTTTTTTTCTGGGAAAAAAAAATACTTCAACCCAGCAGGGATTGTTCATAATTAGTTTAGGATTTAACATTTAAAAATTTAATTATAGTAGGTCATATATGGTAGTTTGACAGGCTCGTAGTAATAGTAGCAATGAATGATCCCCACCGGGTCCACATGTTTCTAATTTTTCTGAAACATGCTGGACTTCGTCTGGAAATCTGGACATTGAATTCGTGGTAGGAATATAGAAAATTCCGTTAGGGACTAGACCCAAACACAAAAGCCTAATCGCGTTTCAGTCTGTGGATTTCCGAATATCCAAAGGCGAAGGTCGACATCGCATCTGATTTACATGCTATAGGCTGGTGTATATCACCTACCATCAAGTGTACTCACGCTTGTCTATCCTTCTCTATCGTTAAAAAATGTATGGATTAAATACTGATATTTACGCGAGTAGTACACATTTAAATAAAACACTTTAGTTAAGGGGCGGTTTAAAACGCGATATATTAGTTAAACTTATTTGAAAATGATTTTTAACTTCGGCCCGACGTTTCGGATGCTTTGCAGCAGCCGTGGTCCCGTGACCACGGCTGCTGAGAGCAAAGCATCCCGAAACGTGCGGGCCGAAGTTAAAAATCATTTTCAAATAAGTATAAAAAGTAGCAAAAAAACCGGGTTTAAAACCGTTAAAGTGTTTTATTTAAAAAATGTATGGATTGTTTTGTCACCTATTTGTTAGAGTCATATAAGATATGTCCTTTCCTCCGAGAACGAGGGCATCTATGACATGTAAGGCTTTGGTGCGCATTTGCTGGCTCCCTTGTCCGCGAAACTCTTTCACTATCTGCAAACAAAATATCAAGAATCTAATGTAACGAAAGATTCAAAAATAAAAATTGAGTAGACGAGAGAGCACGGAAAAATTCCGTATCATTACGGAACATAAGGAAAAGAAGTTTTATGCCATTACCTCGCCATATAATAATGTGTTCGCCGGTAAAGTGATGTGCAAATCCGCTAATATTCTCCAATTGTTCCCTTCCAACTGATATACGCGTTTGCCTCCACAACCTGCAATATTAGTAGTATTGAAGAAGGTTTTAACAAGACAATAAAACATCACATTGTTCCTTTTACACCCCGAACGTGTTCCTTTCTGGGTGTAAAAGGAACAATGTATTTTAACATTTCCCAGGACATTAAGGTGTTACAAGTATTCTAAATCGGATGAAGATAGGTCAAGGTTTGGTAGACAGTATCGACCTACCCTCACATTTTCACATTAATATTAGAAGAATTTATACATTTTTTATTATTTTGCCTACATAATGTTCTCAAAAGTGTATTTAACGCTATCAGATGATACATGATACATGTCTTATCTTTCATATATAGAAGACTTTAGTAATGTAGTAAAATAAAACCTACCGATAAATATCCGCAAATCAGGACTACCCTTCGGGCTTGAGAGGAACGTCAAGTGCCAGTCATAAGCATTTTTCAGGAGCCCCAAGTCAGACACAGTTTCAAGATACTCTGGTTGTTTATTAAGTACTGCGTTTTTGAACGCAAAAGCATTGTTTGCATCCGGCGGGGGTTTTCTAAGTTTCGCTAGCAAGCTTAGCATTGTGTCATCGGGGGGCCGACGTTCTGGTTGTGTCCTTACTTTATCGGGTAACTGTAATTGAATATAGAATTAGACTGGTATGATTGGTGTTGACCGTTCGTTCACATAGTTTTGGAGATATTTCTAAAACTTTAGCCTGTGTCATTTTTATTCTTACTTATTGCGTGAAAAAGATTTTGATAAATCTTTTATGTCATTATAGTGTAAAATCGTTGTAAACATGCATCTACATTGACAAATCCATTTAAACCTAATATTCAACAGAATAGATTTTTACTGAAATTTTAAGTAAGATAACTCTTTTCTTATTATTTTACAGCCCTCCCAAAGCAATTAAGTTATTTTTGCACTTTTTAAATATTACTTAGTATTAACCTTACTTTCCATAACTTCAAGCACTGTTCTCGCATCTCAGCTTGACAGGGTTCTTTGAGATCCTTATTTTTACTGAACTCAGCTAATTTCAATAGATGTTTAATTTGTCTTTCACCAAGCCTATAACAAACATTTAAACATAATTTAGTCTATATATGGACTTTAATGTGTCATTAAAAAAACTTTCAGCAAATATTAAAAATAAGTTTATGTAATAATGTGCCAAAGAACACACAAGATTACTGGAAGCAGCCGTATTATGATACTTACATACAATTACTCTTAAAAATATACTCATAAAAGGCTTCATCTTCAGTAAGAACAGACAGAGGCACCAGCTCCGTAATATCATCCTCTTTATCCAGTTCATTCCACATCATCGAGTTGACAGATTCCAAGTGTCTTTCAACTGATTCTGTGCCTACCTTCTTCCACATGCATACCAGATATCTTTCTGAGTTTGCCGGACGAGATGTCACAGGTTTGAATATACATACTGAAAGATAATAAATATAAGTACAGGTATTTTTTTAATACAGAAGAGGAAGAAAAAGTAAGGGGATATAACTGGAAAGTTGAAATTCCCTGCAACTTATAATAAGAACACTATCTGAAACCGAAACGTAAAATATCGGCTTCACACATTATGGACGGTGATAGCAATAATTTAAACTAGATATAAAAACAATACTGTCGGATTAATGTTCAGATGATTAGTAAATATGAATACAGAATCCAGTGGTAACTAGTGGTTAGCTAAGAGTTCTACATTGCTGTTACTTCACCAAAATTACATCAGCAATAATCAAAGGAAACAAAGGCACAGATAGGCAGGACGGAAAATTAAGAGCGACAAATCGTTTTACCTTTCTCAAAACACCTATACATGATATATATAAGGCCAACACTAAACCTGGTGAAAACGTCAAACAGTTTTACAACAAAATGCCCGCCCGTTCTGACGAGCATCAGTGCAGCAAGACACTGACAAAGATATAGCTGTTTGGACAGTATCTCTTGAATATTCTCTTGTCCAGTTACTGAGAAACCCTGTAGAAAATAGCTAAGTTAATATAAATACTAAAAGTATATAATAATATGATATAGAATACAATGGCTAGGTAATAACAACATAATTATGTTATGAAAAATTTCTAATAAAATAGTGTTTTAATCATAGAATTTACTTTTGCTCCAAGGCTAAACAGTGGCAAATTTAAGTTAATAATTTTCAAGCCAATAAAATGAGTTTGGAATTGGAATTTGCACTCCCCCGAGTCAATTTTAATTTAAGATTTCTAATGAAACATTATTCAAAGTTATTAAAATGTTTAATGGTCCATTTACATTTATGGCAGAGAACAGAATTTTACTCACACCATCAGCCATAAGGAAGTGAACACCCTTGTCATCAGTTTGAGCTAACACATAATCCTTTAAAGACACTAAGTTGGCAGGATTAAATATGTTGCCGTCATCTTTTACACCATAAAAAGTATTAAAAGTCTCCGAAGTGCCAGCATAGAAGTCAGATAGTTTAAAATCGTTAGCACCCTTTAAAGTAAAACCAAATCCTGAAAATATTTTATTTTATGAACATTATATGGGCAAACTTAATTTAAAGACATTTGTTGTGAAATACTGTAAAATGTCACTGAACTTTATAAATACCTTTAGCCTCCCAACCCTTCCTGAATAACACATACTCTGAAAAACCCCCAGGTCCTGCACAGACGTCAGCAAAATATAATATCTCCTTATCATTGATCATCTTTTCTCCATTAAGAGTTTTAGGGTATGTGAACATGAAGTCAAATACAGCATCTATGTTAGCCATTTTAACTGCTGCTCTATTAAGAAATATTACAGATCCTATAGTTTCATAGGGATTGCTTCTGAATCTTGCGTTTCTTAAATCTTCATCATCAAGAGTGTCGAATATTGTCTGCAATGTTATAAACCCTGATGTTACATAAATATGTAAATAGATTACTATGATGATAATTTATTAAATATAGACTGATATTCAAATAGAACAATTTTATTACCTTGGCATTTATAATCCCCTGAAGTATTTGAGGATCAACAAAATCTGTTTCATTATCTATACTCAATTTTTTGGGCCCCTTTACCAACCATTCCTCTAAAATATCCCCTGATAATGTCTCATCTGGTGGTGTTGGCATCCATATCTTAAACATACATTCAAATGAAATTTAAATCAAAGAAAAAATGTTTTAATTTTTTACTTTTTAGTGTTCTAACACTAACCACTTCTTCCTTTGATTCCGCTTTTGTTTCATCTGGTGACCACTTAAAATCTCGAGGTATTTGACCCACTAAAGAAGGTTTTAAACCTAGACCTCTTCTGCCTTTTTGTGTTGATGCTTCTACAGGCTCTACCCTTCCATGCTCTAATTTACCCAACCCTTTTCCAGGTTTATAACCCATATTGCTCATCATTCGTTTAGATTTCTCAGAATATTCACTTTTAAATGTGTCACTTATTTCTGAGTATGAGTCAGATGTTTTATTGTAGAAGGAGTTTTCATTACTACCATGGAAACTGGCTCTCATCGTAATTTCATCATTATCCTCAAAGCCAGGTCTGTAGTCATCATTGTAACCATCATTTGGAGATGAACAATTTTCACTCATACTGCTTTGGCTTAACCTACTACTTCTCTCCAGAACGTTATTAGTAAATGGTGACTTTTTGCTGCCTCTTGGAACATCAGAACTGTGCTCCTTATATGCCTTTTCTTTATCATCATCAGAATCTTGAAGAGCTTAAAAATAAATATAAGATACGTAAACACACCCAGGATGTTGCAATTAAGTAAGAGAGAATTTGCAATCGAACAAATCCTCGCATGCAGAATTGCGACAAAGAAATTACTGCACTAAATTGTATAGTACGAGAAAATAAATAGATACCTGATCCCTGGGAGGTTGTTGAGGAGGCGCCATAGGTGTCTGACCTATGTCGTTTCGCCGGAATAGAACTTTCATCACTGCTGGACCCATCATCAGATGGATCTAAGAAAAATTTTCCATTATTATTGTAGTCAATTTCGTATTTTGATTGCAAAACTAATTCTACAATAACTTACCTGAAAGATTCATGATATCTGCACAAAGAATTCAGGTAATATATACAATTAAAACAACGTCTTAAAATTTAGGCAGTGTATTTCTTTCAAAGAAATAATTAATTGTAGTTTGTAGTTAGTTTGGTTAAAAATAATATTTGTCTTAAACATCTGTGGCCTGTAGTAGCCACCTTCATAGTATTGCTATACACTATACTATTCTCTGTAGTCCATTGTTCTTGAGCTAGTCTGTTGGCCGTATGAATTTGTGAATCGAATATCGATCGATATCGATAGTTCAACCACAGACAAAGTATAATAGTTAACTATCACCAGCTTGCACTGTTACCGAAATATTGATGTGGTCCCTGTCAGGGAAAATCCACTATTTTCAATAACGAAATCTGTTAAAAAAGTTTTCTCTATTTCTTGTTAGTCAATTTCATCAACATATTCGTTATCGAGGCATATTTGTTATTCTTATTAATTTACAATGGACATGTAATGCAGTTAGTAAAGGTATAATCCAATTCAAAAACGTTGTAAGCTTAGCTCCTCAGTATTTCCATCCAATTAAAAGGCATCAGAATTGAAGTGAGTATTACTACAAAAAGTGAACATTCTTTATTCATAAATTTCAATATGTACCCAAATACATAAACCAACATATGGTTACAGTTAATAATGCGTATTTTTTTTATACGAAATCTAAACACACAAACATAAGTGGGGTAGTTTTTAATTATTTCTAATAAAGGTAACTTATACCTGTAGTTCACAATTGTTTACTCTGTCAAGTTTGCACATTCATTTGTTACAAAACATTGTTCATAAAAATAGTATAGCATTCTGTTTTCTCATTGTCATACAAACTAAACTTAAAATCGAGGTTAGGATCACTTAATTTCCTTAACATAGGCATCTAATTCAGCATCAAGTTGTTCAGCTGTAGGAACAGGACGTCTGCCCCGAGGACCACCTCCTCGTCCCCCACTGCCCCGCCTACTACCAACCCCTCGTCCTGCATTGTTTGAATTTCTGACATTACCACCTGTGTACATAAAAAATTATAAATGACTACTCTTAAAACCAACAATGAAATATAATAAATGTAAATTACATCTACCTGAATTTCTTCTTATTTGTCCACCTCCAATAGGTCTAGTTTTAGGTTCTGCTCTAAATGTGCTGATTTCTGAAGTTGCTAACTGAATGTTCATTGCACGCCCGTCAAGTGGTACTCCATTATACTGCTTCATAGCTTTCAGTGCATCTGCTCTTCTGTCAAATACTACATCTGCTGTCCCTGAAAACAAAAAAACATTTTGAGAAACTATGTACATTATATTAAACATATTGATAATGCTTGAATATGTACCTAAAGATCGCCCAGATCTGTCATAGTGCACAGCTGCACTTTTCAAAATGCCAAACTCTGAAAACAATTCTTGGATATCCGAATCTGACACTCCAAAATCTAAATTGGAGACAAGGAGCTTGGTTGGCCCAGTAGATAAGGGTGCCCCTCGTTGGATCTTCCTGTCACTGAATTCATTGAACATGTCATGTTTCCATGTGCTGTTAACATCACCCTGAAATAGTTTGTCCTTCATTGATCATGCCAACTGCCCGCGGATGCCTCTGAGCTTAAACTCAAAACACGGCGAACATTGGTTGTACATATTTTTAGTAAGTTACAATGTGTATTAAAATTAACAGAATTATTTCTTTAAACATTTTTCTATAACTAAAAATTCACTGTTATCACTCATACACAAACACTGTATAAGTTTCAATACACTGGCTGTTCTGCATTATTTCACTTAGTTCCCTTTAATCTCCCTTAGCTGAAGTTTCATTTAACTGTCCTTTTTGCAAGGTATTGACGATCTGCCACCAGAAGTCTCGCTGTTGTGTAAGCTGAGCCATAATTGATGTATGCAGACTTTTATGATAATTGACTGGGATGCTGATTACTGATATACATTAAATTTTATGGAGATAAAGATCTCATTTTATACAAAAATAAACAATTGCAATTGTCGGTAGTGCAGAACAAAAAGGCGAAGTTAAATTGCAGATATCAAACTTTAGCCATGAGTATTATATTTAATGAGCCCCACGCTGTATTTACTCCAACACGTTAATAATATTGGTGTTTTATTCGTCACTTGACGCGTCATTTCACAAGGCAGCACGCTTGTCCGCCATTTTAAATTTGCTATTAATCAAGTGTAGCATGATTTACCCTTGTGTAATTTGTTGATTTTGTTACTCCGCCGCGGTTTTTGCCCCGAACACCACCAGAACGATTTCCCCGAAAACCCCCGCCACCACGGCTTGGTTTTCGGGTATCAAATTTTCTTCCAGCGCCACCGCCTCTTCCGCCTTTTTTTCCAGCCTTTATAATATCGTCTAATGCCATTTCAATTTTATCAACCATGTTAGTATATTATTTCAATTGAATTTCCGAATCAATATCTCCACTTTTTAAAGTTTTATTACAAAACTGTATTTTCCTTATTTTTAGCTTTTGTAGAATCACTCAATTGCCGATTGACCCGCTGCGCAATTTCGAAACCCAAAAGAAATTATCAGTGACAACTAAATAAGCGTAACAAAAGCACAGAATATATAACAACACCGCTGTTTATGTATTACCTATGGTATATTTAACAGCCAGTGTAAACAGCCACAACTTTAGTGAATTTCATTTTTATTTTTAATTTTATTAATAGTGTCGACAAATATTGTCATATACATAATTACGAGCATTCCTTGTTCATTTAGATTTGGTCTAAACTAAACAAACAAAATAAAAAACTTAAACAAAAACTACAGACAAAATTATAATTGTCAAATGCAATTATGGCACTTGTCATTTAAAGAGTACCGCCTCATTGGGTACTGCTCGAAAAGAAATTATAGGGAGCTGACTACCGAGTAAATACTAAATAGTGTTCTTCTATTGTATGTTTTACAATTTATCGTAATCAATTACAAAATAATGGCTATGAACAAATATATGCATCCTCGCAACGTTTATAAGGATCCACCAAACTTTAATAAATTAGCCACTACCTATCCTGAATTTGCTGGTGTATCTCGAATGGTTAGTTATTTAGAAAGGGGATATTCCCATTTATAAAGCCGTCTATGGAAACCATTTATACGGAGTTTCCTAATAATCAGTTTTTAATGATTATTGTTTCATATCTGTTTCAGGATGTCACAGGAAAAATAAGCATAGATTTCAAGGATCCTCACTCACTAAGAATTTTGACGGCATGTTTATTAAAATCTGACTTCAATCTTTGTGTGTCAATTCCTGAGGACCGCCTAGTTCCAACTCTTCCTTTAAGACTAAACTACATTCTCTGGTTAGAAGATTTACTTGATTTCATTGGAAGAATGGACTCAATATGTGGCATTGACATTGGTAAGCACTAACTTAGGCATAAAACTTTCCATTCTAAATTATAATGTTTACAAAAAGAGTTATTGCTATTATTTGTAAGAATACAAGCTTTATTCTTAAAAATAATTAAGCGCAAGAGGTCCTCAGATTAAATACTAAGAAAACAATTATTTCAGGTGGACAATGTAAATCATGCCTATAAATGAAATTAATTACTAAAACAGTAACAGATATGTCTGTTTCTATTACATTTTAATCGTATATAAATTATTTATGTGTTTAGGTACTGGAGCATGCGCTATTTATCCATTACTAGCTGCAAGGAAAAATGAGTGGCATATGATTGGAACTGAAACAGATGATGAAAGTCTTAAAAAAGCAAAAGAAAATGTAGAAAATAATAAATTACAAAATCTTATATCATGTATGTATTTAATTAATTTTAAATGTTGTTAATTTATTGATATCCTGGTCTAATTTTTTTTTTTTGAGATTTATAGAAAATGACAGTTTCAATCTTACTTTAATTCATTTTGCAAAATATTTTGATGCTTTTTGTTTTATTCGATATTTTCAGTTTATTTCATATTTTATTATTAATTGAAAACTTTATTATTATATAATTTTAAAATCGAAAATAAATTGAAAAAATTTCGACTCGGACAGTACTTGTAATTTCAACCTTAATATGCAAGTGTTAAGGTTAAAATTACATGGCGCGAAAGGTGCATGAATCAATAATTGAAAAAATTCGAAGATGAGGTGTAGGACTCGGTAGCTCAATTGGTAGAGCAACAGCACGGAACGCTGACGATGCCGGTTCAAGTTCTAGTCGAAAATTGTCTCAATTTATTTTCGATTTTTATTTTATTATTACTTGTAATGAAAAGAATTTGTTAATTTTGTTTTATTATCACATCTCATGTTATCTTGCATTGAGCCTGTCATATCTTAGTTCTATCTTCAATATTTATATAATGGCAAAGGAGAGTATTGTTTCAGACTGGTATATTACAGATGTCTCATTACAGTGAGCAAGAACACAACTAAATTTACCCTGAAGTATTTATTTACGGAGGAAAAGCAACAGTACGATTTCTGCATGTGCAATCCACCATTTTACGTAAACATTCAAGAAGTTTGGGAATCACGCAGTCCAGCAAGGTAAGAGATGTACATTATTTTCCTCCATAATTAATTTAAAATAATTTTCCTTAAAAGCCTTGCTACTTTTTATATTAGATACATCTTCTATAACATTTGGTTACCTGTGTCAATACCTCTTATCTTTAGTGTAAAGTTCACATTTTCACTTATGCCATTTTACAGACCTCCCCCAAAAAATGGATTCACTGGTTCACCTCAAGAACTTATTACGGAAGGTGGTGAACTCCAGTTTTGTAGGCAAATGATTGAAGAAAGTAAAAAATTAAAAGATAATATACTGTAAGTACTAGTCAATTTAAACAAAAATATAAAAATTTATGAATGTTATTGCAGAAAATTATTAATTTTATGTTATATAAAAAAGTTTGATTACAATACTATTTTACGTATTGTAATCGAACTTTTTTAAGCATATTTTGAAATTCCTATAATAATAATAGGATATAATTTTCTTTTAAAGAATTTTCACAACAATGGTTGGACACAAGTACAATTTAAAAGAGATAGTAATGGATCTTAAGGCTGAAGGCATTATGCATTGTACTACAGAATTTTGTCAGGGCAGAGTGACACGATGGGGTGTGGCTTGGACATACCAGAACTATGATTTTACAAAATTAGGTTTGTAAGCATTTTTCTATTATGAAATCTAGCCTATTTTTTATAAGCTTAAAATAAAAATAAATTTCATTTCAGCCCCTCTTTATGATAAAACCAGGAAAAAGAATAATCTAATTACATTTGAAGTCCCTAAGATACCAGATCAAAAATACACTATTGATAGAATTACTGAGAAATTAAAACTATTATTAGAAGGATTGAAAATAGAAAACAAAATGATATCAAAAAGAAGGAATGAAGTATGTCTAGATATGATTGCTTTTACCAACACTTGGTCAAACCAAAGGCGCAAGAGACGACTCATGAAAAGAATTGATGATGAAGTTAAGAAGGCAAAACTAAGTGTACCTGAGCCCTCTAATAATGATAGTACAGAAAATAATGACAAATTAAAAGAATCTAAAATAGATACAAGGGGAAATGTAATAGAAGTCTTGATTGCAGAACCACAAAATACTGAATTAAGCCAAAGTAATCAACAATCTGAAAGAGATTCTGCAGATACTAGTATATCTAGTAGTGAACAGTCTTCTAATAAAAGTGTTATGCAAAAAGATAAATCTTTGCATATTTGTGGCCATAACCCACTTTCACATGCAATAATTAAAGTGCATTGTAAAGGAGATATATTTTTAATATCTATGGAATACTTAAATGGCACAGCAGGGAAAGAGGGGCTACATCAAATACTTCAATTTATTAAAAATAATTGGAAGTAGAGAAAGCATTTTTCTTTATTTATTTTACTAATTACGTATAATGTGTATATATTATGCTGTTTTGCATAGAGCAATAGCACGGAACGCAGACAATGCCGGTTCAAGTCCTGCCCGAGTCGAATTTTTTTTCAATTTATTTTCGATTTTTAAATTATACTGTTTTAAGTGCTTAAGATGTATGTATTGTATTAATATAATGTGATAACTAAGGAAATTAATAGATTTATTAGCTACTAATCTGATTAAGCACTTTTACTATCTGCACATGACAGCACTGATGAGTAACAAATTAAGGCATCATTTGATCTAATATTTAAGCTGAAATGAACTCCTCCGTTATTATTCAATGTACTACTTTGTATACTGTTATTTTTATATATACATATTTAAAATAATACAAATATTTGAAATATTAAAATGAGACGATTTTTAGTTCAGTTTTTTTTTTTACTTTAAATGTATTTTTTTAACTCTTACTTATTTTGTTTCTTGTGCTTATTGTTGTTTTTGTTGTATAATAACTTAAATACTGTTGTGAGTAGTACACGTTTAAATAAAACACTTTAACGGTTTAAAACGCGATATATTAGTTAAACTTATTTGAAAATGATTTTTAACTTCGGCCCGACGTTTCGGATGCCTTGCAAAAAAATAAAATAAGTTTAACTAATATATCGCGTTTTAAACCGTTAAAATGTTTTATTTAAATGTATAATAACTTTCTTGGCAGACATTATATAAAAGTATTAATTTACTTTTGCGTTTTCGTTAACTTTTCGATGGCGGTAATTGTTTATTATGTACCTGCCTTTATTTTGTAGATGATTTTATAGGTTACAGTTAAAATTACAAAAAATTGCATTCATGTTTTTTTTTTCTTTACTACTATTCAATGTCTCAGAATATGCAGTCTGTGGTTGGTTTTGGTCGATCATTTAATCAAAGACCAAATGCTCGGCTATCGGATAAAGTTCCCTTTTAAATCACGCAAAAACCTTGGACAGATTGTTTCTCTCTAATTATATTGACAAAAATACTTTACTCGCCATCACCGTCCCTACGCCCACCCCATATTTTGTACGACTGTCAAACTATTTAATTTGCAAAATCTACGTTTTCTTCTAATTTTATTAAAGCCTTATATCCAAGGTTCTTATATTAATCTATCTAACCCAAAGCTAGGATCACTGACAAAGGTCCTTTTTTGCCTTCCTAGTTCCTATGTTTAGAAGCAGATGTTAGAAAAGGGAATCAAAATAAAAAGTTATGAAACATTACAGACTTTATAAAAGCTGTATCTGTGATGTCATTTTTGTTTTGTATACTCTTTTTGACCGTTGTCAAATTTTACGCGCGCATCGTTGTTCACGACTAGCGTGATTGTTTTCGTTCACATAAATAAATGTTTTACTTTTTGTTTAGTTAATAATTTTACCAAATAAATTGAATTCCATCAAGCTTTTACCTTTGTGTATTTATCTATGTAAATCATAAGTGTTGTCACCAAAATATATTATCTTGTGTTCAGGATGAATGTACAGGTTTTTGATTGGGCTGAAAAAACTGAAAGGGAGCAACGAGATAATTGTAAGTTTGCTTCAAACTTAACAATCCTTCCTTGCCAATAAGGCACCTTTGTATTTTCTAATTTGTATAAATCACCGGTAGGTCGGAAGGCAGCCAAAGAAAAGATGAAGTCCGAAAGACAAGAGAAAACACATAACATTAAAAGACAAAAGCGTCACAATTCTGAATACGACACGGAGAGTAACTCAAGGTAGATATCGTGGCATTTAACATAACTGAGATGCCTTAATCTGTTGCAAATGTTTACAGTACAAATAAGAATTGTATTGCAGTGGTGGCAGTGGTAAATCTAAGAAGCCTCTGGAGATTGAGATGGATCCTTCAGTTTTGCAGAGACGTCAGAAACAAATTGACTATGGCAAAAACACAGTTGGCTATCACAATTATATAACACAGGTTCCTATGTATGTACTTCTTGTATTGTAATTACTCTTATTTTAAATAGAAAATTGACAGATAAGAAGAATTTTGATTTTACATGGTATGTGGTTGTTTTGGTCAAAATCTTGTGTTTTTAGAGCCAGCCGAACTAAGGATCATCCAAAGACACCAGACAAGTATTCAAAATATAGTCGAAGATCTTGGGACATGCTGATAAAAATATGGAGAAAGAATTTACATGAGTATGATGATGGTAATAGCCAAGACAATAACAAATCAGATGGTAGTGATGAAGAGTTATAGTTCTTATGTTTCTCTAAGACTGCTATGTAAACTTGCTATTACCAGAAAAAACAATTATTACCTTTACAATTTTCTACTTTTACAAACCTAGGGATGCTGTGCATCTCATTGTCATAGAAATATATAGTTAAATATGTTATGTATAAGCATATAGTATTAAATTAATAACAAAGGATTACAGTTATCAATGGTTTTTATTTTCAGTTGTTTAGGGTCTTAAGCTATGTTATTTTTCAAACACTGTCAACCACATAGAGATCCTGTCTTTAGGTCTTTAGTTCTTGTAATGCCATTTACTGCAAAATTTTCTCATTACTGGGTAACATAAGTGCTGTATCTGGTGTTAAAAAAAATTATACCAAAGAAAAACAGCAATATGGACTGAGGCGTTATAGATGTTTCTCTGTACAAAGTGAGCGGTAAAAGGTGATTCACATTAAGTACTAAGTCATAATTCTTTAAGTATATATAACATAATTATTACATAGATCTTGCATATTTTTATTAGCCTACAGGTGTTAATGGAAGGTGATTGGACACATAGTTAAGATTCTCCAGAGCCTGTTTCACCAATGTGTTATTTTTATTTTCAGTGACCAAACTTTGCAATTTGTCCATGTATTCATCTATGTTATTTTCTGTTGCACCCGAGGGTCCACCTGCAAAATTTAAAAAAAGTGCTCATTTTGCTTGTGAGTGCCAAAATAATACATTATTTTGTCTATTCTGAACCACACAAATAATAAAATTCGAGTGGTACACTTTTCTTTTGACACTTCGGTTTGACATTTAAGAATGATAAAACAAATCCTTACTTGAATGCAATCATTACAGTGTGTCGCATGTAAGTTTTTAAAATCAGTGCCTTAGTTTTAATAAATTACCAGATAGAGGTAGGACAGTTGACTGTAAGGCGTTAACAAGCACAGCAACAAGAGCTTTGCGATGTGCGACGAGGGCTGCTGTACGTTCTGCGGCTGCTGCCGTCTCCGCTCGGAGTCTCGATGTTGCTGCACTAACTTCTTCAGCATGACGTTGAAGTGTTGCATTCTTTAAACAGTCAAACATTAGTTCTGGCATGTGCCTTACTGAAAATTCCCAAAATGTTTAATCCTTTACCTGTTGTTCAAAATCAGAATTAGCCTTCCTTAGCTGTCGCAATTCGGATTCTCTCAATTTATTATGTTGCAGGAATTGCTCTGTGAATATAGGTATGTCGGTATCTCCTAGATCTTCTCCCTAGAAATGTAGTTCTCATTAGTAAAATCTAAATACAACTAATTTTAATAATCAAAAATACTGTCCCACACATGTGCCTAATATGACTTTCAGAGTAACAGTGTTTCAGGACTATACAAACAAAAGCATGACTTTTGACTTACTGAAGCTGGTGTCACACATGGTCTAGGTCTTGGTGGTGTTGGTTGACGAGATGAACTCCCTGTTGTGGGAACTGCAGTATTTGGTATTGGCGTTGTTTGATCCACTACTATATTTGGTCCTACTGCATTAGCTGCAACAGATGTTATATTTGTACTTTACATATTCAATATGGTTATAGTGAATACTTAAGTATGCACAAGGCTTCTGTAACAGAGTACTGCTGTTAAGATATTTCTAATTTATAGACCTGCAGCAGTTTCGTTACTTGGAGCACCTTGCTTAATTTTCTTGGCACTACTTGTATCCTTTTGTTCCATTTGTTGTTTCCGAAACTCTTTATATGAATCTGTCTTTTTATATTCAGCCCATTCTTTCACATATCTAAAAGTTTTATTATAATTAAAAATAGCAGATTGTTCTCTAAAGGCAGATATACTACAATTAAGAGTGTTATAAAGAGTTTATATACATAATCTACCTATTACTACTAACTCACCTTTCCTTATCTTGATCAGCTGCATCTAAATAATGTTGTTTCTCTTCTGTTGGTAATTTGCTCCATTCACTAGCTAATTGTCTAGTCAATTCTGCAAAACCAAGCTCTGGTTGCTCAGCTCTAAGCTGATCTCGACGTTCATTTAAGAACCTTACATAACCTGGATGATTAGGAGTATTGATAAACACAAAACAGGTATTAAGGTATTAATACAAATAATAATACTAAATAACAATTTTATGTAGTTTAAAAAAACTAGCAAAGTGTGTGCAGAAATTTCAGAAAAAATATTGTATACAAAGACTGCATTTTATTCCATGGTAGCCCGTGGGATTTATGGTAGCAGTAGAAATACTTCATTTGTTATGATGGTTAAGGATACAATCTGATGATAGCACAACAGCGGATCTTAGAATTAATTAAGATACCTAATGGGAAAGTTTTATATACTGACCTTAATAATAAAACTAAATATTATGTAAGATCTACCTGTAAGTGGTTGGCGAGGAGCAGTTTCATCTCTAGGTACTTTTGGTTTACGTTTTTTGGGCTTCTTATTAGGTTTGTGGCCTTCTTTATTTAGCGAGTTACCTGTATCCGTATCGTTACCGTTATTGAGGATGAGAGGAGTTTGACCATTTATTATCTCCGATTTTCCCTCGAGATTTGGTGTTTGGCTTTCTTCTGGTGGTCTTTCTTGTTTTTCGGTTGGTCCAATTTCGGCTTCCATTGCGTTGTTATATTATCCGTACAATAAACATTTCTTCACATTCAAAAAGGTAGCAAGATATTATTTCCGCATGAAAATACGCACCAGTGTTTAATTCTTTAAACAACAGATTTAAATTCAAAATAAAAACCCGACAGAATTCTCACTTTTGTTTATATCTGACGTTTCATATTCTAATTTCTAAGACAATATAGTCAGAATATCAACTAAACTGTGGTTTTAACAAGAAGTTCTTTGTTAACACCACAGATGGTCATAGTTATTGTCTAAAAACACAGATCATCTTCCATGTAAAGTAAACTTTTATTAAGTGCACACAAATTCATACTTGTGTAAAAGAGTTCTGAAATTATATGTTTATTATATGTTAATTATTATGAGTTAATTATTATAAGTTTCCACGCTGTAATGACACTATTTGTCAATTGTTATCTGTGCGATGTGTTTCAAAATTTTGACGTTAAAGAAAAATAAATTGTCAGTCCTACTAATGGCAACTGTCATTGTAATTCAAAAGTTCATCTTTTGATGAGGATATTCTTGAGTTTTGAAAATGGTTAAAAGATAATTATGTTTCATGTTTGGAGTTCAGATTAAGTCTTTTTTTGGACTAAATAATTAGGACATGGAAGTTGTAATAAATGTATATAGAACTATGTTTCATTTTATGACAACTAAGCTCTTCTAAGATTCGAATTGTAATTTTTGGTAAAAAATATAACAATATTATTGTTTTTATTTTATTGATATTATCAGGAGCTATATTATAGTGAACATAACCATGGTAAGGTTTAAGAATGTTTCGTATCTCCTTAATTTTTAATAAAGGAGCAAAGTTTAAGTTATTGTTAGTATTTCTCTATGTTAGAAGCACATTAACATAACCACATAATATTTTTTCAGAACGATATAGAGGTATCGGAGGCGCTTGCCTCCCTTGAAATGGTTATGTCAGAGTTTAATGCACCAACTACAAATAATTTTAGAAAGAGGGAAATTGAAATAATGCTCGAAAACTTTTTCAATAACAGAGAATCATGGAAGCATTGCTTGTTATTTTTACAAAAATCGCAGAACCAATATGTTCTTATGTTGATATTGAATACTTTGGAGGTAAGAAATAAAATTAGGTCAATTATAAATAACTATTATATTATGTATATTGTGATGATTGCAGTTTTTAAGAATGTCATTTTTTTTGCAGAATATCATCAATAGGCAATGGTTCTATTTAAGTGATAGTGAAAAGATTGAAATTAGAATGACTCTTTTATATGAACTCACAACTAAACATGATATGCTGTTATATTTTATCAGAAACAAATTGGCTGCATTAGTGGTTTCTATTGCACGGAATGATTGGCCTCATCTTTATCCAGACTTTTTTAACAATATTGTAGAGGTAAAAATAAATTTATGTCAACATAAATAAAATGTTGCCTATGTAGCATATATACAATTAAAATATGTCAAGGTCTAGGTTAAAAAAAGCCTAATATATTAATTTATCGTAATATATAATTAATTATAAATTAAATCGCGCATTATATTACAGCTCTTAAAATGTGATGGTCAAAGATGTATAGTTGGCTTAGTCTTGGCCCAAACAGCAAGTGAAGAGTTAGGAGCAGCTCGTGACACAGGTGTGTTACTGCCATCAGAACGTAGAAATCAGCTAGAAAGACTTATGCTTAAAGGAATGCCTCAAATGCTTGTTGCTCTTGGAAGTAAGTATCTTTTCAATAAAGTAATCATTAAATTTTTGCTAACTCTTTTACATACCTAATACAATTATTGTAATTCAAGAATATTAAATGTACAATTGCAATCTGTACATTTAAATGGCAAAAGAATTATTTAAATAAAACAATTTTGTCAGATATTCTGGAGAAGAATTCTCAAAAAGAAGGTCAATCAAATCCTCCGCCATCACCAACTAGTGGTATGCCACAGTCCTCAGCTTTGCCAGATTTATTGGCTAATGCTCATGATGCCCATACAAGCGATAAGTGAGTTTTAATGATTATATTTTGTTATAATAAATAACTATCTAACATAATGGTTCTGTAGTTCTGTCACTGTGGTTTTCGCTTATCAAGACTTTGTTTGATTTCTTCTTTAAAAGGCATTAAAAGATTTAAGAAAAGGAAATTATAGACAAGGTGATAATTTTTTTTTTTTTGTTATAACTTTAATGTATCTTCTCTTATTAAAACTATGTTAATGTCAATAAATTATAATATTTATTTTTAAATTAACTGCAGCTTAATATAATTTCAGAAATTTGAACATGGAAATAGTAGTGAAATGTTTATCGACACTTCAACATTTGTTCTCATGGTTACCGCTATCTTCTCACGTTCCTCCATCTCTTGTGACCACTGTGTTCTATTGGGGAAGTATAGCGACGCAGTCTATGGTATATATAGAAAAATATTTGTCATATTGACGTTATTTATTTGGTATTTAATAATCTATATTAGAAAACATTACTGTGGCTAGAGTATGGAAGCGGCATTAGCCGGTCTGGGCGGAGTCTGCGAGTTGCTGTACAGACGATACGCGCCGCCCTCATCTGCAGCGACTGCTTTGCGGCTGCATCACTGCTCACTGCGTCTCTTACGTCATCTTACACACCACTCGCACCATATGCATCGGACGCAGCACGAGTATGTACTGAATCTATTTATCTTGATATAGTTTGTAGTCTATATTAGTAAAATATATTTTATTTTATTTTTATTTGAAAATTCTGCTGTATCAGTATTCTGAGGGTCCACGTAGTTGACAATGAGTTGTGTAATATATTTCGCGTTTTAAACCGTGGATATTGTTTAATTCAAGAGCTTCAATGACATAGGACACCTATTTTGGTTTAGAATGTGATTTATTTATTTATTTGGAATATAAGAATTATCATATGATGCATACAGACATTGTATATTTGACTGTGCCTAATTAAAACCTAATGAATTTATTTCAGATACCTTAATAAGTTATCAGAATTCCTGAAACTATTTGTATCATTGCATTTCAAGCGACTCGAAGCAGAGCCCGAGTTTGATGCCATTGAATTTTTGTCTTACTTGTTCCAATTTACATTCCAGGTATCCACTTCTTATTATTTAGTTTTACTATTGAAATATTTTTAAGAACTGTTTACTGTACTATGTGGTAGAATATTAATGAAATCAGATAAATAATTACATATATTTTTTTTTATTTATCAGGTGCCAACATGTGCTACTTTCATTAGTTGTTTAGATATATGGTTACAATTTATCGATGTTTTAAAACCGGAGGACACAACGAAGTGAGTAGTGAAGTTACGATAATTTTATTTAGCTTAATTATTTCGTTTTGTTCAATGTTTATCAACTAAAATTTATCACAATAATTGATAATTGCACAAGAGAGGCATTGATAGACGACCGTGTGTCATTGCCTACTTGCGACCGAGTCTTGTGTTGTACTATCCTGAATGTATAATAATGAGCAGAAAATAAAAATAAGTAATACAATAATTCAGAACGTTAAAACCAATGACGAAGTTGACGAACAACTAATAATAATAGTTTTTTACGCGCGAAATTTTTTTCACTAAGCAGTTCTATCTGCATGCCAGCATGAAATTTAAATTCAACCTTTGATAAGGTACCTCTTTGGACGCCATGTTGCGTAGCAGAAGATCGTTCCATTTTTAAATTACTCGACTATGATAAATTTACATAGTTCCATTTATCATGTTTGATAAGTATGGTTTTGTTAATTGTTTTAGATATTGGGAGGCTTTGCAAGCACTAGTAAATGGAATTCTCAACAAAATACAATTTCAACACAACAAGGCACAGCTACAGCACCTCGATAATGATATTTGTGATGACGATGTTAGTATGCCCTTCACTCGAAACGATAACATTAAATTAATAAAGTATATAAAAATCTCATTAGATGACACTGTGTGCTGAAGCTCTAAGCTGACCTATACATCATCGTCGACTTTTCTTTTTGTCGAAACTATAACATGCATGCACCTCTCTCGCAATGTAATTTCAACCTTAACACTTACTTTGAAGTCCAATGTCTTGCGCTTTTCAGCTTATGAAATCGTTGAAGATGAAATTACAGAGTTTAAAAATTTTTCACAATAACAAATTAATAAATATCTATAATTTTTGAAAACTTTATTATTTTTACATATTATTGCATGTGAAGGCACTATATAAAAAGAGCAACAGCACGGAACGCTGACGATGCCGGTTCAAGTCCTGCCCGAGTCGAATTTTTTTTTCAATTTATTTTCGATTTTTAAATTATTAATAATAAATTACGTGTAAATTTGAATTTGCTTTGCAGGGTGAAACTGAATGGCAGACATTCCTGAAACACTGTATCGAATGTATAGCTCGAGTTGCTGATTTAGCACCTTTAGAAGTGTTTACAGCTGTGGTGAGTCAAAGAATAATTATAACAAAGGCTTTGGTTTAATGCAAATTTAACTAAAATCTACAATGACATTTTCTTTAGTTACAAAGCCTTTTTCTCATCTATATTGTAGACTATTTCAAGTTGTCAAAATTTACTTATTAAAATAATTAAATACTATCTGTTTGATTAAAGAGTAGCCAGCTTCTCGGTTCATACGTAGCCATGGACAGGTCATATCGATTTGAAGTTTTGAAGGACTGAGCAATATCACCTATGTTCCACTAAATTTAATATTCGTCAAGTGATATTTTAAAGCTGAAGAGTTTGTTTGTTTGAACGCGCTAATCTCAAGTTCGAATTGAGAAATACATTTTGTTTTGGATAGGCCATTTATCGATGAAGGCTTAAGGCTATATAAGCGCTGTGACTAATAGAAGCGAATAAAAAATGAGGAGAAACTTTTTTATGCATCTCTAAGGGCGAAAAAGTATAAAAAAAAAAAAAAAATATAATAAAATTTGTCGTCTTTGAATGAACTTTTAAATAACCCCAACAGTATATTATGTCATTTTTTGAAGATTAACTTGCAAGAACGACGGGACGCAGACGATGCACTATGCCTTTCTAGCACTCTTATTTAATATATTTCAATGATCTATAGATGGAGCGTTGGCAAGGTCTGGCTGGGGTACACGCTCGCGCTGTAGGGCGTGGCGCGAGTGGGACTTCTTTGTCCGCACCCGCTGATGCTGACCGTCTTCTTGCAGCGCTGTTGGATCTCGCTACGCTAACGAGGCTTTTGGGGAGATTGGCACCAGCACTTCTTAGCGGTAAAAAACACAAACCCTAAAGGAATTTTATATGTCCTTATATATTATTCAATTTTTTTGTTTATTAAGTTTATTTTTGAGTCAAAACCACGATTCTTGCCTAACAATCCTACGGATGTGATATAATTGGCTAAACTGTAGCACTTTTATGAAAACGTTATTAATTTCCATACTTTATTTCTACATAGCACATGATGGTACCATAATAATCTATATAAATTAGATCGATCGATCGATAGAGAAATCGATTTTTCTACTCTAAACAATTGAGTTACGGTGTGTTACACGTCAGTGTCGAATTTTTCAACCTTAACATTTGCGTATTTAACTTAACTTTGATGTATCTATAGAGACAGAGAACAATGAAAGCGGATCTGGCAGCAGCGCGGCGGCAGCATCGGCGGGTGCTGCTCTAGTAGAGCGGTGTGCGAGTGCGTTAGCCGGCGCTGCATTAACTCGCCCGCACCGTGCTGCGGCATATGCCCATGCGCATGTTACACTGTAAGTAATAGCATTTACCTTGCGTTCGTGTCATACTGTCATGCAATTGCGACTCAATTTTAATAGCCAATCGAATCAATTTTTACAAATATAGTACGTACACATTTAAATCATACGGTTTAAAACGTGGTTCTATAAGTCGATTAACTTTCAATATGCGAAACGTCTAGTACTTTTCGCATGTTTTACAGCAGGGCAGTCGGAGCACTTAATAAAATTAGCTAACGATATATATATATACCTCTTGTTTTAAACGTTACAAGTGTTTTATTTAAAGATGATTCAGTATTTTTAGTAGATTTATCATTTTTCTTTTATACAGTACAGTACCGTACTATTGTTGTTAATGGTATAAAAGTAAGTAACTAAGTATTTTAAACTGTGCGTAAACTCTTTAGGCATGCGGACATGTTTGCGTGTATGGGTGCGTGGTGCTGTTACGCAAACGAGTGCAACGTGCCCATTCATACTATGGAAGGACTTTTCGCGTCAGCTGTACCTTTCTTGATACCGCACGAAGTTCCGGTAAATATTTTATCTGTACTAATATTATTAAGCTAAAGTTTGAACGCGATAATCTTGGGAAATACGGGTTCGAATTGAACAAGTATTTTTGTGTTGGATGGGGCTTTTATCGAGGAAGGCTATAACACTGCAATAAATAGGTGCAGTGGGAAATGTGGAAAAGCGGAGAAAATTATTCATCTTTGAGGATTTCCATTGAGTGCGCTACGAAAAAATATTTATCTATATCTATATATATCTTTAAAGATTAACTGCAACACCGACAGGATGCGACCGACGTAGTGGGTAGCTGCTATAATCATTTTGGATGTTCAAATGACTATTCAAGGCGGACGAAGTCGCTGGCACAACTAGTAATATAATATTTCTATAAACGTTTATTCTGTAGTGTCAAAATGAGTTAATAAGTAAAAAAATATGAAGCATCTCTTTCTCATAATTATTAATAATCAACTATAAAGTGTTATTCTTCCATTATTTTTTATAGGAACCACCTTTGCTATGTCACGCCGCCGCCCACTTATTGCTAAGTCTATCAAAGAACATCAAGTTTTCTCGTGACCCGATAACATTGTGTGGCGATCTCTATAACCATGCGGAACGATCATTGCATTATTTGGAGCCAAAGGTATTTTTCGTTTATAATGCACACAGTATTTGGTCATAGTCCAGAAAATTATATTTAAAAAATATGACAACAGTGCGGTATTTTCGAAGTACATATTTTTCTATTTATTTATATGAATAAGAATTCATATGCAAAAAACAAAAGTAATAAACATATTTCAAATAAAGAAATTCGCTTTTATTTCTTAACTTAGACTCAAAAACTATTATAGTGCTTAGAGAAAAGAGTTCACTTTTAGACAGCGGCAGTAGTCCGCGAAGCTCTAGTGTCGATGGCGCTATCTCGGGGCCCCAGCGGCGTAGGCGCAGGTGGCGACGCAGCCAGAGCCCTAATTTCCGCATGGGCTGGTGGCCTTACCACTGCGGGACCAAAAATAGCTCTTCCACCTCTCACGGAGCTATTACATGCTTTTGCTGATGCGCCTACAAATTCCAAAAAGGTATCACAGATAGTATATAGCTTTAACATAATTTGGTTCAACTCTATTATATTACGAATTATCGATTATAAATAGACTGAATGATTTTTATTTTATTATTTAACTGGATGTTTCAAAAGAAGGGTAGTTGTCGTTGACTTTACTTACATCCCTAGTTTAGTTAATGTCAAACTAAAGAAATTTGTATGTTTCCATTTACGAAAATACAATAGAATTTTTAATAATTTAACGAAAAATTGGGGTTTTAACGAAGTTGAGGTAGTTTCATGAGTTTAATATATAATAATAATCGCTATTTTATATAAATTGTGCTTATTTGTCAAGTTAGAAAAAATACACATAAATATTATCGGTACACGAATTGCAGATTCTGGCTGAAAGCTTATGCTGGGCGGCCGAGAGTGCTCTACGAATGTTATGCGAGCCGAGCTACGCGGCCGCCGAACCCGAGATTACGGATTTCTTTTTGTCACTGTTCACCGCCTTACTGCCGCAGCTTGGAAACTTTGCGTATACCGCCATCGAACTATTCCTACAAGTCGCACAGAAGTGGGTTTAATTTTCTTAAATATCCAAAGCCATAGGTCGACATCGCATCGTTTTGACAAGTTATATGGTTAGGGTATATGGACCAACTATGTGCCCTCAATTAAAAACATACAATGGATATTAAGATAGTACTTTTCACACCGCAGCCTTAAAAGCTACAATGATATTAACATTTACAAACATATCTCGTAGTTAAAAGTCTTATCTTAACATATACAAAACTTAGATTATATTTAAGTGCGTGTTTAATTTCCAGAGGTTCCGGTGACAACGAAGTCAGTCTAGAGCGTCTAGTGGAGTGTGTGCGGTTGGGGGTGGAAGCTGGTGGAGGTGGTGTCCGAGTCCGTGCAGTTCTCGCTTTGCTGCATCAACATGTGTTGCCTCGCGCTGGACCCGAATCGCCTGCGTTGGCTCGGGCCGCGCATCGAGCTCTGGCCAGGTATGGTCCTTCGAGCCGGATTTATATTCAACCTGTTTAAGGATTGTTACTAAGTATCTCGTGGAAAACGGTTCCAATTTAGACATTTTTAAATAATTGTCTCCAAAAAAAATATATAAGTATTTCTTTTTAAAGTACATTCCTAAAAATGGATTACAGATTCAAATAATTTTACGATACGGGCTGGACTTGAACTGGCATCCACAGCGTTCTATGCTGTTACTTTAACCAATTGAGCCACCGTATCCTACACGTTATCGTCGATTTTTTTTTAACTATTGATACATGCACCTCCCAATCTATAGTCGATTTTATAGTGCTGTCATGTACAATAGCATGTGAAAATATTAAAGTACATTCTTATTTCAGTGTATTAATATACCGATGGCGATACTTCTTTCCCCATAAATGTGAGGGTGAAGAGAGCGCACGACGTTTGAACGAACTGCGTGGTGCTCTTGCCGCGCTTGGCAGAGCCCTCTTGCAACCGGATATAGAACTTCTACGAACCAACTTACACACTCTGGACTTGCTTGACACCAAGTGGAAACTTTATCATAAGGTTCACAGACATCACACTTATTCTTACTATTCTATTCAGGTTTCTGTTAAAAAAAGGCTAAAAATAGACTACTACTACTACTAGCTAGATAGGCAGTATTGCAGTAACTTCCTATGATTTTATTTTTGTGCGATAAAGAATCAATCCTCTCTACTAAATTCGATACAATATATTTAGATCACAATACAGCTAATTTTAACTGTTTTTCTTTTCTTATTCCAATTTTTATCTTATTTTTTCTAATTGCTGCATTCTATAAAAGATACATGTAGTACACACACATAATATACAAATGTATCTTCAATTCCTCATTATCATATTTAAATGAAACACTTAACGGCATAACTTTATATATTAATTAAACTTATTTGACAAATAGTTTTTACTGTCGCCCCTTTACCACGGCTGCTGAAAAGCATTCGAAATACTTTATGATGCGTACTACTCGCGTAAACTACAGACAGTATCTCATTACCATACTTTGTAATTTGTTTATGTTTAAGGCGATATTTCGTTCGGAGTTCATGGGCGAGTTCTTAACTGTGCTCCTATCCGGACTATGTGAGGGCGGCGCTCGCGCACTTCTTCGCGACGAGGCTATTTCGTGCCTGCACTCGATGGCTAACGTCGATTTTCCGACTTTCCGATGCGGTTTTCTGCCTCACTTCTTATCTTCTTTGCCGGACCTAGCGCCTGAACATATACAGCATCTTGCCGACTTTCCGCCAGATACGGTACTGAAATGGCATGACTTATTTTGATAAAATGTATAATGTTATAATGACAGAGACCGTTTTAATGAAAGACAAAAATACTCGATTTTGTAAAAAACAAAATCTATTACTTGCTACTTTGTACAAGACAGTTTAAGTGTAATATTAAAATTAATTTAATGTAAAATATGAGACGTTTTACGTATATAACACGTAATTTCTTCAGACCTTAACAAATACAAATAATTACAGGATCTACCGACGTTTTCCCAAAATATCCTACGGCTGATGAACGACGTGAATTGTTACCGCGCGTATCGTACGCTGTCACTTCCCACGATGGACGCGTAGCGGCGCACGCGCATTACGACGTAATATATTACTCTTGCAACGACTCCATCGTCATCTGCTTTGTAATTTTTAAGCTTTTTTGCATGCAATTACTGGCCAATATTTTATTTGAACTATGAATTATCATTTATATCTGAATAGTGTTATAATATGTCTGTCTTCTGCCACCTAAATCAATTGAGGCCGCTAGAGACAGAGTAGCCTAACTGCAATTTTTATGACTCGAGTTTTTTTATATTTCCGTTGTCTAAAAAAGTTAATCTTAATTTACAAGACCGCAGTGACTGAAAATTATTACCATAATTTTTACACAAATAATATTTAAAATCCTTTTCGCCTTATTAATTGAGCATTTTTAGTTTTTTCCTTATTGCAGTTCATGTTTTTTTTGTTATTAGGCCTCTGCCCCTAGCAGCATATTTTCCGTTTACTATGTTTCCAATTTGTTGTGGTGCTGTGATATTATTATCCTTGTATATCGTTGTAAATGCATATTTTTGTTATTAAAATAGCTATTCGCTTAACATTTTTACACCATCGAAATACAAATACGCTGCCATTTTATGAACTTTGTTAAATTATACTAAGCTGTAATACATTGTATTAGTACAATTTAGTTTTTAAGGTGTTATATATATGGACTAGTCAGGTAATGGAGTAATGGTGGGGTTTAGTCACAGTTTTTTCCCTCGAGCAATAATTTTCTCACTTGCATTTACAGTGCACCAGAAATAGTTAATTCCTACTTGTAATTATATCAGGGGCCAATTATTCATTAAATTTAGTGTATGGAAGTAAGATCTAGATTGGTTTGTGAATATTGTTTGTTATATAAGGGGACACATACTTTGGGGTCTGGTCTAGTCTTAAGAATCCACATGTCATCATAACTGGCTTAGGATATTAACCTCAATACTTATATAAAGAACAATAGAAGCTAATGGCGATCAATTTATTTACAGTATGTATATTGTATATATCGTATTTCTTCTCTCCTCTGACCCTAATGTTAGTGTCCTAATTATTTGCTTATTTAGGGACAATTGCAATATATATAGCCATTCTATATTAGAGGGCATTGCATATTACTTTGTAATCCAAAATTAATTTTATGTGATGGGTTAAGACATTTTCATGAAATAAAATGTGATTATAGAATGTAACTTGTTATTTTTTGGATTCTAGGTGTCTCTGTAATACAGAATTAACAATATCCTTATGGCTTGCATATAAATTTATATCAGGTGTTATGTCGACCCAGCAAACACCAATTGCGTCGTCTCCTGCATTTAAGTTGAATTGGCCTACGATAAACCCAGTGTCATCATGAAAATTATAAGCAACAGTTTCCATCCACGCATTGTCAGTGTTGCGTGGATCGTCTACATAACCACTGTAAATCTCAATACCAGTCCTAAAGAAATCTTTCAATTTAACTCTCCATGCCTCCTTCTCATCTAAAAAAAAAAAAACAAACAATTAAAAAAATGCTTGTATACACATTGATCTACTTCCAAATAATGTATTGACATAGCAATTTCATATTCTGCTGGTGCAGTAAACCCCAAAGTAGTCCCAAAGGGACAGATCAAACACCCCATTAATAACTTACATTGTAAAATAAATATGTCATATACACATATAAAGGCTCTACCTTGCATTGCTTCTAAAGAGTTTAAAGCTTCCTCTTGGAATTCTCGCATAGCCGTCGTTGCTGCCTTTTCACCAGGATCAACCATACCACCAGGCAATGCCCATTCTCCTGTATCACGTCTCTTTATGGCTATAAATTGAAGGATTTTTCTGAGAAACATGAAACTAAATTTTAAATCATAATATTACAGGACTTGTTAGGATATTTGTGGTATGACTTGCATTAAATGAATACCATGTTTGAACTGATCTTTTACTTATTATTTTTGTCTATTTTCCATTTCGTTACAATAGGATCCGCAGCATGGTTTGGCCCCCATCTTCCTAAAGTCCCTCTGCCGTGTATTCCAGTCCGTCCAACTGGATTTAAAGGATAACCATCCAGTATTTTGTATACACCCATGTGACTTTTTCTATCCACATTTCCATCATCGTCATTCCATATTGGTTTAAAATTAGGACTTCCTTAAAAATATATTCTTCATTAAAACAAATATATGTAAAATTATAAATTTCAATGTTTTTTTGTTAATTACCTTCTGTTTTAGTAAATTGCATTGTGAAAGAAACATTCTATAACAATAAATATCTTGAAACTACAACAAAAAGAGAAAAGAACTTCATTTACTAACATTAATAGCATTAAATGAAATAACAGAGTTTACCTATTTCGGGATCAGCCCATGGTTTTCCTTTAATAGCTGGTGAAGTGTAATTTTGCGGAGTATAATCCTTATATTCAACATCCCAAGAAACTTTATCATCAGGAACAAAATATCGTTCCACATTTGATCGAGGGTACACACCGAATCTACATTTGAAGTGTGTTAACATATTAACGCTTGGCCGAATCATAAAAGGAAATAGCAAAACCACAATCAACATAAATATTGGCGGCCAATTTCATAAAAAAATATTATTTTTTTGTTATTATTGACCAAAATATTCGTTGCAAATTCAGTTATTTTCTGTCAATGTCAAATTTCAGACCACAGATAGTTACGAGTCGGATACAGAATAACGTGACTATAGTCGTGTTAAAATCACAGACAAATAATCTTCTTCCTTAAATAGGATGAAAAGACAGATCACATTTAATAACATAATTACATAACTTTAATCTCAATTAAATAATACTAGTTCATTATATATATAACTATTTAAATTCTTCTACGCGACCCTTTTCTTGTCGTTGGTTTCTTGAAGACCTCTTCATCCTTCTTTTCGAAGTCATCATCTTCTGTAAATAATCATAAAAATTAAAAATATCTCAAAGAAAAAATACAGAAATAAGTACGTATAAAGTTGTTTCTTTTTGCTAACGCTATTAGATCTAAATTGATTAAAAAATAATAACATTTAAAATTGTTTTTACCTTCTTCATCCGAGTCGTCTGTAATTCTTTTTTGTACGGCCTTTCTTCTTGACTTCCGTACTGTTTGAGGTGTATTCTCTATGTTAGGAGGTTCATTCTGTAAGAGATTGACAATGTATTAAACAATTAGTATTAACAGAACTTGACATAATTAATAAACTAATAAAATTTCATAATTTTTTATTTCATAGAGTTTATTTTTTATGAATTTGTATGTCTGTCAAATAATCTCAGATATGTTTTATCAATACTCGTGAATTAAAAATCCATTATAAATTGAAAAACTTACGACACGTGCAGTACATGAATCGATTTTTAATTTGTATAGTGCCATCATGTGACAAAAAAAGAGAAAAATTATGAAGTTTTCAAATATTGTTAAAATTCACATAATAATAATTTATTCCAAAAAAAAAAACTATTTCAAGGTAACACTAGTGTTTTATAAATGGGACACTAATTATGAAAAAAATATATTATAACAAAACAGATAAAAGAATTACATACATCTTTGCAGGCTTAATGTTTTATTATAAAATTAGGCCCATACCTCGTCCGGACTTTCTGAGCTAACTCGCTGTCTTCTAGAACCGGCCTTTCTTCGCGGCGTGGCTTTAGGCGCTTCAGTCCGTTCGGTATCATTCCTTTGTTCGTTTGTCTGTTCACCTTCCTTTTTACATACAGCAAAGCACTCCTCAATTTTATCACCTAACTCTGTTACTAGTGTCTAAAACAAAATAATAATAATTTCCGACTTCCGTTTGTATCGGATTTACGTTTTAACAAGTAGATTTCTTTTTAAGATACCTCCGGTAAGTAAATATGATATAAAGAATAACAAAAATATCATATTTTTTGGTAGGCTTCATTTCAAACTAACAAATTAGTTTTGACATCAGAGACCCTCCATCTTTAGTCTCCCTATGACCACAAAACGTCGGACCGTAGTAAAAATAACTGCCACATAAGTTTAACTAAGATATATCGAGTTACAAGCCGTTAAAGTTTATTTATTTATCTGTGGACTACTTGTTTAAACTGCAGACAGCGTTTAGGCTTCATTCTATCAATAATATTTACCTTTATTTCAGCCTTCGCCATCTTTGAAGTGTTATTCATTAGTGTATAAAATGATTCCATAACGCCGGAACAATGCAGTTTATCCTTATAGCAATCCAAGTTTTCTATGAGTTTGCGCAGCGATCTCTCGTTATATGAAAACAGAGATAGACAATACGCCAGGTCGCGCCACTGTCGTTCTTCCGTCGAGAGTTTAAATCTTTGACACAGTTTTTCTATCAGTGCCTCCATCTGACGATCTTTTTGTATGAGAGATGTGATGTATCTAAAAATAATTTTATATGAATCCATCCAAGAAAAGGTTGTAGACAATCGTAGTATATTTTTATAGTAGTTAAAACATCAATGTATCTGAATCTTTCATCTGAATCAATATGTTTAAAGCTATATTATTTAAAATTTTATTAATACTTATAAAAAGCTGAAGTTTTATCGCATTCGGTTTTAGTCTATGGAGTTCCGATAATCCAAAGCAAAAATTGGTCGACATCGCATCTTGTATCAGTATCATGTTACAGAGCAGAGGTATTCCACCTACAATGAAGTGAACAGCACGCTTGTCCGTCTTCCTTTAAGATAAAAAAAAAACATTGCGCAAGAGGTGCATGTATCAATAGATTGAAGAAATTGACGTTCAAGACACGGTAGGTAAATGGGTTAGATCAGCAACACGCATCGCCGTGGACTTCGGTTCTAGCCCTGCGTGTGCCGTCAAATTTGTTACAATCTAGGTAGATTATTAATTTCTTTTTTTGTAAATATTAAGTATTCACATATACTTACTTCATAATAACTCTATACGTCTCCTCAGGAACGTTAAGTTCTGGATCACTGAGCCTAGATATGATGTCGGGCATGACGTTATACAGGGCGTTTCCTTTGAGCGATAGCTGTTTGAAGAACAGTTTGGTCATTGCCGCGATTCGTAGGTCATTATCTGCACAACACAGGGCCATATCAGCTATCTGACCTTTGACTCGCACCATCTCGTGTAAAACTAGGAAGCAGAGCACCTTTACAGCACATTGGCGCACGTCCAAATCTTCATCGCTTAAGCTGTAACAAGAAATACAAACTGAATTAAAATTATAGCAATATTTGTTTGTTACTTTATCGTGAATATTGAAAAATTCGTTCTTATGTTTTTTACGTAACGCGTTACAGATACACTCTGTTCTCATACGACAGCGGTTAGCAGTTACCACTTGCCCTCTCAATTCTGTCTAGCGGCTCCAGTACCACCTATTTTGTGAATGAGAACTTACTTAAATAAAACACTTTAAACGGTTTAAAGCGCAATTTGTATCACCTAGACTCTCCTGTTTTTATCAGGGATGGGGAAATAATAAGTTTATTTCAAAGATGGGATAGACCTATTTAATTTTAATTTCATTGTATACATTGCTCAACTCGGTTTAATACTACTTATTTATACTTAAATTTGACTTACGTGTGATAAATATGTTGCGTCCAAGGCTGAGTGAGATTGGGAAACCTCAATGTTAGATCAGCAAAGGCTATCGCAAGATTATTTTTTATAGCTACATTCTTCGATCTCTTGAGGATCGTAAACATCAATTGTAAGCCTTCTTCGCAGACCGTACTTGACACTAACATCAATCTGGAAAGTGATGAAATAAAAGAATATATTTAAAAGATATTATATCGCAATGGACTAAATTCGGTTATATACTAGTATAGTTATTTTGGGCATCCGAATTATTTACACACGTAGTCGGTCGCGTCCCATCTTTCTTGCTTCGTTAGTAATTAGTCTTGAAAGATAGAAATATACAGTGGCGAATATTTTTTAGATCATTTAAAAAGGAGTCATTTTTTCGTTCCTTTTTGTGTTTATTTTGATCCGTTTTCCCAGCGCATGCTTCGGAATCAAAGATGAATAATTTCCCCGTTCTCTCCCCATTTCATTCTGTTTCGTCGCTCCAATAGCACAATGTTTAATAGCCTTCCTCGATAAATGTTCTAACCAACACAAACAATGGTTCAAGTCGAACTAGTGGTTCATGGGATTAGGGCGTTCAAACAACTAAACTCTTCAGCTTTATAACATTAGTACCTATAGATATTACCTAGTAAAAGTGACAGATGCAGCAGCTTGCAGCGCAGCCACACATCGCGGTGTAGTTAGAATGTGCCTAAGAAGGGGGAGATACAGGGCCAAGGCAGTACCGGAACCTACGATGTCTCGCTCGCACACGTTACGCACATACTCTGCGTCTGCGTCGTCAGCTACAGCGCCCTCTAGGCCTTCCTCCTCCGTCATTGTTGTGTTCGCCTATAGATACAACAAATAAAGGTTTGGCAATATTCACGTATAATAAATATATATAATATATATAAATATTTTTGTGTATAAGTTGACAACATATAGGTCTTACGAGCCGAATAACCTGTTTTAGTCCTCAATTAGATTAATATTAATATAATAGAATTTTTAAAATAACATAGATTTTTTAAATAACAACTTCATTTTTATAACATGGTTTATGTATAGGAGAAAAGCCTTAAACTTTCAGTGGATGATGGCATTGTATTGACATTTACCTGATACTTCTAGTTATAGTTAAAAATTTGCTAAAGAATATATTTCACCGTCAAAAGTGCTGTATTTCATAAATTACAGACATTACTAATTACTTCACAGATGAGGGTAGTCAATCATGACCTAAGGCAATTATAAAAGAGGAAATACGCAGATTTTTTACCGTCGGTGTCTTGGAGGTGACGCTAGCTGAACGCTGGCCTCGTGAAGAAGCACTCGCATTGCTTATGTTCATAAGAGTCTGCCGCCGAAGATCGTCCACTCGGCCGCGCTTGCCCGGCGTTGCGAATGCGCCAATTTTTTTCTTTTTCTTCTTCTCTTCAGCTTTTCGCTCTTCTCTCACCTGTTATTTAACATAGATGAAGTCACATACGCGAAAAGTTTAGTGAGGTATGGGGCATGTACATTTCGGAGTCTGTTTCGAATTTATTTAGAAATATATAGATGAGGTCTTTGTATTTTTCTCCGATCATAAACATTTATTATGTGTCCCTTTAACTCCAATTCAAGATTTGTCATATGCAATTCTAGGTAGCAGTTATAAAAATATATGCTTTGGATGTTAAAAAACGTACATATGTATATAATATATATATGTCAACTTGTTTTTTCACATGCTGACCACGCTGTAGGTCGCTCGGTGTATAATTTAACTAATATATTTGATCATACGCACCTGATTCCTCCGTCTCAGCTCATTATACACAGATATATCAAGGTATATGAGTTGTTGAAGCGCTATGTGTCCCAGTACAAACACGAAACGCAACAAGCGCTCCGTTTGTACATCGCACATATCGTCTTCCTTTTCCAAAATATTTTTTTCGATGTTCCTATACATTCCCACTAAAATCTTGGAACAAAGTGTCTCGGGCGTGTCGCATACAGCGTAAATGAATTCCACAGAATGAGCCGCGAACGAGACGAATTCGTCGAACTCCATAAACGCTTCCATTAAGCTATTGTGCAGGGCTAAGAAAATTGGATGCTCTTCTGGATATCTTTGCTCTTTTCTCGCTAGCGCTAATAGTAGTTGCGCGCTCAGATCTCTGGTCTCGCAATCCCCAGTCAGACCGTGAGATTGAATTACCTCCATATTAGCCAACACTAGAGACGGCTTAGCGTTTCCGATCATTACTAAAATGGATAGAGCCGCGTAACTGTCCGAATCGGTTGTACCGTCGATTTTTTTCAAGAACATCTCCCAAAATACCTACGGAAAACGGCGGAAAAGTGTTTTAAAGAGCTTGTTTGCTTTTTAGATATTTTTTTTTATTACAGACAGACTTATTAACCAGTTTGCAATTATTGTATTTGTTTTTATTAATTTATTTATTCAGTACTCACAACCATCCATGAAATTAAACTATGGAACTTGTTTAAATAAAACACTCTAACCGTCTAACGGTTTAAATCTATAACTATATTATAATATATCGCGTTTTAAACCGTTAAAGTGTTTTATTTAAATGTGTACTACTCGAGTAAACTATAGACAGTATTTGCAACTTGTTACTAAAAAAACTGAAATTTCCACGATTGTTTTTCTTTGTACATGAATAGTTTTTGTGAATGTGTTTATAAGCAACTTTAAAGTTTGATGCAATGAAAATAAAACAAAATTTTAACTGGCATATGAACATATGAAAAAAATATCACGTCTCAACTTACTTGTATAATTGCAGGAGAAATATCACCCCTATTCACCCATTTCTCAATAAGATGCTCTAGCGCAAATGCGGAGCCTCTGTCGATGTACCACATGAGCGAGACGAGGTTCTTGGCAATTGTATATGCGCGAGCGCGTTCCGCTTTGTTATCGCACTCCAAATACATTTCGCGATATGCACGCTCGACAGCTTCGCGTTTATCCTGGAAAATAATTGATAAAATTATACGTTTCGACTTTAAATACGGCCCGACGTTTCAGATGCTTTGCAGCTACCGTGGTCACGATCTACCGTTAAAGCGTTTATTTAAATGTGTACTACTCGCGTTAACTTATATTAAGTTATAGACAGTATTTTTCTAGATATAGAAACAGAAAAAATTTAGCATCTTTTGATTAAGTTAAATTCCTTATATATCTATATATATTATATTCATTAACCTTAAAGCCTTATTCAACTTTTTGATAAGACTAATTATTCTTATAAGATACTAGCTGTGCCCGCGACTTTGCCCGCGTGGAATAGTGATTTGGGGTAGAATTTTTAATTATTTATGTAAGGCTGTCTCATAATTTATGTAAGGTCGCATTTAAGGCAGCCAATCTATGTTGTAAGTGCTACTTTGCCGCAACACACTCACCTCACATCACTCCTACTCTAATTCCTACACTCACTCTCACTCCCACCCCACTCCAACTCCTATTCCCAAAAAGCAAAAGAAGAAAGTTTCATTGTTCTAACTTCAAAAACCAAGAATTTCCATACAAACTTTCATCCCCTTTTTCAACCCCTATCAACCCTTTTTTGGCAATAAAAAGTAGCCTTTCTCCTTAGTCCTTTCTCAGGCTCTAAAATTCAGTTCAGTAGTTTCGGAGTTAAAGTCTATTTTTAATGTATATAGTAATAATTGTACTCCTAAAATACTGCAATAGTAGAACATATACATATTTAGACCGAGACTTACAATGAGAGGATGTTATCATCTAGTGATTACAAAACGTCGAGATTCTCGATTACGACAGTCGAAATTTCAAAGAGTTTTCTTTAATCGCAAGAGCTACTCGGAAAAGTAATATATTAGTTCAATACTCACTTGGTCCCTCGACCACACAAGTATCAGCATATTAGATATGCCTATTTTGGCGGAGTCTATATTGAAATGATAAGCGGCGGTGAAGAAATCTATCGCCTCGTTCACATCACCGGCTTGTTTCGAAGACAGCAACGAGTTTATTATCGGGATAGCTTCAGATATCAATTGGCAGAAGTACACGGACTCTTGCAGGTAAGCGACCACGCCCTCCTTTTCTTCGAGACGTTTCAGAATCGCTAATTCGTTTTCGCATTGCTGGGCTGTTGCTGATGGTTTCTCGGGGGTGATAAACATATTTCGTAATAGCGCTACGAAATATTCGAGCTGAAAAAAACTCCAGTTTTTAAGAATAAAAATTTATGAAAGCTTAAGAAAGCTAAAGTAAGCAAAGATTCAAAACATGTAAACTTAAAAGAGGTAAGTTTTATTTTAAATAGGCAGGGATTTCAGGATCGAAATAAAAATATATTTATAAGGACATAATCATATAAATTATACATTACTTACTAATTTACTGAATCTAACGATTTAAATCATGATATTAAAAATTGTTAACTTATCCTGCGTATGCGCAACAACGATTTTTTTAAATGTAGAAACCAATATCTTTCTTCTTACCGTAGAATATTAGGACAATATATACCTGACCACTTTTGGGCATACTGCATCTGAGCAACCTGGCTCCAGGGTACAGCCTTTCCACGTGTTTAACTATTAAATAGGCCTTATAGTAATCTTCGCTTCTTAAGCTAGCGCGTATAGCTTGTATCAAGTTGTCTATGGTGGATTGCGATAATTCCGCTTCGTCTTGAGTTAATGTGTTCATTTTTTCCTGTATAGTTTTAACAACATCTTTCTCTATTAACTTCCATTTTTCAACTAATTCAGGATCTGGGTCGGGATTTAATTTCTTTTGAAGACCCTCCAGAACCTTCGTTTCAGTCGCTAATTGCTCTTTTAATATATCTAATTTTAGTTGCGCGGAGAATGGGTTGCATTCCAAAAATATCTGTAACAAATGTATGTAGTCAACATAAATATGACAAAATCTGTAATTTCATTTAGTAGACACAGAAATGCACTCGCATATAGCAAATGGATTAGATTTTAGGACTGAGTAGGTGGAAGGCGAAATACCTCGGCCATATAATGTCTAAACATGATATGTTTTCGTTAGGATACTAGCGAAACCACGGCTTTTTCATCCGAAACGTTGGGCCGTAGTTAAAATAATTAAAAAAAAATGTTAAACTAATATATACCGCGTATTAAGCCGATAAAGTGTTTCGTTTAAATGTCTACTATTCGCGTAAACTAGACGTATTTGAAAACTTTATTAATTTTTTCATGTTATTGCACATGAAGGCACTATATAACTTAAAAATCGAAAATAAATTGAAATATTTTCGACTTGGGCAGGACTTGAACCGGCATCGTCAGCGTTCCGTGCTGTTGCTTTAACCAATTAAGCTACCGAGTCTTTTCGAGTACAATTTATTTTCGATTTTTAAATTATACAGACAGTATTTCCGCCATTGATTAGAAATATGTTGGGCCCGACGGGGATCCGAACAATCTACGACTCCTTGATTATTAGCCATGGACTGTTACGAATACACTAATATGCATGAATTTCACTTTTACTTATATAGGGGCTAGAGTGTTATTCGATTTACACAGTGACCACAGCCTTTGTTTTATTATATACCTTGATAAGTTGAATTGCAGCTTTCCTCACCAGAGCTGCTTTGTCCTTTAACCTACCAATGGCCCTTTCCATCACAGTATGCTGTCGTACCACAGGTACACACGTTTCCTTTTGAAGCCTGCTCCAGTATTGTAGGACCTATCGGAAGAATACATATTGAAAAATATTTTAGATAGTATAGTAATAACCTTTCCTACTTTTCTTATAAGAAACCCGATAAGTGTTTACACTTTAATTAAAATTCAAGCAGATTTTACATTTATTTTCATAAAAGTAATGCTAAGCAGATCTCCAAACAAGTACTGATTCGTTTGTTTGGAATCAAGTCAATAGACTATTCCATATTCTTAATCTTTGTAAGCCAATATGGAGAGGACGCACTTACCTTATGTCTAACATATGCGGACTGGTCATGCATATGCTCGTACAAATCATCGAGGAAGTCATCTCTTTGTATTCGTTGTTCATTGTTTAGATCTTCGCCGTTCAATTCTACAACCAGTATTTCGCTCATCATACCAAGAATGCATATTCTCAATGTGTAGGACTGAAATTATAAAAGTAAGAAAATTATGCCACAACATTGAAAACTTTATTATTTTTTACAAGCACATATAAATGATTTTGCATTATAATAAAAAAAATCGAAATACATTGCGCGAGAGGCGATTGAAATTCGATGCTTTTATGTGAGACACGATAATTCAATTGTTTCGAGCAGCAGCACGGAACGCTTTGGATGCCAGTTCGAATCTCGCCCGTTACTTCATTTTATTTAATGTTTATTTACATACGCGTGAATAAAATTGGTAAATGGTGGTTACTGGAAAAAGCCGATAAAGCAATAGCACGGAAAAGTTTAAGTTTAATTTGGATTATTTTATAGGTGAAGGAGCTATTTTTTTATTTTAATAATTAAATACTTAACAAAAGGATGTACTTTATACGCAGAAGGGGATAAAACAACAATATCTATATCTATATCAATAATCTTCAAGTAGTTTCATAAATTAAGTATAAGATATTGTTATAGTAGACAATTTAAAAAATCTTAAGGACATACTTTTTACTTACAGTCAACAGAGATATTAAATTTTAGAGCTCATACATAAATTTCTAGACATTAGATCCAAACATACCTCATCACTTTCCAAATATGGCTGTATAGTGGCCATAGCACCAGTCATCTCCTTCGGCAACTCCTTAGTGAGTTCCAGTAAGAAGGCTCCACAGTTTTTTGCAGCGCCATGTTCAGTGCCAGCACTGTTCTCTTCCTCGGATGATGCTAAGGCTTCTGCTATTTCACGGACCTAGTATAGAGATATCTAAAATACTAGCTGTGCCCGCGACTTCGCCCGCGTGGAATAGTGGCTTGTTTATTAATTTATGTAAGGGCGCGTTTAAGGCAGCCAATCTATGTTGTAAGTGCTACTTCGCTGCAACATTCTCACCTTACATCACTCCTACTCTAACTACCACTCTCATTCCTACACTCACTCTCACTCTCATTCCCAAAAAGCCAAAGAAGAAAGAAAATGTTCTAGCTTCGAATCCCACGATTTTCCATACAAACTTTCATCCAATTTTTCAGCCTTATCAACCACTTTAAAAAACCCCATTAAAAAGTATGTCCTATGTCCTTTCTCAGGCTCTAAAATAACTATGTACCAAATTTCATTTAAATCAGTTCAGTAGTTTCGGAGTTAAAGCCGGACAGACAGACAGACAGAGTTACTTTAGCATTTATAATATTATAATTATTCTTTTCTTTCGGGGACACCTGTGGTAGGACGGTTGATCAGTCCACGTTAATATTAGTATAGATAATAATATATATGAAACATAAACTGTAAGTTTTTGTATGAACATTAGTTTGACTCAAAAAATGATCATGAGGTTTTTGATACTGAAATTGAATATTTGTTTAATAGTTTCTTTATATTTTGTTGGTGGTGCATAGTCTAGCAGCAACATATTAATGCTTTTTGGGGACTTTTTAACATCACAATGTATTTTTTAACAAAATCACAGTTTAAATAAAACACTTTAAAACGAGATATATTAGTTAAATTTATTTGAAAATGAATTTTAACTTCGGCCCGACGTTTCGGATGCTTTGCAGCAGCCGTGGTCACGGGGAGACAAAGTGTTTTATTTAAATGTCTACTACTCGCGTAAACTATAGACAGTATTTAAAATCACAGTTAGTAAATAAAAGTTTATAAAATACTTCTAAAGACCTACCATTTGTGGGGCAAATGTACCTAATCCGAAATCTTTAGTCAACTGCACTACACCTGCACAGATTGGAGATACTGCATGTTCATGCATTTGCAATATCTGGAAAAAAATATTCTTGGAATTAAGGTTAAATTCTTAATCATAATAAAATTTAAACAACAGGCATCCGAAGTTTGGTAGTAGTTTAAATAAATCAGAAGTAAGTTTAAATAATATATTTCTTGTTTTAAACCTAATCTTTAATGCACAAAACGGGTTTAAGTCAGCTCTAATATAACAAAGCCTCCCAAAAATAGATAAATATTGTTACAACAAATGTCGAGATGAAAAATGTGAAAGAATTACCTGGACCAATTTAATCAGACAGGCAGTGCCGTGGTTATACCGTTTTATCAAGGAACCCAATATCTGAAAAACAGTTTCACGGACTGTCTTGTTTTTTATTGCCTGGTCTTCTAATACCCCATAGCAGGGATCAACAATCATTCTAAAATACATATAACTAAGATTTAAATTTATTAACATTTAAAATTATTTGGGCATGCATACATTTTAATCATAATGATTAACTATAGTTTCTTTATTATTTGCTTATTACTGAACCATTTAATTGCTAATGATTAGATAGAAAGCTTAGAATTTAATGAAGGCAACATATTTGTGTTAAAACGCCAGAAAGAATATATTAGTTAGGCAAGATTCACTATACAACATGACAGTAAATATTATAGATCAGTGTTCATAAAAAATATACTTGTGCCTCGCTACAGATGAAAGAATTCTATATCTATATTGATTTCAGTTTTAAAATTCCTTACGAAACAAAATCCTGTTCAGCCAATGGTGGATCCCAAAGACGTGACAGTGGTTGTTGTAGTAATTGATGTAAAGTCACAAGAGCTGCAAGCTTGTCTGACTCTGTCCAACAGCAGATATCATCCGTATCTGTGGCCTTCTTGCTTTTCTTACCCAAAGTAAGCTTTGTGGAATTCTGATAAAAATATAAAAGAGTGTAGATAGAATAAAACACTTAGTCATATTATATTCATGTAATGTATAAAATAAAAACCTCATTCTTTTAAGAAAACTTAGCTACTCACATCTGCTGCCAACTTGGTATCTTTAGTTTTTATTATTTGGGTAAATAAGTATACAACCATTTTAACGATATTCAAGTTTTTATTGCGAACCTCGCTATCAATTTCTAACTCTTGAAGGATTGGTTCTAGTGTATTAGATAGATTCTTCACAGTTCTTAGAATATGATCATAGCCTGTAAGTGAAAAGGGATTGTTGATAAACTTAATGAATAATGATTACTTTACTATTTTTATAGTTTTTTACCTTTATTTATGACGTTCCATTCGAGTTTTGTCCCATGTACTAGTACAGAAAAGTATGTGTCAAAGTGGTCTAGTATGTAGTCTGCACCATCAGCGTTGTAAGCTCGTGCAGCGTCTAAAATATATATGTTTGTCATTACAACAACCTTGTCACCCAAACCTAAGCGTAGAAACAAATTTAGTAGTTCTAAATACCTTGAAATTTAGATAAGAGCAATCTAGGAGGCACAACATCTTCAACGTGATATTGTCCTGCATGGCATTCCAATAGCTCGTCCTTTTGCAGGGGGATACTAAACTTAAAGGTGCTCATAATAAACAATTTATTAAGAACTTGAACTTGATTATTACACGCTTACAAATTATATAGAATGAATACCGCGAAATAACATCATAAGCGATCGTTTATTTTTGAATTTGAAAACACTTTGAATGTTGGTGTCAATTGTCACTCCTATCAATTGATAGTACATAGATAATATAAAAATGAAATGTCTAAAATAATAATATACGAATAGCTGTGGTAGGTTTGTAAAGAAAGGTGACACGTTGAAGCATGTTGTGAAACGTCAAGTGACATGTAAGCTTAACGTCATTGACGTTATCGGAGATTGCTGAAATTTATCGTCTTTTTTGTAACAAATCTCGCTGTACCGCTACAAGTTTAAAAAATCTCTGTTTAATATTATAAAGTCAATATAATAAAATATTTTTAAGATGTCTGGAAAAGCGAACAAAGCATTCACAAAAGAAGAGGAACTCCTCTTACAGGACTTTAGCAGAAATGTGTCAACGAAATCGTCTGCCTTATTTTACGGAAACGCTTTCATCGTATCTGCCATTCCAATTTGTAAGTAATGACTTAAAATGTTATCTATAATATTTTCTTTGAAAGCTAAAATTGTCTATTTTTTAAATTATGTAAGTACTTCTTTAAAAGTGAAAGTAATTTGATGTGGCAGTTGGTATACTTTTGCTTGTTTTTTTTTAATAGTGCTTGTATCTTTCCAGGGTTGTTTTGGAGGGTGCACGCCTTAGAAGTGAATGCATCATTAGCCTGGTTTGTCTCAGTCACAGCAGTTAGCACATGGCTGTTAGCACTCGCCTACCGCAACACTAAATTCCAGCTGAAGCACAGAGTTGCCGTCCGCAGAGAGGACGCTGTCGCTCGTGAAATGTCCAAAAAGCTTGCAGATGATAAGAAAATGAGCAGGAAGGAAAAGGATGAAAGGTATTGTTTATGATCTTGTTGACTGTGTCCTTTGACTTGTACTATATTAAGGTTTCAATTGTGGCTAATGAATATAAAAAATAATAATAATTGTTTATTATGCTGATCAGTCCATACTTTAATAGTATACCAAGAAAATGTTGACTTAAATTTAAAATAAATTGAACAAAATTTTGACTCGGGCAGGCATTGAACTGGCATTGTCAGCATTCCATGCTGTTGACTTGAATTTGTTTAAGTTTTCTCTTATATTGCATAATTACAATACTACTTTATGCTACAATAACTTAATTATGTATAGACTACATTTAATGTTTATTTACTTAATACACTGAGTCCATATTATTTAGCTTGATTAATATTACAGAATCCTGTGGAAAAAGAATGAAGTAGCCGACTATGAAGCCACCACATTCTCCATCTTCTACAACAATGCACTATTCCTGACCATCGTTATCTTGAGCAGCTTCTATTTACTGCGCTCTTTCACCCCTACTGTGTATCCTTTTTATAATTATCGAATATATAGATAAATCATAAAAGATTTTTTTTCAGGTGTCATTTCTATCAAAAGAATGAAGCCAAACTACTAACTTTTAGCTAGCTGTTTTTTCAGGATTATAATGTAGACAAAAAATTTAAAGAATTACTAATAATTAGTAACAATACTCCAATAGCTCATGTAGCAAGAAGCAGATCCATTTTGTGTCTGTTTCACCTTTTTATTTTATTTCGAAGTGGGAGATCAGTCTGTAGCAGTGATTTAAACCTGGGACCTTTTCTGTATTTCAGGGAAAATGGTTTATAACTGAACAAAAGTTTCCTTAATTCATTGTATACAGTAACTACATTGTGTCCCTTACAGCGGCATCTGGACTTCTAGCTCTTCTTTCCACCGGAACAAAGTAAACTTCGAATAAGACTTAGTTGTGTGTGAGTTAATGAGTTGATAATGTTTTGTGTTATCAAAGATTTCAGATTATGAGTACTCCTGTCTGCGTATTTAAGAATGAATTTATACTGTTAAGATAATAAAACAATTTTTTGGATACAGCATCTTTTATTTACAAAAACATGAAAGCATCTCCATGATCCGACACATTTTCAGTTGGGGTGGGTTCAAAACAACATCACATACTATATTATTCTTACACATAGAAGCTTATATAAGCATTTTGATTTTTAATACTATTGTAGATTAAGGAGTCACCAAAATACCATTCTTTGGTATTGGGATTAATGGAGTAAATTGTAGCACAGTGGATACATCAGTTGTTCAAGTCTTTCGTAAGCACAATTGTTTGCTCATTTACTAAATGTTAGCAGTCTTAATATTTATGTCTTTACTTTAAGAGGAAAGAATAGTATGTACTTGCCATGACAATAAGAGAAAACGATTATTAACTAAAAATTGTTAGCGCGAGAAGAAATAACTATATAAGTCGTTAATAATGACGATGCCAGTTTTAAAGAAACTAGGTATATATTTATTTTAAGAAAAATTGAACATAATCATAGTAGAATATTAAGATTAAGTTAGTTGAAACCAATTTTATCATCAAAAATCTATTGTCCGTTGCAAATTGTTTATGTTCTCGTCTAGGGTGCACGAACGCGTGTTTCTTTAAATACGATACGACTAAAAATACGATATTGATGGTCAGGTTCGTTTCAGATTACGCTATAATCCAACCATATAGTAATAGTGAGTGAATGAATTCATTGAATCAGTCTGAAACGAGCTTTTTTTACAAAAGCTATTCTTTCCTCTTAATTCATCTCTCTTGAAGAATAATCCGTCAAATCGCTGTGTTCGTGGGAACGCGGGTTTGCTCGGGGCTCAGTACATCATGCCGACATGCAAAGGGTCCGAACGTTGGAAGAACACGTTCGGATTACTGCTGAAGGTCGGCTCCACGCTCGTGTACACGTTGGCCTCCTCCGCTCGCATCATCACGCCTGTAAATCGAGGACTTTGTCAGGCATCGTCGTAAAGATGGGATAAATTTTCAAAACAAAAATACACTATTTACATGCTTATCAAGATATCATATGATATATCTGTACTTATAGTGTTTTTAATATTAACTTCTGATTCAATTGATTATTTTACCATCATAATATCATTGTTATTCGAGCTGTTCGGTCGATGTAAGCGAGAAGAGGCTCTCGATGTTTCGTCATCACGGGCGGACGACATCATCGGGGGGATGTTGCTAGCACCTCGATTGCTCGAAGAATAGTGAGTTACTATAGTCAGTAAATATTGATCGTATGGTAAAATACTGTCTCTATCTTACGCGAGTAGTACATTTAGATAAAAGAGTTTAACAGTTTTAAACACGATATATTAGTTAAAAATTATTTATTTATTTTAACTACAGACCGAAGTTTCACTGCAAAGCATCTGAATCGACAGGTCGTAGTTAAAATATTTTTTTAAATGGTAATTTTTTAATTCAATGTTAATATATTTCGCGTTTAAACTGTTAAAGTCTTATATCTAAATGTACTACTCGCGTAAGATAGAGACAGTATTTTACCATACGATCAACTGACTTTAGTAACTGCATTTTAAATTTTAAAAGTATTTTCCATTAACCTTATTTTATACAAGTCCCGGCAGGATTAACCAATTATTATTTACAAAAAACATAATACCTGGTGGTAGCATGTAGTGATAGGGCGGGTAATTGTAATTATAGTGCGTTAGTGGGTGCATAGGGTAGTGCGGTGGTGGGCACATTGTGCGTCTGTGGAATTGCGAGCCCGCGAACATACCGAATGGATCTGCGAACAACCCAGTGCATTGTGATTAGGTCCGTGCAAGCGCTGTCTCTCACTTTAGCGCGTGTTAGATACTTAACTAACCGGCTTGCTGAGATGGGGGCTCCTTGCGGTCGAGAATAGAGGGGGCCGCTGTGGGCGCCGCGGCTGCCACCATTCCGTACTTGACGGGTTTGAAGTGGAAGAACGACGGGGAGTATCCCGAACCGCCCGCACCCAGGGAGCTGAGACCTTCCTCGCGATCTGCGTCCCAACGGCCTTCACGACCCAGTGCGGCTAGACGACGCCCTTTAGGCGCGAACATAAGAGCAAACACTACGGTGCATGTGCCGAGTAACCCGGCTGCTACACACGCGTCCTTATGCTGTTCTGGTGCTCCCAACGCGGCTGCAACCCAGCACACCCACACGGCGGCAGTTGCACCACTCGCGGCTGCTATGTGTGTGGCCTCTCGGTAATTGTCGCGTATACCACGCGACCGTAGCGCAACTCCGCACACAACGGCTATCAGGAACGCAGCGTAACAGAGTGACAGAAGTAGATCTGATAACGCGGTGTCACAACGTCCACCGACCGCAACTCGAGGCGGCGAACCCCCGAGCCATTGCGCCCCGATGGCAACTTGTATCATGATCGCAAAAAACAATAAGAGTCCTTGATAAGCCGCCGGCAGATATACACCGCCATTTAAACTTAATAAAAAGACACATTTCACTAATAACGTCACAAACACGATCACATAAGCCACTCCAGTCCCGAAGCGAACGGCTCCACATATAAAAGCTGTGGGGGACGCAACGTATAACGCAGCAGTTCCTGCACACAGAAATAGTCCAAAAAGTAATGTCTGACCGAGGAGCAAATGACGGTGGCTGGGTGCCTTCCTACTTGCTCCCCAAATAACGAATGCCTCGAAGCCACAGATAACTATCATGATGACACTTGCAAATGCTAAAATGGGAACTGCCCATGACTCTGATCTCAGGGGAGTCAGAGCGGTGGCCATTTTTACTGTTGGGATCGTCGTGTTGGCGGGACGGTGTGTAGAAATGCTTCTTGGGCGCGAAGTCGACGTGGACGGTGTAGAAATCCTCTCTGGTATTACGAAGTACTCTGTACTCATCTCAAGTCGATGGGCCTCCGTCCGCGCGGGGCGGCGATGTGGTGCTTCCGTTTCCGATTTCGACTCGTCATCTTCAAACGCAAGAATGTGATCATTATAGTCTTGATCGTACAAGTTATCTTCATTTTGAGCGAATCTGTGCGCGATTTGTGCGTTACGCGGGGTGTACGGCGCGGGTTTCCTTGGAGCGAGACGGTCGCCGAACCGTGCGGCGCTGGTGACCGCCAAGTGTAATAGCACCGCTATGAGGAGCAGCGTGTGTAACCTCGTAACCGCCATCAGGCCACATCGGCCTTCAGCTGCCCGCGTCTCGCAGAGGATACATCCGCGCGTCAAGTGTTGCCCCCTGGAATTTTAAACAGCTCGTAAATACAACATTACAAGAATCGTTCCTGTCGAAACGTCTTGACTTTAACCAAACAAAGAGGATCCCACTTAAACCGGTTTAACGTTCGCCCTGAACCTCTAGGCACCTTAACTTTGTTGATTTTTTTGCGCAACAAACTGAGAACAGGAAAACTCACATCCAGGTTCTAGACATTCCTACGTATTTGTTATCTTACAAATATTATTAAAATTAAAATTGGTAACAAATCAAATGATATATAGCTAACCGATCATTTTTATGTTGCATTGCTAGTAAAATGTATTGTTTCCTCAGGATTCGAAACCAGGACCTAAGTTAACGTAATGATAGGTGACACGTTGAACCATTTAGCTACAGAGATAAAGATTTTTATAATAATAATTTTCGTCATGTATTAAAATGTAAGGTGAACGTTTGAAAATCGCTTGCACACAGTAAAATATGGTATTTAAAAATAGTCAGTGCATAATTGCAACACGGGTCTCAATTCTGAAAACTCACGAGCCAGGGAAATTGTAGCGAGACAAAACCGACAGGATATTGAGACACCAGTGCTATAAGGCAATTGTTTAACCTTTGTGATAGTAGAATAACAAATGGTATAAGAGCACTGTGGCTTAATGGTTTATTTAGTTGCTCAGCATTGCGTTAGGCGTGGGATCCTAAAATCAGGTGATGAGCAAACAAAGTATATAGTTTCAGTAGGGAATTCAGGCGTAATAAACTACTTGTCTGAAATTAAAGTTTATGAGTTTCAAGATGTCCTATTGACCTATTTAAGCTTTGGATATTCGGAAATCCTCAGACTGAAAACGAAACGCGATTAAGCTTCACGGCTTTTTCATCTGTAGAGGGTGATTCGTTGCTGCTATTGGTTAGGTTGGCGAGTGGCTAACATCAGACTAGTGTGTAAACAGAATCAGGGTCACGAGAGTGTAGTTGTAAGCATATAAGCAATCCACCGGACGTGCTGTGAACTGTCCAGTGTCCACAACACGGACGGGGCAACGAACGTATTAATTCTCATCCCTAAGGGCCTACACGATGCTCAGTAACTTACTTGCGCCTGGTAACAACTTACCAGTTTCCAGTAAACCTCTTTTTAAGCTCGTAAATGCGCATTTGTGAGAGAATAAAATACGAGAGAATCGCAAAAAGTTGTAAAACGAAAAAGTACGAATTGAATTATGTTCCAACTTCCATCTACGATATTCTTAATGTGCTCCGTAATTTATTTTTTGTCTTCAAGTGAAGAGTACTTATTATGAAGATTGAATTTATTACTGGGCAACGTAGCGGTCGCGTTTAGTCCCATATAATAAAGGACTTTATTTTTGTATGATAAGGACAAGCTCGGGTTTTACTCGTTCAATGGAAATTAGAATGTCCTACATTGACTTTAAATACTTAGTGGACTAACGCGCCTGTAAAAATGTATATTATAGAATGTTTGTCAAAATCAAATTAAACACTTAGTGTCCACTGTTTTATTAAAAAAATACCTATACTAATATAACAAATATTAATAATAAAGTTTGTTTGTTTGTTTGAACGCGTTAAGCTCAGGAACTACTGGTTCGAATTGAAAAAGTGGATCTTTTAGTGTTGATTAGAGCATTTATAGAAGGCTATATATTATCTTGCTGTGATTTATAGGAGCGAAGAAATAGCGGTTAATGTGGGAAAAACGGGAAAAGTCCTTATGGGTTTCCGGTCGTACGCTGCCATAACTGTTCAAAATATCAAACAAATATCTATAAGAGGGTGATTCCTCTTTAAATGATCTACAAAAATGTCGGCAACATTATGTGTTTATTTTTTAAGATACTTGCGAGAACGATGTCGTGGGTAACAGCTTAAATGTATAGCGTTGAACAGGAGGTTTGTAAAAACAAAATTTGATGCCCAAAATAACTATTCTACGCGGACGAAGTCGCCCACACAGCTAGTGTTAAATAGAATGAGCATTATAATTTATGCGTCGAACTTAAAATCCCGATAGTGTTCGCTGCAATGGCGATAAGCTTAAAATATGCAGGAGTCCGCATAAGGAAGTGACTTATCCAGGGAGAAGATTACGTACACTCCACAGAGATCGTGACTCTCGAGTTTATTATCCGAATCAAAGTACGTACATGAACGACGGGGACTATCGCAGACAGATTTGGCGCTAAAGTAACGGTCTAACGTTTGAAGAACAGACAATTGCGCTGGCGATCACTGCAACGGTAATTCTCGTGAATAAACCCTACCGAATCTCTATGTGTTTTACGTAGACACGTTTCTGCACTATGCAGTAATGATAAGATGCACAGAATAATGAATGAACCAGTAACTCCAAAATAGAATAGTGTAACTATTCCTATGAAATATCTTTGTTTAATCGCTTTTCGGTTTCAGTCTTGTTTCAGGGTTGTTTTTAAGTGATCGCTCTATAGCAATAAGGCCGCCAATTACACTCCATGACTAGTAACAATATATATTTTTTTTATTCTTTTCCCTAATACTTGGATTTTAAAGATAAAATTTGTATATAGGTACTTAGTGTGTGTTGCTATAAAGAGTCAAATAAATAACGAGGTACTGTATAAAATAGTAACTTTATTGTGAACTGAACGAAGTATCTAACTAATCTAGTATTTATTATTGTATTTAAACTCTAAAAGTGGCTTCTTTAGTTAAGCGGTAGAAATGTACGGCTAAAATCAACGTATCGTGTCATTGAGTCTAAGGTGTACATAAGATTTTTGTATGTTGATCGCATTTCATTGTAAACTTTAATAATATGTATTTAATAATAAAATATCATATTTCCTTCACGTCAAACTACCGACCATATAGAAATTCATGGCGTTGCGGACTCTGTCTGTTGATTTTCAAAATATCAATAGACAAAATAAGTCACCAGTGCAATTATTTATATTTATATAGATAAGGTTACCTTCCATCAAGTGAATTCTATGACTGTAACCATAAAACAAGAACAAAAAGCTAAGGTAGTTCTGTAAAGGGAACTTTATTGTGGTAGGCTTGTGAAGGAAGGCAAAAGTTATAAAAAAAGTAGTTATTACAATAAAATTAAAAAATAATACAGACAGTTGACTAAAAGTTCAATTTACATTTACACAGACTCAGCTGAATGTTGCACGAAATAGCATAGCACAGTTTTGAGCGTAGCATATAATCGTGTTCCATCATTACTCCTTCTGGTTCGGTTGTACTGTGTGAGTAACGAAGCGTGTTCTTTAAAAGTATCTCAGTTACCGCTCAAATGGAAAACAATAGCCGATGTCTTTAGATCGTGATCATGATGTTTAAAAAATCTTTCTTATCGCAATCTGGATACGCGTTTTGATTATTGATTAGGTTATGGACCTCTTTGAGGCCACGATTTAAATGTTGAATTACTCATTAGGAAATCAGTTAGAAATTAGTTGAGTATTTAAATAAAACACTTTAACGGTTTAAAACGCGATATATTAGTTAAACTTATTTGAAAATGATTTTTAACTTCGGCCCGACGTTTCGGATGCTTCGCAGCAGCCGTGGTCACGGGGAGACCGTTCAAGTGTTTTATTTAAATGTGTACTACTCGCGTAAACTATAGACAGTATTTAATTAGTTAAGTAGTTAAGAAGGATTAATTTTTCGAGCAATCTATGAGTTAACATCTCCTGATGATGCCGTCCGCACGTGATGGCGACACGTCGAGAACCTCTTCTCGCCCACGGCCGAACAGCCCGAAAAACAATGATATTCTGAACGATGGCCGTCAAAGCCTTACACAATTTATTAAGCATTACTTTATCTCTATTAGCGGTACCTGTAATTATCTTCATTTATTTATCGTCTGATCAACAATTCATTTCGTTCGTGTTTTGAAACTGGCCATCAGTTATTCTATTCTTATTCACACAAGAGCCAATTTAGGCACGTTGAAATAATATTTATTCATGTATTCAGATTTGAGCATTTCTCCATTACTGTGCAAAGGCAAACACGCGGCGGATATGCGCTTTCCTTTTAAGGCAGACTGTATCACTGAATCTAATATGATAATTGTTACCTAAGACATTGCTCTTGAATATTTATAATAGCACGTTCATACGAGCACGTTTTAATTTTTGATGGGCCCGTTGGTCTAATGCTAGCAATGTATGGCTAATAAACAACAGGTCGTGGATTCGATATCTAACAAATTTACCCAAAAAAATCACTGTGGGGGGGGGGGGGTCATTGAAAATCGGCGCCTCTTTCTATTTGAGCATATTTTATGCAGTTAAAGGCTTGTGAAATAAATTAGAGTTTGAATGGTTACGTTCGTAGCAGGTTCCAGTCCCGGAACTACATTTACAAGTTTGAGGTGACAGTTGAGGCGTCGAAAGTTAAAGATTTCCGAGCGCGGTGTATGTGACAATGAGACGTAGGGAAACAGAGCGTTGTGATGTGCGCCCGCGCGTTGTAAAAGTAACAGCGCGAATACTCCGGGTGAAACTCGGCTGAACTGATTGTGAGGCACCAAAGTCAACACATTCCGCACAAAGAATTATCCAATTCGTATTTCACTTGGCGTGCGCAAGCGCCGATTACTCGTTTCATTTTTTCGCTGATCTCGTTTTTCATAGGCCAACGTTATGCATATCTCCGATCAGATGATGTAAGACATGACTTTGATATTTTTTTGACGGTCACTGGTTACTTTGGACACTTCAAACGCTCGATGTATACAACTCTCTAGCGTTGACGGTTTTTTAAAGGCATTTTTACCATGTGCGGTCTTAATTCAAGTGTTATAATAATAAACCAATTACTATACTGACTACAACTAAAATTGACGGGCAAACCCACGAACCGTTTATTGGTGGTGGTAAAAGCCGTGAAATAGTAATTATGTTTTTAGTTTGTGGATTTGCGAATGTCCAAAATCAAAATAGATTGATAGCGCATTTTGTTTAGATATTATAATGGCTGAGGTATTATATATTTAATATGATACCTCGTTATAAAAAAAAAATTTCTAGTTAATCATCTATGTTCGTAGTATTTATGTATGTATGTAACTACAAGTTAGGCAAAATCGATTAATTTAGTTACAGGACCTACAATTTGTCGTATTTTTAATATATAGCCATTTTCAAGTAATCAGTGCCCACCGTTTAACCTTTAAATCTCTA